TCATGGTGGATGATTTCTCTGATGTATTTTTGAATTCGGTTTGCCATTATTTTATTGAGTATTTTTGCATCGATGTTCATCAGGGATATTGGTCTGTAGTTTTCTTTCTTAGTTGTGTCTTTGTGAGGTTTGGGTACCAAAGTTATTGTGGCCTCATAAAAAGAGATTGGCAATAAACCTTCTGTTTCTATCTTGTGGAACAGTTTGAGGAGTAGTGGTATTAGTTCTTCCTTGAATGTCTGGTAGAATTCTGCACTGAATCCATCTGGCCCTGGACTTTTTTTCGTTGGAAGGCTTTCGATGACTGCTTCTATTTCATTTCGGGTTATAGGTCTATTTAAGTTGTTTGTCTGTTCTTGATTTAATTTTGGTAAGTGATAGTTATCCAGAAACTTGTCCATTTCCTTTGAATTTTCAATTTTTGTGGAATACAGATTTTCGAAGTATGACCTGAAAATTGTCTGGATTTCCTCTGTGTCTGTTGTTATGTTCCCCATTTCGTTTCTGATTTTGTTAATTTGCATGTTCTGTCTCTGCTTTTTCGTTAATTTGGATAAAGGTTTATCAATCTTGTTGATTTTCTCAAAAAACCAACTCTTTGTTGCATTGATTTTTTGTATTGTTTTCCTGGTTTCTATTTTGTTGATTTCAGCCCTCAAGTTGATTATTTCCTGGCGTCTGCTCCTGCGGGTGAATTCGCTTCTCTCTGTTCTAAGGTTTTCAGTTGCGCTGTTAATTCATTTATGTGACTATCCTCTGTTTTCTTCATATGGGCACTTAGTGCAATGAACTTCCCTCGTAGCACTGCTTTCAAGGTGTCCCATAAGTTCGGGTATGTTGTATCCTCATTCTCGTTGAATATTAGAAAGTCTTTAATTTCTTTCTTTATTTCTTCTTTGACCCAGGAGTGGTGCAATTGCACATTGTTAAGTTTCCATGAGTTTGCAGGTTTTCTGCTATTTGTATTGTTGTTGAATTCCAATTTTAAAGCATGGTGGTCCGATAAGATACAGGGGACTATTTCTATTCTCTTGTATCTGTTGAGGTTTGTTATGTCTCCTAGTATGTGGTCGATTTTAGAGAAGGTTCCATGTGGAGCAGAGAAGAAGGTATATTCTTTTGTCTTTGGATGGAATGTTCTATAGATGTCTGTTAGCCCCAGTTGAGACATAACTTCTGTTAATTCTTTTGTTTCTTTGTTGAGTTTCTGATTTGTGGTCCTGTCTAGTGTTGAGAGTGGTGTATTGAAGTCTCCCACTATAAGTGTGTGAGGTTTTATATGAGCTTTGAGTTTTAGTAGTGTTTCTTTTACGAATGTGGGTGGCTTTGTATTAGGGGCATAGATGTTCAGAATTGAGACTTTGTGTTGATGGATTTCTCCTGAGATGAATATGAAATGACCGTCTTCATCTCTTTTGACTAGTTTTGGTTTGAAGTCTAGCTTGTTAGATATTAGGATAGCTACGCCTGCTTGCTTCTTATTTCCATTTGATTGGAAAATCTTTTCCCAACCCTTTACCCTGAGGTAATGTCTATCTTTGGAGCTAAGATGTGTTTCTTGTATGCAGCAGAAGGATGGATTCTGTCTTCGTATCCATTCTGTTAATCTGTGTCTTTTTATAGGTGAGTTAAGACCATTAATGTTGAGGGTGAGTAAGGACCATTGATTGTTGATGGTTGTTTGATTTAGGTTTGTTGTTGGCAGTGGTATTGTGAATATATTTGTTCTGCTTCACCCTAGGTTTCTGGTGTAGTTGGATTATCTGTTGCCTACATTTTTGTGGGCGTAGTTACCTTCCTTGGGTTGGAATTTTCCTTCCAATACTTTCTGTAGGGCTGGATTTGTAGATACATATTGGGAAAATCTGGTTTTGTCATTGAATATCTTGTTCTCTCCATCTATATTGACTGAGAGTTTTGCTGGATATAGTAGCCTAGGCTGGCATCCGTGTTCTCTTAATACTTTTAGAACATCTATCCAGGACCTTCTGGCCTTGAGGGTTTCCATGGAGAAGTCAGGTGTAATTTTGATAGGTCTGCCTTTATATGTTACCTGTCCTTTTTCCTTCGCTGCTCTTAATATTCTTTCTTTATTCTGTATGCTAGGTGTTTTGATTATTATATGTCGAGGGGTCTTTTTTCTTTGGTCCAGCCTATTTGGGGTTCGGTATGCTTCTTGTACTTTCATGGGCATGTCCTTCTTCAGATTTGGAAAGTTTTCCTCGATGATTTTGTTGAATATGTTTTCAGCACCTTTGAGCTGGGCTTCCTCACCTTCCTCTATGCCTATTATTCTTAGGTTTGGCCTTTTCATGGTGTCCCACATTTCCTGGATATTGTGTGTTAAGGATTTGTTGGATTTATGGTTTTCTTTGGTCGATGAATCTATTTCTTCTAGTTTATCTTCTGCGCCTGAGATTCTCTCTTCCATCTCTTGAATTCTATTGGTTATGCTTGTGTCCGTGGTTTCCGATTTTTTGCCCAGCTTTTCAATTTCCAGCTTTCCTTCCATTTGTGTTGCCTTTATTTTCTCAATTTCGGTTTTCAAATCTTGAACCGTTTCCTTCACCTGGTTAATTGTTTTTTCTTGGCCTTCTGTACTTTCCTTAAGGAATTTGTTCATTTCTTCCACTTTTTTGTTTGTTTTTTCCTCTATTTCTTTAAGGGATTTTCTCATATCTTCTTTGAGGGCCTCTATCATTTTTATGATGGTGATTTTTAAGTCGTACCCTTCTGCTTCCTCTGCTTTGTTGTTGTGTTCCATTCTAGTTGGTGTAGATTCCCTAGATTCTGGTGGTGTCATGTTTGTCTTTCTGTTGTTAGGTGTTCTCTTGTATTGCCTTCTTCCCATAGTTTCTTCCTGTAGGTGTTGGTGGTGTCTCTTCCCTCTCTCTATGGTCCTTCCCAGATGGGCTTATGTGGATCAAAGATTCAATGTCTGTATCTCTGTGTGGTCCAAGCTCTCTAGGAGGCTTCTCTCTGGCCAATAGCCGGCAGAAGAGGACGAGGGCTGGACTGGAACTTGAGAAGGTTTTGCAGGGTAGTGGGATCTCACTGGAAACTGGCTCTCTCCAGCTGAGACCTCGTTCTTTGGCAGGGGCCCGGATTTGTGGGTCAAGGATCTTGCCTGCAGGAACTCCAAGTGGACCAGCAGAGATAGGCGGATCTCTGGGAGGGGCCTGGGACTCCAGCAGAGGACTGGAGGCGGGGTCAGGGACCAAGCCGGTGGAAATTACAGGTGGTCCCACGTGGATAGTCAGGTCTCCTTTGTTCGGAGGTGCTCCGAGAGGTCTCCGAAGTAGGGTGGACTGTTGGCTCCACCCTCTGTCCCAGTGCTCAACCAGAGCGGCAGGACCGTAGGTGGGGTAGGGCACAGGGTAGGGGGGGGGTAGGCTGGAGGTTGGGATGGGTGGGGGTGTATCAGAGCTCCAAGGGTGCTCTCAAAGGGGACCGGAGACAGGAGCAGCAGGATCAGGGCGTATACTTAATGTTTTAATTATAATATGCCATGAAGAGTTTCTTTTCTGGTTCCATCTATTTGGAGTTCTCTGTGCTTCTTGTGTCCTTCCTTAGTTTAGGTAAGTTTCCTTCTGTGATCTTGTTGGAGAGCTGGTCTATACCATTGATCTGGAATCCTTCTCTCTCATTCAAAAGTTTGGTCTTATCTTGGTGTTCCACGTTTCCTGTATGTTTCTTTCCTGGTCTTATTCTTTCCCCAAATTCTTTGCTTCTTTCATCTAGATCCTCTACTTTATCTTCAAGTCCTCATATTATATCTTCTTCTTGATTCGTTCTACTTGTAAGTCTTTCCATTGAGTTTTCTAGTTCAATTATTGGGCCTTTCAATTCATATGCCTATTAACTTGAGTCCGGTGTTAAAATGTATTGAATTTTGTTTTTAAAATCCTGTATTTTCTTCATTATTCTGTCAACCTTACATGTTTGTGGTTTCTTGGGTATCACTCAGGTGTTTGTGCTCTTAAGGTTCTTTTTTTTATGATCATTGAGCTGTGTCATCTTTAAGAAGTGTCATCATAAAGAAATATCTCAAATTCTCCATAAACTTCTTTGGTGAAGTTTACGGTTGTTCTTTTAACATCTGTGTCCTGGGGTTCATTTGTTCAATCTCGTTGGCAGATATTTCTACAGGACCTGTAGCTTGGCGAGGGGTAGGGGACATACTACTGCCTTGATCTTTCAGTGTTCATATTTTTGTGATGAGACTTCTTTGGTTAGTTCTGTGTCTGATAAACTAGAGCAGGCTGGGCAAAAGAGAGGATGTGTGGGTTGAATTGAGCCTGAGGTTGGATATGGCTGATGTGAACCCAGGAGACTGAGTTGGTGTGAAAGATGTTCTATCTGGTCCAAGATTAGAGTTGGGGGTACATGTGGGAGTTGGGGTGCATGTGATGAGGGAGCATCGGGCAAACTCACCCAGCTAGACCCTGGAGAAGGGTATGTAGAACCTGGCTGTGTTGAGAGGTTGGATGTGGTGTGTGAGTGGCCTGAAAGTTGGGGGCAGGGAGGGAGGCAGAGTGAATTGTGGCAGAAGCCTAGACAATGGTAGAGGCATAAGCAGGGGTGGCCAGACTAGGCCTAGGAATTGGATGTGAGAGCCAGACTATTTTTATCTAGGGCATTGGGAATGGGTGGGTGGAAGGGAGGAAGTAAGACTTACCTGGAAAAAGACATCCAGGATCTGGTTTAGCAGAGAGGTTCCAAGTTACATTTGTTCTCTTGCATGTGCAAAACCAGATGTCTCCACAGAGTTGGTTGAAGAGATGTCTTATTTATTTTGTGAGTCTAGAGAGCAGCACAGCGCCTCCCCTGTACTCTACAACCAGCAGATGCTGCAGATGGGGAATCTCCGTGGATGTGCTTCCTAAACAGGTGTTAGCATCTCAGAGCAGTTTCCTTATGAGAATATCTAAACATCTCAGCACGCTTAAGAACTCCCACGTGGGTCTCTTGAGTGATGGAAAGTGTGTGCTGCCTTCCAGATGAACTCTTCGCTAACTTGGACAAGTTCCCGAGCCTCAGAGAACTGTCTGTGAGATTAGATGGCCAACCAGGTGTGCTGTCTGTCATCCCTGGAGACCTCCCTAACCTCCACCACATGGAGAAGTTATCCATCCAAACTTCCACAGAGTCTGACCTCTCCAAACTGGGTAAGGATGGTGCGAGGCTCTGCCAAGTCACGGTTCAGCTGACAAAGCTACTTGGCTAACAATCGTTAGAATCATTAAATCATCAGTAGTTAAAACTTCTGTGGGCCTGACAGTGTGAACCATGGGAAGTGTCCATGGGAAGGTGCGGGAAAGTGCTGTTCCTTGGAGATTTATTTATAAATCTTGAGTTTTTATGCTAAGAACTGTTCTGAGCTCTTCACACTCACTGTGACTGTTGATACTGCACATCTGGGGAAATTAAGGCATGAAGAAAGATGTTAAGTGGTTGGCTCAAGTTTATTCAGCTAAGGTAGTGTGCATTCAGGCCATTGCTTTGAGTCCACACCCTGAGCTTTAAACTCCCAACACATGTCCTCTCTAAGGCAGTTTGTGGAGTACTTTTCTTTCCCTGATGTTTTAGGGGCACTTACATGTCTGCCTGCTGAGGGGAAGGAAATCTGACTGGGGGCAGCCTGGACCTTTCCTCCATTTTCTGCATCCCGGCCTCCTGTTGATGGACAGCTGTGCAGCCATCTTTCTAGAACATGACCTTTAGCAAAATGACTCAAGCACCATCAGATCCTTAATCTGGAAAACTCTGAACACTAAAGAAATGGAAAAGGGGACCAGAGTCTGGTTCTGTGGTTCATGCCTATAATCCCAGAATTTGGGAGGCTGAGGCTGGAGGATTATCACAACATCAAAGCCAGCTTAGCCCTATAAATACAATTATTTCCAGGCTAGCCTGATATACAATATGAGACCCTGTCTGAAAAGAAACAAACAAAAATATTTTTGCAGGTTTTGGAGATCAGTTAGCAGGTAAAGGTACTTGCTGTCAAGCCTGATGGCCTTGATCCCACAGATCCATAAATGGAAGGAAATAGTCAATTCTCCCAATGTCTCCCTGACTCTGGGATGTGCTGTGGCTCACGGATGATCCCACATACCATAGACAACATCAGTTTACATATTTTTAAAATTGTGCCTCAGAGTTGTCCTGTTTTATGTTACTCTGTACACAATTCCTGATGTGTAAGGGCAGTGTGCTAACACAGAGACATCAGGGTGCTGTTGCTGAGGGTAAAATATGGAGGACAGAAAACTGATCCAGAGAGGGTCAGGGACTTGCCCCAGGTCATCTGTTCCCTAGTCAGTTGCAGAGCTGAGCACACGCCCAATGTGGCTGAGCACTGCATCACTGCATCACAGCCTGTTTAATCACTGTGGATTATGGATTGACAGTCCAGTTCAGATAGGAACTTGTAACCTCTAATTTCTGAAAATCCTTCCTCTTTTCCAGTTAAATTGATTCAGAACTCTCCAAATCTTCATGCTTTCCACCTGGAATGTGACTTCTTTTCGAATTGTGAGTCTCTCATGACCGTGCTTGCTTCCTGCAAGAAACTCAGAGAGATTGAGTTTTCTGGACGATGCTTCAAACCATACCATTTGGTAAGAACTGTACATCTCTGACTTCAGATCCTCCTGAGCACTAAAAACTAAAATGCAACTGATGTCACAGAAACTGTGACAGCACCTGACTTCAGCGAGTTTTTCACAACAATGACACGCACCTGTGTCTACAGTGTAAACATTTCATTTTCAGAGTTGTCTCCTCTGCTAGTCATAGTAATTCAATCTGAATAGCATATCACCTTTCATCACTTTTGAGACACTCTTATTTCAACAGGACTCCTCTGTGTCACAGACAATGTATCTGAACTAACTAAATTTATTTCCCTTTCCTAGTCACCATTTTGCCAAGTTTTGTTGCTCTGAAGATACTGAATCTCAATCGCCAACAATTTCCAGATAAAGAAACCTCAGAAAAGTTTGGTAAGTTTATAAAACAGCATTTCTTAATATATTCCTTATCCTCCCCCTCCTCCTCCTCCTCTTCCAGTGAACCTACAACAAAGCAAGCTGTGTACAGCCGTCCCTTGGCATCCATGGGCCCAGGGCCTCTGCTGAGGATCCTCCACTCTATGATATAAAATGGTGCTGTGTTTGCCCATGACCCCACTTACCCTCCATATACTTTAAACCATCTCCCAGTTGCTTACAATGCCTGCCGCAATGTAAATGCAATGTAAACTAGTGTTACACTGTGTTGTTCTGGGAATAATGATGAGGAGAAATGTCTGCACACATTTGGCACAGACATGATTCTTAAAAATAGAACCTGTGGTTGGTGGAATGTGCTCATACAGAGGGTCAGTTGTACCAGCCATGCTGGTCCTTAGGAAGACACCATAGTGATGCCCGTTTCCCCCCAGATGCCATCACTGTTGGTCCCACCCATCCCCACACTTGATCTCATTAAATGCAATGTTGTCAGACTCACTGGCTTGGTAGGAGAGAATTTGGCCATGACAGCACGGTATAACTTCCTTGACTGGCATGCACTCCAAGCATGCTATGTCTTTATGTTTCTGGAATATATATATATACATATATGCATTACAACATATGTATACGTATATATATGCACATATGTATACGTATACACACACACACACACACACACATAAAAACTACTTAAGGTTAAAAAACACTACAACTCAGATTTAACAAAATGATAAGTATAAGGAATGTTGAAATACTTTTGACTTAAGATATTATTATAAAGCCGAGTAAGGTAGTGCATACCTTTAATTCCAGCACTTTAATGACAGAGGAAGAGGTAACAGAATCTCTGAGTTTGAGCCCATCATAGTGTACAGATAAAGTTCAAGAAAATTAAGGGCTAAACAAGAAACCTTGTCTCCAAAAACCAAAACAAGGGAAGGGAAGGGAAGGGAAGGAAAGAAAGGAGGATTGTGAAAATAATGTGTGTTTTTGGGAAACACTCTAAAAGAGACTGCGACAAGGCTTCTATGGGCTACAGAGCTATAGCTTTGCAGTTCTTCTCAAACTTCACTGTGCTTAAGGAGAGCCTGAGTTTATCCTTGCTTCTCTCTCCCCACTTCTGTAGAGACGACATGTGTGTATGTGGGCAAGTGTGCATGCCCATGTGTCCCTGCCTATGTTTTGCTTGTGGGACAGTGGATGGGATTCAGTGTGCTCAAATAGTAGGGGCAGGATCAGGCATATATCAAATGTTAACTGTGCAGTAAGACCTGGAGTATAATGAGAGTCAAGTCTCTGCGCTGCTGAAGAGATTTGCAGGCATTGAAGGGGAGGGTGGGACAGCTAGACAGCTCAGCTGTTAAGGGTGTCCTGTCAAGCCCAGGGACCAAAGTTAGATCTCTGCAAACACATTTCCTATAAGTTGTCCTTTGATGCCCCTCCACCACTGCAATGTTCTGTGACATGTGGGTGCCAGCCAACCACACACAAACTTGACAGAAGTAAATTAGTGTAAACAAAAAGGAGACAGGGGATGATGACCAACCCCAGGGAAAGGCCACACCCCAGGGTGCACCAGATCCAGCCAGGAGAATGCAAGTGTCCAGATTCCTGTGCCCAGCCTGAGAGCTGTCCCCATCTCATGAATGTATGGCTTCTTTTAAAATCTTATTAGCTAATGTGGGCTGTAGAGATGGTTGGCTCAGTGGTTAAGAGCACTGACTGCTCTTTTAGAGTACCCGGGGTTTAATTCTCAGTACCCACATGGCAGTTCACAACTCTCTGCAACTCCAGTTGTAAGGAACCCAACACCTCACAGAGACATACATGTTGGCAAAACACCAATGCACATGAAATAAAAATAAAACAAAAATTGATTAATGCCTTTAATCCCAGCATTCAGGAGGCAGTGGTAAGTAGATTGCTATGAGTTTCAGGCCAGCCTGGTCTACAAAGAGAGTTCCAGGTTAGCCAGGGTTACACAGAGACAGGGACAGTCAGAGAGTAATCTGGAATATTGCTTCATGCCAGAGAGTCTTCTGATTAGTTTCTGTGAAGTCACAGAAGGAGAGACTCAGTGATGATGTGGTCTACAGAGTGTAGACTAAGAAGGGTTGGATGAGGGCTGCAAGGCTGTCAGAGCAGTGCACCGTGCTTTGATGAGGAGGGTGAATGTCCTCAGAATGATGGCAGGAGGTGAGGTGGCAAGCGAGGGGCTGAAGACTGTGCCGCTAGGACAGTGATCTGCAGTGCAGACCCCACATTAGAAGAGAGAGCAAAAATGGAGACACAGCCTGGACTTGTGTGGAGGGACCGGTTGGGGGAGGAGGGAGGGGCCGGCTTCAGAGAGCAGCAGGAGCTCCCGTGTGCCTTGGAGAGGACAGTGACCAGGAGGGGCTTTGCTAGGTGGGGCCTCTAGACTGCAGAGTGTCCATGTCATCAGCTGCTCATGAGGGGACAACTACTGAGGATGGCTGTGTTGTCTCCCTCAGCGCAGGCTCTGGGTTCTCTCAGGAACCTGGAGGAACTGCTGCTTCCCACTGGGGACGGGATTCAGCAAGTGGCCAAACTGATTGTCCAGCAGTGCCTGCAGCTTCCGTGTCTGCGAGTCCTTGCCTTTCACCACACCTTGGATGATGACAGCGTGGTGGAAATCGGTGAGTTTCCCTCAGGCAGGGAAGGGTTTCCCCTTGTGTGGAAGCAGTGCCATCACCGAGGCTGTCTCCTGCAAGCGTTTAGCACTGTTTTTTGTTTCCATTACCACAGTGTTTCCTCTTGCTTCCGACAGACTTAGGGTCATCGTGGCTGGACTGGGAAGGCGTTTATTTATTTATTTATTTATTTATTAAGTGGGTTATAGAGGCCCTCTACCTGTGGTTTGTTTTCCCACTGCTGGGAACTGAGCTCAGTGCCCTTCTCTTCTACTGACTGTGGTGGACTATTTATTTGTCTAACTGTAAAAAGCTGTTACTTTTGTGTGTTTTTTGACAGTGTAATGACATGTTACATTTGTTTCATTAACTAAAATTAACCTGGGGTCATGAGGCGGAGTCAGCAATTAGCTGACCGGAATTGGTAGGGAGGAACCATGTGTAGCTACTATTCTTAAATGGGGGCTGAACAGAAGTATGCCGGTTGCCAGTTTTCTGGGAGACTCAAGCTCGCAGAGGAGGTTAGCCTCTCTGAGCGAGCAGAACTTTACCTCAGCCTTTGAATCCCAAGGTCTATAGAGGGGCAGAGACCTAGATAAAGTTCCCTTTAGGGGCCATGATAGAGCCAGTGCCTGAGGGAACAGAATTCCTGCCTGGCTGTGGCTTCAGAGTTGCAATTGCAGGTTAGGACAGCAATTGGTTAAGGGGCGGCCACTGTGTTTATGAGAAACAAGAGAGGACACGTGCACTGCTTTCTTCCGCCACAGGTCCATTTGCCTCTAGAATTTGTTCTCTCTTTCGGCTCAGAACATGTTTGTGCTTACGTTCATAACGACGTGTGTGACCAGAGTGCATTGACTGCGCTGCTGTGTGTCATCCCATTATGTGACCATAACTACACTCTATGGTTAAATGTGTCACATGCCTGTAATTCAACACTTGTGAGGCTCAAGTGTACAGGGACTTCCTAGGTGAAGGCTAGGCGGGGTCACATGAGGCTTTGAGCACCAACAATTAAATAAGCAAAGGCTGGAACCTGTCCATGGTGCTGAACCCGCTTTCTCCCTCAGCAGAGCTTGCTTCACGTTCAGGCCCTATATGTGATGTCAATCCCTTACAGTTAGACACTCGATGATTCTCGTGGGTAAGGGAACCCAAAGCTTCAGGTGAGGAGTATCTTTCAGACTGACCAGCCCCCGAAAGAAAAAGGCAGCAGAGAGGGAATAAAATGGGTCTCAGAAAGCCAGGCAGACCCCACCAAACCTAATGGAGGCTTGCTTGGCTTATAGGCACCACCCTGGGGGCCGGGAATCCTGGTTCAGCCAAGGATGAAACATCTGCTTTTGGAGCTGCACATATGGCTCAGTGGTTAGGAGCACTGACTGCTCTCCCAGGGACTGGGGTTTGAGTCTCAGTACTCAAGCCACTGCTGCCCACAACTGGCTGTAACTCCCGGTGCAGGGATCTGATGCTGCTCCTGACCTCTGTGGACAATGACCTGTTTGTCAGGCACTTAACATAAGGACAAAACATGCATAAACATAAAATCAGAAAAATTTTTTTTGTTTCTTTGTTTTGTTTTGTTTTTTGAGACAGGGTTTCTTTGTGTAGCCCTGGCTAGCATGTACTCACTCTGTAGATCAGGCTGGCCTTGAATTCACAGAGATCCACCTGCCCCTGCATCCTGAGTGCTGGGATTAAAGGTGTGTGCCACCACCACCTGTCCTAGAAATAAAAAAAAAAATTTAAAAATTTCTACGAAGACTATTAAAAACATTATTTATTTATTTAAATGGAGGGAAGGAGGCAGGGGAGGGGGAAGAGAGAGAGAGAGAGAGAGAGAGAGAGAGAGAGAGAGAGAGAGAGAGAGAGAGAGAAAATTGCTGTGGCATGTATATAGAGGTCAGATTTGTTGGTTCTGTTCTTCAGTGTGGGTTTCCCAAATCAAACTCAAGTCATCATGTTTGTCAAGAACATGCCTTTACCTGCTGAGCCTCCTCACTGTGGCAACGGTGTGCATCTTTCCACAGACAACTGACAGGCTACTCCTGGCCAGTGTTTGAATTGCTAGCTAGGAGACAGCACTTACACACACCATAGAGGCAGGTGAGTGCACGGTGTGACAGGGAGAATAAAGGAAACCAGGGACAGCAGGCCATGATGAGGGAGGCCTCTCCTTTCCTCTAGTCCTTCCAGAAGAGTCTTCGTTTGGGGAGTAAGGAATACCTGTGACTGTCACAGAAGATCCTTCTTGAGGAAGATCCTTCAGCGGAAACACATCTTAGGGTCTTTAAGTCAAGCTGCCACGAGGTTCAGTGTGAAACCAGCCCTGATCTTTCCCTTACTAGGGAAAGTGGGTAGATGGCTAAAATAACGCAGCAGGTGGACTGAATCTTCACTGCCAAGGTCAGGGGTCCATGGTAATTGAGCACTCACCTTGTGTCTGGCTCCATTCCCTGCGGAGCTCCTGCTGTCAGTGGCCAGGGGGTCCCTTCTGGGCCGAGGGTGGAAGGCACTGCAGTAGCCAGTGAGAAGACAAGCTTTTGGGGCTGTCACCTTTTGTTCCCGGGGAAAGAGGCCCTTGCCACAGTTTCTCAGTCCCCTTACTGTAACCTGTTTCACAGCCATGCCCTGCCTTGACATGTGTCCTCCTGTGAGACCGGAAGAGAAGTCCACATTGCCCTGACAGCCAAAGCTGTCAGTGCTAACTCCTGGCTTCTGTTTCCTCCAAAGTGCTTGGTTCCCTCCAGGTGGTCCCTATCAGCCAAGCAGTAGTCTGGTGCTTTCCAAGAATGTAGAGCTTTCATTGTGGTGGGTGTGGGAGTACTACCCATAAGTTGTCACCGTTGTTGAAGTCCTTAGGATTTTGTTTTCATAAATGTTTTGTTTTCTAGCCAAAGGAGCAACTAGTGGAGCTTTCCAGAAACTTGAGACCTTAGATCTTTCAGTGAATCACAAGATCACAGAGGAAGGATACAGAAATTTCTTTCAAGCCCTGGACAACCTGCCAAACTTGCAGGTGCTCAACGTCTGCAGGAGTATCCCAGAATGCATCCAAGTGCAGGCAACCACGGTCAAGGCTCTGAGCCAGTGTGTGTCCCGACTGCCCAGCCTCACCAGGCTTGAGATTCTCAGTTGGCTCCTGGATGAAGAGGACATGAAAGTGATTAATGCTGTGAAGGAAAGGCACCCTCAGTCCAAACGCTTATTTGTTCACTGGAGGTGGGTAGTGCCCTTCTCCCCGGTCCTTCAGAAGTGAAAGGTGCAGGTGAAGGCAGTTCTAAATACCTACTTTCCTAATACATTTTACCCTTCTGAGCTGCTGGTACACAGCTGTACTTTCATCATTTAGGAGACCAAGGTGAGAGAATAGAGAGTTTCAGGCCAGCCTTGGTTACATAGGAAGATCCTGTCTCAAAACTAAAGGCAAAACTAACCATTGTATTGAAATATATTAATTGTGAAATAAATTAACTGTGTAGGCTGATGATTGTTTTTTAAATCCTGAATACTCATCACTGAACTTAAGAGCTATTATGATGGGCAGTCCTCATATGGTCCTCTTGTCTATGGAAAGCCAGCATGCACACGCTGAGCTATGATGAACAGCCCTTGGCAGTCCGTGTATGGTCCTCCTTTCTAAAGACAGAGCCTCACTCAAATTCTTATCGAGAACCTTTCATCGCCAAGGTCAACAGGAAGGGGTAGGGAAAGGAACATTGATCTGTGTAAAGGCTAAACATGGAAGGAGTGTTTGATGGAGGTAAGAAATGGCCAGTTTAAGGAAGAATCGGTCCCACCCATGATGAAGCAGCAGTTGACTTTAACACAGGAGGCAGATGACTCTTTCCAGAAGATGCGCTTTAGTCTTTGCAGGGCTTTTGTGCATTCACCAGCCTTGGTGCGGCCACGCTGGCTTACATCATCTCTCACCCATTGCCAATGTGAGGAAGACGTTGGGCTGAGAGAAACCTGCTTTGTTCCAGAGGCTTTTGAGAGCTTCGCATGTGATGTAATGACCTTGAGGATTTTTTTCCTTTTGTCTTTCTGTTGCTTTGAGACAGGGTTTCACACTGTAGCTTTCAGTGATCTGGGACTGAATATGTAGACCAGTCCAACCTGGAACTCACAGAGATCTGCCTGCCTCTGCCTCTGCCTCCTGAGGGCTGGAATTTTAAAAGCAATGTCTATATGTACAGTAAGGATTTGTGAATGTATTAACATGACTATAACATTCATTTATTATTCCATATGTTAATAAAAATCTTACCACTGTACCTGTGTTGGTTCAACTTAAATATTATATGATTTTAATTTGTCAATTATACCTCAGTAAAACTGTAGGAAAAAGATTTCCAAACACCTCAAAATTTTCTTAAAGGCTTGTTTATATCTGGGAAGAGAGTTGGGAAGCATTCTTACTTTTACTTTTTATTCTACTCCTTTCTGTACTGTTTTTTATTTTACAATTCTCCATATTATTTTTGTTTAAAATAAAATTTGGGACTTGAGAGATGACTGGGTGGTTAAGAACCCTTGTTTCTTTCCCCAGAGGACCTGTGCTTCCTTCCCAGCTCCTAAGACAACCTATCTCTATAGGAACAGATACATTATCTTGTTTATAAGTGGGTTTGCCAATTGATATGTTTGCAATCAGAAATGATTAGAAATTTTTATCAGAGTCCAGTGAGAAGACAGAATCGGCAGGTCAATCTGTCCCAGGTAGCAAGGTGAAGTTATGTTTGACAATAAGCTGTACAAGCAGTGCTTTCACTAACGAGATCAACAGGGCAGTGATTAATAATTGGTGCTTTCTAACTATTCAATGTCACTATTGGTAACTCAGATGGGACTCATCACCGGCCTCTAGGAAATACCTGCTTCATGTGCCCTTAGGGCATCCCTCCTGGTCTCCTCAGAGCGCTCCAGCTCAACCCTCTGCTGTTTGCCTTCTATCCTGTGTGTGTGTGTGTGTGTGTGTGTGTGTGTGTGTGTGTGTGTGTGTGTGTGATCTGAGTTGTCCCGACTGTGATAGTGCACTTCCTGGAACACCCTATCCAGCTGAATGGCTTTAAGTCCCATGCCTACCCTACCTCCTCCATCTCCAGCTCCAGCCCTGGACTCTGTGTCTATAACCTTCACATCTCCTTCCCTGAGGTACTCTTACTGTACACTTTCATGTCTTGACTCCCACTTGACCCCTCCAATTGCTTAGGGAAACCCTTGGAGTTATTCTTAGGTTTCTCTTTCTTAGCCCACATATAAGCTAATGAAAAATCCTGGCAATTCCACTTGCAAAATATGTCTCATCTAGCTGTGCAGTGGTGTCTCACACCTTTAATTCTAGCACTTGGGAGGCAGAAGCAGGTGTCTCTTTGTGCATTAGAGGCTACATAGTGAAACCCTGTCTCAAAAACAAGACAAAACAAAACAAACAAACAAACAAAAAACCACGCAGCATATCCTATCTGGCTCACCTACTTTCTTTCTTGAAACAAGTAGCAGGCGGCTGGAGAGATCGCTCAGTGGTTAAGAGCACTGGTTGCTTTTCCAGAGGTCCAGAGTTCAGTTCCCAGCGTGCACATAGTGCTCAAACAATCTTGAAACCAATGCATATTTTCACCATGCTGTCAAAGGCTTCCCCGGAAGTCAGATCATGTGCTCTGTCTGCCTCACTATTTCTCACTTGATTCTCAGCATAAACACTCAACAGTGGCCTACATAAGGCCTGAACCTTGGCCTCCCCGTATGCTGTCTCCTTAATTTCTCCTCTTACTCTGACTATGCTGGCTCCTTGCTGTTCCCGGAATATTCTGTATAGGTTCTTGTCCAATGATCTTTGTAGCTGTCCTCTCTTTTTCCTAGGAGTTTCTCCCTTGCTGTGTTCCCCACAGGTTCATGAGTTGACATGTAATGCCTGTGAGATTCTAGGAGTGGAAATTTAATCTATTGTGTTTAGAGGCGGGACTTTTGGAAGGTGATTAGGAAAAGGCCATTAAGGTAAAGCCCCTATTGAATACCAGTGGCTTGCTAAAAGAGACCAAACATAACAAACTCTCTCTCTCTCTCTCTCTCTCTCTCTCTCTCTCTCTCTCTCTCTCTCTCTCTCCCATGTCCCTGTCTTTCCAATATTATTCATGGATCATCTTCAGTATTTTGTCAACATGAATGTAGTCCTTCTACCTGAGTTCCAAAATGTCAAAACACAAGCCCATCCCTTTAGACCTGATCCAATAGCTTGAATCAGGCTATTAACCCCCCCCCCGCCCGCCCCCATAGCTCTCTATGGGACAGAGTAAGGAAGAAATGTGTGCTGTGATTGGCAGCTCTCTACTTAGGACTCCTACTCCTCCATGCTCCTTGTCATACCTTGTACTGAACTGAGTCTCATGATATGGAACTTGGGAATACCCCTGAAAGATCTTTCCTTTATTCTGGAATGTGGCCTGAGACTCCTCAGGAAGACCACTCATGGGTTTGGTCTGGAACTTAGGGCTTCTCAAACATTTCCATCAGCTAGGGACCAAGTTTTCCAAATATGAGCCTTCGGGGGCCATTCTCCTTCATACAGCTACATCCCTCTCATGGTAGTCATTGCTCTTACACATTCTCTCTCTTTCTCTAAATGAAACTGCTCTCAAGGCTTTAACGGGAAACCTCAGATTCCTTTAGGGGCCCCGACATGTTTAGATCTCCACATATTGTATTGTTTCTGCCCAATGCTCTCCTTCCCATCTCAAGGCCACATGATGACCTTGAGACCCTTTCATTGTAGCAGACATTAGTGAATGGGGATTATATGTCAGGTTTCTCTGTAATCCATCCTCCTTTGAAAGACAGATCTGTGGGCCAAAATAAATCTCTCTTTTTTTATAACTCACCAAAATAATCCAAACTTCTAATGTGTGTGTGTGTGTGTGTGTGTGTGTGTGTGTGTGTGTGTGTCTGTGGTGTGTATGTGTGTGTACATGATTATGGGCACACATACCCATCTGTCAGAAATGGGCCTCAGGTGGTCTCTATGAGCCCTGCCTTATTTCTGTGAGATAGAATGTTTCACTGAATCTGGAGTCTCTCTCTCTTTCTCTCTCTCCCTCTGTCTCTGTCTCTCTTCTGTTGGTGGCCAGCAACCCACAGAGATCACTCTGTCTCTGCCCATTTCACCCCCCGGGCTCTGTTGTGACACATGCATGTGACCACACCCAACTTTTCATGTGGGTGCTGGGGATCTGGACTCAGGTCTTTGTGCCTGTGCAGCAAGAATTCTGCCCCTGTGTCATCTTCTCAGAGCACCCTGTTTTCTTTAGAACTCTCTGAGTGTCCTTAATGCTTTCACCTGTCAGCTTGATACACCCTGGGGTCATCTAACAGTCTCAGTTGAGAGACCGGTATGTGTCCATGTCTGTGAGGAATTGTCTTGGTTTGTCACTGATGTGTGTGGTACTTTGAATGTCACTGGGCCCTGTAAGCCCATAGGGAATGGTCCCATTAGGATGTGTGGTTTTGTTGCAAGAGGTATGGCCTTGCTGAAGGAAGTGTGTCACTGTGGAGTGGGCTTTGAGGTATCACATATGCTCAAGCCACACCCAGTGTGCTAGTTCATTTCCTGTTGCCCTTGGATGAAGATGTAGAACACTCAGCTCCTTCTCCATGCCACCATGTCACACCGTGATGAGAGTGGACTGAATCTATGAACTGTAAGCCAGTTCCAATTAAATGTTTTCCTTTATAGGAGTTGCATGGTCAAGGTGTCTCTTCATAGCAATAGAAACCCTAACTAAGACAATGTGTGAGCACCTATTCATACTACTGTGGGTGACACCATCCTTAGGAGGGTGGACCTATGCTGCTTTAAAAAGCCAGCTAAGTGTGAGCCAGAAGAGGATCTAGCTAATAAATGGCTTTCCTCTGTGGTCTGTGCTTCAGTTCCTGCTTCTTGCTTCCCACCTTGAGTTCCTTTCTGACTTCCCTTGGTGAAGGATTGTCACATGGAATGTAACCTTTTACTTCCTTAAATTCCTCCGGGTATGGTGTTTATCACAGCAGCAGCAGCAACAACAAATAAAAAGTAAAAGAGAACAGAAATTGGTACTTGAGTGGGGTCTTGCTGTGATGGACCTGACCTTGTGGCTTTTGATACCTTTGGACTATGCTGTCGGAGGATTGTGGGGGATTTGGGAGCTTTGATCTGGAAAAGCCACTTTGATAACTCTGTGGAACTCCAACAAGAAGAATGCTGGGAGAACTACAGACCTTGGAGCCTGGCTTGTGAAGTTTCAAAGGGAAGCAAAGACCTTAATGTGATGTGTTGAATGAAGAATCTGTGTTTTCTGTCCAACTGTGTTTAACAAAAGACCAGCATGGCTGAACCTCTATGCCTTACTGGGACAATACTGGTCAGAGGGGGCTGAAAGAAATCAGTTGTTATTGGTAAGAGATCAGCATCATCGATGCGAAATCTCCTAAAGATATTTCCACCATGTCAGCACGCAGAAACTGTGACCAGGACACCAAGGCTGCACACTAAGTTAACAGCAGAACTTGGCAAAGAATATGCAATGCTTTTCCATACAGTGCTGGTTTGGAAGGCATGGAGTGGCCATGGAGGACAGTTGAGACCTGGCACCTTATAGGGGGCCTGTCATCCCTCGAAGGTCACTGACAAAAGTACATCTTCAGGTTCAATGTAGACCGCAGGATTGAAAGAACTGTGGACAGAATGTGAACCTTGGCATTGTGTGGTAGGAGAGGCCACTGGGAAAGGTAATACTATGGTACACTGGAGACCACATTCTAGAGATGCCAGGGCCATGTGACCCCTGCCAGGGACAGTGGTAGTTGTAGAGTCGAGTCAGCCTGAGCCTGTCAGACAAGCTATGTACTTTGTGAACAGCAGAGCCAGAGAAGTTGGACTGCCCTATGGATCCCAGAAGAGTATGAGTGAATTCCAAATGCTGCACATTAAAGCATTTACACTGTTTGAGTTTTTTCTTTGTTCTGGTTGCCACTAAATGAATAAAACATACTAGAAGTCAATTATTAAAATAATGGACTGGAGAGCTAGATAAGATGCTACAGGTTCTGGCTTATACCTAAAGAGGGGGGGGGTTCACTCAGTTCTCAGCACCCAGTGCCATCTCTCCAGCACCCTGTTTTAACCTGAGTGAGGTGGCACATGCCGTTCATCCCAGAACTCAGAAGGCAGAGGCAGGTGGATCTCCGAGTTTGAGGGCAGACTGCTTGAGTTCCTGGCAAGCCAAGACTACGTAGACCCTGTCTCAAAAAACAAAAACCAATATAAGGAGTGTTCTTTACAACATAATAAAATCAGAAATTAAAGCTAGCACCCTAGAAATTATAAAATTAAACATTTCTACAATGAAAGCATACCAAAATTTGGGGGTCTCTAAAAAGTGACGATAACTCTACATAATACACCTTACAGATGATAACTAAAACACCACTCAGTGAAAACTGCAAGTATCTACTTTAATAAACGAAGGTAGGAGCCAGCTTTTGGTGACTCCTGTGTTAGGAGGTATTGTGGATCCCACAGACATGAGGATCCCACCTGCCACAAATTATGGGCACATCAAAGGAAGCTTCATTGTCTATGATTGTCTCCTCCCCCCCCTCCCCCAGGCAGGGTTCAACAGATCAGGCTGAGCCAATTTCTCAGGTACCTTTATACGGCAAAACTTTAGGGATTCTTCAAGCAAGCGTGGTTATAGAAGTGAAAAGAAGCAGTTCAGAAAATCCCTCTGTGACGGTTTGAATGGAAATGGCCCCCATTAACACACGGGGAGTGGCAGCATTGGAGGCATGGCCTTGTTGGAGGAAGTGTGTCACAGGGGGCGGTGGGCTTTGAGGTTTCAGAAACTCAAGCCAGGCCCAGCAGTGTCTGTCTCTTCCTGCTGCCTGCTGATCCAGATGTAGAGCTCTCAGCTTCCTCTCTGGCACCTGGTCACCTTAGCTGCGTCAGGGATGGATTCCATCTCAAGGAGTGGTTACCTCCTTAACATTTCTGCCACCATTGTACCAGCAGGTCATTTGGAAAGGCCACTGTTGTAGCTGTGTGATATTTACAGTCACTTTTCTCCTCCAGTCTCATGCAGAGTACTATCCAGCACCATGAGTACTAATCACTAGAGTGAAGCTTCTAGGTTAGGTACCTGGTAGACTTCTCCATGTCCAATGACATAGTTAAGTGTTGTCTTCAGCAATAGAGCCTTCCATCAGGTTGTGGTGAGTAACTAATGGTTTCCACAATAGCTTGTGGTGTTGTGTGGCTGGCTATGGGACCCCTCTGGCCAAGGAACCAACAGATGCAATCCAGTTCTGGCCCTGGTTTATCTAACTGGGCATTGTTTCCCTCATTATATGGTGATAGCATTTAAATTCCTTTTATATATGTATACATTTTAGGAAGTTTCTTAGTTGGTGTTCTATTGCTGTGAAGAGAAACCATTTACCAAGGCAACTTTTTTTTTGAAATCATTGAATATTATTTATTTTCTACAATAATTGAAAATTGAATGATCAAAAAACCTGAATGTTTCAAGTGCCTACAATACTTAAAACAAAATTATATTTCTATTCTCTTAGTTTGAAACACAAGTTGAACCATATGTTTATGAGATTATCATATATTTGAAGATTTATTTTACTCTTTGAATACTTTATGCAAGGATACAATAAAATACAATCATACCAGCCCTGACAGGAAAATCAGGGATTCAAGAGAAGCCTGAGGTCCATATCAAGTTCAAGTCCTCTGATGACTTAGTTTTGGTTATCAACTTGACTACATCTGGAATAAATTAAAACCCAAACAGCTGTAGGTGCCTAAGAGAGATTTAATTAATTGAATCATGGAGGTGGGAAGATCCACCTTAAATCCAGCTCATTTGAGGCCTGAAGACTCGGCCTAAATCTGGGCCCCACCTTTTGGTGGCAGCACACATGAAGGACATGGAAGACGGACCCGGACCCTTTATTTTTGTCTGTTTGCCCTCACACTCATCGGCAATTTCATCTGCCCTATTCCTGAGGCATCCATCCCTTCGCTGGTTTAGCACCTACTTCTTTAAGAATCAATGTAGACTAGAGACTAGCACATCTCTAGAAATTCTCTGGAATTTCAGCACCCGATTGAATCTATTGAGACACACAATCTTGTGAACTGAACAATTACCTTTGCCTTTCCATCAGATTACACATTTTCATTGGATTACACAGACCACAACCCATTAGTCTATTTAATACATCCCTTTGTGTGTATCTGTGTGTGAATTCATTCCATCAGTTCTACCCCATTTAATGAATTCTTACTAAGTCAGGTCTACAGTGTGAAACACTGTCTCAAAAACAGCAGATATATATAAGCAGAAGCCAAGAGTGATGGTACACACTATAACGTCAGCCACTCAGAAAGCTGAACCAGAAGGATTGCAGTTTCTAGGTCTTCTGGGGGTGCAAGGCAATTTCAAAGCCAGCCTGAGCAAACATCTCTAAATGAAAAGAATACATGTTTCTCAGTGGAGAAATTTATCTAGCATACTCAAGATCCTGGGTTCAATCTCATTTAAAGAATAAAATCACACACACACACACACAGAGTAAACAAGATTTATAAGCATCTTTCAGGAAGGAAAGAAGGTGACATGGATCGAGTGTGTGGGAGCGCTCACATACAGATGTTAGTGAGGACACTGTATCTTGGCTTATGCTGTGCTCTGAATGTGAAGCCTCCTGCAAGCAGCTCATGTGTATGAGCATTTGCTTTACAGCCGGGGTGCTATGTGATAAGAGTTTGGAGCCTTTAAGAGGCAGAGCCTGGTGGAGGAAGTGGGTCACTGGAACAGGCTTTGAGGCTTAAGAGCACGGTGTGGCTTCCTGTTCATTTTCTCTGCTTCCTTGCAGCTGATGCTCTGTGACCGGCGCCGGCTGCCTGCCCCTGACACCAAGTCTACAGAGCCTCGGTGGAATAAAGATCTTCAAACTGTAAGCCAGAATAAAAACCTTATTTTCTGTGAGCTGCTTTTGTCAGGGCGTTTTATCCCAGCAACAGAAAAAGAAAGTACAGGTTGTCCTCCTGAAAATGAAAGCAACTAAGCAAAGCCTTAGGCTGCCAAGTCATGGCCAGTGCCTTCTGGAAAGGGAAGGAGCAAGGGGCCAGAGTTGGGCAATTGTGTCTATAGATGAGAACATGGCCTCTGTGTCATAATCACTAAGGAGACTGGAAGGGGTTGGGGGAATCAGGAGACAACTATAAAAATAACTACTCACAGAGGTGAGTAGCCTGGGGATTGACAGAACTCCAGAGGAACATTTTACATGCTAGTGACAAAGAGTTCTTTTTATCTTATTAAGAATAGTTAAATGTGGTATCTACTACACTATGGAAACTCCTCCTAGATATTGTCCAATGAGAGAGTATGTCTGATCTTAAGAGATTCAACGTGGCCAGGAATGGTGGTACATGCTTGTAATCCAACCGCTCTGTAGGCTGAGGCTAACAGGGGCCATAGAGCAAAACTCTGTCCCCAAACAAAATGAAAACAAATGAAGCCCTCCAGTGTGCTGCAGTTTTTGCCAAAATGTAGGTAGGAAGGCTAATTCCAAATAGAATGGGGTCAATAGAGCATTTTGTGAAGGGGCCATGTCTAACTCTACCCAAAGGTGGATTTGATATTCTTTCCGAGAGTACTGAAGTGTGTGGATTAGTCATAAGCTTATACAAAGGTATTCCTAATTTTATCTTATTTAAAACTTTTTGACTGCTTCATATCTGAGTATTTATATCATTTCTACCCTCCCTCTCAAATTCATGACCCCTTCCTTAGTTATTACACATACACATATAAACACGCACACGCACACCTAAGTGAATTCATTTAGTGTTGCTCACATGTGCTAGGACTGTCTACTTGGGATTGGACAACATATCAGGGACTCTTCCCTGATGAAGACTGGTAAATCTCCCTCTCTCAGAAACTCTTCATCACCTTACTGCTTTTCAAAGAGGTGAGGTCTTGTGACATTTCCCCCATACACAGGGGCATGTCAAACTAGTGTCATTCTGCATGGCTTGTGTAGGTGACCATACTGTTGAGATTTCACGGGTGCAGCTTCCCTGTCGTGTGAGTAAATATACCTCACTGAGTCTGTCATTGCAGAGGGCCATAGGCTTTTCTGTTGGGTGCTGATCGCTTTTCCTCCCTTGGTAACTTGCACAGTACTTTCAGACTATGAGAGCTGATCCTCGGGAGAAGGCTTCCAGATGTTTGATCTTTTTTTTTTTTTTTTAAGATTTATTTATTTATTATGTACACAGTGTTCTGTCTGTCTGCCTGTATCCCTGCAGGACAGAAGAGGGCACAAGGTCTCATTACAGATGGTTGTGACCACCATGTGGTTGCTGGGAATTGAACTCAGGACCTCTGGAAGAGCAGGCAGCTCTTAACCACTGAGACATCTCTCCAGCCCCAATCTGTTTGATCTTGATTCTTCCCTCCGATTCCCTCTGCATTCTCCTCTCTCTTGCCAGTTAAAGTCCCCACCCCCACCCCTTATTTTCCCCTTTCCCTTCTTCGTGGATGTGTCCTACTAGAGATCTCACAAGATCCCTCTCTTAGCATGTGGCTAACTCAGCAATTCTTATTTCAAGAATTTATTCTGAGACGATAAGAAAAATGTGGGAACGATTTATTTAAAAAATATAGAACATTGGACTCATCTTTATTTATGAAGAAAATAATGGCAATGACTTGAGTCTTCTCCATTAGGGCAGTAATTAAGCCATTAAGAAGTATGAGCAAACTTCCAAAACAGAAGAGGTGGGGGCGAGGTGGCCCAGCGGGTAGAAGTGCTGCCTTCTGAGCATGAGGACTTGACTCATATCCCACCATGGAGGGATGCTGGAAGGAAGAGAGCCCACTCTAAAGGTCCTCTGACCTCCCCATGAGCTCTGTGGTACGTGTGCACCTGCCCTTACACCACGTACACATATGCACTCACACTTCACAAACGCCACACATGTTCACACTCACACGCACACATGCACTCATACATGAAATGTTGCCAGGGAAATACGAATTTCTTACCAGGGCTCTTAGCCTTATAACAAGATATTTTAAAGGACTCAGAACCATTTTTATTAGAGTCTGAGTCACAACCAACAGGGCAGGCAAGCTGTAAATCCTGGCAGCTGCCAGGAGGAAAGAGATTGAGGAGAAAAGACCATGCTCGTGGAGAATGGAACAGGCAGGCTTAGCAATGAAGATCTGCAAGCATCTTCATGAAGGGTGGGGCATCAGGGTCATAGGAGAAGAGTCTGCAGAGAACGGTAAGGAGGTCCAGACTGTCAAGAACAGCATGCTTGTGTGAAAAAGTAGAAAGCAGAGGAAAAGTTGCACCTTTAGGTCAGATTTCAAAACAGTGGGCAGGCTTTGTGGGACTCCCCCCGGAAGCAACTGCAGAGGGAGTAGGGGCTTCTGAGAAGTACATCTTCTCCCTGAGGGCTGAAGTATTCCTTCCATTGCTTAGCTTGTCTTCAGGAGAGTCAGTGTAGTCTCCAGGCCAGGTGATGCATAGACCTAGAAGTAATAATTAGTAACTCATAAAGGATAGTGATAAGCGATGTTGCAATCTTTGGAACAGATGAGGATGTCACATCTCTACCCAGGGCCAGAAATAGACCTCGGATTTCATTTTTTTTCTTTTTAGCCAAGAGGAAGTAGCTTTGTAACAAACTATAGACATGATCCCTGAAAGTATAGTCTTGAGGAGTAGCTTTGTGATAGGAAGTAATGTCCAAAGCCAGCCATAAGGGAGTGGGCCATCCTCATGCCTCAAAGACTGTTGGGCTCTCTTTAGCTACCTACCATTAACTTCTCAAGTGTTAAGACCCTGAAGTCATTTAGGAGTTGGTCACAAGTCAGTCTGGCTGCTTCCGGCTTCCAGTCAAGGAAGCTACTTGTCTTTCAGTTACCTGCCCTAACACAGCCTGATCAGTTTGTATCTCCTGTCCTCATCAGAACAGTAGAAAATCAGACATGGCAATGAGGGCCAAGAGAAAAGTGGTTCATATATCCTACAGCAGCTGTTACAATAATTAATTATGCTCCTGAGTCGGAAGACTAGGGACCTGGAGAAGATGGAGCTTCCAGAGACTAACATGAAAGGTAGAAGACTGGAAGCCCTTCCCCACCTGGGCCTCATTCCACCCAGGGAGCATGCTCAAGAAGAGCTAGCTTTGTAAGAACATAGGGGGAGGTGGGCATGGTGCAAACATCATATAAAATGTCAAGCAGAGCCACTTCCTCCCGCTCTTGGCACCAGGTCATAGTCCAGGTCTGGCACCATTCTGAGCTCATCGGTGTTTTCCCTTTGATAGGACATCTCCACCCTGTAAGTGCACAGGAGGAGCTCTATGCACGCCATCGTAAAGAGGTACAGGAACCTGTGAAGGCCCCCAGCTGCCCTGTGGACTCAGATACGTGCTTGAAACAGGGGCCCCTGGAGTTCACAAGCAGAGCACTGACCCTGGGAAATGAACACAGTAAAAACAACGGCTTCAAGGGACTAGAGAGAGGGTTTTGCAGTTGAGTGGGAGCTGCCCTAGCAAAGCTACCGGCTTTGGCTCATGGCCCCCAGGCCAGGCCACTCACAACAGCCTGTAACTGAAGTTCCTGGGGACTCAACTCCTTTTCTGGAACATACACATACTTAAAAAAAAATCATTAAGAATATTTTTTTAACTGAATATTATCCAATTGTCACTATCAGGCTATAGAATTTTATATTTTTTTTCCTTTAACACACATGGTAAACATATGCCCATGTTCTATATTGCCTCTCCAATTCACACTTGGAGGTGGGCATGGTGACACCTTCCTCTAAACATCCTAGCATCCAAGAGGCAGAGGCCTTAGGTTGGATTGTTCCATGTGGAAATAAAGGCCTACATAGACTGGCACACGATCAAGGTAACCTTATCTGGAATGAAACAATGGCACCGACTCCCTTCAGGGTTTACAGTAGGTGAACCACATGAGCAAGATTATTCAAAGCTCTAATTATTATTTGGAGATTTCTTTTATGGGGTTCGGGAGAAGGAAATGTTGGTCACCAGCAAGGGCACTCTTGTGACTGACAAGCTTGGATTATGCAAGTCCTTGGTCACTGTGGATGTCACTTCCTAGAACGCATGTGATTTAATCATACACACACCCAAAGTGGGGAACAGGGATTCTCCTCAAACATTTAAAGACACAGTTTAGCCTTCCTGCATCCAAAACCAGTTCAGGCTAATTCAGCCTTTCCAATGGTCTTATGCCAGTACATTGGGGCTATCTGACTAGACAGGACAGTCTAAACATGGTTGTTACTAAGGGTAGGAAACCTGTGGGTTTGTTCAGAGGCCACAAGTGGCCCAGTGAAAACCGGGTTCTGAAGGAGGTCTGTGTGAAGGGTGTGCACGGATGAAGAACTTAGGATGTCAAGGACATTATTACACAACCAAACAGGGTCCAGACTAAGTTCTCTACCATGGTTGCCTGCTTCAACCTTAAGTTCTAGGCTAGAAGGGGCTGCATGCAAGGTTCTGTCTCAGGAAAAAAAAGAATGAAAGAAAGAAAGAAAGAAAGAAAGAAAGAAAGAAAGAAAGAAAGAAAAGAACGTAATCAAGCTAAAGGATGTTTGCAAGTCTTCATGAGTGGAGTAAGGTCCCTCTCTGGTACATCATCAGTCCTTAATGCCTAGCCCATTGCTTAACACACAGGTAGGTGCTTAGCAAATATCTGTTGATTAAGTAGATGAATAGTGGTATTTCATAGTTTCTCAAGCAACTTCTTTCTGTCTTTCACAAGTTGAGGTCAATGGTCAACTTACAAGTTGCTAGTCTCCTGCCTACCATGTGGATCCTGGGGAGCAAACTGACGTCATAGGCATTGTGGCAAGTCCCTTTACCTGCTGAGTCATCTCTCTGGCCCTGAGACACAACTCTCTATAATTAAACACATTACAGACACCAATCACTTGCTTTCCTTTTGCGATAGAAAATGGCCGCCGAGGGAGGAACCTCTGAGGAGAGGATTTCCGAATTTGATGATGATTTGGCCTCTGAGTTCTCTGCTCTTCTTGGCGTGGATGCCCTTCGGGTCTTAAAGAGACAACAAGAAGAAGAGCACCAAGAGCGAATGAAGATGAGGAAAGGCTTTAACCCTCACATGCGCAGCGAAGCCAAACGATTAAAGACCTTTGTGACCTACGACACATTCAGATCATGGACGCCACAGGAGATGGCAGCCGCTGGGTTTTACCTCACTGGGGTGAAACTTGGGGTTCAGTGCTTCTGCTGTAGCTTAATCCTCTTCTGCACGAGACTCAGGAATCTCCCCATAGAAAGCCACAGGCGATTGCGTCCCGAATGTGAGTTCCTTTTGGGCAAAGACGTTGGTAACATTGGCAAGTATGAGGTAAGGGTGAAGACTCCGGAGAAGCTGAGAGGTGACAGAGCAAGGTACCGAGAAGAGGAGGCCAGACTGGAGTCCTTTGAGAACTGGCCGTTTTATGCCCACGGGACATCGCCACGTGTCCTCTCAGCAGCTGGCTTTGTGTTTACAGGCAGGTAACTGGGTTCCATCTTATGAGGGCCTTCTGTAAAACTGAATGAAAGTTTAGTCTCATGTTTTTATTAGTGATATTTGTCAATTATTAATTGCTGCACTAGCTATAAGCCTATTTTATTTTTAAATATGTATTTGTGTGTGGGGGGTGCAGAGATGCATAGAATCCAGAAAAGCGCATCAGACCCTCTGAGGCAGTGGTTTAAAGTGGCTGTGAACTGTCTAAAGTGGGTGCTGGGGACCCAAACTCCAGTCCCCTGCAACCCCCTTAACCACTTAGCCATCTCTCCAGCTTCCCTCCTCCTCCTCTTCCTCTTCCTCTTCCTCCTTTTTCTCTTATTCCTCTTTCTCTTCCTCCTTTTCCTTCTGCTCTTCTTCGTCTACTGCCTCTTGTTAGTCATTTCTTATGTGTTAATTGTGTTGTAGGAGATATGGTTCATTAAACATCAACTTTAATAATTTTACTCCACTTACTTTTAGGGTAGCATTATTAGCTTACCAAATAAGTGTAAAATAAAAGAATAGTTAGAGACTGTTAACTGGAGGTTGAGGTGTAGCTCATTGCTAAAGGGCTAACTTTGCCATTGCCTTAGTGCCAGCACTGGAAAACAACAGCAAAAACACTCAGGAAACACTTGTTCAACTCATAAAGTGCTGAAAATGAATCATGAGATTGCTAACTCCCACGTTCTCCCAGTTTCATGAACACCACTATTCATGAATTTCCTTGATTCGTTTCATTTCTATTGTTTTGGAAAGATTCTGTTTTTGCTTGTTGAGCCCCCATCCACGGGCAAACTGCCTTTGAAAGCACTGTACTTGGGAATGGCTTAGCCACACACAAGGTTAGGACAGATGTGAACGACAATTACAGCAGCATCTGTGATGTGCTGAGTACCCACTTATGCTATGCGTGGATTGAGCTAATTCTAATTCGACTAGTTTGCCCTTCCCCCACATTTCATAGGTGACCTCACCCACATTCAAAGAATTCTAATATGTGCTTCCCTTTCCATAGATAAGACATGGCAATGCTAACTTTTAGGCTTTCTAACTGCATCACTCCAGCAAAGTCCTAGCATTTGCCTGCTTCTCCATCAATTTGGTCCTAAATGCTGAAGAGCAGAATCTCCCTCTGAGAAGCCAGGGTGTGAGGGCTGTGTAAACACAAGGCCATGGCTGGGGACGGAGGTCTAGAGCTCACAAGGGGTCATTTAGGGCAGTGTGACTGTGGACAGGGGTTCAGCCAGAGAGGTCATGGAAAAACAGGCATGCTGGAGTCTGTCTTGTTCTGGTACAATATGATCAGCTCCAAGGTCACACCTGGTGTCATTGCTGGCCACTCAGAACCCTTGACTGCATCCGTAGGCAAAAGGGACACCGTGCAGTGTTTCTCCTGTGGTGGATGCTTGGGAAACTGGGAAGAAGGAGACGATCCTTGGAAGGAGCATGCCAAGTGGTTCCCCAAGTAAGCAGACAAACACTTTATTCTTATTTTCAGGTTTAGTTTTGCTTTTGGTTTGTTTGCTTTTTTTTTTTTTTTTTTTTAAGCTGGAAGTGGAGACAAAAGACCATGCTGGAACACCACCTGAGTTCTGATAGTTCTCTTCTCCAATATGGGATCACTCCAGAATTTTTCAAGCAACGAAGATCCGGTCACAGTGAAAGCTTTAAATCATATGAACTTAAATGAACTTAAATGGCTTTTTCTATTTTATGCAATTTTTGCTTTTTTAATTTTCATATTTTCTGTATAGTGTATCGGTGTATGCAGAGGGTGTTTATGTGTGTGTGTTGTTGGTGTGTAGTGTGTGTATGTGCACACGTGCATGCCTGTGGAAGTCATGTTGACATAGGTCCCCACCTCTTTCATCATTCTCCACTGTATATTTTGAGATGGACTTTCTGGGATCCATCTGTCTCCATTCCTCCAGGGTTAGGGTCAGAGACATGGTGGGCTGGGCCTGGCGTTTACATGGGCAACACAGATTCAAACTCAGGCCCTCACGGTGATGCTGAGGTATTTTACCTCCTGAGGTGTCTTCCCAGATCCAACTTCTCAGTTTTGCTCTTAATTATTGGTGTGTGTGTGTGTGTGTGTGTGTGTGTGTGTGTGTGTGTGTGTCTGTGCAAGTTAGTGCAGGCGCCCACAGAGGCAAAGGGGTCAGATTTTCTTACAGCTGCAGCTGTAAGTGGTTGTCCAAAGGGGGTTGTGGGTTCTGAAAGGACATTAAGTACAGGCTCTCTGGCCTTTCTCAACCATTATCAAATATTGTTTTGTTTTGCTTTGCTTTGCTTTTCCCAAGACAGGATTTCTCTGTGTAGCACTGGCTGTCCTGGAGCTCACTCTGTAGACCAGGCTGACCTCAAACTCACAGAGATTCTTCTGTCCCTGTCTTGAATGCTGGGATTAAAAGCAAGCGCCACCACCACCCTGCTAAATGTTGGTTTTTGTTTTGTTTTGTTTTGTATCCCCAATACTACAGTATGTCTTGTCAAGTAGCGGTTTTATGATTTACCTTAACTAACAAATGAGTTAATCTGCACAGGGATGGAAATTGTATATACGTGAAAGAAAATAGTTTTGTTTGAAATATTACAAGTGGTGGCACACAACTGTAAAACCAGTGCTAGGAGGGTGGTGACAGAATTAGAAGTCCAAGGCCATTTCCTGACTTAAACAAACAGAAACAAAAACCGCAAGAAGACCAGATTCTATGTCACCACACAGGAGGGGAAACTGTGTTTTATTTGAGATTCCGAGTTCTGTTATTACAGTGCTCTTTCGCTCTGCTTAGTAAAGGAATTGTACTTTAATTACTTTTAATAATGTGTTTGGTGGTGTTTTTGTGTGTCTGTTGTTTTTGTTTCTGCCAGATACACATTCATTCCTATAACTAGCTTTCAAACTTCACTATGGAAATCTCACAAAGTAGAGAAATTATAATAAGCACCTCTCCATGCCTGGCCCAGTCATATTTCACCTCTTTCCTGCCATCGGCTCGGAATAGTAATGATTGGGTTATGTCAAAGCAAATTCCAGCTAACACGTTGTTCCATTTGTTATTCTTTTAGCATATAACTTTAAATCATGATTTTAAAAAAGGAAAAGAGCCACAGTATCATTATGTTTCTTACAAAGATGAGCATTAAATATCTTAGCCAGCATTCAAAGGTCCTTATCCCTCCATTCCTGGGATTTTTTACATTGATTTAGAGAGAGAGAGAGAGAGAGAGAATGTGTGTGTGTGGTGTGTGTGTGTATGTGTGTGTGTGTGTGCATGTGTTCTACACTCTGCTTACTGTGAATCACTATCTTTGATTATATTGCATATTTGTTTCAAGAAAAGAACGGTAAGCTACAGTAGTGTGTGCCTGCCGTCGAAGATTCTCTAGAGGCCAAAGTGGTGGGATTGCTTGAGATCAAGAATATGACATCACCACTGCAACACAGGGAGACCCTGTCTTGAAATAATAATTAAAATAACATGAAGGTTTGATATAGTTGGCTTTCTGTTGCACCATGACCAAATCAACCTGAGAAAAAGGGTTCATTTGGCTTGCATGTCCCGATTGCAGTCTACCACTGAGGGACATCAGCAGGAACAGACAGAGACCATTGAAGGTAGCTGCTTACTGCCTTGTTCCTAGGCTCATGCCCAGTTACATCTCTTATGCCTCCCAGGACCACTTGTCCAGGGTGGTCACAGTGGACTGGGCCCTCCCACAACAGTCACTAACCAAACATGCCCCACACACTTGCCTACAGGCTAATTTGATAGTGGTATTTTCGCAAGTGTAGCTCCCTCTTCCCAGATGACTCTAGCTTGTGTCAAGCTGATAAAAAAACTAATGGGCACATAGTTTGATTTTACATAATAATATATTTTACCATTAATGTAATTTTATTTTTGGTTTTTCAAGTCTGGGGTTCTCTTTTAGCAATGGCAATTTAAATTTTTCTAACAGCATGAGGTTTCAAGAAATTTTTGGCTGTTTTATGAAGTATCAAATTCAACATTTTGATGGATTTTTAACAAATATTTATGTAACATAAAAAAAACCTTTGTTACAGTATTAGGATACATTTTAATTATATTTTTATTGATAGGTGTGAATTTCTTCAAAGTAAGAAGTCCTCAGAGGAAATTGCCCAGTATATTAAAAGCTACGAGGGATTTGTGCATGTAACGGTAATTCACAACAACCATTTTTTTCCATTAGGGTATGTTCATTATCTAGTGATATTTGAATCCTCAGGGTGAGGATTTTTATTTTTTCATGGATTCATTCTCCACCTCTCATCTGCAGAGTAGAGACACAAAATTCTTGTCATCTGCAAAGCTGGAACCATGTAGACGGAGTTTTCCAGGCTGGCTTTGGGTGGCTTCTGCTGCCTCCTTCCCTCTGAGCCCACTGCCCTGGCTCCTTCTGCTGCCTCAGCCAGCAGGCCCGACCCAGTCTTCTGTCCTAGTACCTGGTGCCAGCAGGGCACTGAGAGCTGGCTCCCGCCCTGGTTTTGTAGGCCTCAAACTAGTAAGGACTCCTAGTGGCATCCAGTGGGAAACATCCAGATGGAAGCCTAGGGAGAGTGTGATGGCTGGTGACTCAGAAGCAGCATCTGCAGTCAGGGGCTGAAGTCTGGGTGCAGCTTCCTCACAGGGAGAGTTGCTCAGTTGGAAAGGTCCTTCTGAGGTGAGCTCCCTTCCCGGGCCTCAGTTCCCCAGAGTCAAAATGCTTCTGTGTGTGTGACTGCAGTTCTCTTGAAGAGCTGGGTGTGGGAAGAGAGACCCAAGAAAGTTCCCTTTTGCCAGAGGTCAACATGTTTTGTACTGCAAGTCAAATGTGGTTTGATCACGCCAGACCACCTGAAACAGAGGACCAGGTGATCCTACATTCAAAACAGCTGGACAAGGCAGCCTTACAGACTACAGCCAGGATTTCTGCATCTTCTTAGAATCCCCCATGACAGCGCCCCTTACCAGCAGGAAGTAGTTTGGAAAGAACGACGCCCAAATTCCCCAATATTGTCTATAAATGTTTGTTTTCATTTAAATGGACTTGGATATATATATATATATATATATAAAATCCCCAAGTCAATAGAAAGCAAACTGAAGGACTGCTTTGCCAACACTTCTGCTGCCCTGATGAAACTTCACTTTAGTGGGGGAAATCTGTCAGTTGCAGGTCACAGGCAGATGTACTTTTTATAATGAATCAGTAACCTGAATTTCCTCCCCTCAGGGAGAACATTTTGTGAATTCCTGGGTCGGAAGAGAATTACCTATGGTGTCAGGTAAAACCTCAGGCACGTTCCAAACGCTTTGCTTGTTTCTTTCCTTTTTTATGTTACTCCTCTCCGCCCATGTCTGTGTGTGCCACATGTGTACAGGAGATTTTGGAAGCCAGATTAGCAGCTCAGATCCCTTGGTGCTGGGGTTCCAGGCAGTTGTGAGCCACCTGATTTGGGTGCTGGGCCCTGAACCCAGTCCTCAGGAAGAGCGGCAAGTGCTCTTAACCCCGAGCCATCTCTCTCTCCAGTGCTGGTCCACCTGCTTTAAACATTACTTTCGTAAGTGATTTCCCTGTTATGGAATGACTGGCTCAGTGCTCACCCTCACTTGCTGCTCTTGCAAAGAGCAGCTGGAAAACTCTGCAAGTCCCATTGTAGAGGATCCAGTGCCCTCTTCTGACCTCCATGGGCTCTGCACACCTGTGCTGCAGTCAAACATGTAGACAAAACACCTACATCAAAAATAAAAGTAAATGAATCTTTAAAAGTAAGGGAATTTTAAATCCACACTCACTTCCTTACTCATTACTATGTGTGTGCACTCATGGGTCCCATGTGTCATGGTGCAAACGTCAGAGGACAACTTATAGGGGTTGGCTCTCTCCTTCTACTGTGAGGGCTCCAGGAATTAATCAAAAGGTTGCCAGGCTTAGCGGCAAACATTTATACCACAGAGCCATCAAAGAGGCTTAGTTTTTAGCATAGGTGAGCATAGCTAACTATAGTAGGGCTGGTGCCATAACTGATGCTTCCCTTAAAACAACTAAAATCTTGGATAAAATGTTTTGGAAGCATTTTTATGGTGTTTCCTATCCGAGGCTGGCCTCAAACTTGAATGAACCTTGACTTTTGGTTCTCCTGCTGAGTGCTCATAGGAAGCTTCTCAGTGTCTAGGGATGGAACCCACCATGGACTTCCTGAATGCTAAGAGTGTGCTGTATCGACTGAGCTCCACCCCCAGTCCCCCAAAGCATTCTTCAGTGGCTCTGTGCACTGTTAAGTCACTAAGGAATAATCACATTAAAATGAGGTGACAGGTCTGCAGCTATTACTCACTTGCCTACCATGGGTAAGGCCCTGGGGGTTCCATCCCAGCACAGAAAGAAAAATAAAACCTTAGCGTCAGGGATTTAGCTCAGTTGTAGAGCACATCTCTAGCAAATAGGGCAGTCCCAGCAGAATTCAGGGACATGGGCAGGTAGACGGGATGAAAACAATTATAATTCAGTAAGGTCAACTGAGTGTGGTGCTCAATCCTGTCATTCCTGCTCTAGAAAGTGGAAAGAGGAGCTTGACTATGATATCAGGTTAGAGGCCAGTATAGGCTACATGAAATCCTGGCTCAAAAACAAGACTGAGAGGAAAAAAAATTCTAAGATTAGTGCCAAGTAATCACAGCACTAAGAAAGCTGAGACAGAAATAGCACAAGTTGAAGGATACTTTAGCTTAAGTTACAAAGCTAAACACTGTTCTCCTCAATACACATGGAGCTGAAGGGATGTCTCAGATATTAAGGGTATTTGCTGTTCTTGCAGAGGACTCAGGTTCAGTTCAAAGTATCTACATGGTAGCGGCTTACAACTGTCTGTAACTCCATCTCCAGGGGATCTGGCATCCTCTTCGGGTCAACTGGATACATGCAGTATACATACATACACATAGGAAACACACACACACACACACACACACACACACACACACACACCATCCTCTAGCTAGACCCCCCATTTTGCAGTAATTTGCTGAAATGACAAACACAAAGGGAAAAGGAGAAGCAGTCAGGGTTTGTTCTCCAGGTCTTTAGAAGCGGAGCTGTTTCTTTGGCCACATATGCAAGAGTCTACAAGAATGGTGACATTGCAAACAAGGGAATGAGCTTCTCAAAAAGTTGCATGCTCATGAAAGTTACCATAGCAACCCTGGGAGAGTCCACAGTGTCCCCCAGCATGCTTTTGTCACTGTAAACAAGTGAAGGGCATGGTTCCTGGGAAGAAATGTGCTGAGTATACTGACCATATAAAGAACTATAAGGGTCAGGGCTGGGGCAATGAGTGCAGATTGCTTGCCTTGGAAACCCAAGGATTTGCTTTTTATCTCTAGAGCCCATGTGCCAAAACCAGGGGCCACTGTGCTTTGTAATCCCGGGACTGGGAAAGCAGAGACACATGGATGCCTGAGGTTGGACCACCTGGCCAGGGAAGTGAGACTCTCTCCCCTGCCAACGAGAGAGAACTAGGGAAAGTTGTCCTCTGACTTTCACAGGTATGAATGCGTACATTCACATGTACCTGCACACGCACGAACACAAAGAACCCTAAGTCCTCAGCTAGCTTCCTCATAGAGGTAAGGAAACAATCAGACAGAGAAGGAAGCCACCCTGCTCCAACAGGAGCACACGCCGTGTGAGCACTAAGGAAAACAGTGGAGCCTACCCCTATGCACTGTGTCTTAATAGAAGTCACAAGTAAAACAAAACAAAAGGCTTCTAAACTTTAAAGATCTTTTTCTCAATTAAATCAAAACGTGATGCGCTCTCCCCCAGAGGAGTATGTAAAGCAGCAAAACAACAACAGAATCTCAATCCTAGGCTAAGTGTGAACACAGGCAAGCAAGCTTCCATGGCGAGGAACAGCATGCAGAAGACACGTTCAGGGTCCAGAGGCCAGGACGAGGCAGGCCCCATGAGGTGGGGACCCCCCCCAGCATGGTCGTCTCGAGGAGCAAGCTGTCACAGTGACTTTTTATGAGAGCCTGTCTCTAACCTTGACACTGACTCTGGAAACAGGAATCTCCTCTTGCTTTAGTCGGGTCCTGATCACCTAGGATCAAGAGGCAGTCTAAAGTTAAATCTGAACACATTGATCACACACAGACATGAACAGAGTGAATGGAGTACCCCAGCCTCTGCCACTCTGCTGCCGCAGTTCTAACACGGTCGCTCTTGTATCCTTTATTCCTTCATGCTTTTCTAAGCACCCTCCACGATGTTTACACAAGCAGAGGCCATCAGGGCTTCCCACCTACACACAGCTAGCTTGAACACTGTGATCAAAGCCTGCTGCCCTCACCTGTGTCTGTCTTCCCAAGCCTACAGCAATGACAGCGTCTTCGCTCATGAGGAACTAAGGCGGGACACTTTTAAGGACTGGCCCCATGAATCACCTGGGGCTGTTGAGGCTATGGTCAGAGCAGGCCTTTTCTACACAGGTGAGTCAGCTTTGTATTCTCTTCGTTTTTATATTTATGTGTGTGTGTGTGTGTGTGTGTGTGCGCGCGCGCGCGCGCGCGCCACATGCCTATGTGATGACCTCAGAGGCCAGACAGGGTGTGGCTGCTGGAACAAACCCGACTCCTTTGTAAGAACAACAAATGTTCTTAAATGCTGAGCATCTCCCTGGCTCCTCAGTCGGTGTTTTTTGTCTACCACATGCTCTAATCCTGGCCTTGCATTTCTCTTTATACTTCATTTGTCATTGGTCTCTTTGGGAGTCCATAAGATCTCCAGTTTTCCATAGCTCAGCCTCTGAACTTGTGGGTTCTGCAGTGACTTCCTCCAACAGACATATTCCACTGGCACAAATGATCTTACCGTGGGGTCTTAACCCTTTGTCTCCTCTTGCCTGCCTTACTCCGAGCTCACGAATGACATGCTTCTATTTCTAGTGAAACACAGCCAGCAGCAGTAATGTGAGAAGAGACAAGTGATTCTTCGTAATCTAGCTCGCATAGAGGCTCCTAAATGTGTTCTTCTGTCTCGCCCCCAGCTAAAAGTATATTCTTTCAATTTATTCATTAATCAAATGCTTGTTGATCGCCTACGTCTGTGAAAGCCACTAGTGTCCAAATCAGACAGAAATCTCTGCTCTCACAAAGATTGTGTTCCCAATTCTGATGACAAATCTTTCAGGATGATGGGTTTGGGAGAGGGTGCTCATCAAAGCCAAATGTGCACAGGGACATCCGAGGACTTTTCCCGACCACCCCCTTGAAGGATCAAGAGTCCTGCGTGAGCTGTGCCTGTCTTTGCCACTCAATCCAATTGCAGATGCAAGCAGGATTTCAGTGGTAAAATCTGGAGTTATTATCTGCTTGTGAGGTGACAGATGGGTGTGCTGTTGAACTGACCATATTCTCTTACTCTAGGCAAAAATGACACTGTCCGGTGCTTTTCCTGTGGAGGATGTATGTGGAAATGGGAGGAAGGTGATGACCCATTAGAAGATCACACCAAGTTTTTTCCCAAGTGAGCAAAGTGAATTCTCTGACTTGGAATGTACTCCATCAGTTATTCCCTTACTGACCCTGCTTTACCTGTGGATAGTCCCTGGACACTCCTTTGGTTCCTTATATCTTCATGTCCTTTCTCCCATGACGCCCTAGGGCCCTGTTTAGTTTTTTTCTCATCATAGTTAGATCTTGGTTTTGGCTGGGTCCATACACACGCTTTTAAAGACAGGATCTCTCTCTGGAGCCCAGACCACTGTAGAAATGTTATCTAGCACAGTAGGACTTGAACCCATGATCCTCCAGGCTTAGCCTCTCAAGGGCTGGCACTATAGAGAGACACCACTGTACCTGATGATCCCATGCCTTTATGAGTCTTTTGATTGCAAGCTAGTTCCTCTGTCCTCATCTTTCTAGAATCCTTTAGGGTTTTCTATTGCTGTTATCTATGATTTGATTTTCTCAGCGGTTTTCTTTTTCCAGTGTCGGAGATGGATCCAAATGGTTTGGGCAAGTTAGACGATCCCTTTACTATTGAGCTACTCTCACCCCCTTTTAAGTCAATTTTATTTTTATTTCTCTTCCTTCCAGAACTTTCTGTAGGGCTGGATTTGTAGATAGGTATTGTGAAAATCTGGCTTTGTCATTAAATATATTGTTTTCTCCGTCTTTAGTGATTGAGAGTTTTGCTGGGTATAGTAGCCTGGGCTGGCGTCCCTGGACTCTTAGTACTTGAGAACATCTATCCAGGACCTTCTGGCCTTGAGGGTTTCCATGGAGAAGTCAGGTGTAATTTTGATAGGTATGCCTTTATATGTTACCTGGCCTTTTTTCCTTTGTGGCTCTCAATATTCTTTCTTTACTCTGTATATTGGATGTTTTGATTTTTATGTGTTGAGGGGTCTTTTTTTCTTTGGTCCAGTCTATTTGGTGTTTGGTATGCTTCTTGTACTTTCATGGGCATGTCCTTCTTCAGATTGGGAAAGTTCTCTTGAATGATTTTGTTGAAAATGTTTTCTGCACCTTTGAGCTGGGCTTCTTCACCTTCCTCTATGCCTATTATTCTTAAGTTTGTCCTTTTCACGATGCCCCACATTTCCTTGATGTTTTGTGCTAAGGATTTGTTTAGATTTTCTTTGTTCGATGAATCTATTTCCTGTAGTTTATCTTCAGTGCTTGGGATTCTCTCTTCCATCTCTTGTATTTTGTTGGCTATGCTTGCATCTGTAGTTCCCGATCATTTGCCTAGTTTCTCTATTTCCAGTAATTCCTCAGTTTGTGTTTTCTTTATTGTCTCTATTTCAGTTTTCAAGTTATGAACTGTTTGAGTTGTTTCCTTCAACTGTTTGATTGTTTTTTCTTGGCTTTCATTACTTTCTTTAAGAGATTTGTTCATTTTTTGCATTTTTGCGTGGATTTTTCCTCTATTTCTTCCAATTTTTTATTTGTTTTTACTTCTATTCTTTAAGGGATTTTCTCATATCATCTTTGAGGGCCTCTATCATTTTTATGAAGATATTTTTAAGTCATTCTTTTCTGCTTCATCTGCTTTGGAGTGTTCAGTTATAGTTGGTGTAGAGTCCCTAGATTCTGGTGGTGTCATGCTTGTGTTTCTATTGTTAGGTGTTTTCTTGTATTGCCATCTTCCCATCGCTTCGTCCAGTGGGTGCAGGTGGGGTCTCTCTCTCTCTCTCTCTACGCTACTCCCTCACCCCACCGTAGGCTTAGGCAGGTCAGGAGTTCCCTGTCTGTAGCTCTGGGTGGTTCAAGCTCTCTAGGAGGATTCTCCTCAGGCAGGGGCCCAGCGATGGGAGTCAAAGATTAGGCAGGCGGGGATTCAGGGTAGTCCTCCAGCAGAGGCCGGGTGATCTGATCATAGATCAAGCAGGTGGGGACTCAGGGTGGTTCCAGGTCTAGTGTACTCATAGCAGATCCAGGAAACTCCCGGGAGTTGGTGAGACCCAATCTTCATGTTTCTTTAAAACTCAATACAAGCACTTAATTGCACGAAACTATTTTATGACTTTTATCTCCCTGTTTAGCTGTGTATTTCTTCAAACCCTGAAGTCCTCGACAGAAGTGACTTCAGCCCTTCAAAGCCACTGCCCACTTCCAGAAGCCATGGTAATGGACACCGCCCCTTCTCTGCTTGGCTGTGTGTGGTCCTGTGATTGAACACTGTTTTGTTGAGCAATTGCCAACTGTAAATGTATTGTAACTAAATAAATTCTACAAGTGTCTAAAATAAGCACTCACAAGTGATAGGTATAAATAGGAACTTGACAATGGTCAGGAGAGTCACACTCGTTAGCTTCATAAAATGTACAGTCAACTCTTCCTCCTATGAGAAGTCTGTAGTTGAAATTCTTTAAGCCTTACTCCTGACAAACATCCAGACTAACTGGACCCATCTGTGATCTTCAGAGGATAGTAGGCTTGTCTTCTTGCTTCTTTTGAGATACACAAGGCAAGTTTTATTTTGTTTGGTGGGAATTATGTTAGGAACAAATTCTCACTGTGTAGCCTACGCTGACTTTGAACTTGCTATGTTCAAATCCCAGACTGGCTGGGAATTGTGATCTTCCTGCCTCAGCCTTCCAAATGCTGGGATCCCAGGGGTCCGCTGCCATTCCCATTTGATTTTTGTACTTTATTGCAGTGCAGTTTGTGTAATAACTGCTCTGTGTCCGGGCTTATGATATGAAGCATGTAGTTATATAATAACCAAAGATGGACGGAATATTTAATGATTTTTGCAGGGCCATTCTTATTCTACAACTTATGATTTTGATTACCCACATAGCACCCACCATAGAGAGGATGTATGTATCACATATGTACCATCTAGGAACACACTCTTGCAGATGTGTGAGATTTATTCTTCCATATGTAGAGCACTCCTTCCTTCAACAAGCGCCGAGTGTAGGCTGTGTTTAGAAGATGTTGGGTTTTGATTGATTATATTATCAATTTGATTGATAACACTGATTATAGTATCAGTGATATTATAATATGCAATCTTGATTTAAGACCCAGTTTTGATTTAATACACGGTTTCTCTTTCAAAGGACCCCACAGGCGGAGGCCATCATGAGGGTGGAGCGGCAGCCCTCTCTCCTGGGGTCGGTAAGAACTTGAAAGCAACATGGATCATGTGGGTTTGTACCTAGGGATGGAAAGGAAAGGGTATTTCTAGTTGTCCAAGGAGCTCCTAGAGAGGCGAGTACTAACATGGAGGAGTTCTGTGGATGACAGAGTGTCAGCATTCCTGTGACATCTTGAGAATGGATGCAGGATGAATGACAGCAGTCCTGTGTCAGATCCAAACCAGCCAGTGTTGAGGCATCATGCCACAAGCTGGTTTCCTGAGATCTAAAATGGAAACTAGGGTGCCAGAGTAATCTTAAGAGAACACATTATGTCTAAGTCCCAGGCCAATAGGAGACTTGGACACATGATCAGACATGAAAAGGTCTGAGAGGATCCCTAGGGAGAACACGGACGTTGGAGGAAAGTCCTAACCCATCCATAGCAGACAGGCAAACCATGTAACAAAGAACAGAGCCTTGGGATCGAGAGGTTTGACTGCATTTCCTACTGGGTCTCCCTTCTTTCCCCCACAGAAGTTGCTCCAAGTGAAGCCCAGGGACGTGAATGTCCATCGAGCAGTGCCTGCCTCCTCCCCACAGACCTGGCTCAGAACGAAGCCCAGTGGCTTCAAGAGGCAAAGAGTCTGAGTGAGCAGCTGAGAGCAGCCTACACCAAAGCCACTTTCCGCCACATGGATTTGCCAGAGGTGTGTTCCGGCCTAGGCACTGACCACTTGCTCGGCTGTGATCTGTCCATCGTCTCGAAGCACATCAGCCGGCCGGTGCAAGAGGCCTTGATGCTCCCCGAGGTCTTCACCAGTCTCAACGCTGTCATGTGTGTGCAGGGGGAAATGGGCAGTGGGAAGACCACCCTCCTGAAGAAAACAGCCTTCCTCTGGGCGTCAGGGTGCTGTCCCCTGCTGAACAGGTTCCAGCTGGTCTTCTACATCTCCCTTAGTTCCACCAGGCCAGACCAGGGACTGGCCAGCATCATCGGTGCCCAACTCCCCGAGGCAGAAGGAAGCATTAGTGAAGTGTGCCTGAGCGGCAGCATCCGGCACTTAAAGCACCAGGTGCTGTTCCTGTTGGATGATTTCAGTGGGATGGACTCTCTGCCCCAAGCCATAGCAACACTGATTACAAACAACTACTTGTCACAGACCTGCTTATTGATCGCTGTCCATACCAACAGGGCCAGGGCCATCCGCCCATACCTAGATACAATTCTAGAGATCAAAGATTTTCCCTTCTACAATACTATCTCTGTACTACGGAAGGTATTCTCACACAATATTATCTGTGTGCGAAGGTTTATAAATTACTTTGGCATGAATGAGGATTTACAGGGAATTCACAAAACCCCCCTCTTTATGGCAGCAGTCTGTATTGACTGGTTTCAAAATCCTTCTGACCAGTCCTTTCATGATGTGGCAGTTTTCCAGTCCTATATGAAATACCTTTTCTTAAAGCTCGAGGCTACAGCTGAGCCTCTCAAGGCCACTGTGTCCTCGTGTGGCCAGCTGGCCTTGAGAGGGCTTTTCTCGTCTTGCTTTGAGTTCAGTGGTGAGGACCTCACAGAAGCAGGAGTAGATGAAGATGAAGATCTGAACACCTGCTTGATGAGCAAATTCACGGCCCAGAGACTGAGACCAGTCTATCGCTTCTTAAGTCCTTTGTTCCAAGAGTTTCTTGCTGCCATGAGGCTGACTGAACTCCTGGGTTCAGAAAGAGAGGAAGACCAATGTCTGGGGCTTGATTATTTGAGACAAATTAACTCTCCCTTGAAGGCTGTGAGTGTCTACAACAACTTTTTGAAGTATGTCTCCAGCCACCCTTCATCAAGGGCAGGGCCAAAAGTTGTGTCTCACTTGCTTCGGTTGGTGAGTGATAAAGAGTCGCTGGAGGACATGTCTGAAAAAGAGGATCATGGGAAGGTCCATCCAGAAACTTCCGAGAGGATGCAGATTGTTAGGGGTTTGTGGCAGGTATCTCCTGAAGCTTTCTCTTCGTTCGTCTCAGAAAATTTACTGAATATTGCTCTAAAGTTTGCTTACAAAAGCAATGCAGTTGCTGCGTGTTCTCCGTTTATTTTGCAATTCCTTCAAGGAAGAACACTGGCTTTGAATGCACTGAATTTACAGTACTTTGGGGACCACCCAGAAAGCCTGCTACAGTTGAGGAGTGTACAGGTCTCCATAAGTGGAAATAACAGAGTGAGGAGTATAGATTTTTCATCCATGGAAAAATGTTTTGAGAAAGTCCAGCCACCAACTATAGATGAGGAGTATGCATCTGCCTTTCAATCTGTTAATGAATGCGAGAAAAATTTGTCTGAAAAAGAGGCTATAATAAAGAACTATATGGATATCCAGCACCAGGCCCAACCCAACATCAGTGCTGGGTACTGGAAACTGTCACCCAAGCTGTACAAGATCCCTAGGCTGGAAGTTGGAGTGGCCTACATGGGTCCAGCAGACCATGCACTGCTCCAGGTCCTGACGGAAGTCTTCTCAGCATCGCAGGATATCGAGCTCCGCTTGATGCACAGCAGCGGCTTTCTGGAAAGCATCCGCCCTGCTCTGGAGCTGAATAAGACCTCTGTCACCAAGTGCTCCCTGTGCAGACTGAGGCTCAGCCAAGCAGAACAGCAGCTGCTTCTCTCCCTGCCTGCCCTGCGGTCTCTTGAGCTCTCAGGGATAAACCAGTTTCCAGGTATCCCTGAGTGTCACACAACCTCTCTGCTTGACACCGTGTTTTCTCGTTCTTAGTTTTAGATGGATGAAACTTCTCGGGCACAAGGTCATGAATGTGTCCTGATAGAAGAGCCTAAACACTTTCACTGTCTGGGCCAGTGGATAAATCAGTGAAAGGCCCCGATCATAGGGTGGGTTTGAGGTAACTCAGAAAAACTAGGAAAACCTTACCATTGGTAATCATTTCTCAAGCTTGTTAGTGAGGGAGTTTCAACTACTTGTTACTGGTAAATGATGGTGTCTATGTAAGACAGTGCTTAGAATCATCTGCACCCTGACTGCCTGAAGGAGAAGGGGGATGGGCTTAGCTTCTCCTGAAAAGGAAAAGTGGGAACACTAAAGTCTTACTTAGGTTTCTATTGCTGTAATAAAACATTCTGACCAGAAGCAAGTTGGGGAGAAAGGGCTTTTCTCACCTTACAACTCCCAGGTCACATAGTCCATCACTGAAGTCAGGAACTCAGACAGGAACTCAGGCAGGAACCAGGAGGCAGGAACTGGAGAAGAGACCAGGGAGGCTGCTTTCTGGTTTCCTTCCATGGTTGCATATACAGCAGACTTCTTTTTCTTTCTTTGTTATTTTATTTATTTATTTATTTATTTATTTATTTATTTATATTTGGTTTTTTGAAACATGGTTTCTCTATATTGTTGTGGATCATTCCTGGAAATCCCTCTTTAGACCAGCTGGACTCGAACTCACAGAGATCTGCCTGCCTCTGCCTCCCAAGTGCTGGGATTAAAGGCATGTGCCACCTACACCCCAGTTTACAGCTGACTTTTTATTTGGCAACTACCTACCTGCCCAGGAGCACTGTCCCCACTGAGCTGGGCCCTTCCTCAAGAGCCTTTATTTAAGACAATACCTTACAGACTTTCCTACAGGCAACCTGATGGGTCATTTTCTACACTGAGGCTCCTCTTCCCTGGTAACCCTAGCCTGTTTCAAGTTGACAGAAACCAACAGGGCAACATTATCTGCCCTCAGTTGTGTCTTCCTTTAAGTAATATTTGATAGTTTTCAATACAGACTGTACCTGACTTTCATTAAATTTGATTACAGGTTCTTATGAGTTTTGATAGCCCTGCAATGCTTGTTTTTTTTTTTTTTTTTTTTAGCTCTTCATAATCATAACTAGTCTAAGCTTTTGTCTTTAGCTTTCTGTTAGAAATGCTTTACTTGTCTATATCTTTGTGTCTTACTTTTTTTAATAGTGCAAGGCGTGTGCTGAGTGTGCGTGTGTGTGTGTGTGTGTGTGTGTGTGTGTGTGTTTGCAAATATGTGCATCTGCATGTGATCATGCTACAGCATGTGTCTGGAGGTGAAGGGACAACCTCAGGATTGCCATTCTTCCTTCTGCCATGTAGATATCAGGGACTGAATGAAGTTGGCAGGGTTGGGACAAGTGCTCTTTCTCATGGAGCCATATATCTGTGCCATACGCCCCTCTTGTGTATGAGACAGTCTCATATAGCCTAGGCTGGCTTTGAACTCAATGTGTGCAGTGGGAACACTCAGGAAAAGAAGAGAGTCAGGACTTCTGTAGTCAGTAATATTCCATTGTGTGTGTGTGTATGTGTATATATCAGTGAGTGTGTCTGTGTATGTATGTATGAGAGTGTGTGTGTGTGTGTGTGTGTGTGTGTGTGTGCTGTTTTGCTTGTCCTTACATCCATTGATGAGCACTGGTTGTTTCCATTTTCTGTGTATTATAAGAATGCTGTCATGATCATTTGTGTTAAAAGTATCTGTTTGATCCCTACTGTCAGGTGTTTTGGGAATATGTCTAGGAGTAGAATTGCCTGTTCATATGGCAATTCTAATGTTTTGAGACAGAGTCTCACTCTATAGCCTAGGCTATCCTTGGAACTCACTATGTAACACAGGCTGGCCTTGAACTCATGGTAACCTTCCTCCCTCAGACCCCCGGCCACTGGTGTTACATCTTCTGAATGTTAGACCTCTTGAGGAAGCTCCCAGCTGTGTTCCGTAGAGGCTACCCCATTTACTCTCCCACCTGCAACGTGCACGTCTCCAGGCCTTCCTCGGCTTCATTTTTCCTTTGCTGTGTCATGAGCATATTCTAGTGAGTCAGCATTCTCTTATGACTGAGTATATTCTCGACTGCTCATCTGGATTTTTATTTTATTTTTAGAGATGTCTATTCAAATTCTCTGTAATTTAAAAGATTTGCCTAAAAATATTTGAGTCATTCTTTTGATATTAACACTCCAAAGGCTGAGGTAGGAGGACTGCCATGGGCCTGAGGCTTGTTCTACATAGCGAGTTCTTGACCAACCTGGGCAATAGAGCAAGACCCTTTCTCAAACAAAAGAAAACTATTCTGTTGTAGGAGTTCTTGGTGTATCGTGAATACTAAGCTCTCACATTGCAAGGGGAGAATCTCACTGAGAAAGCACTTGCCCACCAGGTTCAAGGCCCTGGGTTCTTTCTATCCCTAGAATGACAAAAATGAATCTTATCAAACCCCTTATCAGACATGTCGTTTGAAAACTGTTTTCTCTTATTCTGTAGATTGTCGTTTCATGTCTTTAATGTCCTATGATGCATGAACGACTGTTAATTTTGATGAGGTTTAATTTATCTTTTTTCTTGCTACTGTTTTTTATAACATATTTAAGGATCCAAAGTTGTGATGGTTACCTGTGAGTGTTACAGCTCTAGAGGGAAAGGTACCCTGACTTGTTGGGAAGTCAGGCTATACCTGAAGCTGTGAAGGGTCAGCTCTAGAGGGAAAGGTACCCTGACTTGGCAGGAAGTCAGGCTATACCTGAAGCTGTGAAGGGTCAGCTCTAGAGGGAAAGGTACCCTGACTTGGCAGGAAGTCAGGCTATACCTGAAGCTGGGGTGCAGTAGAGGATGTAGCAATCCTACTCTTCTCCAAGTCAGAGCCAGGACCAACAGAGGTATCCATTTCTTCTCAGCTCTGTCCCAAGATACTACTTCTGCTTCATTATGCTGAAAGGGAAACCCTGCAGAAATACAGCAATCTCCTCTGGCTCCCGACAAGTTGTTACTTTTTCTGCTCAGCACCCCCAAGGGAACATCTCAGCAAAGCTTCTGCTCCAAGTTGTTAGTTCCTCTGTTCAGCACCCCCAAGGGGGTGTCTCAGCAAAGCTTCTGCTGCACTTGAAAACGATCTTCAGGAAAAACTCTTTTAAGAAAGAGATTTTTTTTGGGCTGGAGAGATGGTTAAAGGCTAGGCTCACAACCAAAAATATAAGAAAGAAATTTATTTGGGAAGGAGTCCGGGAGGGTGGCTGCCCCTGCCTGGGTGGGAAAGGGAAGCCAGCAACTGAACGGGCACGAGACTTACATAGGGCTTCTTAGGGGCAGAGATTTTTCTCCAGGGAGATGATTTTTCTGCTTAGGGAGTGGGTAGTTTTCCTGCTCAAGGACTGGTTGGTTTAGTTGCTCAAGGGGCAGAGTTGGATCTGCTTTCAAAGCCAAACTGTGTTTCTTTTACTGGCCCTTTCAAGGTTTTTTTGGCTCTTTCGAGGTCCAGGGCGTACTTCTTTTACTGTCTCTGATTCTAGGGCCAAAGTGTATTTCTTTGGTTCTGATTTCAAGGTCAGGATGTGTTTCTTAGATTCTGGGTTCAAGTGTTTCTATCATAGGCTCTGTGTTCAGATCCAGGGTGTGTTTCTTTGGCTGCCTCTTTTACCCTACATTATCTGTTTCCTTCTAAGAATTATATGTGCTTTTAAATTTTTATTCTATGTGTCTTTTACATGTATCTCGATCCCATTCATTTCCCTGTCCCTTTGCATCTTCCCTCAGTCCCTGCAACCCCACACACAAATAAAACATTTAAGAGAAAAAATAAAAAAGGGGAAAAAATTAAACATCTCATCATGGAAGCTGCAGGTGTAGTGTGACACAGTGAGTCACACCATAGGCCCCTTTGTCCATAAATCTTTACTTGTTCATTGCAGTGAGTCATGAGTCTGGTGTAGGTAGAGTTTCTTGTGCCTCAGCAGCTGCTCCCAAATAACCACTCAGAGGTTCAATATTAATTATAAATGCTCGGCTGATAGCTTAGGCTTGCTACTAACTAGCTCTCACAACTTAAATTAACCCATTTCGATTATATGTTGCCACATGTTTCCTTGCTTGTTACCTCACTTTATGCAGGTCCTGCTCCCTCTGTGCCTGGATGGCAGCTCCTCTGACTCTGCCCCTCTTCCCAACATTCTCTCCACCCTGAAAATCCTCCCTAGCTATCAGCCAACCAGCTTTTTCTTAACAATGAGAGCAATACAAGATTGTTCCATGTACTACACTGTCAATGCTCAGCCCTCATTAGGATCTTCCTGGATGTCCTGTGGTTGCCCTGTGTCATGAAAATGCTGCAGCTTTAGGTCTGAGGATCAGTTCCTTCCCGTGCTCTAGCAGGTCATTGATGGGGTGGATTTGGGGGTGGCAGAAATTATAACCCAGGTGCTGGGCTGGAAAACTGCAAGGCTGGCCCACCAGGTGAGAAATGGGACAGTTCTCCCATGCTTACAGCTTTAGGGCTGGCTCACCCACATCTGTGCGAATAGATTTGGCTCTCCTGCTCTTATGACCCCAAAGCCTGCTCACCCACCTGCCCCAGGCATTGGTTTTAGTTTCATTTAGTGTCATTAATCCACTGTAAGCTATCTTTTATGAGTTGGAAGCAAGAGTCCAACTGTGTTCTTTAGCTTGTGCAAAACCATTTGTTCCCACACTGTTGGTTGGGGAGGTGCTGAGGGATCCCAGCAGGTGCCGTAAGGGAAGCTGACCATGAGAAGAGACAAGAATGAAAACCCCATCAACCTGGATCAGACTTCAGGGAGTCTAATAGCAGGCAGTTTATTCCCAGGGTTTTTAAGCCCAGTATAATTTGGGGGGGGGGGGAAGTTTCATGGTGTAATACAATGCCCAAAGCACAAGGAAGTGTAATTACTTTGAAACTTGACTCAGGGTAGATGTTATCTCTTCCAAGAAGATGGGGTCTGGAGGTAGGCTACCTGTCCTAGCTTAAGGGCCTAAGGGTCTAGCCTGGTCTACGTCCTACAGATAGCATTAGTGGGCATTTGGGCTATCAGTCACATGTGGTCCAGCTGTGGGAGGACCTCTAGCAACTGGGTCATTTAGATGGCTAGCCACCTCCAGTCTTGGTTGTAGGAGTTTGATATGGCCTGGCCCAACAGATGACACAGATCACCAGGCTGTTCATCACTTCCAATTCCCAGCTTCCTGGATGGAAGAACGGAGTTTTCATTTCTGCCGCTGGAAAACTAGTTCTGTATGCTTAACATCCTTGGTTTCTCTGGAGATCTGTGGGAGCAAGCACCTTCATGCTATGCTCCCAACAAGATGTCTTATTTATTTTGTGAGTCTAGAGAGCAGCACAGCGCCTCCCCTGTGCTCTACAACCAGCAGATGCTGCAGATGGGGAATCTCCGTGGATGTGCTTCCTAAACAGGTGTTAGCATCTCAGAGCAGTTTCCTTATGAGAATATCTAAACATCACAGCACGCTTAAGAACTCCCACGTGGGTCTCTTGAGTGATGGAAAGTGTGTGCTGCCTTCCAGATGAACTCTTCGCTAACTTGGACAAGTTCCCGAGCCTCAGAGAACTGTCTGTGAGATTAGATGGCCAACCAGGTGTGCTGTCTGTCATCCCTGGAGACCTCCCTAACCTCCACCACATGGAGAAGTTATCCATCCAAACTTCCACAGAGTCTGACCTCTCCAAACTGGGTAAGGATGGTGCGAGGCTCTGCCAAGTCACGGTTCAGCTGACAAAGCTACTTGGCTAACAATCGTTAGAATCATTAAATCATCAGTAGTTAAAACTTCTGTGGGCCTGACAGTGTGAACCATGGGAAGTGTACATGGGAAGGTGCGGGACATCGCTGTTCCTCAGTAAGAGGGCAGACATGTATTTGTAACCCTGAGTCCTTAACATGACTGGAACTGTTCTGAGCTCTTTACAAATTCCAACTCACTCTTCATACCACTGTGTGAGAGAAGTCACAGTGGTTATTGCTGATTTTACCTGGGAAAATTGAGTCAGCGATTGCTCAGGTTTATCCCACTAAGAAAATGTATCTTCAAAAGAGAAGGTTTGACTCCACGTCCTGAGCTTTAAACTCCCAACACATTTCCTCTCTAAGGCAGTTTGTGGAGTACTTTTCTTTCCCTGATGTTTTAAGGGCACTTACATGTCTGCCTGCTGAGGGGAAGGAAATCTGACTGGGGGCAGCCTGGACCTTTCCTCCATTTTCTGCATCCCAGCCTCCTGTTGATGGACAGCCGTGCAGCCATCTTTCTAGAAAATGACCCTTAGCAAAATGACTCAAGCACCATCAGATCCTTAATCTGGAAAACCCTGAACACTGAGATCTAAGGAAATGGAAAAGGGGACCAGAGTAGGGCATGGTTGCTCATGCCTGTAATCACAGCACTTGGGAACTATGGAGGAGAGGAATCTGATCCAGAGAGGGTCAGGGACTTGCCCCAGGTCATCTGCTCCCTAGTCAGTTGCAGAGCTGAGCACACACCCAATGTGGCCGAGCACTGCATCACTGCATCACAGCATCACAGCCTGTTTAATCACTGTGGCTGCAGATTATGGATTGACAGTCCAGTTCAGATAGGAACTTGTAACCTCTAATTTCTGAAAATCCTTCCTCTTTTCCAGTTAAATTGATTCAGAACTCTCCAAATCTTCATGCTTTCCACCTGGAATGTGACTTCTTTTCGAATTGTGAGTCTCTCATGACCGTGCTTGCTTCCTGCAAGAAACTCAGAGAGATTGAGTTTTCTGGACGATGCTTCGAAACCATACCATTTGGTAAGAACTGTACATCTCTGACTTCAGATCCTCCTGAGCACTAAAAACTAAAATGCAACTGATGTCACAGGAACTGTGACAGCACCTGACTTCAGCGAGTTTTTCACAACAATGACACGCACCTGTGTCTACAGTGTAAACATTTCATTTTCAGAGTTGTCTCCTCTGCTAGTCATAGTAATTCAATCTGAATAGCATATCACCTTTCATCACTTTTGGGACACTCTTATCTCAACAGGACTCCTCTGTGTCACAGACAATGTATCTGAACTAACTAAATTTATTTCCCTTTCCTAGTCACCATTTTGCCAAGTTTTGTTGCTCTGAAGATACTGAATCTCAATCGCCAACAATTTCCAGATAAAGAAACCTCAGAAAAGTTTGGTAAGTTTATAAAACAGCATTTCTTAATATATTCCTTATCCTCCCCCTCCTCCTCCTCCTCTTCCAGTGAACCTACAACAAAGCAAGCTGTGTACAGCCGTCCCTTGGCATCCATGGGCCCAGGGCCTCTGCTGAGGATCCTCCACTCTATGATATAAAATGGTGCTGTGTTTGCCCATGACCCCACTTACCCTCCATATACTTTAAACCATCTCCCAGTTGCTTACAATGCCTGCCGCAATGTAAATGCAATGTAAACTAGTGTTACACTGTGTTGTTCTGGGAATAATGATGAGGAGAAATGTCTGCACACATTTGGCACAGACATGATTCTTAAAAATAGAACCTGTGGTTGGTGGAATGTGCTCATACAGAGGGTCAGTTGTACCAGCCATGCTGGTCCTTAGGAAGACACCATAGTGATGCCCGTTTCCCCCCAGATGCCATCACTGTTGGTCCCACCCATCCCCACACTTGATCTCATTAAATGCAATGTTGTCAGACTCACTGGCTTGGTAGGAGAGAATTTGGCCATGACAGCACGGTATAACTTCCTTGACTGGCATGCACTCCAAGCATGCTATGTCTTTATGTTTCTGGAATATATATATATACATATATGCATTACAACATATGTATACGTATATATATGCACATATGTATACGTATACACACACACACACACACACACATAAAAACTACTTAAGGTTAAAAAACACTACAACTCAGATTTAACAAAATGATAAGTATAAGGAATGTTGAAATACTTTTGACTTAAGATATTATTATAAAGCCGAGTAAGGTAGTGCATACCTTTAATTCCAGCACTTTAATGACAGAGGAAGAGGTAACAGAATCTCTGAGTTTGAGCCCATCATAGTGTACAGATAAAGTTCAAGAAAATTAAGGGCTAAACAAGAAACCTTGTCTCCAAAAACCAAAACAAGGGAAGGGAAGGGAAGGGAAGGAAAGAAAGGAGGATTGTGAAAATAATGTGTGTTTTTGGGAAACACTCTAAAAGAGACTGCGACAAGGCTTCTATGGGCTACAGAGCTATAGCTTTGCAGTTCTTCTCAAACTTCACTGTGCTTAAGGAGAGCCTGAGTTTATCCTTGCTTCTCTCTCTCCCACTTCTGTAGAGACGACATGTGTGTATGTGGGCAAGTGTGCATGCCCATGTGTCCCTGCCTATGTTTTGCTTGTGGGACAGTGGATGGGATTCAGTGTGCTCAAATAGTAGGGGCAGGATCAGGCATATATCAAATGTTAACTGTGCAGTAAGACCTGGAGTATAATGAGAGTCAAGTCTCTGCGCTGCTGAAGAGATTTGCAGGCATTGAAGGGGAGGGTGGGACAGCCAGACAGCTCAGCTGTTAAGGGTGTCCTGTCAAGCCCAGGGACCAAAGTTAGATCTCTGCAAACACATTTCCTATAAGTTGTCCTTTGATGCCCCTCCACCACTGCAATGTTCTGTGACATGTGGGTGCCAGCCAACCACACACAAACTTGACAGAAGTAAATTAGTGTAAACAAAAAGGAGACAGGGGATGATGACCAACCCCAGGGAAAGGCCACACCCCAGGGTGCACCAGATCCAGCCAGGAGAATGCAAGTGTCCAGATTCCTGTGCCCAGCCTGAGAGCTGTCCCCATCTCATGAATGTATGGCTTCTTTTAAAATCTTATTAGCTAATGTGGGCTGTAGAGATGGTTGGCTCAGTGGTTAAGAGCACTGACTGCTCTTTTAGAGTACCCGGGGGTTTAATTCTCAGTACCCACATGGCAGTTCACAACTCTCTGCAACTCCAGTTGTAAGGAACCCAACACCTCACAGAGACATACATGTTGGCAAAACACCAATGCACATGAAATAAAAATAAAACAAAAATTGATTAATGCCTTTAATCCCAGCATTCAGGAGGCAGTGGTAAGTAGATTGCTATGAGTTTCAGGCCAGCCTGGTCTACAAAGAGAGTTCCAGGTTAGCCAGGGTTACACAGAGACAGGGACAGTCAGAGAGTAATCTGGAATATTGCTTCATGCCAGAGAGTCTTCTGATTAGTTTCTGTGAAGTCACAGAAGGAGAGACTCAGTGATGATGTGGTCTACAGAGTGTAGACTAAGAAGGGTTGGATGAGGGCTGCAAGGCTGTCAGAGCAGTGCACCGTGCTTTGATGAGGAGGGTGAATGTCCTCAGAATGATGGCAGGAGGTGAGGTGGCAAGCGAGGGGCTGAAGACTGTGCCGCTAGGACAGTGATCTGCAGTGCAGACCCCACATTAGAAGAGAGAGCAAAAATGGAGACACAGCCTGGACTTGTGTGGAGGGACCGGTTGGGGGAGGAGGGGGGGGCCGGCTTCAGAGAGCAGCAGGAGCTCCCGTGTGCCTTGGAGAGGACAGTGACCAGGAGGGGCTTTGCTAGGTGGGGCCTCTAGACTGCAGAGTGTCCATGTCATCAGCTGCTCATGAGGGGACAACTACTGAGGATGGCTGTGTTGTCTCCCCTCAGCGCAGGCTCTGGGTTCTCTCAGGAACCTGGAGGAACTGCTGCTTCCCACTGGGGACGGGATTCAGCAAGTGGCCAAACTGATTGTCCAGCAGTGCCTGCAGCTTCCGTGTCTGCGAGTCCTTGCCTTTCACCACACCTTGGATGATGACAGCGTGGTGGAAATCGGTGAGTTTCCCTCAGGCAGGGAAGGGTTTCCCCTTGTGTGGAAGCAGTGCCATCACCGAGGCTGTCTCCTGCAAGCGTTTAGCACTGTTTTTTGTTTCCATTACCACAGTGTTTCCTCTTGCTTCCGACAGACTTAGGGTCATCGTGGCTGGACTGGGAAGGCGTTTATTTATTTATTTATTTATTTATTAAGTGGGTTATAGAGGCCCTCTACCTGTGGTTTGTTTTCCCACTGCTGGGAACTGAGCTCAGTGCCCTTCTCTTCTACTGACTGTGGTGGACTATTTATTTGTCTAACTGTAAAAAGCTGTTACTTTTGTGTGTTTTTTGACAGTGTAATGACATGTTACATTTGTTTCATTAACTAAAATTAACCTGGGGTCATGAGGCGGAGTCAGCAATTAGCTGCCCGGAATTGGTAGGGAGGAACCATGTGTAGCTACTATTCTTAAATGGGGGCTGAACAGAAGTATGCCGGTTGCCAGTTTTCTGGGAGACTCAAGCTCGCAGAGGAGGTTAGCCTCTCTGAGCGAGCAGAACTTTACCTCAGCCTTTGAATCCCAAGGTCTATAGAGGGGCAGAGACCTAGATAAAGTTCCCTTTAGGGGCCATGATAGAGCCAGTGCCTGAGGGAACAGAATTCCTGCCTGGCTGTGGCTTCAGAGTTGCAATTGCAGGTTAGGACAGCAATTGGTTAAGGGGCGGCCACTGTGTTTATGAGAAACAAGAGAGGACACGTGCACTGCTTTCTTCCGCCACAGGTCCATTTGCCTCTAGAATTTGTTCTCTCTTTCGGCTCAGAACATGTTTGTGCTTACGTTCATAACGACGTGTGTGACCAGAGTGCATTGACTGCGCTGCTGTGTGTCATCCCATTATGTGACCATAACTACACTCTATGGTTAAATGTGTCACATGCCTGTAATTCAACACTTGTGAGGCTCAAGTGTACAGGGACTTCCTAGGTGAAGGCTAGGCGGGGTCACATGAGGCTTTGAGCACCAACAATTAAATAAGCAAAGGCTGGAACCTGTCCATGGTGCTGAACCCGCTTTCTCCCTCAGCAGAGCTTGCTTCACGTTCAGGCCCTATATGTGATGTCAATCCCTTACAGTTAGACACTCGATGATTCTCGTGGGTAAGGGAACCCAAAGCTTCAGGTGAGGAGTATCTTTCAGACTGACCAGCCCCGAAAGAAAAAGGCAGCAGAGAGGGAATAAAATGGGTCTCAGAAAGCCAGGCAGACCCCACCAAACCTAATGGAGGCTTGCTTGGCTTATAGGCACCACCCTGGGGGCCGGGAATCCTGGTTCAGCCAAGGATGAAACATCTGCTTTTGGAGCTGCACATATGGCTCAGTGGTTAGGAGCACTGACTGCTCTCCCAGGGACTGGGGTTTGAGTCTCAGTACTCAAGCCACTGCTGCCCACAACTGGCTGTAACTCCCGGTGCAGGGATCTGATGCTGCTCCTGACCTCTGTGGACAATGACCTGTTTGTCAGGCACTTAACATAAGGACAAAACATGCATAAACATAAAATCAGAAAAATTTTTTTTGTTTCTTTGTTTTGTTTTGTTTTTTGAGACAGGGTTTCTTTGTGTAGCCCTGGCTAGCATGTACTCACTCTGTAGATCAGGCTGGCCTTGAATTCACAGAGATCCACCTGCCCCTGCATCCTGAGTGCTGGGATTAAAGGTGTGTGCCACCACCACCTGTCCTAGAAATAAAAAAAAAAATTTAAAAATTTCTACGAAGACTATTAAAAACATTATTTATTTATTTAAATGGAGGGAAGGAGGCAGGGGGGGGGAAGGGGAGAGAGAGAGAGAGAGAGAGAGAGAGAGAGAGAGAGAGAGAGAGAGAAAATTGCTGTGGCATGTATATAGAGGTCAGATTTGTTGGTTCTGTTCTTCAGTGTGGGTTTCCCAAATCAAACTCAAGTCATCATGTTTGTCAAGAACATGCCTTTACCTGCTGAGCCTCCTCACTGTGGCAACGGTGTGCATCTTTCCACAGACAACTGACAGGCTACTCCTGGCCAGTGTTTGAATTGCTAGCTAGGAGACAGCACTTACACACACCATAGAGGCAGGTGAGTGCACGGTGTGACAGGGAGAATAAAGGAAACCAGGGACAGCAGGCCATGATGAGGGAGGCCTCTCCTTTCCTCTAGTCCTTCCAGAAGAGTCTTCGTTTGGGGAGTAAGGAATACCTGTGACTGTCACAGAAGATCCTTCTTGAGGAAGATTCTTCAGCGGAAACACATCTTAGGGTCTTTAAGTCAAGCTGCCACGAGGTTCAGTGTGAAACCAGCCCTGATCTTTCCCTTACTAGGGAAAGTGGGTAGATGGCTAAAATAACGCAGCAGGTGGACTGAATCTTCACTGCCAAGGTCAGGGGTCCATGGTAATTGAGCACTCACCTTGTGTCTGGCTCCATTCCCTGCGGAGCTCCTGCTGTCAGTGGCCAGGGGGTCCCTTCTGGGCCGAGGGTGGAAGGCACTGCAGTAGCCAGTGAGAAGACAAGCTTTTGGGGCTGTCACCTTTTGTTCCCGGGGAAAGAGGCCCTTGCCACAGTTTCTCAGTCCCCTTACTGTAACCTGTTTCACAGCCATGCCCTGCCTTGACATGTGTCCTCCTGTGAGACCGGAAGAGAAGTCCACATTGCCCTGACAGCCAAAGCTGTCAGTGCTAACTCCTGGCTTCTGTTTCCTCCAAAGTGCTTGGTTCCCTCCAGGTGGTCCCTATCAGCCAAGCAGTAGTCTGGTGCTTTCCAAGAATGTAGAGCTTTCATTGTGGTGGGTGTGGGAGTACTACCCATAAGTTGTCACCGTTGTTGAAGTCCTTAGGATTTTGTTTTCATAAATGTTTTGTTTTCTAGCCAAAGGAGCAACTAGTGGAGCTTTCCAGAAACTTGAGACCTTAGATCTTTCAGTGAATCACAAGATCACAGAGGAAGGATACAGAAATTTCTTTCAAGCCCTGGACAACCTGCCAAACTTGCAGGTGCTCAACGTCTGCAGGAGTATCCCAGAATGCATCCAAGTGCAGGCAACCACGGTCAAGGCTCTGAGCCAGTGTGTGTCCCGACTGCCCAGCCTCACCAGGCTTGAGATTCTCAGTTGGCTCCTGGATGAAGAGGACATGAAAGTGATTAATGCTGTGAAGGAAAGGCACCCTCAGTCCAAACGCTTATTTGTTCACTGGAGGTGGGTAGTGCCCTTCTCCCCGGTCCTTCAGAAGTGAAAGGTGCAGGTGAAGGCAGTTCTAAATACCTACTTTCCTAATACATTTTACCCTTCTGAGCTGCTGGTACACAGCTGTACTTTCATCATTTAGGAGACCAAGGTGAGAGAATAGAGAGTTTCAGGCCAGCCTTGGTTACATAGGAAGATCCTGTCTCAAAACTAAAGGCAAAACTAACCATTGTATTGAAATATATTAATTGTGAAATAAATTAACTGTGTAGGCTGATGATTGTTTTTTAAATCCTGAATACTCATCACTGAACTTAAGAGCTATTATGATGGGCAGTCCTCATATGGTCCTCTTGTCTATGGAAAGCCAGCATGCACACGCTGAGCTATGATGAACAGCCCTTGGCAGTCCGTGTATGGTCCTCCTTTCTAAAGACAGAGCCTCACTCAAATTCTTATCGAGAACCTTTCATCGCCAAGGTCAACAGGAAGGGGTAGGGAAAGGAACATTGATCTGTGTAAAGGCTAAACATGGAAGGAGTGTTTGATGGAGGTAAGAAATGGCCAGTTTAAGGAAGAATCGGTCCCACCCATGATGAAGCAGCAGTTGACTTTAACACAGGAGGCAGATGACTCTTTCCAGAAGATGCGCTTTAGTCTTTGCAGGGCTTTTGTGCATTCACCAGCCTTGGTGCGGCCACGCTGGCTTACATCATCTCTCACCCATTGCCAATGTGAGGAAGACGTTGGGCTGAGAGAAACCTGCTTTGTTCCAGAGGCTTTTGAGAGCTTCGCATGTGATGTAATGACCTTGAGGATTTTTTCCTTTTGTCTTTCTGTTGCTTTGAGACAGGGTTTCACACTGTAGCTTTCAGTGATCTGGGACTGAATATGTAGACCAGTCCAACCTGGAACTCACAGAGATCTGCCTGCCTCTGCCTCTGCCTCCTGAGGGCTGGAATTTTAAAAGCAATGTCTATATGTACAGTAAGGATTTGTGAATGTATTAACATGACTATAACATTCATTTATTATTCCATATGTTAATAAAAATCTTACCACTGTACCTGTGTTGGTTCAACTTAAATATTATATGATTTTAATTTGTCAATTATACCTCAGTAAAACTGTAGGAAAAAGATTTCCAAACACCTCAAAATTTTCTTAAAGGCTTGTTTATATCTGGGAAGAGAGTTGGGAAGCATTCTTACTTTTACTTTTTATTCTACTCCTTTCTGTACTGTTTTTTATTTTACAATTCTCCATATTATTTTTGTTTAAAATAAAATTTGGGACTTGAGAGATGACTGGGTGGTTAAGAACCCTTGTTTCTTTCCCAGAGGACCTGTGCTTCCTTCCCAGCTCCTAAGACAACCTATCTCTATAGGAACAGATACATTATCTTGTTTATAAGTGGGTTTGCCAATTGATATGTTTGCAATCAGAAATGATTAGAAATTTTTATCAGAGTCCAGTGAGAAGACAGAATCGGCAGGTCAATCTGTCCCAGGTAGCAAGGTGAAGTTATGTTTGACAATAAGCTGTACAAGCAGTGCTTTCACTAACGAGATCAACAGGGCAGTGATTAATAATTGGTGCTTTCTAACTATTCAATGTCACTATTGGTAACTCAGATGGGACTCATCACCGGCCTCTAGGAAATACCTGCTTCATGTGCCCTTAGGGCATCCCTCCTGGTCTCCTCAGAGCGCTCCAGCTCAACCCTCTGCTGTTTGCCTTCTATCCTGTGTGTGTGTGTGTGTGTGTGTGTGTGTGTGTGTGTGTGTGTGTGTGTGATCTGAGTTGTCCCGACTGTGATAGTGCACTTCCTGGAACACCCTATCCAGCTGAATGGCTTTAAGTCCCATGCCTACCCTACCTCCTCCATCTCCAGCTCCAGCCCTGGACTCTGTGTCTATAACCTTCACATCTCCTTCCCTGAGGTACTCTTACTGTACACTTTCATGTCTTGACTCCCACTTGACCCCTCCAATTGCTTAGGGAAACCCTTGGAGTTATTCTTAGGTTTCTCTTTCTTAGCCCACATATAAGCTAATGAAAAATCCTGGCAATTCCACTTGCAAAATATGTCTCATCTAGCTGTGCAGTGGTGTCTCACACCTTTAATTCTAGCACTTGGGAGGCAGAAGCAGGTGTCTCTTTGTGCATTAGAGGCTACATAGTGAAACCCTGTCTCAAAAACAAGACAAAACAAAACAAACAAACAAACAAAAAACCACGCAGCATATCCTATCTGGCTCACCTACTTTCTTTCTTGAAACAAGTAGCAGGCGGCTGGAGAGATCGCTCAGTGGTTAAGAGCACTGGTTGCTTTTCCAGAGGTCCAGAGTTCAGTTCCCAGCGTGCACATAGTGCTCAAACAATCTTGAAACCAATGCATATTTTCACCATGCTGTCAAAGGCTTCCCCGGAAGTCAGATCATGTGCTCTGTCTGCCTCACTATTTCTCACTTGATTCTCAGCATAAACACTCAACAGTGGCCTACATAAGGCCTGAACCTTGGCCTCCCCGTATGCTGTCTCCTTAATTTCTCCTCTTACTCTGACTATGCTGGCTCCTTGCTGTTCCCGGAATATTCTGTATAGGTTCTTGTCCAATGATCTTTGTAGCTGTCCTCTCTTTTTCCTAGGAGTTTCTCCCTTGCTGTGTTCCCCACAGGTTCATGAGTTGACATGTAATGCCTGTGAGATTCTAGGAGTGGAAATTTAATCTATTGTGTTTAGAGGCGGGACTTTTGGAAGGTGATTAGGAAAAGGCCATTAAGGTAAAGCCCCTATTGAATACCAGTGGCTTGCTAAAAGAGACCAAACATAACAAACTCTCTCTCTCTCTCTCTCTCTCTCTCTCTCTCTCTCTCTCTCTCTCTCTCTCTCCATGTCCCTGTCTTTCCAATATTATTCATGGATCATCTTCAGTATTTTGTCAACATGAATGTAGTCCTTCTACCTGAGTTCCAAAATGTCAAAACACAAGCCCATCCCTTTAGACCTGATCCAATAGCTTGAATCAGGCTATTAACCCCCCCCCCGCCCGCCCCATAGCTCTCTATGGGACAGAGTAAGGAAGAAATGTGTGCTGTGATTGGCAGCTCTCTACTTAGGACTCCTACTCCTCCATGCTCCTTGTCATACCTTGTACTGAACTGAGTCTCATGATATGGAACTTGGGAATACCCCTGAAAGATCTTTCCTTTATTCTGGAATGTGGCCTGAGACTCCTCAGGAAGACCACTCATGGGTTTGGTCTGGAACTTAGGGCTTCTCAAACATTTCCATCAGCTAGGGACCAAGTTTTCCAAATATGAGCCTTCGGGGGCCATTCTCCTTCATACAGCTACATCCCTCTCATGGTAGTCATTGCTCTTACACATTCTCTCTCTTTCTCTAAATGAAACTGCTCTCAAGGCTTTAACGGGAAACCTCAGATTCCTTTAGGGGCCCCGACATGTTTAGATCTCCACATATTGTATTGTTTCTGCCCAATGCTCTCCTTCCCATCTCAAGGCCACATGATGACCTTGAGACCCTTTCATTGTAGCAGACATTAGTGAATGGGGATTATATGTCAGGTTTCTCTGTAATCCATCCTCCTTTGAAAGACAGATCTGTGGGCCAAAATAAATCTCTCTTTTTTTATAACTCACCAAAATAATCCAAACTTCTAATGTGTGTGTGTGTGTGTGTGTGTGTGTGTGTGTGTGTGTGTGTGTGTCTGTGGTGTGTATGTGTGTGTACATGATTATGGGCACACATACCCATCTGTCAGAAATGGGCCTCAGGTGGTCTCTATGAGCCCTGCCTTATTTCTGTGAGATAGAATGTTTCACTGAATCTGGAGTCTCTCTCTCTTTCTCTCTCTCCCTCTGTCTCTGTCTCTCTTCTGTTGGTGGCCAGCAACCCACAGAGATCACTCTGTCTCTGCCCATTTCACCCCCGGGCTCTGTTGTGACACATGCATGTGACCACACCCAACTTTTCATGTGGGTGCTGGGGATCTGGACTCAGGTCTTTGTGCCTGTGCAGCAAGAATTCTGCCCCTGTGTCATCTTCTCAGAGCACCCTGTTTTCTTTAGAACTCTCTGAGTGTCCTTAATGCTTTCACCTGTCAGCTTGATACACCCTGGGGTCATCTAACAGTCTCAGTTGAGAGACCGGTATGTGTCCATGTCTGTGAGGAATTGTCTTGGTTTGTCACTGATGTGTGTGGTACTTTGAATGTCACTGGGCCCTGTAAGCCCATAGGGAATGGTCCCATTAGGACGTGTGGTTTTGTTGCAAGAGGTATGGCCTTGCTGAAGGAAGTGTGTCACTGTGGAGTGGGCTTTGAGGTATCACATATGCTCAAGCCACACCCAGTGTGCTAGTTCATTTCCTGTTGCCCTTGGATGAAGATGTAGAACACTCAGCTCCTTCTCCATGCCACCATGTCACATCGTGATGAGAGTGGACTGAATCTATGAACTGTAAGCCAGTCCCAATTAAATGTTTTCCTTTATAGGAGTTGCATGGTCAAGGTGTCTCTTCATAGCAATAGAAACCCTAACTAAGACAATGTGTGAGCACCTATTCATACTACTGTGGGTGACACCATCCTTAGGAGGGTGGACCTATGCTGCTTTAAAAAGCCAGCTAAGTGTGAGCCAGAAGAGGATCTAGCTAATAAATGGCTTTCCTCTGTGGTCTGTGCTTCAGTTCCTGCTTCTTGCTTCCCACCTTGAGTTCCTTTCTGACTTCCCTTGGTGAAGGATTGTCACATGGAATGTAACCTTTTACTTCCTTAAATTCCTCCGGGTATGGTGTTTATCACAGCAGCAGCAGCAACAACAAATAAAAAGTAAAAGAGAACAGAAATTGGTACTTGAGTGGGGTCTTGCTGTGATGGACCTGACCTTGTGGCTTTTGATACCTTTGGACTATGCTGTAGGAGGATTGTGGGGGATTTGGGAGCTTTGATCTGGAAAAGCCACTTTGATAACTCTGTGGAACTCCAACAAGAAGAATGCTGGGAGAACTACAGACCTTGGAGCCTGGCTTGTGAAGTTTCAAAGGGAAGCAAAGACCTTAATGTGATGTGTTGAATGAAGAATCTGTGTTTTCTGTCCAACTGTGTTTAACAAAAGACCAGCATGGCTGAACCTCTATGCCTTACTGGGACAATACTGGTCAGAGGGGGCTGAAAGAAATCAGTTGTTATTGGTAAGAGATCAGCATCATCGATGCGAAATCTCCTAAAGATATTTCCACCATGTCAGCACGCAGAAACTGTGACCAGGACACCAAGGCTGCACACTAAGTTAACAGCAGAACTTGGCAAAGAATATGCAATGCTTTTCCATACAGTGCTGGTTTGGAAGGCATGGAGTGGCCATGGAGGACAGTTGAGACCTGGCACCTTATAGGGGGCCTGTCATCCCTCGAAGGTCACTGACAAAAGTACATCTTCAGGTTCAATGTAGACCGCAGGATTGAAAGAACTGTGGACAGAATGTGAACCTTGGCATTGTGTGGTAGGAGAGGCCACTGGGAAAGGTAATACTATGGTACACTGGAGACCACATTCTAGAGATGCCAGGGCCATGTGACCCCTGCCAGGGACAGTGGTAGTTGTAGAGTCGAGTCAGCCTGAGCCTGTCAGACAAGCTATGTACTTTGTGAACAGCAGAGCCAGAGAAGTTGGACTGCCCTATGGATCCCAGAAGAGTATGAGTGAATTCCAAATGCTGCACATTAAAGCATTTACACTGTTTGAGTTTTTTCTTTGTTCTGGTTGCCACTAAATGAATAAAACATACTAGAAGTCAATTATTAAAATAATGGACTGGAGAGCTAGATAAGATGCTACAGGTTCTGGCTTATACCTAAAGAGGGGGGGTTCACTCAGTTCTCAGCACCCAGTGCCATCTCTCCAGCACCCTGTTTTAACCTGAGTGAGGTGGCACATGCCGTTCATCCCAGAACTCAGAAGGCAGAGGCAGGTGGATCTCCGAGTTTGAGGGCAGACTGCTTGAGTTCCTGGCAAGCCAAGACTACGTAGACCCTGTCTCAAAAAACAAAAACCAATATAAGGAGTGTTCTTTACAACATAATAAAATCAGAAATTAAAGCTAGCACCCTAGAAATTATAAAATTAAACATTTCTACAATGAAAGCATACCAAAATTTGGGGGTCTCTAAAAAGTGACGATAACTCTACATAATACACCTTACAGATGATAACTAAAACACCACTCAGTGAAAACTGCAAGTATCTACTTTAATAAACGAAGGTAGGAGCCAGCTTTTGGTGACTCCTGTGTTAGGAGGTATTGTGGATCCCACAGACATGAGGATCCCACCTGCCACAAATTATGGGCACATCAAAGGAAGCTTCATTGTCTATGATTGTCTCCTCCCCCCCCTCCCCCAGGCAGGGTTCAACAGATCAGGCTGAGCCAATTTCTCAGGTACCTTTATACGGCAAAACTTTAGGGATTCTTCAAGCAAGCGTGGTTATAGAAGTGAAAAGAAGCAGTTCAGAAAATCCCTCTGTGACGGTTTGAATGGAAATGGCCCCCATTAACACACGGGGAGTGGCAGCATTGGAGGCATGGCCTTGTTGGAGGAAGTGTGTCACAGGGGGCGGTGGGCTTTGAGGTTTCAGAAACTCAAGCCAGGCCCAGCAGTGTCTGTCTCTTCCTGCTGCCTGCTGATCCAGATGTAGAGCTCTCAGCTTCCTCTCTGGCACCTGGTCACCTTAGCTGCGTCAGGGATGGATTCCATCTCAAGGAGTGGTTACCTCCTTAACATTTCTGCCACCATTGTACCAGCAGGTCATTTGGAAAGGCCACTGTTGTAGCTGTGTGATATTTACAGTCACTTTTCTCCTCCAGTCTCATGCAGAGTACTATCCAGCACCATGAGTACTAATCACTAGAGTGAAGCTTCTAGGTTAGGTACCTGGTAGACTTCTCCATGTCCAATGACATAGTTAAGTGTTGTCTTCAGCAATAGAGCCTTCCATCAGGTTGTGGTGAGTAACTAATGGTTTCCACAATAGCTTGTGGTGTTGTGTGGCTGGCTATGGGACCCCTCTGGCCAAGGAACCAACAGATGCAATCCAGTTCTGGCCCTGGTTTATCTAACTGGGCATTGTTTCCCTCATTATATGGTGATAGCATTTAAATTCCTTTTATATATGTATACATTTTAGGAAGTTTCTTAGTTGGTGTTCTATTGCTGTGAAGAGAAACCATTTACCAAGGCAACTTTTTTTTTTGAAATCATTGAATATTATTTATTTTCTACAATAATTGAAAATTGAATGATCAAAAAACCTGAATGTTTCAAGTGCCTACAATACTTAAAACAAAATTATATTTCTATTCTCTTAGTTTGAAACACAAGTTGAACCATATGTTTATGAGATTATCATATATTTGAAGATTTATTTTACTCTTTGAATACTTTATGCAAGGATACAATAAAATACAATCATACCAGCCCTGACAGGAAAATCAGGGATTCAAGAGAAGCCTGAGGTCCATATCAAGTTCAAGTCCTCTGATGACTTAGTTTTGGTTATCAACTTGACTACATCTGGAATAAATTAAAACCCAAACAGCTGTAGGTGCCTAAGAGAGATTTAATTAATTGAATCATGGAGGTGGGAAGATCCACCTTAAATCCAGCTCATTTGAGGCCTGAAGACTCGGCCTAAATCTGGGCCCCACCTTTTGGTGGCAGCACACATGAAGGACATGGAAGACGGACCCGGACCCTTTATTTTTGTCTGTTTGCCCTCACACTCATCGGCAATTTCATCTGCCCTATTCCTGAGGCATCCATCCCTTCGCTGGTTTAGCACCTACTTCTTTAAGAATCAATGTAGACTAGAGACTAGCACATCTCTAGAAATTCTCTGGAATTTCAGCACCCGATTGAATCTATTGAGACACACAATCTTGTGAACTGAACAATTACCTTTGCCTTTCCATCAGATTACACATTTTCATTGGATTACACAGACCACAACCCATTAGTCTATTTAATACATCCCTTTGTGTGTATCTGTGTGTGAATTCATTCCATCAGTTCTACCCCATTTAATGAATTCTTACTAAGTCAGGTCTACAGTGTGAAACACTGTCTCAAAAACAGCAGATATATATAAGCAGAAGCCAAGAGTGATGGTACACACTATAACGTCAGCCACTCAGAAAGCTGAACCAGAAGGATTGCAGTTTCTAGGTCTTCTGGGGGTGCAAGGCAATTTCAAAGCCAGCCTGAGCAAACATCTCTAAATGAAAAGAATACATGTTTCTCAGTGGAGAAATTTATCTAGCATACTCAAGATCCTGGGTTCAATCTCATTTAAAGAATAAAATCACACACACACACACAGAGTAAACAAGATTTATAAGCATCTTTCAGGAAGGAAAGAAGGTGACATGGATCGAGTGTGTGGGAGCGCTCACATACAGATGTTAGTGAGGACACTGTATCTTGGCTTATGCTGTGCTCTGAATGTGAAGCCTCCTGCAAGCAGCTCATGTGTATGAGCATTTGCTTTACAGCCGGGGTGCTATGTGATAAGAGTTTGGAGCCTTTAAGAGGCAGAGCCTGGTGGAGGAAGTGGGTCACTGGAACAGGCTTTGAGGCTTAAGAGCACGGTGTGGCTTCCTGTTCATTTTCTCTGCTTCCTTGCAGCTGATGCTCTGTGACCGGCGCCGGCTGCCTGCCCCTGACACCAAGTCTACAGAGCCTCGGTGGAATAAAGATCTTCAAACTGTAAGCCAGAATAAAAACCTTATTTTCTGTGAGCTGCTTTTGTCAGGGCGTTTTATCCCAGCAACAGAAAAAGAAAGTACAGGTTGTCCTCCTGAAAATGAAAGCAACTAAGCAAAGCCTTAGGCTGCCAAGTCATGGCCAGTGCCTTCTGGAAAGGGAAGGAGCAAGGGGCCAGAGTTGGGCAATTGTGTCTATAGATGAGAACATGGCCTCTGTGTCATAATCACTAAGGAGACTGGAAGGGGTTGGGGGGAATCAGGAGACAACTATAAAAATAACTACTCACAGAGGTGAGTAGCCTGGGGATTGACAGAACTCCAGAGGAACATTTTACATGCTAGTGACAAAGAGTTCTTTTTATCTTATTAAGAATAGTTAAATGTGGTATCTACTACACTATGGAAACTCCTCCTAGATATTGTCCAATGAGAGAGTATGTCTGATCTTAAGAGATTCAACGTGGCCAGGAATGGTGGTACATGCTTGTAATCCAACCGCTCTGTAGGCTGAGGCTAACAGGGGCCATAGAGCAAAACTCTGTCCCCAAACAAAATGAAAACAAATGAAGCCCTCCAGTGTGCTGCAGTTTTTGCCAAAATGTAGGTAGGAAGGCTAATTCCAAATAGAATGGGGTCAATAGAGCATTTTGTGAAGGGGCCATGTCTAACTCTACCCAAAGGTGGATTTGATATTCTTTCCGAGAGTACTGAAGTGTGTGGATTAGTCATAAGCTTATACAAAGGTATTCCTAATTTTATCTTATTTAAAACTTTTTGACTGCTTCATATCTGAGTATTTATATCATTTCTACCCTCCCTCTCAAATTCATGACCCCTTCCTTAGTTATTACACATACACATATAAACACGCACACGCACACCTAAGTGAATTCATTTAGTGTTGCTCACATGTGCTAGGACTGTCTACTTGGGATTGGACAACATATCAGGGACTCTTCCCTGATGAAGACTGGTAAATCTCCCTCTCTCAGAAACTCTTCATCACCTTACTGCTTTTCAAAGAGGTGAGGTCTTGTGACATTTCCCCCATACACAGGGGCATGTCAAACTAGTGTCATTCTGCATGGCTTGTGTAGGTGACCATACTGTTGAGATTTCACGGGTGCAGCTTCCCTGTCGTGTGAGTAAATATACCTCACTGAGTCTGTCATTGCAGAGGGCCATAGGCTTTTCTGTTGGGTGCTGATCGCTTTTCCTCCCTTGGTAACTTGCACAGTACTTTCAGACTATGAGAGCTGATCCTCGGGAGAAGGCTTCCAGATGTTTGATCTTTTTTTTTTTTTTTTAAGATTTATTTATTTATTATGTACACAGTGTTCTGTCTGTCTGCCTGTATCCCTGCAGGACAGAAGAGGGCACAAGGTCTCATTACAGATGGTTGTGACCACCATGTGGTTGCTGGGAATTGAACTCAGGACCTCTGGAAGAGCAGGCAGCTCTTAACCACTGAGACATCTCTCCAGCCCCAATCTGTTTGATCTTGATTCTTCCCTCCGATTCCCTCTGCATTCTCCTCTCTCTTGCCAGTTAAAGTCCCCACCCCCACCCCTTATTTTCCCCTTTCCCTTCTTCGTGGATGTGTCCTACTAGAGATCTCACAAGATCCCTCTCTTAGCATGTGGCTAACTCAGCAATTCTTATTTCAAGAATTTATTCTGAGACGATAAGAAAAATGTGGGAACGATTTATTTAAAAAATATAGAACATTGGACTCATCTTTATTTATGAAGAAAATAATGGCAATGACTTGAGTCTTCTCCATTAGGGCAGTAATTAAGCCATTAAGAAGTATGAGCAAACTTCCAAAACAGAAGAGGTGGGGGCGAGGTGGCCCAGCGGGTAGAAGTGCTGCCTTCTGAGCATGAGGACTTGACTCATATCCCACCATGGAGGGATGCTGGAAGGAAGAGAGCCCACTCTAAAGGTCCTCTGACCTCCCCATGAGCTCTGTGGTACGTGTGCACCTGCCCTTACACCACGTACACATATGCACTCACACTTCACAAACGCCACACATGTTCACACTCACACGCACACATGCACTCATACATGAAATGTTGCCAGGGAAATACGAATTTCTTACCAGGGCTCTTAGCCTTATAACAAGATATTTTAAAGGACTCAGAACCATTTTTATTAGAGTCTGAGTCACAACCAACAGGGCAGGCAAGCTGTAAATCCTGGCAGCTGCCAGGAGGAAAGAGATTGAGGAGAAAAGACCATGCTCGTGGAGAATGGAACAGGCAGGCTTAGCAATGAAGATCTGCAAGCATCTTCATGAAGGGTGGGGCATCAGGGTCATAGGAGAAGAGTCTGCAGAGAACGGTAAGGAGGTCCAGACTGTCAAGAACAGCATGCTTGTGTGAAAAAGTAGAAAGCAGAGGAAAAGTTGCACCTTTAGGTCAGATTTCAAAACAGTGGGCAGGCTTTGTGGGACTCCCCGGAAGCAACTGCAGAGGGAGTAGGGGCTTCTGAGAAGTACATCTTCTCCCTGAGGGCTGAAGTATTCCTTCCATTGCTTAGCTTGTCTTCAGGAGAGTCAGTGTAGTCTCCAGGCCAGGTGATGCATAGACCTAGAAGTAATAATTAGTAACTCATAAAGGATAGTGATAAGCGATGTTGCAATCTTTGGAACAGATGAGGATGTCACATCTCTACCCAGGGCCAGAAATAGACCTCGGATTTCATTTTTTTTCTTTTTAGCCAAGAGGAAGTAGCTTTGTAACAAACTATAGACATGATCCCTGAAAGTATAGTCTTGAGGAGTAGCTTTGTGATAGGAAGTAATGTCCAAAGCCAGCCATAAGGGAGTGGGCCATCCTCATGCCTCAAAGACTGTTGGGCTCTCTTTAGCTACCTACCATTAACTTCTCAAGTGTTAAGACCCTGAAGTCATTTAGGAGTTGGTCACAAGTCAGTCTGGCTGCTTCCGGCTTCCAGTCAAGGAAGCTACTTGTCTTTCAGTTACCTGCCCTAACACAGCCTGATCAGTTTGTATCTCCTGTCCTCATCAGAACAGTAGAAAATCAGACATGGCAATGAGGGCCAAGAGAAAAGTGGTTCATATATCCTACAGCAGCTGTTACAATAATTAATTATGCTCCTGAGTCGGAAGACTAGGGACCTGGAGAAGATGGAGCTTCCAGAGACTAACATGAAAGGTAGAAGACTGGAAGCCCTTCCCCACCTGGGCCTCATTCCACCCAGGGAGCATGCTCAAGAAGAGCTAGCTTTGTAAGAACATAGGGGGAGGTGGGCATGGTGCAAACATCATATAAAATGTCAAGCAGAGCCACTTCCTCCCGCTCTTGGCACCAGGTCATAGTCCAGGTCTGGCACCATTCTGAGCTCATCGGTGTTTTCCCTTTGATAGGACATCTCCACCCTGTAAGTGCACAGGAGGAGCTCTATGCACGCCATCGTAAAGAGGTACAGGAACCTGTGAAGGCCCCCAGCTGCCCTGTGGACTCAGATACGTGCTTGAAACAGGGGCCCCTGGAGTTCACAAGCAGAGCACTGACCCTGGGAAATGAACACAGTAAAAACAACGGCTTCAAGGGACTAGAGAGAGGGTTTTGCAGTTGAGTGGGAGCTGCCCTAGCAAAGCTACCGGCTTTGGCTCATGGCCCCCAGGCCAGGCCACTCACAACAGCCTGTAACTGAAGTTCCTGGGGACTCAACTCCTTTTCTGGAACATACACATACTTAAAAAAAAATCATTAAGAATATTTTTTTAACTGAATATTATCCAATTGTCACTATCAGGCTATAGAATTTTATATTTTTTTTCCTTTAACACACATGGTAAACATATGCCCATGTTCTATATTGCCTCTCCAATTCACACTTGGAGGTGGGCATGGTGACACCTTCCTCTAAACATCCTAGCATCCAAGAGGCAGAGGCCTTAGGTTGGATTGTTCCATGTGGAAATAAAGGCCTACATAGACTGGCACACGATCAAGGTAACCTTATCTGGAATGAAACAATGGCACCGACTCCCTTCAGGGTTTACAGTAGGTGAACCACATGAGCAAGATTATTCAAAGCTCTAATTATTATTTGGAGATTTCTTTTATGGGGTTCGGGAGAAGGAAATGTTGGTCACCAGCAAGGGCACTCTTGTGACTGACAAGCTTGGATTATGCAAGTCCTTGGTCACTGTGGATGTCACTTCCTAGAACGCATGTGATTTAATCATACACACACCCAAAGTGGGGAACAGGGATTCTCCTCAAACATTTAAAGACACAGTTTAGCCTTCCTGCATCCAAAACCAGTTCAGGCTAATTCAGCCTTTCCAATGGTCTTATGCCAGTACATTGGGGCTATCTGACTAGACAGGACAGTCTAAACATGGTTGTTACTAAGGGTAGGAAACCTGTGGGTTTGTTCAGAGGCCACAAGTGGCCCAGTGAAAACCGGGTTCTGAAGGAGGTCTGTGTGAAGGGTGTGCACGGATGAAGAACTTAGGATGTCAAGGACATTATTACACAACCAAACAGGGTCCAGACTAAGTTCTCTACCATGGTTGCCTGCTTCAACCTTAAGTTCTAGGCTAGAAGGGGCTGCATGCAAGGTTCTGTCTCAGGAAAAAAAAGAATGAAAGAAAGAAAGAAAGAAAGAAAGAAAGAAAGAAAGAAAGAAAGAAAGAAAAGAACGTAATCAAGCTAAAGGATGTTTGCAAGTCTTCATGAGTGGAGTAAGGTCCCTCTCTGGTACATCATCAGTCCTTAATGCCTAGCCCATTGCTTAACACACAGGTAGGTGCTTAGCAAATATCTGTTGATTAAGTAGATGAATAGTGGTATTTCATAGTTTCTCAAGCAACTTCTTTCTGTCTTTCACAAGTTGAGGTCAATGGTCAACTTACAAGTTGCTAGTCTCCTGCCTACCATGTGGATCCTGGGGAGCAAACTGACGTCATAGGCATTGTGGAAAGTCCCTTTACCTGCTGAGTCATCTCTCTGGCCCTGAGACACAACTCTCTATAATTAAACACATTACAGACACCAATCACTTGCTTTCCTTTTTGCGATAGAAAATGGCCGCCGAGGGAGGAACCTCTGAGGAGAGGATTTCCGAATTTGATGATGATTTGGCCTCTGAGTTCTCTGCTCTTCTTGGCGTGGATGCCCTTCGGGTCTTAAAGAGACAACAAGAAGAAGAGCACCAAGAGCGAATGAAGATGAGGAAAGGCTTTAACCCTCACATGCGCAGCGAAGCCAAACGATTAAAGACCTTTGTGACCTACGACACATTCAGATCATGGACGCCACAGGAGATGGCAGCCGCTGGGTTTTACCTCACTGGGGTGAAACTTGGGGTTCAGTGCTTCTGCTGTAGCTTAATCCTCTTCTGCACGAGACTCAGGAATCTCCCCATAGAAAGCCACAGGCGATTGCGTCCCGAATGTGAGTTCCTTTTGGGCAAAGACGTTGGTAACATTGGCAAGTATGAGGTAAGGGTGAAGACTCCGGAGAAGCTGAGAGGTGACAGAGCAAGGTACCGAGAAGAGGAGGCCAGACTGGAGTCCTTTGAGAACTGGCCGTTTTATGCCCACGGGACATCGCCACGTGTCCTCTCAGCAGCTGGCTTTGTGTTTACAGGCAGGTAACTGGGTTCCATCTTATGAGGGCCTTCTGTAAAACTGAATGAAAGTTTAGTCTCATGTTTTTATTAGTGATATTTGTCAATTATTAATTGCTGCACTAGCTATAAGCCTATTTTATTTTTAAATATGTATTTGTGTGTGGGGGTGCAGAGATGCATAGAATCCAGAAAAGCGCATCAGACCCTCTGAGGCAGTGGTTTAAAGTGGCTGTGAACTGTCTAAAGTGGGTGCTGGGGACCCAAACTCCAGTCCCCTGCAACCCCCTTAACCACTTAGCCATCTCTCCAGCTTCCCTCCTCCTCCTCTTCCTCTTCCTCTTCCTCCTTTTTCTCTTATTCCTCTTTCTCTTCCTCCTTTTCCTTCTGCTCTTCTTCGTCTACTGCCTCTTGTTAGTCATTTCTTATGTGTTAATTGTGTTGTAGGAGATATGGTTCATTAAACATCAACTTTAATAATTTTACTCCACTTACTTTTAGGGTAGCATTATTAGCTTACCAAATAAGTGTAAAATAAAAGAATAGTTAGAGACTGTTAACTGGAGGTTGAGGTGTAGCTCATTGCTAAAGGGCTAACTTTGCCATTGCCTTAGTGCCAGCACTGGAAAACAACAGCAAAAACACTCAGGAAACACTTGTTCAACTCATAAAGTGCTGAAAATGAATCATGAGATTGCTAACTCCCACGTTCTCCCAGTTTCATGAACACCACTATTCATGAATTTCCTTGATTCGTTTCATTTCTATTGTTTTGGAAAGATTCTGTTTTTGCTTGTTGAGCCCCCATCCACGGGCAAACTGCCTTTGAAAGCACTGTACTTGGGAATGGCTTAGCCACACACAAGGTTAGGACAGATGTGAACGACAATTACAGCAGCATCTGTGATGTGCTGAGTACCCACTTATGCTATGCGTGGATTGAGCTAATTCTAATTCGACTAGTTTGCCCTTCCCCCACATTTCATAGGTGACCTCACCCACATTCAAAGAATTCTAATATGTGCTTCCCTTTCCATAGATAAGACATGGCAATGCTAACTTTTAGGCTTTCTAACTGCATCACTCCAGCAAAGTCCTAGCATTTGCCTGCTTCTCCATCAATTTGGTCCTAAATGCTGAAGAGCAGAATCTCCCTCTGAGAAGCCAGGGTGTGAGGGCTGTGTAAACACAAGGCCATGGCTGGGGACGGAGGTCTAGAGCTCACAAGGGGTCATTTAGGGCAGTGTGACTGTGGACAGGGGTTCAGCCAGAGAGGTCATGGAAAAACAGGCATGCTGGAGTCTGTCTTGTTCTGGTACAATATGATCAGCTCCAAGGTCACACCTGGTGTCATTGCTGGCCACTCAGAACCCTTGACTGCATCCGTAGGCAAAAGGGACACCGTGCAGTGTTTCTCCTGTGGTGGATGCTTGGGAAACTGGGAAGAAGGAGACGATCCTTGGAAGGAGCATGCCAAGTGGTTCCCCAAGTAAGCAGACAAACACTTTATTCTTATTTTCAGGTTTAGTTTTGCTTTTGGTTTGTTTGCTTTTTTTTTTTTTTTTTTTTTTAAGCTGGAAGTGGAGACAAAAGACCATGCTGGAACACCACCTGAGTTCTGATAGTTCTCTTCTCCAATATGGGATCACTCCAGAATTTTTCAAGCAACGAAGATCCGGTCACAGTGAAAGCTTTAAATCATATGAACTTAAATGAACTTAAATGGCTTTTTCTATTTTATGCAATTTTTGCTTTTTTAATTTTCATATTTTCTGTATAGTGTATCGGTGTATGCAGAGGGTGTTTATGTGTGTGTGTTGTTGGTGTGTAGTGTGTGTATGTGCACACGTGCATGCCTGTGGAAGTCATGTTGACATAGGTCCCCACCTCTTTCATCATTCTCCACTGTATATTTTGAGATGGACTTTCTGGGATCCATCTGTCTCCATTCCTCCAGGGTTAGGGTCAGAGACATGGTGGGCTGGGCCTGGCGTTTACATGGGCAACACAGATTCAAACTCAGGCCCTCACGGTGATGCTGAGGTATTTTACCTCCTGAGGTGTCTTCCCAGATCCAACTTCTCAGTTTTGCTCTTAATTATTGGTGTGTGTGTGTGTGTGTGTGTGTGTGTGTGTGTGTGTGTCTGTGCAAGTTAGTGCAGGCGCCCACAGAGGCAAAGGGGTCAGATTTTCTTACAGCTGCAGCTGTAAGTGGTTGTCCAAAGGGGGTTGTGGGTTCTGAAAGGACATTAAGTACAGGCTCTCTGGCCTTTCTCAACCATTATCAAATATTGTTTTGTTTTGCTTTGCTTTGCTTTTCCCAAGACAGGATTTCTCTGTGTAGCACTGGCTGTCCTGGAGCTCACTCTGTAGACCAGGCTGACCTCAAACTCACAGAGATTCTTCTGTCCCTGTCTTGAATGCTGGGATTAAAAGCAAGCGCCACCACCACCCTGCTAAATGTTGGTTTTTGTTTTGTTTTGTTTTGTATCCCCAATACTACAGTATGTCTTGTCAAGTAGCGGTTTTATGATTTACCTTAACTAACAAATGAGTTAATCTGCACAGGGATGGAAATTGTATATACGTGAAAGAAAATAGTTTTGTTTGAAATATTACAAGTGGTGGCACACAACTGTAAAACCAGTGCTAGGAGGGTGGTGACAGAATTAGAAGTCCAAGGCCATTTCCTGACTTAAACAAACAGAAACAAAAACCGCAAGAAGACCAGATTCTATGTCACCACACAGGAGGGGAAACTGTGTTTTATTTGAGATTCCGAGTTCTGTTATTACAGTGCTCTTTCGCTCTGCTTAGTAAAGGAATTGTACTTTAATTACTTTTAATAATGTGTTTGGTGGTGTTTTTGTGTGTCTGTTGTTTTTGTTTCTGCCAGATACACATTCATTCCTATAACTAGCTTTCAAACTTCACTATGGAAATCTCACAAAGTAGAGAAATTATAATAAGCACCTCTCCATGCCTGGCCCAGTCATATTTCACCTCTTTCCTGCCATCGGCTCGGAATAGTAATGATTGGGTTATGTCAAAGCAAATTCCAGCTAACACGTTGTTCCATTTGTTATTCTTTTAGCATATAACTTTAAATCATGATTTTAAAAAAGGAAAAGAGCCACAGTATCATTATGTTTCTTACAAAGATGAGCATTAAATATCTTAGCCAGCATTCAAAGGTCCTTATCCCTCCATTCCTGGGATTTTTTACATTGATTTAGAGAGAGAGAGAGAGAGAGAGAGAATGTGTGTGTGTGGTGTGTGTGTGTATGTGTGTGTGTGTGTGCATGTGTTCTACACTCTGCTTACTGTGAATCACTATCTTTGATTATATTGCATATTTGTTTCAAGAAAAGAACGGTAAGCTACAGTAGTGTGTGCCTGCCGTCGAAGATTCTCTAGAGGCCAAAGTGGTGGGATTGCTTGAGATCAAGAATATGACATCACCACTGCAACACAGGGAGACCCTGTCTTGAAATAATAATTAAAATAACATGAAGGTTTGATATAGTTGGCTTTCTGTTGCACCATGACCAAATCAACCTGAGAAAAAGGGTTCATTTGGCTTGCATGTCCCGATTGCAGTCTACCACTGAGGGACATCAGCAGGAACAGACAGAGACCATTGAAGGTAGCTGCTTACTGCCTTGTTCCTAGGCTCATGCCCAGTTACATCTCTTATGCCTCCCAGGACCACTTGTCCAGGGTGGTCACAGTGGACTGGGCCCTCCCACAACAGTCACTAACCAAACATGCCCCACACACTTGCCTACAGGCTAATTTGATAGTGGTATTTTCGCAAGTGTAGCTCCCTCTTCCCAGATGACTCTAGCTTGTGTCAAGCTGATAAAAAAACTAATGGGCACATAGTTTGATTTTACATAATAATATATTTTACCATTAATGTAATTTTATTTTTGGTTTTTCAAGTCTGGGGTTCTCTTTTAGCAATGGCAATTTAAATTTTTCTAACAGCATGAGGTTTCAAGAAATTTTTGGCTGTTTTATGAAGTATCAAATTCAACATTTTGATGGATTTTTAACAAATATTTATGTAACATAAAAAAAACCTTTGTTACAGTATTAGGATACATTTTAATTATATTTTTATTGATAGGTGTGAATTTCTTCAAAGTAAGAAGTCCTCAGAGGAAATTGCCCAGTATATTAAAAGCTACGAGGGATTTGTGCATGTAACGGTAATTCACAACAACCATTTTTTTCCATTAGGGTATGTTCATTATCTAGTGATATTTGAATCCTCAGGGTGAGGATTTTTATTTTTTCATGGATTCATTCTCCACCTCTCATCTGCAGAGTAGAGACACAAAATTCTTGTCATCTGCAAAGCTGGAACCATGTAGACGGAGTTTTCCAGGCTGGCTTTGGGTGGCTTCTGCTGCCTCCTTCCCTCTGAGCCCACTGCCCTGGCTCCTTCTGCTGCCTCAGCCAGCAGGCCCGACCCAGTCTTCTGTCCTAGTACCTGGTGCCAGCAGGGCACTGAGAGCTGGCTCCCGCCCTGGTTTTGTAGGCCTCAAACTAGTAAGGACTCCTAGTGGCACCCAGTGGGAAACATCCAGATGGAAGCCTAGGGAGAGTGTGATGGCTGGTGACTCAGAAGCAGCATCTGCAGTCAGGGGCTGAAGTCTGGGTGCAGCTTCCTCACAGGGAGAGTTGCTCAGTTGGAAAGGTCCTTCTGAGGTGAGCTCCCCTTCCCGGGCCTCAGTTCCCCAGAGTCAAAATGCTTCTGTGTGTGTGACTGCAGTTCTCTTGAAGAGCTGGGTGTGGGAAGAGAGACCCAAGAAAGTTCCCTTTTGCCAGAGGTCAACATGTTTTGTACTGCAAGTCAAATGTGGTTTGATCACGCCAGACCACCTGAAACAGAGGACCAGGTGATCCTACATTCAAAACAGCTGGACAAGGCAGCCTTACAGACTACAGCCAGGATTTCTGCATCTTCTTAGAATCCCCCATGACAGCGCCCCTTACCAGCAGGAAGTAGTTTGGAAAGAACGACGCCCAAATTCCCCAATATTGTCTATAAATGTTTGTTTTCATTTAAATGGACTTGGATATATATATATATATATAAAATCCCCAAGTCAATAGAAAGCAAACTGAAGGACTGCTTTGCCAACACTTCTGCTGCCCTGATGAAACTTCACTTTAGTGGGGGAAATCTGTCAGTTGCAGGTCACAGGCAGATGTACTTTTTATAATGAATCAGTAACCTGAATTTCCTCCCCTCAGGGAGAACATTTTGTGAATTCCTGGGTCGGAAGAGAATTACCTATGGTGTCAGGTAAAACCTCAGGCACGTTCCAAACGCTTTGCTTGTTTCTTTCCTTTTTATGTCACTCCTCTCCGCCCATGTCTGTGTGTGCCACATGTGTACAGGAGATTTTGGAAGCCAGATTAGCAGCTCAGATCCCTTGGTGCTGGGGTTCCAGGCAGTTGTGAGCCACCTGATTTGGGTGCTGGGCCCTGAACCCAGTCCTCAGGAAGAGCGGCAAGTGCTCTTAACCCCGAGCCATCTCTCTCTCCAGTGCTGGTCCACCTGCTTTAAACATTACTTTCGTAAGTGATTTCCCTGTTATGGAATGACTGGCTCAGTGCTCACCCTCACTTGCTGCTCTTGCAAAGAGCAGCTGGAAAACTCTGCAAGTCCCATTGTAGAGGATCCAGTGCCCTCTTCTGACCTCCATGGGCTCTGCACACCTGTGCTGCAGTCAAACATGTAGACAAAACACCTACATCAAAAATAAAAGTAAATGAATCTTTAAAAGTAAGGGAATTTTAAATCCACACTCACTTCCTTACTCATTACTATGTGTGTGCACTCATGGGTCCCATGTGTCATGGTGCAAACATCAGAGGACAACTTATAGGGGTTGGCTCTCTCCTTCTACTGTGAGGGCTCCAGGAATTAATCAAAAGGTTGCCAGGCTTAGCGGCAAACATTTATACCACAGAGCCATCAAAGAGGCTTAGTTTTTAGCATAGGTGAGCATAGCTAACTATAGTAGGGCTGGTGCCATAACTGATGCTTCCCTTAAAACAACTAAAATCTTGGATAAAATGTTTTGGAAGCATTTTTATGGTGTTTCCTATCCGAGGCTGGCCTCAAACTTGAATGAACCTTGACTTTTGGTTCTCCTGCTGAGTGCTCATAGGAAGCTTCTCAGTGTCTAGGGATGGAACCCACCATGGACTTCCTGAATGCTAAGAGTGTGCTGTATTGACTGAGCTCCACCCCCAGTCCCCCAAAGCATTCTTCAGTGGCTCTGTGCACTGTTAAGTCACTAAGGAATAATCACATTAAAATGAGGTGACAGGTCTGCAGCTATTACTCACTTGCCTACCATGGGTAAGGCCCTGGAGGTTCCATCCCAGCACAGAAAGAAAAATAAAACCTTAGTGTCAGGGATTTAGCTCAGTTGTAGAGCACATCTCTAGCAAATAGGGCAGTCCCAGCAGAATTCAGGGACATGGGCAGGTAGACGGGATGAAAACAATTATAATTCAGTAAGGTCAACTGAGTGTGGTGCTCAATCCTGTCATTCCTGCTCTAGAAAGTGGAAAGAGGAGCTTGACTATGATATCAGGTTAGAGGCCAGTATAGGCTACATGAAATCCTGGCTCAAAAACAAGACTGAGAGGAAAAAAAATTCTAAGATTAGTGCCAAGTAATCACAGCACTAAGAAAGCTGAGACAGAAATAGCACAAGTTGAAGGATACTTTAGCTTAAGTTACAAAGCTAAACACTGTTCTCCTCAATACACATGGAGCTGAAGGGAAGTCTCAGATATTAAGGGTATTTGCTGTTCTTGCAGAGGACTCAGGTTCAGTTCAAAGTATCTACATGGTAGCGGCTTACAACTGTCTGTAACTCCATCTCCAGGGGATCTGGCATCCTCTTCGGGTCAACTGGATACATGCAGTATACATACATACACATAGGAAACACAATCACACACACACACACACACACACACACACACACACACACACACCATCCTCTAGCTAGACCCCCCATTTTGCAGTAATTTGCTGAAATGACAAACACAAAGGGAAAAGGAGAAGCAGTCAGGGTTTGTTCTCCAGGTCTTTAGAAGCGGAGCTGTTTCTTTGGCCACATATGCAAGAGTCTACAAGAATGGTGACATTGCAAACAAGGGAATGAGCTTCTCAAAAAGTTGCATGCTCATGAAAGTTACCATAGCAACCCTGGGAGAGTCCACAGTGTTCCCCAGCATGCTTTTGTCACTGGTAAACAAGTGAAGGGCATGGTTCCTGGGAAGAAATGTGCTGAGTATACTGAGCATATAAAGAACTATAAGGGTCAGGGCTGGGGCAATGAGTGCAGATTGCTTGCCTTGGAAACCCAAGGATTTGCTTTTTATCTCTAGAGCCCATGTGCCAAAACCAGGGGCCACTGTGCTTTGTAATCCCGGGACTGGGAAAGCAGAGACACATGGATGCCTGAGGTTGGACCACCTGGCCAGGGAAGTGAGACTCTCTCCCCTGCCAACGAGAGAGAACTAGGGAAAGTTGTCCTCTGACTTTCACAGGTATGAATGCGTACATTCACATGTACCTGCACACGCACGAACACAAAGAACCCTAAGTCCTCAGCTAGCTTCCTGATAGAGGTAAGGAAACAATCAGACAGAGAAGGAAGCCACCCTGCTCCAACAGGAGCACACGCCGTGTGAGCACTAAGGAAAACAGTGGAGCCTACCCCTATGCACTGTGTCTTAATAGAAGTCACAAGTAAAACAAAACAAAAGGCTTCTAAACTTTAAAGATCTTTTTCTCAATTAAATCAAAACGTGATGCGCTCTCCCCCAGAGGAGTATGTAAAGCAGCAAAACAACAACAGAATCTCAATCCTAGGCTAAGTGTGAACACAGGCAAGCAAGCTTCCATGGCGAGGAACAGCATGCAGAAGACACGTTCAGGGTCCAGAGGCCAGGACGAGGCAGGCCCCATGAGGTGGGGACCCCCCCAGCATGGTCGTCTCGAGGAGCAAGCTGTCACAGTGACTTTTTATGAGAGCCTGTCTCTAACCTTGACACTGACTCTGGAAACAGGAATCTCCTCTTGCTTTAGTCGGGTCCTGATCACCTAGGATCAAGAGGCAGTCTAAAGTTAAATCTGAACACATTGATCACACACAGACATGAACAGAGTGAATGGAGTACCCCAGCCTCTGCCACTCTGCTGCCGCAGTTCTAACACGGTCGCTCTTGTATCCTTTATTCCTTCATGCTTTTCTAAGCACCCTCCACGATGTTTACACAAGCAGAGGCCATCAGGGCTTCCCACCTACACACAGCTAGCTTGAACACTGTGATCAAAGCCTGCTGCCCTCACCTGTGTCTGTCTTCCCAAGCCTACAGCAATGACAGCGTCTTCGCTCATGAGGAACTAAGGCGGGACACTTTTAAGGACTGGCCCCATGAATCACCTGGGGCTGTTGAGGCTATGGTCAGAGCAGGCCTTTTCTACACAGGTGAGTCAGCTTTGTATTCTCTTCGTTTTTATATTTATGTGTGTGTGTGTGTGTGTGTGTGTGTGTGCGCGCGCGCGCACGCGCGCGCGCCACATGCCTATGTGATGACCTCAGAGGCCAGACAGGGTGTGGCTGCTGGAACAAACCCGACTCCTTTGTAAGAACAACAAATGTTCTTAAATGCTGAGCATCTCCCTGGCTCCTCAGTCGGTGTTTTTTGTCTACCACATGCTCTAATCCTGGCCTTGCATTTCTCTTTATACTTCATTTGTCATTGGTCTCTTTGGGAGTCCATAAGATCTCCAGTTTTCCATAGCTCAGCCTCTGAACTTGTGGGTTCTGCAGTGACTTCCTCCAACAGACATATTCCACTGGCACAAATGATCTTACCGTGGGGTCTTAACCCTTTGTCTCCTCTTGCCTGCCTTACTCCGAGCTCACGAATGACATGCTTCTATTTCTAGTGAAACACAGCCAGCAGCAGTAATGTGAGAAGAGACAAGTGATTCTTCGTAATCTAGCTCACATAGAGGCTCCTAAATGTGTTCTTCTGTCTCGCCCCCAGCTAAAAGTATATTCTTTCAATTTATTCATTAATCAAATGCTTGTTGATCGCCTACGTCTGTGAAAGCCACTAGTGTCCAAATCAGACAGAAATCTCTGCTCTCACAGAGATTGTGTTCCCAATTCTGATGACAAATCTTTCAGGATGATGGGTTTGGGAGAGGGTGCTCATCAAAGCCAAATGTGCACAGGGACATCCGAGGACTTTTCCCGACCACCCCCTTGAAGGATCAAGAGTCCTGCGTGAGCTGTGCCTGTCTTTGCCACTCAATCCAATTGCAGATGCAAGCAGGATTTCAGTGGTAAAATCTGGAGTTATTATCTGCTTGTGAGGTGACAGATGGGTGTGCTGTTGAACTGACCATATTCTCTTACTCTAGGCAAAAATGACACTGTCCGATGCTTTTCCTGTGGAGGATGTATGTGGAAATGGGAGGAAGGTGATGACCCATTAGAAGATCACACCAAGTTTTTTCCCAAGTGAGCAAAGTGAATTCTCTGACTTGGAATGTACTCCATCAGTTATTCCCTTACTGACCCTGCTTTACCTGTGGATAGTCCCTGGACACTCCTTTGGTTCCTTATATCTTCATGTCCTTTCTCCCATGACGCCCTAGGGCCCTGTTTAGTTTTTTTCTCATCATAGTTAGATCTTGGTTTTGGCTGGGTCCATACACACGCTTTTAAAGACAGGATCTCTCTCTGGAGCCCAGACCACTGTAGAAATGTTATCTAGCACAGTAGGACTTGAACCCATGATCCTCCAGGCTTAGCCTCTCAAGGGCTGGCACTATAGAGAGACACCACTGTACCTGATGATCCCATGCCTTTATGAGTCTTTTGATTGCAAGCTAGTTCCTCTGTCCTCATCTTTCTAGAATCCTTTAGGGTTTTCTATTGCTGTTATCTATGATTTGATTTTCTCAGCGGTTTTCTTTTTCCAGTGTCGGAGATGGATCCAAATGGTTTGGGCAAGTTAGACGATCCCTTTACTATTGAGCTACTCTCACCCCCTTTTAAGTCAAGTTTATTTTTATTTCTCTTCCTTCCAGAACTTTCTGTAGGGCTGGATTTGTAGATAGGTATTGTGAAAATCTGGCTTTGTCATTAAATATATTGTTTTCTCCGTCTTTAGTGATTGAGAGTTTTGCTGGGTATAGTAGCCTGGGCTGGCGTCCCTGGACTCTTAGTACTTGAGAACATCTATCCAGGACCTTCTGGCCTTGAGGGTTTCCATGGAGAAGTCAGGTGTAATTTTGATAGGTATGCCTTTATATGTTACCTGGCCTTTTTTCCTTTGTGGCTCTCAATATTCTTTCTTTACTCTGTATATTGGGTGTTTTGATTTTTATGTGTTGAGGGGTCTTTTTTCTTTGGTCCAGTCTATTTGGTGTTTGGTATGCTTCTTGTACTTTCATGGGCATGTCCTTCTTCAGATTGGGAAAGTTCTCTTGAATGATTTTGTTGAAAATGTTTTCTGCACCTTTGAGCTGGGCTTCTTCACCTTCCTCTATGCCTATTATTCTTAAGTTTGTCCTTTTCACGATGCCCCACATTTCCTTGATGTTTTGTGCTAAGGATTTGTTTAGATTTTCTTTGTTCGATGAATCTATTTCCTGTAGTTTATCTTCAGTGCTTGGGATTCTCTCTTCCATCTCTTGTATTTTGTTGGCTATGCTTGCATCTGTAGTTCCCGATCATTTGCCTAGTTTCTCTATTTCCAGTAATTCCTCAGTTTGTGTTTTCTTTATTGTCTCTATTTCAGTTTTCAAGTTATGAACTGTTTGAGTTGTTTCCTTCAACTGTTTGATTGTTTTTTCTTGGCTTTCATTACTTTCTTTAAGAGATTTGTTCATTTTTTGCATTTTTGCGTGGATTTTTCCTCTATTTCTTCCAATTTTTTATTTGTTTTTACTTCTATTCTTTAAGGGATTTTCTCATATCATCTTTGAGGGCCTCTATCATTTTTATGAAGATATTTTTAAGTCATTCTTTTCTGCTTCATCTGCTTTGGAGTGTTCAGTTATAGTTGGTGTAGAGTCCCTAGATTCTGGTGGTGTCATGCTTGTGTTTCTATTGTTAGGTGTTTTCTTGTATTGCCGTCTTCCCATCGCTTCGTCCAGTGGGTGCAGGTGGGGTCTCTCTCTCTCTCTCTCTCGCTACTCCCTCACCCCACCGTAGGCTTAGGCAGGTCAGGAGTTCCCTGTCTGTAGCTCTGGGTGGTTCAAGCTCTCTAGGAGGATTCTCCTCAGGCAGGGGCCCAGCGATGGGAGTCAAAGATTAGGCAGGCGGGGATTCAGGGTAGTCCTCCAGCAGAGGCCGGGTGATCTGATCATAGATCAAGCAGGTGGGGACTCAGGGTGGTTCCAGGTCTAGTGTACTCATAGCAGATCCAGGAAACTCCCGGGAGTTGGTGAGACCCAATCTTCATGTTTCTTTAAAACTCAATACAAGCACTTAATTGCACGAAACTATTTTATGACTTTTATCTCCCTGTTTAGCTGTGTATTTCTTCAAACCCTGAAGTCCTCAACAGAAGTGACTTCAGCCCTTCAAAGCCACTGCCCACTTCCAGAAGCCATGGTAATGGACACCGCCCCTTCTCTGCTTGGCTGTGTGTGGTCCTGTGATTGAACACTGTTTTGTTGAGCAATTGCCAACTGTAAATGTATTGTAACTAAATAAATTCTACAAGTGTCTAAAATAAGCACTCACAAGTGATAGGTATAAATAGGAACTTGACACTCGTTAGCTTCATAAAATGTACAGTCAACTCTTCCTCCTATGAGAAGTCTGTAGTTGAAATTCTTTAAGCCTTACTCCTGACAAACATCCAGACTAACTGGACCCATCTGTGATCTTCAGAGGATAGTAGGCTTGTCTTCTTGCTTCTTTTGAGATACACAAGGCAAGTTTTATTTTGTTTGGTGGGAATTATGTTAGGAACAAATTCTCACTGTGTAGCCTACGCTGACTTTGAACTTGCTATGTTCAAATCCCAGACTGGCTGGGAATTGTGATCTTCCTGCCTCAGCCTTCCAAATGCTGGGATCCCAGGGGTCCGCTGCCATTCCCATTTGATTTTTGTACTTTATTGCAGTGCAGTTTGTGTAATAACTGCTCTGTGTCCGGGCTTATGATATGAAGCATGTAGTTATATAATAACCAAAGATGGACGGAATATTTAATGATTTTTGCAGGGCCATTCTTATTCTACAACTTATGATTTTGATTACCCACATAGCACCCACCATAGAGAGGATGTATGTATCACATATGTACCATCTAGGAACACACTCTTGCAGATGTGTGAGATTTATTCTTCCATATGTAGAGCACTCCTTCCTTCAACAAGCGCCGAGTGTAGGCTGTGTTTAGAAGATGTTGGGTTTTGATTGATTATATTATCAATTTGATTGATAACACTGATATATAATGCTGATAATCAGATAATACTGATAATATAATATGCAATCTTGATTTAAGACCCAGTTTTGATTTAATACACGGTTTCTCTTTCAAAGGACCCCACAGGCGGAGGCCATCATGAGGGTGGAGCGGCAGCCCTCTCTCCTGGGGTCGGTAAGAACTTGAAAGCAACATGGATCATGTGGGTTTGTACCTAGGGATGGAAAGGAAAGGGTATTTCTAGTTGTCCAAGGAGCTCCTAGAGAGGCGAGTACTAACATGGAGGAGTTCTGTGGATGACAGAGTGTCAGCATTCCTGTGACATCTTGAGAATGGATGCAGGATGAATGACAGCAGTCCTGTGTCAGATCCAAACCAGCCAGTGTTGAGGCATCATGCCACAAGCTGGTTTCCTGAGATCTAAAATGGAAACTAGGGTGCCAGAGTAATCTTAAGAGAACACATTATGTCTAAGTCCCAGGCCAATAGGAGACTTGGACACATGATCAGACATGAAAAGGTCTGAGAGGATCCCTAGGGAGAACACGGACGTTGGAGGAAAGTCCTAACCCATCCATAGCAGACAGGCAAACCATGTAACAAAGAACAGAGCCTTGGGATCGAGAGGTTTGACTGCATTTCCTACTGGGTCTCCCCTTCTTTCCCCCACAGAAGTTGCTCCAAGTGAAGCCCAGGGACGTGAATGTCCATCGAGCAGTGCCTGCCTCCTCCCCACAGACCTGGCTCAGAACGAAGCCCAGTGGCTTCAAGAGGCAAAGAGTCTGAGTGAGCAGCTGAGAGCAGCCTACACCAAAGCCACTTTCCGCCACATGGATTTGCCAGAGGTGTGTTCCGGCCTAGGCACTGACCACTTGCTCGGCTGTGATCTGTCCATCGTCTCGAAGCACATCAGCCGGCCGGTGCAAGAGGCCTTGATGCTCCCCGAGGTCTTCACCAGTCTCAACGCTGTCATGTGTGTGCAGGGGGAAATGGGCAGTGGGAAGACCACCCTCCTGAAGAAAACAGCCTTCCTCTGGGCATCAGGGTGCTGTCCCCTGCTGAACAGGTTCCAGCTGGTCTTCTACATCTCCCTTAGTTCCACCAGGCCAGACCAGGGACTGGCCAGCATCATCGGTGCCCAACTCCCCGAGGCAGAAGGAAGCATTAGTGAAGTGTGCCTGAGCGGCAGCATCCGGCACTTAAAGCACCAGGTGCTGTTCCTGCTGGATGATTTCAGTGGGATGGACTCTCTGCCCCAAGCCATAGCAACACTGATTACAAACAACTACTTGTCACAGACCTGCTTATTGATCGCTGTCCATACCAACAGGGCCAGGGCCATCCGCCCATACCTAGATACAATTCTAGAGATCAAAGATTTTCCCTTCTACAATACTATCTCTGTACTACGGAAGGTATTCTCACACAATATTATCTGTGTGCGAAGGTTTATAAATTACTTTGGCATGAATGAGGATTTACAGGGAATTCACAAAACCCCCCTCTTTATGGCAGCAGTCTGTATTGACTGGTTTCAAAATCCTTCTGACCAGTCCTTTCATGATGTGGCAGTTTTCCAGTCCTATATGAAATACCTTTTCTTAAAGCTCGAGGCTACAGCTGAGCCTCTCAAGGCCACTGTGTCCTCGTGTGGCCAGCTGGCCTTGAGAGGGCTTTTCTCGTCTTGCTTTGAGTTCAGTGGTGAGGACCTCACAGAAGCAGGAGTAGATGAAGATGAAGATCTGAACACCTGCTTGATGAGCAAATTCACGGCCCAGAGACTGAGACCAGTCTATCGCTTCTTAAGTCCTTTGTTCCAAGAGTTTCTTGCTGCCATGAGGCTGACTGAACTCCTGGGTTCAGAAAGAGAGGAAGACCAATGTCTGGGGCTTGATTATTTGAGACAAATTAACTCTCCCTTGAAGGCTGTGAGTGTCTACAACAACTTTTTGAAGTATGTCTCCAGCCACCCTTCATCAAGGGCAGGGCCAAAAGTTGTGTCTCACTTGCTTCGGTTGGTGAGTGATAAAGAGTCGCTGGAGGACATGTCTGAAAAAGAGGATCATGGGAAGGTCCATCCAGAAACTTCCGAGAGGATGCAGATTGTTAGGGGTTTGTGGCAGGTATCTCCTGAAGCTTTCTCTTCGTTCGTCTCAGAAAATTTACTGAATATTGCTCTAAAGTTTGCTTACAAAAGCAATGCAGTTGCTGCGTGTTCTCCGTTTATTTTGCAATTCCTTCAAGGAAGAACACTGGCTTTGAATGCACTGAATTTACAGTACTTTGGGGACCACCCAGAAAGCCTGCTACAGTTGAGGAGTGTACAGGTCTCCATAAGTGGAAATAACAGAGTGAGGAGTATAGATTTTTCATCCATGGAAAAATGTTTTGAGAAAGTCCAGCCACCAACTATAGATGAGGAGTATGCATCTGCCTTTCAATCTGTTAATGAATGCGAGAAAAATTTGTCTGAAAAAGAGGCTATAATAAAGAACTATATGGATATCCAGCACCAGGCCCCACCCAACATCAGTGCTGGGTACTGGAAACTGTCACCCAAGCTGTACAAGATCCCTAGGCTGGAAGTTGGAGTGGCCTACATGGGTCCAGCAGACCATGCACTGCTCCAGGTCCTGACGGAAGTCTTCTCAGCATCGCAGGATATCGAGCTCCGCTGATGCACAGCAGCGGCTTTCTGGAAAGCATCCGCCCTGCTCTGGAGCTGAATAAGACCTCTATCACCAAGTGCTCCCTGTGCAGACTGAGGCTCAGCCAAGCAGAACAGCAGCTGCTTCTCTCCCTGCCTGCCCTGCGGTCTCTTGAGCTCTCAGGGATAAACCAGTTTCCAGGTATCCCTGAGTGTCACACAACCTCTCTGCTTGACACCGTGTTTTCTCGTTCTTAGTTTTAGATGGATGAAACTTCTCGGGCACAAGGTCATGAATGTGTCCTGATAGAAGAGCCTAAACACTTTCACTGTCTGGGCCAGTGGATAAATCAGTGAAAGGCCCCGATCATAGGGTGGGTTTGAGGTAACTCAGAAAAACTAGGAAAACCTTACCATTGGTAATCATTTCTCAAGCTTGTTAGTGAGGGAGTTTCAACTACTTGTTACTGGTAAATGATGGTGTCTATGTAAGACAGTGCTTAGAATCATCTGCACCCTGACTGCCTGAAGGAGAAGGGGGATGGGCTTAGCTTCTCCTGAAAAGGAAAAGTGGGAACACTAAAGTCTTACTTAGGTTTCTATTGCTGTAATAAAACATTCTGACCAGAAGCAAGTTGGGGAGAAAGGGCTTTTCTCACCTTACAACTCCCAGGTCACATAGTCCATCACTGAAGTCAGGAACTCAGACAGGAACTCAGGCAGGAACCAGGAGGCAGGAACTGGAGAAGAGACCAGGGAGGCTGCTTTCTGGTTTCCTTCCATGGTTGCATATACAGCAGACTTCTTTTTCTTTCTTTGTTATTTTATTTATTTATTTATTTATTTATTTATTTATTTATATTTGGTTTTTTGAAACATGGTTTCTCTATATTGTTGTGGATCATTCCTGGAAATCCCTCTTTAGACCAGCTGGACTCGAACTCACAGAGATCTGCCTGCCTCTGCCTCCCAAGTGCTGGGATTAAAGGCATGTGCCACCTACACCCCAGTTTACAGCTGACTTTTTATTTGGCAACTACCTACCTGCCCAGGAGCACTGTCCCCACTGAGCTGGGCCCTTCCTCAAGAGCCTTTATTTAAGACAATACCTTACAGACTTTCCTACAGGCAACCTGATGGGTCATTTTCTACACTGAGGCTCCTCTTCCCTGGTAACCCTAGCCTGTTTCAAGTTGACAGAAACCAACAGGGCAACATTATCTGCCCTCAGTTGTGTCTTCCTTTAAGTAATATTTGATAGTTTTCAATACAGACTGTACCTGACTTTCATTAAATTTGATTACAGGTTCTTATGAGTTTTGATAGCCCTGCAATGCTTGTTTTTTTTTTTTTTTTTTTTTTTAGCTCTTCATAATCATAACTAGTCTAAGCTTTTGTCTTTAGCTTTCTGTTAGAAATGCTTTACTTGTCTATATCTTTGTGTCTTACTTTTTTTAATAGTGCAAGGCGTGTGCTGAGTGTGCGTGTGTGTGTGTGTGTGTGTGTGTGTGTGTTTGCAAATATGTGCATCTGCATGTGATCATGCTACAGCATGTGTCTGGAGGTGAAGGGACAACCTCAGGATTGCCATTCTTCCTTCTGCCATGTAGATATCAGGGACTGAATGAAGTTGGCAGGGTTGGGACAAGTGCTCTTTCTCATGGAGCCATATATCTGTGCCATACGCCCCTCTTGTGTATGAGACAGTCTCATATAGCCTAGGCTGGCTTTGAACTCAATGTGTGCAGTGGGAACACTCAGGAAAAGAAGAGAGTCAGGACTTCTGTAGTCAGTAATATTCCATTGTGTGTGTGTGTATGTGTATATATCAGTGAGTGTGTCTGTGTATGTATGTATGAGAGTGTGTGTGTGTGTGTGTGTGTGTGTGTGTGTGTGTGCTGTTTTGCTTGTCCTTACATCCATTGATGAGCACTGGTTGTTTCCATTTTCTGTGTATTATAAGAATGCTGTCATGATCATTTGTGTTAAAAGTATCTGTTTGATCCCTACTGTCAGGTGTTTTGGGAATATGTCTAGGAGTAGAATTGCCTGTTCATATGGCAATTCTAATGTTTTGAGACAGAGTCTCACTCTATAGCCTAGGCTATCCTTGGAACTCACTATGTAACACAGGCTGGCCTTGAACTCATGGTAACCTTCCTCCCTCAGACCCCCGGCCACTGGTGTTACATCTTCTGAATGTTAGACCTCTTGAGGAAGCTCCCAGCTGTGTTCCGTAGAGGCTACCCCATTTACTCTCCCACCTGCAACGTGCACGTCTCCAGGCCTTCCTCGGCTTCATTTTTCCTTTGCTGTGTCATGAGCATATTCTAGTGAGTCAGCATTCTCTTATGACTGAGTATATTCTCGACTGCTCATCTGGATTTTTATTTTATTTTTAGAGATGTCTATTCAAATTCTCTGTAATTTAAAAGATTTGCCTAAAAATATTTGAGTCATTCTTTTGATATTAACACTCCAAAGGCTGAGGTAGGAGGACTGCCATGGGCCTGAGGCTTGTTCTACATAGCGAGTTCTTGACCAACCTGGGCAATAGAGCAAGACCCTTTCTCAAACAAAAGAAAACTATTCTGTTGTAGGAGTTCTTGGTGTATCGTGAATACTAAGCTCTCACATTGCAAGGGGAGAATCTCACTGAGAAAGCACTTGCCCACCAGGTTCAAGGCCCTGGGTTCTTTCTATCCCTAGAATGGCAAAAATGAATCTTATCAAACCCCTTATCAGACATGTCGTTTGAAAACTGTTTTCTCTTATTCTGTAGATTGTCATTTCATGTCTTTAATGTCCTATGATGCATGAACGACTGTTAATTTTGATGAGGTTTAATTTATCTTTTTTCTTGCTACTGTTTTTTATAACATATTTAAGGATCCAAAGTTGTGATGGTTACCTGTGAGTGTTACAGCTCTGGAGAGAAAGATATCCTGACTTGTTGGGAAGTCAGGCTATACCTGAAGCTGTGAAGGGTCAGCTCTAGAGGGAAAGGTACCCTGACTTGGCAGGAAGTCAGGCTATACCTGAAGCTGGGGTGCAGTAGAGGATGTAGCAATCCTACTCTTCTCCAAGTCAGAGCCAGGACCAACAGAGGTATCCATTTCTTCTCAGCTCTGTCCCAAGATACTACTTCTGCTTCATTATGCTGAAAGGGAAACCCTGCAGAAATACAGCAATCTCCTCTGGCTCCCGACAAGTTGTTACTTTTTCTGCTCAGCACCCCCAAGGGAACATCTCAGCAAAGCTTCTGCTCCAAGTTGTTAGTTCCTCTGTTCAGCACCCCCAAGGGGGTGTCTCAGCAAAGCTTCTGCTGCACTTGAAAACGATCTTCAGGAAAAACTCTTTTAAGAAAGAGATTTTTTTTGGGCTGGAGAGATGGTTCAACTGTTAAAGGCTAGGCTCACAACCAAAAATATAAGAAAGAAATTTATTTGGGAAGGAGTCCGGGAGGGTGGCTGCCCCTGCCTGGGTGGGAAAGGGAAGCCAGCAACTGAACGGGCACGAGACTTACATAGGGCTTCTTAGGGGCAGAGATTTTTCTCCAGGGAGATGATTTTTCTGCTTAGGGAGTGGGTAGTTTTCCTGCTCAAGGACTGGTTGGTTTAGTTGCTCAAGGGGCAGAGTTGGATCTGCTTTCAAAGCCAAACTGTGTTTCTTTTACTGGCCCTTTCAAGGTTTTTTTGGCTCGTTCGAGGTCCAGGGCGTACTTCTTTTACTGTCTCTGATTCTAGGGCCAAAGTGTATTTCTTTGGTTCTGATTTCAAGGTCAGGATGTGTTTCTTAGATTCTGGGTTCAAGTGTTTCTATCATAGGCTCTGTGTTCAGATCCAGGGTGTGTTTCTTTGGCTGCCTCTTTTTACCCTACATTATCTGTTTCCTTCTAAGAATTATATGTGCTTTTAAATTTTTATTCTATGTGTCTTTTACATGTATCTCGATCCCATTCATTTCCCTGTCCCTTTGCATCTTCCCCTCAGTCCCTGCAACCCCACACACAAATAAAACATTTAAGAGAAAAAATAAAAAAGGGGAAAAAATTAAACATCTCATCATGGAAGCTGCAGGTGTAGTGTGACACAGTGAGTCACACCATAGGCCATAAATCTTTGTCCATAAATCTTTACTTGTTCATTGCAGTGAGTCATGAGTCTGGTGTAGGTAGAGTTTCTTGTGCCTCAGCAGCTGCTCCCAAATAACCACTCAGAGGTTCAATATTAATTATAAATGCTCGGCTGATAGCTTAGGCTTGCTACTAACTAGCTCTCACAACTTAAATTAACCCATTTCGATTATATGTTGCCACATGTTTCCTTGCTTGTTACCTCACTTTATGCAGGTCCTGCTCCCTCTGTGCCTGGATGGCAGCTCCTCTGACTCTGCCCCTCTTCCCAACATTCTCTCCACCCTGAAAATCCTCCCTAGCTATCAGCCAACCAGCTTTTTCTTAACAATGAGAGCAATACAAGATTGTTCCATGTACTACACTGTCAATGCTCAGTCCTCATTAGGATCTTCCTGGATGTCCTGTGGTTGCCCTGTGTCATGAAAATGCTGCAGCTTTAGGTCTGAGGATCAGTTCCTTCCCGTGCTCCAGCAGGTCATTGATGGGGTGGATTTGGGGGTGGCAGAAATTATAACCCAGGTACTGGGCTGGAAAACTGCAAGGCTGGCCCACCAGGTGAGAAATGGGACAGTTCTCCCATGCTTACAGCTTTAGGGCTGGCTCACCCACATCTGTACGAATAGATTTGGCTCTCCTGCTCTTATGACCCCAAAGCCTGCTCACCCACCTGCCCCAGGCATTGGTTTTAGTTTCATTTAGTGTCATTAATCCACTATAAGCTATCTTTTATGAGTTGGAAGCAAGAGTCCAACTGTGTTCTTTAGCTTGTGCAAAACCATTTGTTCCCACACTGTTGGTTGGGGAGGTGCTGAGGGATCCCAGCAGGTGCCGTAAGGGAAGCTGACCATGAGAAGAGACAAGAATGAAAACCCCATCAACCCGGATCAGACTTCAGGGAGTCTAATAGCAGGCAGTTTATTCCCAGGGTTTTTAAGCCCAGTATAATTTGGGGGGGAGGGGAAGTTTCATGGTGTAATACAATGCCCAAAGCACAAGGAAGTGTAATTACTTTGAAACTTGACTCAGGGTAGATGTTATCTCTTCCAAGAAGATGGGGTCTGGAGGTAGGCTACCTGTCCTAGCTTAAGGGCCTAAGGGTCTAGCCTGGTCTACGTCCTACAGATAGCATTAGTGGGCATTTGGGCTATCAGTCACATGTGGTCCAGCTGTGGGAGGACCTCTAGCAACTGGGTCATTTAGATGGCTAGCCACCTCCAGTCTTGGTTGTAGGAGTTTGATATGGCCTGGCCCAACAGATGACACAGATCACCAGGCTGTTCATCACTTCCAATTCCCAGCTTCCTGGATGGAAGAACGGAGTTTTCATTTCTGCCGCTGGAAAACTAGTTCTGTATGCTTAACATCCCTGGTTTCTCTGGAGATCTGTGGGAGCAAGCACCTTCATGCTATGCTCCCAACAAGATGTCTTATTTATTTTGTGAGTCTAGAGAGCAGCACAGCGCCTCCCCTGTGCTCTACAACCAGCAGATGCTGCAGATGGGGAATCTCCGTGGATGTGCTTCCTAAACAGGTGTTAGCATCTCAGAGCAGTTTCCTTATGAGAATATCTAAACATCACAGCATGCTTAAGAACTCCCACGTGGGTCTCTTGAGTGATGGAAAGTGTGTGCTGCCTTCCAGATGAACTCTTCGCTCACTTGGACAAGTTCCCGAGCCTCAGAGAACTGTCTGTGAGATTAGATGGCCAACCAGGTGTGCTGTCTGTCATCCCTGGAGACCTCCCTAACCTCCACCACATGGAGAAGTTATCCATCCAAACTTCCACAGAGTCTGACCTCTCCAAACTGGGTAAGGATGGTTCGAGGCTCTGCCAGATCACGGTTCAGCTGACAAAGCTACTTGGCTAACAATCGTTAGAATCATTAAATCATCAGTAGTTAAAACTTCTGTGGGCCTGACAGTGTGAACCATGGGAAGTGTCCATGGGAAGGTGCGGGACAGCGCTGTTCCTCAGTAAGAGGGCAGACATGTATTTGTAACCCTGAGTCCTTAACATGACTGGAACTGTTCTGAGCTCTTTACAAATTCCAACTCATTCTTCATACCACTGTGTGAGAGAAGTCACAGTGGTTATTGCTGATTTTACCTGGGAAAATTGAGTCAGCGATTGCTCAGGTTTATCCCACTAAGAAAATGTATCTTCAAAAGAGAAGGTTTGACTCCACGCCCTGAGCTTTAAACTCCCAACACATTTCCTCTCTAAGGCAGTTTGTGGAGTACTTTTCTTTCCCTGATGTTTTAAGGGCACTTACATGTCTGCCTGCTGAGGGGAAGGAAATCTGACTGGGGGCAGCCTGGACCTTTCCTCCATTTTCTGCATCCCAGCCTCCTGTTGATGGACAGCTGTGCAGCCATCTTTCTAGAAAATGACCCTTAGCGAAATGACTCAAGCACCATCAGATCCTTAATCTGGAAAACCCTGAACACTGAGATCTAAGGAAATGGAAAAGGGGACCAGAGTAGGGCATGGTTGCTCATGCCTGTAATCACAGCACTTGGGAACTATGGAGGAGAGGAATCTGATCCAGAGAGGGTCAGGGACTTGCCCCAGGTCATCTGCTCCCTAGTCAGTTGCAGAGCTGAGCACACGCCCAATGTGGCCAAGCACTGCATCACTGCATCACAGCATCACAGCCTGTTTAATCACTGTGGCTGCAGATTATGGATTGACAGTCCAGTTCAGATAGGAACTTGTAACCTCTAATTTCTGAAAATCCTTCCTCTTTTCCAGTTAAATTGATTCAGAACTCTCCAAATCTTCATGCTTTCCACCTGGAATGTGACTTCTTTTCGAATTGTGAGTCTCTCATGACCGTGCTTGCTTCCTGCAAGAAACTCAGAGAGATTGAGTTTTCTGGACGATGCTTCGAAACCATACCATTTGGTAAGAACAGTACATCTCTGACTTCAGATCCTCCTGAGCACTAAAAACTAAAATGCAACTGATGTCACAGAAACTGTGACAGCACCTGACTTCAGCGAGTTTTTCACAACAATGACACGCACCTGTGTCTACAGTGTAAACATTTCATTTTCAGAGTTGTCTCCTCTGCTAGTCATAGTAATTCAATCTGAATAGCATATCACCTTTCATCACTTTTGAGACACTCTTATCTCAACAGGACTCCTCTGTGTCACAGACAATGTATCTGAACTAACTAAATTTATTTCCCTTTCCTAGTCACCATTTTGCCAAGTTTTGTTGCTCTGAAGATACTGAATCTCAATCGCCAACAATTTCCAGATAAAGAAACCTCAGAAAAGTTTGGTAAGTTTATAAAACAGCATTTCTTAATATATTCCTTATCCTCCCCCTCCTCCTCCTCCTCTTCCAGTGAACCTACAACAAAGCAAGCTGTGTACAGCCGTCCCTTGGCATCCATGGGCCCAGGGCCTCTGCTGAGGATCCTCCACTCTATGATATAAAATGGTGCTGTGTTTGCCCATGACCCCACTTACCCTCCATATACTTTAAACCATCTCCCAGTTGCTTACAATGCCTGCCGCAATGTAAATGCAATGTAAACTAGTGTTACACTGTGTTGTTCTGGGAATAATGATGAGGAGAAATGTCTGCACACATTTGGCACAGACATGATTCTTAAAAATAGAACCTGTGGTTGGTGGAATGTGCTCATACAGAGGGTCAGTTGTACCAGCCATGCTGGTCCTTAGGAAGACACCATAGTGATGCCCGTTTCCCCCCAGATGCCATCACTGTTGGTCCCACCCATCCCCACACTTGATCTCATTAAATGCAATGTTGTCAGACTCACAGCACGGTATAACTTCCTTGACTGGCATGCACTCCAAGCATGCTATGTCCTTTTTGTTTCAGTGATTTCAGAATACATATTAAAACTTCTGTTTAGTTTAAGAAAACTAAACTGTGGTAAACCATATTGAACAAAATGATAAGTGCAGAGAGTTTAAATACTTTTGTAAGTTAAAAAAAAAACGTTTAGAAAAATAATGTGCTTACTTGGCAAACACTAGCAGGCTTGAGAAAAAACGCAGGGGGGCAGGGCTGCCGAGGGATACAGAGCTCTGTCTTCACAGTGCCTCTCACTTTAGTGTGCATGGAAGAGCCCCACTTCTCCCTTCTGTGGAGGCAGCTGCTGTGGGTTTGCTTTCGTTTTGGAGATGCTGGTAGCCGGGTGAGGTAAAGCAGCAGAGACAACATCGTATCGCGGTCACATGGCACAGGGTAACCATGTAAAATACTCACTGACCAGAGTAAAAGTCAAGTTTCTCCACTACTGGAAAAGAACATTGCAAGAATAAAACAGGAGGCTGGTTAGCCCCAGACATAAGGAAGCCAGTATTTGGATTCATGTACCCAGCATGGAATCCTTTTTTTTTTTTTTTTTTTTTTTTTTTTTTTTTCCTTTTTAAAAATGAGTACTTACTAGTACATATTGAGGATTTTCCTCTCAGAGGTCTGTCAAACTTATAGATTTTTCAAGAAAAAGGCTTGGGAGGTGGCTCAAGCAGTAAGAAGCCTGGCACCAAGGTTGACAATCTGAGTTGGATCCCTGGGACCCATATGACAGAAGGAGAAAGAGCCCACCTCAGCAAGCTGTCCTCTGCCTCTAAACCCCTGAACTGATACCATGCCACACTTAGGTCAACAAACATGTGCACATATAATAAATGCATACAGATATAATTTAAGTTGTTTTTAAATGCCAGGAAGAAAGAACCACAAATTGGAAATATTGGTGCAGACTCAGGTTAGCCCATAAACGTACATAAATGCATATACATATGTAGAAATCTACGTTTCTATACACAGGTAGCTCTTGGGACAGTCATGTGAGAGACTAGAATGTACTTTACTAGTAACAGGCACCAGTGCTCAGTCGCTCATTTCTTTTCTATTTTAAACAGTTCTGTTTTCTGTACACAGAACTAGGATTATTTCTTTCAGTGGGTAGATGTCTCAAGTAACCCATTTAAGAAAGATCACTTAGAACCTGGGAGGTACATGTCCGTCATCCCAGCACTAGGAGGATGAGACAGGGGGATTAGGAGTTCCAGGCCACCCTGAGCTATAGAGTAAGACTGCCTTTTAAAAGCCCCAAAGAAATCATTTAACCCACTTATATCCCATGCATACTAATACTGTCAGTAGTTTTAGCAGATATGATAAGGACAAGAAAGTCCCTGAGTTTTCGCAGGTGGCTTAGAGAGCTGCTGGCCACCACTCTAGAAACAGTGGCTGTGTCAACTGCCCAAATCCCTGGACTTGGTTTCTTTTCATTCAAGGTAGCAGGGATTTAGTTTATTTATAATGCCTGCATGTACACTTGCAGGCCAGGAGAAGGCACCAGATCTCATTACAGATGGTTGTGAGCCACCATATGGTTGCTGGGAATTGAACTCGGGACCTCTGGAAGAGCAGCCAAAGTTTTTAGCCACTAAGCTATCACTCTAGACTCATCCCTGAACCTAATTTCTAATTACCCGTTCCTAAAAGAATCAGAGTCTATGAAAACATGGTTCATTCAAGAACCAAAACAGGGAAAGCCAAAGATAAATCTAGAACATTGGTCCATGCCAGAAAGTTTTCACAGTAGTTTCTGAGGGCCTCAGAAGTAGGCTTAGTGACCATGTGATGCAGAGTCCTGCTAAGCAAGAGTGAACCTGGGAAGGAAAGCTGCCCTGGTGCCTGGTGTGGGTCCTCAGCGTGGAATCGCTGGGTGACAGCAGGAGGTGGGGGATGGTAAAGAAGGGTGTGGAGTGAAGGCTCCGTGGAGTCAGTAGTGTGGCCTGAGGCCAAAGGAAGGCTGGCTGTGGGAAAGGAACTGGAAATGGAGACACAGCCTGGACTTGTGTGGAGGGACTGGTTGGGGGAGGAGGAAGGGGCCGGCTTCAGAGAGCAGCAGGAGCGCCCCTGTGCCTTGGAGAGGACAGTGACCAGGAGGGGCTCTGCTAGGTGGGGCCTCTAGACTGCAGAGTGTCCATGTCATCAGCTGCTCATGAGGGGACAACTACTGAGGATGGCTGTGTTGTCTCCCTCAGCGCAGGCTCTGGGTTCTCTCAGGAACCTGGAGAAATTGCTGCTTCCCACTGGGGACGGGATTCAGCAAGTGGCCAAACTGATTGTCCAGCAGTGCCTGCAGCTTCCGTGTCTGCGAGTCCTTGCCTTTACAGAGACGTTGGATGACGACAGCGTGGTGGAAATCGGTGAGTTTAAAAGAGAGAGTTTCCCCTTGGGCAGAAGCCAGCAGCATCATTGGCGCTGCATGCTGCAAATGTCTATAAAAACATCAACTTCCAAACCGTTCAACCTACTTCCTCATGTCCACTCTCCTGCTGCACCTCTCGTGCCCTTCTGCACATCTGGTTCATCCTGGGCGGGCCAGTAGCCTCTTTGGGGAGCTACATCCAATCTGTGTTTTTGTTTTCCCAGCGCTGGGCCTCGCTGATGCATCTAGGCCAGTGTTCTATGCTTTACCACGGCCCAGGCCCAGGCAAGTCTGTATGACACAGACTCCTGTTTTACAATCCTGGCAGGATGCTCTTTTTATATGTATGTATTTACAATATGCATCGGAAGGTATAGAAGTCTACAGAGCTCAACAAGATTCTTCAGTTCACGACCTTGGAGATTTTGTTGTCTGAGTCAATTAAATCAATTAAATCCGGATTGGAACACAGACCAATCCCCAAAGAAATAATCGATCGATCTCTGCCACCTTGTTTACCTTCCCTATAGCTCTAGTTTGCCTTTATATGGTGAAGCTAGGTGCACAGCACATGCAGAGTTGTGAGATCTTTCTGGTACAGCAGTGCTCTCCACCTGTGAAGGCACTTCCTGCCTTACTTCCCACTTCCGGTACATTAATATGGGGCCCCAGCGGTCTCTCCATGTCTTTTTTCCTGCTTTAAATCTATGCGAGTCTCTTCAATAGTTACATCGTTTTATTTTGCAAGTTGAGTCTCGGAAGGATTTCTATTCATAAAGTGCTTGCCTGACATGCCGGGAGCACTGGGCTTGATCGCCAGCACAACATCCAAGCAGGCATAGCGGTTTTAGTGGTGTACACCTGTAATGCCAGCACGGAGGAGGTAGAGGCAAGCGGGCCACCATCATCCAGGTCATGATCCTTGCCCACAGTGACGTAGGGGCCGTCCAGCATGCGCTACAGGAGACCCTGTCTCTAAGCAAGCAAAGCCCCACAATCACCAAAATAATAAACGGTGCAGACCTAAGCTTGCAGTGATGGCTAAGTCTATAAGGTGCCCCCATGAAGTACTCAGTGTGATATGCAGCAAGCTCCCAGGAGGGGCGCTAAGGAGCTGAGGAGAGGAGAAGCTACAGCACTTACTAGCCAGACAATCCAGTGGGATCATTGAGCTCCAGGTTCAGAGGAAGGCTGGTCTCAAAAAGGAAGGAGGAGCACAGGACACCGTCCATCATTGACTTGTGGCCTCCGCAAACACCCACACATGCATGTGCATCACGCACACCCCCCCCACACACAATACCGACATTTAAAATAAAAATCCAGTCCATTAATCTTTTACTCATATCGAATATACTTGTAACTACAGTTGAATTTTTACCTTTTGTTTTGTAGTCAGTGACTGTTGATTAATAGTTCAGCCCAGTCTTTGCCTTGCTATGTACCCCTCAATGGCCCTGAACTTTCTATCTCCTTGCATCATCTGCCCCCCCACCCCCAGAGCTGAGACGGCAGGGTGTGTCAGTCCTCGCTCTGTGTATTTTTATGTGTGTTGGTGTATTTCTTCCACAGGACATGTGTGGGTTTTTTTTTCCTCTGCTTGTTTGCTTCCTACAGTATTAGCTCATTAATTACACACTTTCTTTTCCTCCAGCGGGCGGTTAGGTAGGGTCTATTCTGCAGTCCAGGTTAGTTTCACACTCGCTATGTAATTCATAGCCATCCTCCTCCTCCAGATTTCAAAGCTTGCTGTGGCTGTGCATAGTCCAGCTCTACATTTTTCCTTTTTCAGTATTATCTTGGATAATAAAATCTGCAACGTGAATAACATAAACTAATATGCGAATGAATACTTTACCACTTTATGAGTCAGGTGTCCCTGGGATGTTTGAGTTCCATTTTCCTGGGTTGTCAAGATGGCGTAACAGGTAAAGGATTTACTGCCAAGCCTGAAGACTTAAGTTTGATCCCACAAGATGAAAGACCAGAATTGACTGTCCAAAATTGTTCTCTGACCTACATGCTGTCAGACATGGACACACACACACACACACACACAAACACTAAAAATACTTAGATTACATTCGCCTTCTACCCTTCTGCATGTCATTTATTTTAGTTTCTACATGTATTTTAACCCTTCAATTAGTATTCTTTTTAAAATTTTTATTTTACATCTCGATCCCAGTTCCCTCTCCCTTCCTCCCTCAATTAGTATTTTAAACAGTTCTGGGCTTAGTATTCTCAAGCTAGATTTGTTTATTCATTTAGTTTCTATTGTTGTTTTTGAGACAGGGTCTCCTATGTAGCCCAGACTAGTTAAAAAAGAGAGAAAGAAAGAAAACCACAAATAAACAAATAAACAAACACAAACTTGCCATGACCTTCCTACTTCTGTGTCCTGAGTCCTGGTGGCCCCGGCTCTGTGCCAGCTGCAATGTAGTGATTCTGGCTCTGTTGCCCCTGGGCCTCCCATGTTCCCATTCTCCAGGGTCCCTTTCCTTCTGCCCAATGGACTCTGTTAGCATTTCTTCTATACTGGGTCAGCTAGTTATGACTTTTCTCCCATTCTAGTGACGTAGAAATGGCTTTTGCCTTCACCTTTTCAATACTTTTTTAGAACATTCTATTTTGGAATTACTTTCACTAAGGTTTCTGGCCTGTTTCATCTCTTTTGTTTAGTGTCAGTTCTGAGTTTTTCACTTAAGGGTGAGATGTCTTTTTCCCCAACTCACTAGCTTTTAAGATTTCCTTTTTTCCCCCTAACAGACTCTCACTATGTAGCCCAGGCTGGCCTAGAACTCCTGAGCATCCTGCTTTGGCATCTAGAGCAGCTGGAGCTAGCAGCTTTGCTTTGTGGCAGTTGACATAAATTTTGTTTTGTCTTCCCAAAGTTTGTATGTTGAAATCCTAATCCCAAAGTGACTGCATTTGCAAATAGTTATGCCCACCAAGGCAACTAAAACAGCAGCTGTGTTCAGCATGACTAGGGGGTAATTATTCTACTTGGGGTATACAGAACTGTCAGTTTTAGGGCATTCTTGGTCAATACCTTCTACCAAATTCTTCATTGTTTATTGTTTGCTTCTGCATACAGTAGAGCTCAACCTCACTTGGGGCCGGGGAAGGTCTGTGGAAGTGAGGTTCCTGCTAAGACCTTATATATAAGATGGTGGAGGCACATCTGGGAGAGGAGGCTGGGACATTTTGAATAGTGAAATCACTTGTGTCCATTTGAAGAACTTGTAAAAATCATCACAGATGTGTCTGACGTGAGAGGCAGGCGTTCCTTGAAGAAACTGGAGAGGAAAGGAGAAGTCCTGCTGGAGTGGGCTTCATGGGTCTGTTAGATTTCATCCTGTGACTGCTCAGCACTGTTACTTAATAAATGCTGTTTACAGAGTAATTCCAGCGATGGTGGCACACACCTGGAATCCCAGCACTCAGGAGGCAGAGGCAGGGGGATCTCTGTGTAAGTACAAGGCCAGCCTGGTCTACAGAGAGTTCCTTGCCGGCCAGAACCACGTAATAAGAGCCTATCTGAAAAAGTGAATAAACAGAACAGGATAGGGAACAGCTTTGACAATTAAAACTGGAGTCGTGGACTTGGGTTGAGACCTTACCCTGTCCTGCCTGCACTTCCGCACTTCCTCCAGAGCTCTGAGTAACCAGGACGTCTCTGGGGCAAACTGGAGAGCAGCCACAGTCAAAGGACAAGCTCTTAAGACTGTTACCTTCTGTTCTCCATAAAAAGGGAGACAGCATTGCCATGGCCTCTCAGTCCCCTTACTGTAACCTGTTCCACAGCCGTGCTCTGCTTTGACATGTCCTCCTCTGAGACCACAAGAGGGGTCCACATTGCACAGACAGCCAAAATTCTGTGCTTGACTTCACTTCCTGGCTCCTGTTTCCTGCTTGCGGTTTGGCCAGGTGGTTCCCTATCAACCAAGCAGCTCTCCGGGATTTTCAAAGAATGATCTCTAAAACACGTTTAAATCCAAGTGTTGTATTGCATGCCTTTAGTCCTAGATGTCAGAAGGGCAGAGGTAGACAGATGTGAATTCTAGGCCAGACTCATCTATATAAGTGAGTTCTAGGTCAGCCTCCTCTATATAAGTGAGTTCTAGACCAGCCTCATCTACATAAATGAGTTCTATGTCGGCCTCATCTATATAATAAGTTCTAGGTCAGCCAGGGCTATGTAGTAGGACCTGATCCTGGGGGGCGGGTGTTGGGGGGAGTAGGAGGAAGGCAGAATGCTGAGCAATCCTTACTTTCATTGGTGAGTATGAGGTGAGTTGCAATATCCTTGTAGGCTTTACTTGAGTCCTTGGCATTTTGTCTTCCTAAATATTTTGGTTTGCTCTTTTTTCCAGCCAAGGGAGCAACCAGTGGAGGTTTTCAGAAACTTGAGACCTTAGATCTTTCAATGAATCACAAGATCACAGAGGAAGGGTACAGAAATTTCTTTCAAGCCCTGGACAACCTGCCAAACTTGCAAAACCTGAATGTTTCCAGGCATCTCCCAGAATGCATCCAAGTGCAGGCCACCACGGTCAAGGCTCTGAGCCAGTGTGTGTCCCGACTGCCCAGCCTCACCAGGCTTGAGATTCTCAGTTGGCTCCTGGATGAAGAGGACATGAAAGTGATTAATGCTGTGAAGGAAAGGCACCCTCAGTCCAAATGCCTGATTGTTCACTGGAGGTGGGTAGTGCCCTTCTCCCCGGTCCTTCAGAAGTGAAGAATGCAGCTGAAGATTACTGTCAGGTCTATACGCCCAATTTTCTAATACAGTTCACTCTAGACAAGCATGGTGTAATCCCAGTACTTAAGAGACTAAGACAGGAGGATCAAGAGATTGGATCCAGCCTGGGTTACATAACAAGACCTTACCGCAGAACCAAATCGCTCACTATTACATATACAAGAATATTCCTAAACTGGCAGGCTCGTAACTGAAATCCTGCATGCCACCACTGACCTTATAAGCCATGAGCAGTCTTTGGCAGTCCTCGTATGGTCCTCTTGTCTATGGAAAGCCAGCATGCACACGCTGAGCTATGATGAACAGCCTTTGGCAGTCCGTGTATGGTCCGCTTTTCTAAAGACAGAGCCTCACTCAAATTCTTATCGAGAACCTTTCATCGCCAAGGTCAACAGGAAGGGGTAGGGAAAGGAACATTGATCTGTGTAAAGGCCAAACATGGAAGGAGCATTAAGAAATGGCCAGTTTAAGGTGAGTCAGTCCCATCCATGACGAAGCATGAGTCGACTTTACCATAAGATGTAGACGACTCTTTCCAGAAGATGTTCTTTAGTCGTTTAGTCTTTCCAGGGCTTTTGTGCATTCACCAGCCTTGGTGTGGCCACACTGGCTTACACCATCTCTCACCCATTGTCAATGTGAGGAAGACGTTGGGCTGAGAGAAAACTGCTTTTGTTCCAGAGGCTTCTGGGAGTTACATATATCATGATAGCTTTATAATTTTTTTTTTAAATCCACTCTGTCTTGTGTGATTTAATCTTGTAAGGATTTCCGGGTATATTAACTTGATTCTGATAATTGTCGTTTCATAATTGTCTCTGCTCCAGAGACTGAGGAGGTGGGACCTGGGAGGACAGAGTCAATAAATTGAGGTGGACTAGAGTCTCATTCAATAGCCAGTTTTATTCAGAGCATCAGACAATTGATACTCTGAGTGTTAAGAGATGGTTAAGAGTTCAAGCTGTATACAATAACAAGGACAAGCTGCACATGGCAAAGAAATGTTTTTCTATACAGCAGTTCTCAGCCTGTGGGTTGAGACCCCTTTGGGGGTCAGATAACCCTTTCACAATGGTCCCTAAGACCATCAGAAAACAGGTATTTACATTACAACTCACAACAGTAGCAAAACTACAGTTATGAAGTAGCAATGAAAATAGTTTTATGGTTGGGGTCACAGAATGAGGAACTGTATTAAAGGACTGCAACTTGAGAAGGTTGAAAGCCACTCTAAAGCGGCATATGAAGAATGGTTTAAACATTTAATTGAACAATGACGGCAAGCAATAAGGAGTAATCTGAAGTACACTCACTCCTATCTGCTCCACCTGGGAGAAGCATGAAAACACATCCCAAAAACAGTCCTGAAGAAACAGAGGTCTCAAGACTCTTGTGTGGTGATATCTTGCTTGTACAAATAAAGCCTGTGTGAAGATCAGAGAGTGGAGCTTGCCACTAGCTAACCATAGAGGTCTGGAGGTCTGGACAGACAGACAGGAAGTGAGGTAGCTGGGCGGAAACAGGATATATGTAGGGAGAAAGGAACTGGCCTCTTGTCTGCTGAGACGCCAAGGAGGTAAGGTGTGGGGTGACTCGCTCCGTCTTCCCTCTGCTCTCCCAGCATTTTCCTCTATACCTGACTCAGGTTTTTATTAATTAGACCAAGTAAGAACTCTATTTTTACACTCTTGTCTTGTTTTCTTGGAGTTTTCTCATAAGCACTCAGAATTCTTACACAACTGTATTCTTAGACCATGTTCTGACACATAATGTATATAGAAACACCTATATATCTTAAATATATATGCCTTTTATTTTTCAGTTATCCTATAATAAATCTTGAAAAAGAGTCCTAACGTTAAAAATAAAGAATAATTAACATTGGTTATCTCTGAGAACTGTGGTAAGCAGCCTTAATTATTTCCTCCCGTTTGTATTTTTTAATAAACTGCCTGTTATTTTAATATTTAAGGTAAAAATTCAGGCTTGAGGTATAGTTCAAAAGTGCATGCCTATGTAGTGTTCCTGAGACCCTAAGCACAATCTCCAGCACTGCCAAAAAAATACCTAAGAAAAAAAAAGCATTAAAATTTAAGTAGCTAGGGCTAGAGAGATGGCTCAACAGTTAAAGAGTAGTGGCTGCTCTTCCAGAGGACTTGGCTCAGTAGTTGAAAGCAGTCTTGGTTCTTGCAGAGTACCCCGGTTCAATTCCTACCACCACCACGGCAGTTTACAACCATCTGTAACTCCAGTTCCAGGATATCCAACACCCTTTTCTAGCCTCTCTGGATACCAGGCAAACACATAGTACATACGTATATATGCAGACAATACACCCATACCTATAAAACAAACAAACAAAAAATCTTTTAAAAAGAAAAAAACAAACAGTTCTAATAAGAGTTCAATGGTTCCAATTTATTCCTCATTACTTAAAAGGAAAAATCAGAACTACCAAAGCATCTATTTCCGGTCAGATACTCCATATCCCAACTCCCTGGCTCCTTCAAATGAGCTGCTTCTCTGAACATTGCCTATACCTTAGCATGTCTGCTTCATTTTTAAGATTAAAAAAAAACAAAACAAAACAAACAAGGAAGTCAGTTTTATATCAAAGTATGCTTTATTAAAGCAACCTCTATTAAATCATCAATAATATATCCCAATTTCCCCCTTTTGTCTGATACAAAAAGATTGCAACTAACTTAAGAAAAACTATATGCAATAAGTACAATAAGTACATACAATACATACAGGCAATAAGTATCAATAATGTCTAGTCTATTTGCATTTGACAAATTCAGAGAAAATACTCCATTATCTATCCTATCTTGGTGAGTCCAAAGTCTTGTACCTAATTTACGAAAGTAGAAATACTCTAACTTGCATTATCAATTATCTTTTAATGTTTCTCAACCTTTTACACTTTACACCTCTTTAGTGAGATTCTTTTCTGAGTCTGGTAAACAATGAAAACTATAACTATCTAGTCTTCAACTCCCTCAGAGACCCTAGAAGGAAATAATATTAACACATGGAGCGCAACTGAAACAAGTAGCAATAACTGTAAACTCATAAAAAATAGATACTACTTTACTAAACTCCAGATACAACAAAAGTCTAGAACTCTTCCATTGGAAGAGTTCTTCACACGCACTCAGTGTTCTTTCCTGCTTACATCCTCTCCCCCCAAGTTTTGCCCCCTCCATCCCACCAGAACAGCTGTTTTAGCATCACCAGAGACCTCTCATTGGTACATTCAGTGACTGCATTGCAGCCGTCATCTTCCTTGTCCTGTTACCAGCATCTGAGCTATGGATAGGCTCATCACCAGCCCCTAGGAACACACCTGCTTCATCTGCCCTTAGGTCTCCTCCTCAGAGAGCTCCAGCTCAACCCTCTGCTGTTTGCCTTCTATCCAGTGTGTGTGTGTGTGTGTGTGTGTGTGTGTGTGTGTGTGTGTGTGTGTGTGATCTGAGTTGTCCTGACTGTGATAGTGCACTTCCTGGAACACCCTATGAATGGCTTTAAGTCCCATGCCTACCCTACCTCCTCCATCTCCAGCTCTAGCCCTGGACTCTGTGTCTATAACCTTAATGGGCATTGTAAGCTTCACACCTCCTTCCCTGAGGTACTCTTACTGTACACTTTCATGTCTTGACTCCCACTTGACCCCTCCAGTTGCTTAGGGAAACCCTTGGAGTTATTCTTAGGTTTCTCTTTCTTAGCCCACATATAAGCTAATGATAAATCCTGGCAATTCCACTTGCAAAACACAGTGGATCCCACATGATTAGCCGCTTCTGTGGGATCTGTGTATCTTCTCCATACTGTCTCCTCCTCGAGGGCAGATCATGCTCTCCCTCTGCCTCACGACTCTCTACTGGACTCCCAGCTAAAGGGAAATGCCATCAACCTCACAGGGGCCTGACCCTTGGCTCCTGCTCATCCCCATGTCCTTAATCTCTGTTTCTCTCGCTCTGGCCACCAGCCACCTTGTTGTCCTCAAGTGTTCCACACACTTTCTTATACAAAGGCCTTTGCTGTTGTCTTTTCCTAGGCTGTTCTCTCATACCATGGTTTGGAAATGGTTTGAATACTTCTCAAATAGTCATGTGTTAAAATGCAATCCCCATTGTGAGCTACCAAGAATGGGAACTTAATCTGTTTACAGCTGGAGCCTTTGGAAGGTTATTTGGGATAAGGTCATCAAGATGACGTTCCTATCCAACCTAGTGGCTTCCTGTGAGGTCAGCTGGGAATACACACACACACACACACACACACACACACACACACACACACATACACACGTGCATACACGGGCATGCATATACACAAAGCACACACAATTCTTTTTGTTGCCTCTCACAATATTAGTCACACTAGACAAAAACCATCAGCCATGAACCTCTAGAACCTGAGCCAAAATTAATCTTTCTAAGCACTCCCAATAGGTTATTTTCCATTTTGTGTGTGACAGATGACAGAGTGCATGTGTAAACATGGGCATGCCTATGCCTGTGTCCCTGTGCACAAAGGCCAAAGGTCATCATTGGTGTCTTTGTCACTGCCTGCATCGTTCCCTTGAGGACCTGGAACTCCGGGTTTTGAGGTATGCTCCTGGCCAGCAAGCCATGTGATCCTCTTGCTGCACCTCTCCCCTGCCTGCCCTCTCCCATTGGCCCATCTCTCCTGCCTGCCCTCTCCCTTTGGCCCATCCCCTGCCTGCCCTCTCCCCATTGGTCCATCTCCCCTGCCTGCCCTCTCCCCATTGGTTCATCTCCCCACCTGCCCTCTCCCCATTGGTCCATCTCCCCTGCCTGCCCTCTCCCCATTGGTCCGTCCATCTCTTGCCTGTTCCTCATTGGTCCATCTCCTATCTGCCCTTCCCCCATTGGTCCATCTTGGTCCATCTCCCCTGCCTGCCCTCTCCCCATTGGTCCATCTCCACTGAGTCCTTTTCTTTAGTTCAGTCTTTTTCTTTTTTGTTACTGCATCGGATGTGGTCTGGTTATATTGGGCAGGCGGGTCTTAAAATGACAACCCTACTTCCTCAGCTTTTCAAGTACCTGGCACTATACTGTATGCTAACGTACAACATATCTAGTTTCACCAAGAGCAATTCCCACCCAGCATTTACAAAAAGTTAAGTATTTGCCAGAATGAATAACCTCAGTCGAAATAAATGTATTGGGTGATAAAGCGAATTAAAATGTTCATGTCTAATATCTAGCTAGAAGTCAACCAGATATTAATAAAGTAATTAATTTAATCTGCAAATTAACCAATTTAGTTATGCCAAATCTGTAACAGCCAATAATCATGAAAGGTAATATTCCCTTCTAAAAATTCAAGTCACATTTTGCAAAGTTACTTACTAGGTCCTGTCCCCTAATTTAATAATACTTACTTAACAGCTAATATGCTCGGCATATAGGGAGCTTAGTTAACTTAGTTTACCTAGCCAAAACTTAGGAAAGGAACAGCACTCACCATGTTGTTTTCATGGCAGTGGAGATGAAAGCCAGGACCTTGCTTGTCAGGCAAGCTCTACTACAGGCTCCATCTCCAGCTCTATGGAGCTGAATTATTAACCTTCTCTTGTGGAGAAGAATGAATCAGGGAGAAGCCTGAGTGCTTGCCACCACCCCCACCACAAGAATCTACTGAACCACAAGGCCATGATGAGGTAAGGGACATCAGGGGGAGAGAGGGAGTCTAGAAAGCAAGGGGAGAGAGGGAGTCTAGAAAGACAGACAAGTGGTACCTGTCTGTCAGCATTTGGGAGGCTGAGTCAAGATGACTATGAATTAGAGCTAAGCCAGGCTGCAAAACTTTCAAAAACCAGTAAACCTGGGTGTTGGTGGCACACGCCAGTAATTCCAGCCCTCGGGAGGCAGAGGCAAGTGGATCTCTGTGAGTTCCAGGCCAGCCTGGTCTACATAGCTAGTTCCAGGACAGGCTCCAAAGCCACACAGAGAAACCCTGTCTCAAATAAATAAATAAATAAATAAATAAATAAATAAATAAATAAATAATGTAAAGAATGGGAAATACAGGGCTGGCAAGATGGCTCAACAGGTAAAGGTGCCTGCCACCCTACAATCTGAATTCAATCCTTAGAACCTACATAGCAGGAAAAGAGAAAAGACTTTACAAATTACTCTCTGACCTCCAGATTTGAGCCACAGAAAACACACACACACACACACACACACACACACACACACACACACACACAGAACACACACCTTGGTTTCTTGCTGGCCAGTGTAGCCTCTGTGACATTAGCTAGCTTTTGTTCCCCAACCTTGATCAATTTGTCCAACCTTCAGAAATTACTGTTTACCCAAGAAATAAGTCTGAGTAGTTTTCTTTCTGTGTCTTCACACAGACTCAACTTTACTGTATATATCCCAAAGGAAAATATTCACAAAGTCAAGATTTCAAAAAGGACTTTCATTTATTTGCAAAGGCATTAATAAAAATCTTGACATACTAAGAATGTTACAACTCTACAGCTGTGCTCAGTCACAGTTTTCACAGACTGACTTCCATGCACGCACATTTGCACCGTTGGTCCGTCACCGTGGTCATGCTCTAAACACGATCCACTGGGGTCAGCATGAACCCCCAGCCCAGGAAAAACACTGGGGATGGACCCCACTCAGCCAAGAGTCCATTAGATGACGGTGAGACTTCTGTTCATATTGACCAGGGACACCAGCACACCATCTCCTTGGGAGAGAGCTGAACCTGAATTTGAAAGAAAAAGTCTTGGCAGTCATAAAATATAAGTGGAGAAGAAATTGTGTGTGTGTGTGTGTATGATGTGGAGGTCAAAGACAACTTTAAGGTCAGTTCTCCCCTTCCACCCTGGGGGCTGAACTCAGGTCATCAGGCCTTTGCCCTCTGAAGCATTTTGTCAGCCCCTAAATCATAATTTTATATAGAACGCAAAGAATAAAATATGCTAATATAAATATAACAATAGCTTAAAATATTAAGGAATACTAGTATTTGATTAGAATTTAAAATATACTATAAATTATCAAATCATGTGTTAAACTTTTCATTAAAAAGTGATTGTTACAGTGTAAGGAACATTTTCTCAATATAGAAAACTAGAAATTAGTCACTTGGAATTATAATTTTCAGTGTCTCTACAGCTCAAAATGAACTAAAAATATGAGGGCCTCTAGGAAGTCACAATAAAAACTTTCTATAAAACAGTTACCATGCCAGGGCCATGCCCGCTTCCTGCCATGAAGATCATAGACTAACTAACCCTCTATATCAGTAAGCAAGCCCCCAGTTAAATGCCTTCTTTTATTAGAATTGCCTTGGTCATGGTGTCTCTTCATAGCAACAGAATAGTAATTAAGACAATAGATAATGCAGTGTATTGAACACTGCATCATTTATCAAAGTGTGTGTGTGTGTGTGGGGGGGGGATGTCCTGGAGGGATGGCTCACTGATTAATAGCACTTACTGCTATTGTTAGAAGACCCAGGTAACTTATAACCACCTATGTATAACTCCAGTTTCATGAGATCCAATGGCCTCTTCTAGTCTCAAGGGGCATGAACATGGTTCATAAACGTTCATGCACACAGAACTCACCCACCCATCCCCACTCACACACACCCACACACCCAAGTTTAATTTAAAAAGTACACGTGGGACTGTGGTATGGCTCAGTGGCAGAATGTTTGCTTACTATGTGTGAGGCCCTAGGTTCAATTCCTACTGCCCCCCCCCCCTCCAGCCAGGGGCCAGTGACACTGATTATCCTCACACCCTAAACCAGATTCTAAATTAGGAGTGGTAATTCCTATCTATAACCCTTGCACTACAGAGACTGAGGCAGGACAACATGGAGTTGAAAGCCAGCCTAAGAATCCTTTCTCATAAAAGCATGTTTTGCCCACATAACCAAATCAACCACGAAATCTTTGGGATGCCACTTTGACACCACGACAATTTGATTAAGTGGGGATAGTTCAGAATTCAATCTAGCTTTCAGCAGTCTTTCACGGGGCTGGGAGGGGCTCAGAGGTCAAGAGCACTTGCTGTTCTCCCACAGGACCAAAGTTAGTTCCTGCACCATGTCAGCAGCTGACAAACATGCAGCTCACGATCCAGGGGTCCAATGCCAGCTTCCGGCCTCCAAGCACCCACACACACACACACTTTTAGAAAATAAAATATCTTTAGTATAGTTTTACGTAAACTTTTTGACATTTCAATTTTTAAATGTTCAAAACACTCATTTCCCACAAACTATGAAAGTTATGCAAAGGCACGATTAGCTCTTAAAATAACAGACTTACTGCTTAATTTGTATGTGAACATTTTCCTTCTTTTTTATTTTGTCTGAAACCCTGTAAAGAGAGCAATAGAAAAGTTGAAAGAACAGGACACACACTAGATAATGTGTGAATAAACATTTCAAGCCAAGCATGATGGCAAGCACAGGGTGGGGTGGGGGAGGGTAGGTAAAGAAGGAGGGTCAGCAGTTCTAGGCCATCTTCAGTTACACACGGACTCTAAAGCCAGCCTAGGCTGCAGTAAACCCTGCAGAAGACAGAGGCAGGGGGATCTCTGTGAATTCAAGGCTAATCTGGTCTCTCTTTTAAAAAACAAAACAAGCTGAGCAGTGGTGGTGCACACCATTAATCCCAGCAATTGGGAGGCAGAGGCAGGAGGATCTCTGTGAGTTCCAGACCAGCCTGGTCTACAAGAGCTAGTTCCAGGACAGCCTCCAAAGCCACAGAGAAACCCTGTCTTGAAAAGCCAGAAAAAGCAAAACAAAACAAACTCTTAAGCCCAACTAAGTGATGCACGCTTGATGATCCCAGAATTCAGGAGATAAGCAGGAGGATCTTGACTTCAAGGCCAGTGTAGGCCAGTGCACAGCTAAGTTATATAGTAAGACCCACCACAAAAACTGGGAACAAGCTGGGTGCTACAGCATTTGACTAACATGCAAGGCTCTGAGTTTGATCTCCAGCACTACAAGAACAACCAAAAAAATAAACAGTCTGTTTCATGTGAGATTCTGTACTAATTTTAAATAATAAAAGACCACCAGACAGTAAGTTTATATTTTTAAAAAGCAGTTTATAGCATTCCAATGTGCTTTTACAGTGACTGAGCCAAGCCAGGCGTGGAGGCACACGTCTGTAACCCAGCCTAGGCTATACGGTGTTCAGAGAAGCTCGGGCTACTAGTGGGACCCTGCACCCTCCTGCCAAACAAGGAGCCCAAACAACAGAAACAAAAAGTGACAAATCACAAAGTTGGAGTTAAGTTTTTCTTCCTTTGCCACCAATGACGCTCACTCCCTCACTAAAGCTGAGGATGTAGCTCGGTGGGACAGCACCAGCCTGCCAAGGTCCTACAGTCTGTAACCCAGCCCCCCCATACTAACGGACAAACTGAAGACATCGTTAAATACCAGAACTAAGTACTCAAACATTTATTGTTTTTCCCAGTCAGACTAGCCCACGTGCCCTCCCTTCTCTCGCGTATCTGTGTGTGCATCTGAACATACATGCAGACAGCCATGAGTGTGCCGAAAGGGCTGCGTTCCCAGTGAAAACCACAGAGCCCATTCGCATTACTGCAACAGCAACACTTTTCCTCACTCTTGTTCTGCTTTCATTTCTACAAGGAAGAATGGAAGATTGAGCACTGGCCTCCACATTCAGTCAACTGACAGGGTGGGACGCACTGGGCAAGGGCTAAGAATTGCCCACCCAAGTCAGGGGAGCTCCAGAGGATTGGGCTACTGTGAAGCCTGACTTACACGATTGTCCACTCTTCTCTCAGGACGCCATGCTCCAAGAAAGCACGTGCTGCACCACCCACCCATGTTTATAGTTTATATTTTAAGTTAAGCAAATTAACTAAATTAAATAAATGCACACACAGAGATAATATCCCTAAAAGGAAAACATTTCTCTAGCTAGCTCTGAATCTGGGGCAAATACCGGGAGGAACACTGCTACTCAACAACTGCTTCTTAGGACCAGAATAAAAAAGTACTGAGCAGGCCGTGGTCTAATCCTGGTGCCCCGGGGCAGAGGCAGGAGACTAGAGGCCAACCTAAACTAGACAGAGAAAACTGACCCCTCCCCCACCAAGGAGGGAGAGCGTGCTGGTGCACACCTTTAATCCCAGCATTTAGGAGGTGGAAGCAGGGGGAATCTCTGAGCTTGAGGCCAGCTTGGTTTAGGTAGTGAGTTCAAGTTACCAAGTTACAAAGTGAGACACTGTCTTAAAAAAACAAAACAAAATAACAACAACAAACAAAACACCCCTGAGCCATGTGACTTATATCTAAATTATGTTATTTAAAAAAAAAAAAAAAATAGGAGCTGGCGTGATGGCTCAGAGGTTAAGAGGCTACTCTTCCAGAGGACTAGGGTTCAATTCCCAACACCCATATGGCAGCTCACAACTGTCTGTAACTCCAGTTCCAGGGCATCCAACACTCTCACACAGACATACATACAGGCAAAACACCAATGCACATTAAAATGAATAAATCATTATAAATTTAAGAAAAACAGAGTATTCATAGCAACATATTTTTTAATTATCTTTATTTTATGTATATGGGTGTTTTGCTTGCATGTATGCTTGTGCCCTGCATTCAGGCACACCAAAAAGTGGACATAGGGTCCCCTGGAACTTAAGTTATAAACTGTTGGGAGCAGCCATGTAGGTACTGAGAATTGAACCTGGGATCTCTAGAAGAGTTGCCAATGCTCTTAATTGATATCCTATTTCTCCAACATTTTTATAGCCCCAAACTGACAACATAGTCACTAACAGTAGAATGGATAAACAGATCACTCTCGTACTTATACAATGGAAGGTAACACACAAGAATGAAGATTAAGCTTACCAACGGAAACACTGATCAGCTCGGTGGTAGGGCTTGCCTAACCTGTACAAGGCCCAGGGTGTGATCTCTAACACTCAGAAAACCTGGCCACTCGAGTCTGTGCAAGAACCCCTCCACAGCAGTGCAAATACATCCAGGGGTGATGGTGCACACGTGTGGAGTCCCCGCTCCTCAGTACATTATACAAACCCAGGAGTTTGAGGTCAGCCTGAGCAATACACTGAGATCTAATCTCACAAGGAAAAGCACAAATTATCATCCCCGAGCAGGAAAACCAAGCTTCCTTTCCACTGCTGCATGTTTTGTTGCTGAGACAAAGTCACTAGGCAGCCATGCTACCCTGGAATTTGTAATCCATCTGTTTTAGCTTTTTGAGTGCTAGAATTACAGGCAAGCACTGTCATTAAGTCCCAAACGGGCCAGGTGGTGGAGCATGCTTTTAATCCCAGCACTTGGGAAGCAAAGGCAGGCGGGTCTCCTGAGTTCAAGGCCAGCCTGGTCTACAAAGAGTTTTAAGACAGAAGAACTACACAGAGAAACCCTGTCTCAAAAGAAGGGGAAAAACAAAACCCACAGACACAAAACCCAAAGTTTGGAATGAACCTCAACCATACTCAGGAGGGACGATGAAAGAAGAATCGATTTTTAAACACTAAGGTTGTCTTAAAAACAAAACCACCCTAAACATTTAGTTCTGCACAAAGAGATCTGAATTTTAGTCAGGCAGGAGCTGGCTCTAGGTACAAAAGCTGTACAAGTACAAAGATCACACACATCAAGAAATTCCAAGGGAATCCTTACCATGTAATAGCCTGTATGATAGCCACTCATGTACCAAGAGATTAGCATACTTCCGAGGGCATCAGTGTCATCCAGACAATCTGGGGATATGGGAGGGGGTGGAGGAATTATCTGGAAAAGGAAAAAAATGCAATTAGGAAATATTGAAATCCAGGGATTCATTTTACAGAGACTAGTGGATATTAATTACACCTATTCCTATACTCCATGAGATGGCTTCTATATAATTCCTTAAAAGTCTAGCACTGGGAAAAAGCCTACCATAATAATAGAAGACCAACAAATTTAACAAAGATCAGAAACAGTTCACATTTAATAAATAGCATGATTAGACTATTTTTGTTCCATTATGAAGCTATGCATAGGAGACAAAACATATAAACTTAGTTTTCCCACATACTACACAGCATTTTTCAAGGCTATTATAAGGATCAATTTGGGGTAGGACATCTGCCTGAATCACATCCAAATACAATCTGCCCAAAAACATCCTTTTAAATATTGTTAATATCTTTAAAAAAAAAAATCTACCATTAAAAGTCCATTAGGGCTATTGTGACACATGACCTTAATGTATGCGCATGGGAGGCAGAGGCAGACGGATCTCTGTGAGTCCAAGGCCAGCCTGGTCTACAGAGCGAGTTCCAGGACAGCTAGGGACATTAATTATACAGAGAAATCCTATCTCAAAAAACCAAAGAAAAAAAAACAAAATCCACCGGGGAGGGGGGGAGGAGATGGGGGGGGATCTACATTAGGATAAAAAACAAAACAACAATTAAAAAAAAAAAACAAAAAACAAGCACAAAGCAATGACAAAAGAAATCTAGCATCCAAGCAGTGCAGGAGCGCGCGCAGTCTCTTCTGTATAGAGAGGCACCGTCCTTTCTAACAGAAACTACCACCTCACATTGGACACCAACTACTGCAGGAAAGAAACACGCAGCAGAGCGTGGAGAGGAGACTGGGAGAGCACCGGGAAACAGAAAGGCCTTCAAAACAAAAATCTATGTTTATATTTTAACGTTAGAATCTAACCGTGGGGGTGGCTTAAGGTAACATAGTCCAATTTCCTATATTCTGTACATACAAGCTGTTTAATGTAAATTCTTTTGTACTTACTGGTGGTCCTGAAGGGAACGGAGGCATCCAACATGGCAAGAAGGGGGGAGGGGGAGGTGGCGGCGGCGGCGGGCCGTTGAATCTTAGACCTGGCTACAAAGAATATTTCAAAGGAAGTTAATATTTTAAAGGAAAATTCCTTCCTTCACTGAAAGGAAGGGCATTCAGAACTGAAGTAATAAAAACGGGAGGTGGAGAGATAGCACAGCAGTTAAAAGCACCTGTACTCACATGCACAAACCCACACGCGGACACGCACTCACACATACACATATTAAAACAAATCCAACTTTTAATTAAATGGTAGGCTCTAGGTTTTCTTTTTCATTTCTCTAAACATTTAGTAAGTAAAATCACAGTAATGATCTTAACTACCTAGCAAATCAGAGACAATGTACTTACCAAGATAATTTAATTATAACATTATATACCCCCATCCATCTATCTATCTATCTATCTATCTATCTATCTATCTATCTATCTATCTCTCTATCTCTCTATCTCTCTATCTATCACATAGTACTTCTGTAGTTACCCTGTACTGGGTCCACAAAATGGCTCAGCAGATAAAAGGTATTCACCACCAAGTCCGAATGACAGCTTGGGTCTGATTCCCAAGACCCAGCTGAAGGAAGAGAACCAACTCCCACAAGCTGCCCTCTAACCTCCATATGTACACAGTGCCCACCCAAACAAATGTGAAACAAACAGGCAAAAGTTTATTTAGGCAAAATAAATAAATATTAGGCAAAAGCTAATTTAAAGTACACTGTAAAAAGTACCAAAAAGACAAGGTATATACTAGATGTGATCATTTCAGATTCAAGGAATTCTAATACGATATAACCTTCAATTAGAAAATTACCATAGAAAACATTTTGTTGTTTTTGAAAAATTTCTAACCCAATTTACTTAGCTGTGCATTCATGCATGATAAAGCAAGCGCATGGTGATGTCCGCGTGGAACTCAGCGACAATCTTTGTGCCTTGTCTCTCCTTCCACCAAGAAGAACCCGGTGAGCCAAACAAAGCTTAGCAGGCTTGTGGCGGACGCCACCACACTGAGCTGTCCTCTGTCCCTTGTTTTCATTTTAGGCTCTAGTTTTGTCTTTGCTTTGCTTTTTTTTTTTAAGTCTGTGTCACTATGTAGCCCAGGTAACCCTCTCCTCCAACCTCTCCAGTGCTGGAGTTGACAGGCGAGCCATCATGCTCATCTCTCAGAGAGGATCTCATGTAAAAGTGTAAGTCACACTTGATTTCTACAAATTATTATCTGCAGTAAAGCCATGGCTCAGCTGGTAGAGTACATGCCACCCAGGCATGAAGACCTGAGTTGGGTCCCCAGCACCCACACAGCAAAACCAGACAAGGCAGCACACATCTATAGCCAAAGAATGTGGGGGGGGGGGTCCCCGGGGTTCTCTGGCCAGCCATTCTAGCCAAGTCAGCAAGCTCCAAGTTCACTGACATACCCTGTCTTCAGTTGTGTGAGACCAGGTCTCAAACCAGCAGCAGCAACAACAAAGAGAGAAAGGAAACAACAAACAAAAAAACCCAAAACTAAAACAACAACAAAAACTAGAAGCTTCTTGAGGCTATGACCATATTACATACGAAGACTATAGGACTCTAATACAGGTGACCCAGGGAATACTGTGTTAAATAACCAACAGAGTAGTCATTTTCTAACTTAAACACACACACTCACACTCACTACCTAAATGTAGTAAAAAGGTTTTTTAAAGGGGAAGTATACTAGCTATTAGTCTACTATCCCACAGCAATCTGGAGAACTTTTTACTCTCAACTTTTTTTTACTTTCCTATTGCATTTCCCTTTTATACATTCTGGCCTGGAAAAAGTATAGTTTCATAGGAAAGCTAGAAATTACTTAATGGAAGAGTTAGGGTCCCAGCATGAATATTTCCTACATAAATAATTTTCTCAACAGAAAGTTTACCTTTCCTGGTCCCAATCCTGACCCTGGCATTGGGGGTGGGGGAGGGAGAAACGAGCTCCACGGTGCAGCTTTGGACTTGCCGTGTGGTTTACTTCTGAGGGATCTGGAGGAGTTTTCACTGTCGTCTGTTGAAGCTTGGCTTTCATTCTTTAAAAAGAAAAGGAACATTTCTGTCATGCAAAGGCAGAGAACCCGCCTAGCAATTGTATGGCCCTGGCTTCTCTCTTAGCAAGAAGTCAGGGGAGGACGAGAGTGTTATTTGATGCCTTAGCTGACTCTAATGCTTTCGAGCACGGGCACCTTCACGGCCTTACCTCCTGAGTGCTCTGCTCCACATTATTAGCTACTTCACAGGTTGGGGAAAGTAGATCAGATAGATTTTGCTCCTCTCTGTTTCCATATCCGGTATAAACCACAACACAGGTTTCTCTTTTAAAATCAATGGAAGCAATAGTAGCTGGGTAAATGCAGCCGTCTTCTGACCAAACAGCAGAGCATTTGTCACCAACTTTCCACTACAGAAGGAATGGAAGATACAGGCGTGCGAGCGTTACTTCTTTTGGAGAGAACAAACCATAATCCGGCTCTCCCGGATGTCAACCCTCCCATCTACTTAGTCACCTGCCCTTCTCATCCCTGTCACATGAACGGCTGTAATGTACTCCACCACCCAAAGTTGTCATCAAGAACAAACAGACCGAAAGTGTATGACACATACAACACTCCAGCCAGAAAAATGCAAGTGCCATTAAACGTCAGCACCCTTCTCCTTCAGTAATGAGCTAATGAGGCATCAAAATATTAAAAAAAAAGACCAAAACAAACATGAAAACAAAAATTGTCATCTCATCTACAGGGCTTTGTTCTGGTTCAATGTGGGTTTGATGCTGGACACCCTGGGCAGGTGTGTACTAGGCAAGTGCTCTACCACCTCAGACCCCTGCTTTTAAATTAGGAGACCCGGTTACCCAAAACTTTTGTTTTCCATAATGTTTCTTGGATGGGGGGGGGGGGTGAAGTTACAGATCAGCTACATAGCACATACTCAGAATGCAAGGAGCTCTGGGTTTAATACCCGGCACCACAGAAGGAGGAAATATGTATGTATATATGCATGCATGTGTGTATATTTCGTGTGTGTGTGTGTGTGTGTGTGTGTGCGCGCGCGCGCGCGCATCAACTTAAAAAAACACTGCTGACTCAGTTTATAGCTTTCATTCACTCTAAAAAGCACCATCAACCCTTTCCCTGAGGCTCAGCAAGATGCTGTTTAAATAAATCAACAACCTGTTTCAAGGGGGCAGTGGCATTTTTCTTTTGGCTTTTATTCTTCTTAGCGGGTTTTCTTCTAGCCGTGCCTTTTGGCTTATCTGAAGTTTCACAAATGTCACCATTCTTTAGAGCATGCTATGGAAACAGTAATAGAAACAAATTCACATGTTATGGAGAGAGATGTTAAAAAGCTACCACTTCCTAACATGACAGTCACCACTATAAGACGGTCTCAAATTCCCAAACCCTAAGAAAGCCTCGATTTACTCAGTTTTTTTTTTTCCTGTATGAAATAGAGATAAAGAAAAGATTAAACATTCATACCTTAAAGGAAGCCACTGCTTTATCATAAGCTTTTATCAATGCTGTATCATCCCAAATGTCAGAATCATCGCTCTGAAATGAAAAAAGAATACAAATGACTTATAGGCAGATAGGTTTAATTAAAAATATACTACACGAAGCACTGGGGGATGTTGTTTAAGGCCCCAGTCCAACCACTAGCACTACGCACTACATTCTCATTCTCCCTTGAGGTATAGCACATGCCTATCATCCAAACTTTCAAAGGTTGAGGCAGGAGAATTGCCAAGGCAACCTTAAGACTAGCCTGGGCTACACTGGTCCTAAGACAGCCTAGACTACAACACACACACACACACACACACACACACCCAAAAAAAAAGCCAAACCAACAAAAATCATGACTTACAAATGATAATGGCTCATATCTGTAACCTATAACCCCAGCACTTGGTAGGCAGATACAACAGGCTCACCGAGAGTTCCAAGCCAGTCTAGTCTACATATCGAATTCCAGGCCAATTTAGGTTACAGAATGCAATCAACTCAAACAAAACAGAACAGGAACAAACTTCCCAAGCATGTGTGGTGGTACACACCTTTAATTGTAGCATATGGGAGGCTGAAATAGGCCAATCTTTGTGAATTTTATGTCTGCCTGATCTATATGGAGAGTTCCAGGTTTGTTACGGCTACATAGTGAGACACTGAATCAAAACAAAAACAATGAAATAGAAACTTCAATAAATAACAATACTTCTGGGATTATATGCATGTGCCACCGCAGTGGGCTTGAAGATTTTTAGATGATAAATAAGCACAGGGAACCGCGGTTAAGGAATGAACCAGACCACCAGGGCTACACTGAGGCCAAAAGGCAAAGTTTTCATTCAGGATCTCAACTGCAGGGCTGTCCCCAAGAGAAGGGGATGCAGCATTGCCAAATGTTGCCTTGAATTCTCTTCTCCCACCCTACACTCCAAGCAGAAATCACACATAGCGTACTAAGATTGAGCTCCTAGTGTTTTAAACGTTTTTAGATGGAGTGCGTTCTGTTTCTCAGGCTAGCCTCAACCTCAAAACCCTGCCCCAGCCTCTCAAGTAGCTGGGATGGGTCACAGGCACGGTCCACAAAGTGGCCCCGATTCCCCCTCACATTTACAGAGTCTCGCTGTAGTAAGGGCTGGCCTCGAGTTCACTCTGAGGACGATCTAGAACTCCCGAACCCTCCTGCCTCCATCTCCCAAGTGCTGGTGACGGTAGGCATGCACCACGGCGTCTGGCTCTGAACTCCCGTCTTACACACTCGAGAACGCGTCTTCCCCACCACGGTGCACTGCAGTTAAGTTGCGACTTTTCAGCTACTCGGGGCAACTTCATTTACCCGTCTCTCTCAAATGTTCTTATCGACTGTTAACTGCGAGACTCGGTCCTTCTAGTTAACCAAACTTTAGAACCCAGCATTTCAGCCTAGACTCGCTGCTAGCGTCTGGATCTTAAGCTGAATGTGGATCGTTCCAATGACTCCTAACTAGTGTCCCCCTGTCCCCTCACAGTCTCCCACCGAACCAGAGCGTGGCTCGCAGCCACTGCAGGCGCCCGACAGCACCAGGAGCCCCGCGGATGGGGAAGCAGCAAGTGGCCCGAGCGCGCACTGGCTCGGTGTCGGCCGGCGCTCCGAGCTCGTAGGGCGCTGTCGCCGAGCTGCGCCACCCGCGACCTCACCTGGCCCGTGCCACGCCGGAACAGCACCGCGTCCTCCTGCTCCGAGACCGCACCGCCGCTACCCATCGCCATGGCGAACTACCGCGGACGCTGCACAGTGACGACTTCCGTCGCGAGGGGCTTCTGGGAGCGGAAGAGCGCTGTGGCGGAGACAGCCAAGGCGTCCCGCCCACTTTAGGAGAGTGGAGATGAGCTACTCACTTCACAGATCTCTCCTCCCTCTCTCCCTCTCTCCCTTCCCTTTCTTCTACCTCTTTGTGACCCTCCACCCCTCACTTTCTTTCAACTTACGTTCTTCCCTCCACCAACCCCCACTATACAGCTCATGCTGGCCTTTACTCACTTTCTTCCCGAGTTTGGGGATTCTGACAAGTTTGTTTTCCCTTTTGAACAATAGTCTTAATATAAAATAATGGTAATGGCAGGTAACCCGATGACGCTGCACAATAAGAGTATCCTCTGCTTGTTGGTGATGATTGCTGTAGAGCCAGCTTTCCATTGCAGTGTTGGTGTCCGAGGAAGACCGATCGTTTCCTTGGTCTGAAATGTGTGGTAAGTTCTAGGGTCTGGTTTTCCTGGTAGGATTTTGTTACACCCATGTGCCCCCATACTTTCGATTCATCCCAATAAACTTACAGCTGACACCCTTTCTGCTCTGGATAAGACACTGGGATAATGGGCGCGCACCAGCCTATCAAAGTGTTTCGTGTAGATGCTAGTGATCTGAACTCGGTCCTCATGCTTGGATGGTGAGCATTTGCTGACAGAGCTATATCTACAGCTCCTCAAGGCCCAGGTTTTGGAGACATTCAGAAGATGAATTCTTTTAGAAATTTTCTAAGTCTTAAGTAGAACTCTTGCTGCATCCTCATGCTTGGTTCCTACCCATTTAGTTGATCTTCCTGGTCTGTACTAGTGTAAACTTGCAGCAAAGCAGCTGCTTACAGAGCAGCAAAAATTAGATAAATAGAACTTAAATAGGATTGTAGTTTGTGTGGGGTGCTGGAAACTGAACTAAGGAAGTACTCTGACGTTGGCTGCACCCCGGCCCTAACTGAAAACTGCTGTGAGACACAGGCATGCGCCTGACCATCTCACACTCCATTCCTCACTTCAGTCAGCTCTGGCTCTGCTTGTGGTAGTAGCACAACCCTATCATCCAAACTTGCAAAAGTTTGAGGCAGGAGAATTGCCAAGGCACCCTGAAGACTAGTCAGGTGATGCTGCCACAAGGCAGAAGGTAAGAACTGACTCCTCAATGCATCCTTTGACCTCCTCCAGTCTGCTCCCAGACATACACACCTGACACAAAGTTGGGGCTGGTAAGTCACATGGCCACTGAGCTCTGAGTTAAATTTCCTAGAGTCCCATGGTGGAAGGTGAGAAATGACTGCCCTAAGTTGTTCTCTGATCTCTACATGCCTTTGTAGAACACTGAATATTTAGAATTTTAAGAAAATTTATAGTAGACAAAAATTTAAAGATCTACTTTAGGCTAGCGTTGTGGCCACACTTAGGATCCCAGAACTCAGTAGGCAAGGCAGGAGGACTACTATGTGTAGTGGGATATTCACTTTGTCTCCTTCTGTGGCACTGACCACGCCCATTGGGGGGTGGAGCCATGGGCGGAAGTGACCTGTGGAAGGAGGTCGGAGGGGGCCAGGAAAGGCTCTCTCTTTCTGGCTGAAGACATCATGGATGGCTTGTGTCGACTGAAGACATCGTACTTCCTCTTCTTCAAAGTAGAGAGGGGTGTCATAATGGCCTGTTGGGCATAGAATTGCCCCCACCTTGACCACTGATTTGGACATGCAGTCCTATGTGCTTGCAGGAGACAAATATAGATGACTGCTTGACCTTGCCAAGTCAGGATAAGACAGCCATTCTATTTCCCTGCTATTGTTGTGGTCTGTCAAGTTCTCTTGGCATTAGCCAAATCTGGGTGTACCAATGTCGCTGTGAGACCTAGGGTGACTGTTCAGGTGGCTTGCTGTTTCTGTCCTTGCTGCACCTTTTGGAAGTTGTCCATCCGCATTTCCTGTCTACTCTAGTATTGTTATTTTCCTTCTCAGGTCTTGATGAGGTTGAAGATTAAACTATCACAACTATTATTCTCTCTTCCTAGTTAGATATATTAGGTACTAGACTTACGTTTTCCAGCTTAGGACAACTCTATTGTAAACTCCATTATGCCCTCACCCTAGGACTAGATATGTAGGTCATTTTGTTCTCGATTTTCCTTTTCTTAGAGCACACTTGTTATTCACTGTTTTGTATATAGTTTTGTATTAAGCCTAAATCTTTTCTTTAGACTAAAAGGGGAATTGTAATGGGATATTCACTTTGTCTCCTTCTGTGGCACTGACCACGCCCATTGGGGGGTGGAGCCATGGGTGGAAGTGACCTGTGGAAGGAGGTCGGAGGGGGCCAGGAAAGGCTCGCTCTTTCTGGCGTGACTCAGACAGGAGAGGATCGGGTTGAATTTCCTGGTGTTCATCTGTCTAGGTTGTAAGTTATTTCTCCCTGAATAAACATCTATTCAGCCTATTTGTTTATCCTGATCCTTATTTACCGCAATAACTATGTGTTTAAGACTAGCCTGTGCTACAGAATGAAATTGTTTCAGAAAAAAAAAAAAAAAAAAAAAAAAATCAAACCACTCACAATGTGTATGACCAAGATTCTAAATTTATATAAGATATCATATTCCTGAATCACATTACCCATTGCAGCTTGCATCTGAAGTATCTCCCAGAGTTCACGGCTGGAATGCTTGTTCCCCAGATGGGGCCTATTTGGGGAGGCTATGGAACCTTTAGGAGATGGGGCCTAATGGAGGGAGGAGGTCATTAAGGATAGGACTTTGAATGTTAACCAGGTTCCTGTCCAGGTGTGGATTCCTGGTATGATGCAAACAGCCTCTGCTATGTGCTCCTACCATGAACTGAGCTGCTGTGATACCCTTCCTCTGAGGGACTGAAGTCCTCTGAGACCATGAGGCAATCTGTTCCTCCCTCAACTTCTTCTTGTCAGGTACTGTGGTCCTAGCAACGCAAATGTAACTAATACATTACCACTTAATAAATTACATCAATGTTCTCTATTGATAAAAATAACATTCACCAATATGTTACATGCATGCTCAGTACTTTATTCTTTGAAGAATGGTCTTAAAACATTAAGTAAGGCTGAAAAGTTTAAAATAGACAGTTTATAAGGATAAATTATAACACATGTGACCATTAGTCACTCTGAGAAACTTGGATCTCAGAGCTTATGATGCACCCCTCTGGCAATAGCACCCAAGTTTTCCAAAAAATCAGTCATCATTTTTCTCTTGTCTGCATAGACTTTTTCTCATTGGCTATCTTCTGTTTCTGTTGCATGATCTCAGAGTCCCTGTAATAGAGAAAAAGCAATTGAGTCTTCACAAAAACTGGTTTCATGCTACCTGTTTGTTTCTTCCTTTGGAACCTATCCTGGAACTCACTCTGTGGACCAGGCTGGCCTCAAACTCACAGAGATCCACCTGACTCTGGCTCCCAAGTCATTGTTTCTTATAGATAAGCTTTTTGATACATTAAAAGACAAAAGAATACATAAAGTCATGTTTTTCCATTTTCATGAATGTAGACAAAAGCAAAGACTGGAAAGGCATGCTACTGTTATCATGGCCTTGGGCAAATAATCTCAAAGCTCCTTGATTCTGATGAGGAGGAGGAAGAGGGAGGAGACACAGTCTCACTGTGTAGCCATGGCTACCCTTGAATTCATTGTGTAGATCAGGCTGGCCTCAAACTCAAGGAAATCTACCTTTCACTGCCTCAGTGCATTTAGGAAGTCTCCTATATACGCTAACAAATACTTAGGACTACAGTATACATGTTATAATCCTTTGCCTTTTTTTTCAACTCTTGATCCTCTTGCTTCATATTCCTAGTGTTGGAATTAGAACAATCCAGAATTTTAAAAGCCCTGAATCAAATAATTAACACTTAAAATTTGATTAAAGAAATACGTGGTAATTGAAAAACTTCCTTAAACTTTGTACTGCCTGGTTCCATCTTCACATGTCATGTGACTACAAACTATGGCCAAACTACTTTAGTGAGACCCATACTTACACATATATTTTCAAATGCTTTTTTTTTTTTTATATTTAGTGGTGGCTAAATGTGCACTCCCATAACCCAAGCTCTTGGGAGGTAGAAGCAGGAGGATCAGAAGTTCAAGGTCTGACTCCACTACTAGGAAGTTCCAGGCTGACCTGGGACAGATGAATGCTTATACATCTTCTTCCTTTAAAAAATTCCCACAAAACACAAATAATATTTAATGACACTAGGTATCAAATCTAGGGCTTCATGCACATGTGAAGGACTCAATATTTTTAAAATATACTACTTATCTATGTATTTAACACCCTCAGCTAAGTGTGGGAGTTCACACCTGTAATTCCAGGACATAGGAGGCTAAGATTACTTCCAGTTCTAGGCCAGTCTAAGATATATATTGATTTCCAATCAAGCTTTGTCTCAAAAAGAAAAACAAATCAAGCCAATCCAAAGCCAACTTCTCTGAGCCAAGTTCTATTGGTTTTTGTTGTTGCTTATGTTCAAGGACTTCAGTTATTACTCCCATGTTTCATGTTAAAGACAGAAAGGACAAGATGGCTCAGTGGGTAAGAAAATTTGCTGCTCTTGCAGAGGACTTAAGTTTAGTTTCCAGAACCCATATGGTAGCTTACAACAGTTTGTAACTTCAGTTCCAGGGAATTCGATGACTTTTCTGACTCCATGGGCATCAGGCATGGAGGTGGTACACAGACATACACATAGGCAAAATATTCATACACACAAAATAAAAATCTATATAAATAAACAGGCACAAGACTAAATAATTTTCCCCAAATCACACAAATACCAAAGTCTGTCTAATTTCAAAATCAGGGATCTTTCCTACATTGTTAACACCTAAATTTAGAATTCTTTGTTTGTTTGATTTTTTTGTTTTTCTTCGAGACAGGGTTTCTCTGTATTGTTTTGGAGCCTGTCCTGGAACTCGCTCTGTAGACCAGGCTGTCCTGGAACTCACAGAGAACCACCTGCCTCTGTCTCCTGAGTGTAGAATTAAAATTTAACTCAGTATTGGGTACTTCTGTAAGAGGACATGTTTACAAATACAATAGAAAAAAGAAGAAAAAAGCTACAGAGGAATGAATTAAGTGGAATTAAGAACAATGAAAGTTATTTTTTTTCTGCATCAAACCAAACTCTGTGATCTTTGGTATCTGACCTTAGTAATAGCACTCAAGTTCAGAGCCCCAAGCTAGAGATGGTGGTTAGTGCCTGGCACCCAGAATTTCCAAGGCTGGGACAGAAGAATCCTAAGTTTGAGTGTGGGCTATGAGACTTTAGGTCTCAAACCAAACCAAACCAAACAAACCAGAACTTCACGTTCCTTTTCTTCAAACTGGTTCTAATACCACTTTTAAGGGTCATAATGGGTAGAGATGTGTCACATCTAGCAAATTTTAAGAGAGTATTATAAACAAACAATGCTGGTTCTGAGACAGCTAGAATAGATTCTCCAATAAGAGCATTTCAGGGTCACTGACCCATACTCTTCACTTCAAGGTGACTTTATTGCTTTCTTAGTAACTGTCACTGGGGCTGGGGGAGCAGTGTCTGTCATTAAAGTTCCTGCTGCACAAGCACGAGGGCCCAAGTTTAGAGACCCCACACAAACAGCAGGGCATGGTGGTGAGTATCTAAAACCTCAGGGCTGGGGGTGGGCTGAGACAGGCAGAGCTCTCATGTTCATTTGGCCTGTCAGCCTAGGCAAATTGGTGAGCTTCGGTATTTAGTGAGAGGCCCCGCCAAAAATAAAACATGGTGAGTGAAGGAAGAAAGATACTTGTTATTACCTCTGGCCTCCCATAACCACAGAGGCTCTCAGTAGATGGGTTGGGTTTAAACTTGAACTTGAGACAAACTGAGGATAGCCTTGAGCTTCTAATTTTTCTGCTCCTACCTCCTAAGTCCTGGGATTACAAACGTGTCACTTGCGCTTTTTGTAGTGCTGGGATTGAACCCGGAGCAATGTATTTTTATTTTCAATGTCCAGTCTCACCTCAAAACAAATCAGAAGAGGGTGTAGAGTACTGGCTATCATAACCATCAGAGTTTCCAGGATGATCCCCATGTAAAGGATTGAGACCAGTAATAAGCCACACTGAAGAACACCCAACCTCCAAGTTCCGCATGAGCAAAATCAAATCTCACTTTAGAATATGGAGTGTATGTAGCTAAGTGGTGGAGCTTTCTCCAGCACAGGAGAAAACCCAAGACCTCGGGCTCTGTGAGACATGGGGCGCTAAGATTTATCTCCCACTTCTCATCCTCATGGGGCTCTCAAAGAGGATGATAGTAATATGTTCTGGTTCCCAGTTTTGTTATCCTATGTGGTGACATAGGATAATTTATTATTATTACTGGTTTCTCGAGACAGGCTTTCTCTGTATAGTTTTGGAGCCTATTCTGGCACTTGCTCTATAGATCAGACTGGCTGTGAACTCACAGAGATCCTCTTGCCTCTGCCTCCCAAGTGCTGGAACTAAAGGCGTGTGCCACCACCGCCCAGCGAAATTAATTTCTTGCTGTGTCTGTGTGGTCTGGTGATTGAACTGGTAGCTCAGGTATGCAAAGCATGTGACATAACACTGAACTATGCTTCCAGGTCCTCTACTCCACTTTGAAATGTGGTAATCTGCAACCTCGTTAAAGATTTTCTCCGGAAGACATGTAGACAGGTAGAGAGACAGACAGACACACACACAGAATAAAGAAAATTTTAAAGCATTTATCTTTTTCTTGAGACTGTACTTTGTAATGTAGTCCAGGACAGCCTCAAATCCCTAACTCTTGCATCAGCCTCCAGAGTCCTAGGATTGCAACTGAACAACACTGCGCTGGGCATTATAGTCTTCTGGGGCAGTTACATGTTACTTGTCATACCCAGTCATCTGAAGTGCTAGGGATGGAGCCTGGGGCCTTACATACGGTAGGCCAGTGCTCTACTGCTGAGTTCACCTTCAGCATCCACCTCCCCACCGTTTTTGAGACATGGTCTATAGGTCTTTGTAGCCTGCACTGGGTCCTGTATCAGTCCTGTGTCCTACATTCATCCAGCCCCAAGGGACCTCCAGAAGCCCATACTTTGCTTTTGGTATTTTCAGAACACTGATCTCTGTAATTGGGCCATTTGCTATTCTGACTCCTTGGGGCAAGCTGTCTGCTTTGGAAACATTGTATTCTGTTCATCTAACATACTTACCCACCGAGGCTGTTATTTTCTCTAGTGAAGTTCTTACAGTTTTATAGGAGCCACAAGAGATTACCTGCAAACACGACAGCTTCAGAGCTTGAAAATTGTTCATCCACAGGTTGGGACAGAGCACTTTCGTATACTTAGAGCTACGCAGAGCCACAGCGGTAACCTTTACTGGTTCTTCATTCATTCTAAAACATGGCAGTCAAACTACCTCTGACCTGAACATTGTCTTAGCACTACTCACCTCTGCTTTCTCTGAGAAGTAGTCAAGCTATCCTCTTTTCTTTTTCCTTTGCTAATTTCCTGGGTTTTTTTCATATTTTTCTGGCGGGCAAGTTCTCTTTGATTTCCTCCTACAACGATAAACAGTCATGTTCTTTTCTCATCTTCAAAATTATTTATAACCAAAGGGTCTTTAACTATGAGCCTTAAAGTTTTATTTATTTTCATTAGTGTAAGAAAGCGAGTGTCGCATAGGAATTCCCACATTGACAAGGAGGAAGAACTTAAGTATATTATCGAACCAGTATAAGTACTGGCTTTTAATTCCAGTACAAGCAGAAGTAGGCGGATCTCAGCGTTCTAGGACAGCCAGGGCTACGCAGAGAAACCCCATCTTGAAAAACCAAAGTAAAATAAAAATAAACAAGTAAATATTAAAAAAAAAAAAATAAGAACAGCCATGCCAGTGGTTGCGTACACACGCCACAATCAAAAGTTCTGGCTTTTGTGGGTCTGTGTGGAGAGAGATGGGCAGACCCCACCCCACCCGCCCCCAACCCCGCCCCCAGATCACTTCAGCCCGTGCCAGTCCACCCCCCCACCCCACCCCCCGGTACAGGCAGCAGGGGCTGAGCTCGAGGACCGTCGTCACCTTCCGGGACTAAACAAAAGAGCCCCGGGCAGCCCGGGCCCAGGCGGCTGAGCGAGCTCAGGAGCGTGCCGCGGGCGCTCGCTCTCGGCCTCGGCCTCGGCGGGTGCCGGCCTCACCCGGAGCCAGCGTCCCGCCCTCTGCGCGTGCGTGCGTGCGCGAGCCCCGCCCTCCCCTCAGCCCGCTCCCGCCACCCCACCCCACGCCCGCGCCCCCCAAGCGGCCGCACACTCACGGGCCATGCCGCCCACCGGCCGCAGCCCGGACGCCAGCGACGCGGAGAAACGCTCGGCAGCCGCCCCTCCCGGCGCTGAGGAAGGCTGCCCCGCGCGGGCCCGCGGTGCCGCGACGCCTCGCTCCGCCAGCCGGCCGCCCCGCCCACCGACCCACAACAGCCGCGGCGTGGCCGCTGGGCCACTGCGCCTGCGCGCCCGGGACGGCTGGCTGGCTGGCGACCGCGCTGCGCCGGCTCGGCTCGGCTCGCACGCTCGCGGAGGGCCGAGGCGGGACAGCTCAGCCGAGCCGAGCCGAGCCGAGCCGAGCCGAGCCGAGCCGAGCCGAGCCCAGCCGAGCGGGTTTTAAAAAGCAGAAAACACGTGCGCCCAGCTTTCCCACAAAGCACGTCCGCTTCCCTTTGCTCCTCCCTCCCAGGCGGAAAGGGCAGGGCGGTGACAGGACCCTTACTTTCCAGCAGCCAGGCAGAAGGGTAGGCTTTACCGTCGTCCCTCACCTGGCGCAAACGACCCAACACGGAGGCTCCAAAGCCTGCTCAGTCGCTTTTATCCCGGTGCCCCCGTACTGATGGGCAGAACCTCAGGGGTTTTAAGTGCAGGCAGTGCGGTTGGGTGGGATCCAAAGTACCCCACAGCCGCTTCACAAGCTACATAAGAGCTGGGACGAGGGAAAACACAGAGGGTTGGGGGTGTGGCTTGCCTAGCACGAGTGACAGCCTGAGTTCCATCCCCTAGGTTCCATTGAGCAGAGACTCATTTTCTTAACTGTCCAGTTTTACAAACTGAGATGGTCTGGACACCCAAAAGTTGCCTGAGTATTTAAACGAGTTTTCTTGTGGAGTATTTTAAATACATACAAAAGTATAGATGATACACCGCAACATACACATCGCCTAACTTGTACAATTATTAGCGTATAGAGTCAACTAGTTTAGAGAAAATGGGACAAAGTGTCAAGGGATGGATGGCATGACTGGATTGAAAGTGCAGCTATGGAACAGGAGGAGAACGGAAGGAAGGGAAGGAGGGAGGGAGGGAGGAAGGAAGAAGGAAGCAAGGAAGGGAAGGGAAGGAAAGGAAAGGAAAGGAAGAAAGCTTAGTTTTATCAATTAGTCTTTTCACTTAGGGAACATTATTTGTGGTATAAAACTTCTTTACCTATAAACTGGGAAGGCAATTTTACTTTCTCCTCTAATGGCTTAATACGAATCTGGTAAAGTGACAATGATATGATTTCTCCCCAGATCCCATGGTAAAAGTGATCGCAGCACTGGGCAAGGGGACTCAGGTGGTTCCCTGGGCCTTGGTGGCCAGCCACCTAGCCTAGTAGGCAAGTTCCGGGTCAGTGAGGGACCCTGCCTAAAAACCGTGGACAGCTCCTGAAGAGTGACAGCTAAGGCTGCCTTTTGACCTCCATGTGCACTTTGTACACATGAAAACGCACATATGTGCACATACACGCGCACACATGAGAGAAACACTTGGGCAAGTGTAGTGTGGAGTAGCTGTGGTGGTTTGAAAGAAAATGGCCCCAAGGGAGAGGGATATTAGGAGTTGGAGTAGGTCTGGTCTTGCTGGGGGAAGTGTGGCACTGTGGGGTTGGGCTTTGAGGTCTCCCATGCTCAGGCTTTGCCCAGTGTCACAGTTCACTTCCTGTTGCCTTCGGATCAAGATGACTAGAAGCCCTAACGGAGACAGCAACACTCAGTATGTTACCTATTATTTATTGTTCTTTCAACCCCAGAGAACTTCCTGTCTGTAACGACCTCCAGATCTCTATGGTTAACCAGTGGCTAGTTCCACCCTCTGATCTCCAGGCAAGCTGTATTTGTTAGAGCACAAAGAAAATGTCACCAGAATTTGTGAACTACCTGACATAGATACTGGGATGCAAACTCTGGTCCTTGCGACATAGCAGCAAGTGCTTGACTCCTGAACCATCTCCCCAGCCTCCAAATTGTAAAAATTTAAAATTACTGATGACACTAACAACTTTCTCCAACACCTGTGTAACAACTGTCTTGTGCTATATTTAATAGTAAAAAATAGGGTGGGGGAGCTGGACGGATGGCAGCCGTAGAGAGCAATTGTTGTTCAGGACCCACAGGGTTGCTCACAGCTATTCATAACTCCAGAACCAGGGGATCTGATACTGTCTTCTCATCTCCCAAAGCACTGGGCATAAATGCTTATGGGCAAGCAAAATTACTCACACATAAAAAGTAAAAATAAACACATCTGTAAAAACAAAAAAGAAAAACCTTTATAAATTAAGTTTTTGTTTTATGACTTTACTAGTAGGGAATTAAATCTAAATAATTTTAATTTCCTTATCTACAAAGTTGTGACAACGTGTTGGATTCTTAGGTAGAACACAGGATTTATGAAAAAGGCTTTATATAAGAACTTGCTGTGAGCTGTCTCGGAACTTGATATATAGCTGAGGATGACCTTGAACTTATGATCCTCCTGCCTCTGTTGCTCAAGTATTGGGGTCAAGGCACTTTCTACCACACCCAGCTCTTAAAAATCTTCCTTTCAAGGAGACAGAGCTTTGGTTTTTCTGTGTCATGGATTTGCATCTCCGGACCATTACTGCTTCATTCCTACAGGGTAAACCTTGCAGCGGCTTAGAGTTTTTCCTCCCATTATAAAGGCCTTACTGACAGGACCCCAGGGCTTTATTATATCACCATTGCAACCTCTTTCATTACGTATAATTTTTTAGTGTTTATTTTATGAGCATTGATGCTTTGCCTGCATGTACATCCTGTGAGAATGTCAGGTCCCTTGCAACGGAGGTTACAGAGAGTTGCGAGTGGCCCTGTGGGTGCTGGGAATTTAACCCCGGTCCTCTGAAGAGCAGCCAGTGTTCTTAACCTCTGAGCCATCTCTCCAGCCCCTACATTTAATTTTTAAGAGATTTATTTATTATGTATTCAGTGTTCTACTGGTATGCATGTCTGCCCACCAGAAGAGGTCACCAGATCTCACTATGGATAGTTGTGAGCCACCATGTGGTTGCTGGGAATTAAATTCAGGACCTCTCCAGTCACCAGTGCTTTTAACCTCTGAGCCATCTCTCCAGCCCACGTTTAAAATTCTTAATTATCTTGTCCATTTTTTTTGTATTTTCTCTTCTGTAACACAGAATGTCTTATTGTTCTGTTGCTTTCTCTGGAAGCAGATTAAGAATACTCACATTAATGTGCAAAATTTATATAATAATTTTGATAGGCAATAAGTTCACATTAAAATGTACAAAGCATGTATAGTGAATGTCTTTCCATGAAGTATTTTGTAGCTTCTCTTTCAATCATTTGCAATATTTTCACTTAAGAATTTTACATCGTTTTACTCAGCAGAGATGGCTCAATGGTTAAACTAATTTCCTGCTCTTCTAGTGGGTTCTTTTGGGGTCACAGCATCTACCTCAGGAGTCTAAGGAACACCTGTGACTCTGGCTTCCCTGGGCACCTGCACATAGCACACCCCTCCATATTCAGAAACGTTTTTGTTTCTGGTAGGGTTTGGTAGTACATGCATGGCAGTAATCTCAGCACTCAGCACGTGCAGGCAGGAGGACCAAGAATTGAAGGCCAGTCATGGCTATAAGAGACCCTGTCTCAAACACCTAAACCAAACAGTTTCTGTGTTCTGGGGATGCCCTGGTGGCTCTGCTCTCATACTACTTTGTCTTATTTTGTTGTCTTTTTGAGATAAGGTCTTGCTAGATAGTACAGGCTGGCCTGGAACTTGTCCTGTCAGGAATTGACCTTCCTGTCTTGGAGACAAAGGGGCCCTGACAGTCGGGAGCCAAGGGAATACGGTACCACTAAGTCAATGTGAGCTTAGCGGTTTACAACTCCGCTCCAGAGAAAGGGCTCCCCAGTGCAACCCCAGTTCTGGGATAGTAGGCATGCATCATCAGGCTCTGCATTCTTTCATAGTTTGCATAAAAGATTCAGTTAAGTGGGCTGCGGGTGAAGGAAGTTCCCTGCTACCGTGCATGTGGAGTGTACTATGGGCCCGGGTTCAGACTCCAGGACCGCGCGTGCGGGGTTGGGGGGTGTTTTACAAATTTGAGCCTGAGGATCGAGCTGTTTCCGCGCTCTCTTTTTCACAACTCCCGAGGCCTTACAGAAGAAAGAATATCTATCTTTGAGTCAAAAACCCCTGCTTCACAGGCAGGCAACCGAAGCTACAGAGCGTTGCAGTTGCTATGGTTCCCGGCGCTCACCGTGTGACGTCAGCCAGCGGCGCCGTGTGATTACGTCATGGTTTCCGGCGCCTTTTTGCGAGCCGGGACGCGGGGAGGAGAAACTTAGCTATTAGTGTGGCGGGGTCATGAAGAGGAGGCGGTGGCGGGAGAGCGGAGGAGGCGGAGGGGCCGCGAACTTGCGGTAGCCAGCGCCGGGCTGGTGATTGTGGCCGTGTGGCAGGGCGAGGCTCCCAGCCCTCGGGCAGAGGCCTGGCCCTGGGCTGAGCGCGGCTGTGGAGCCGCCGCTGCCGGTCCCCTGGCTCCGCCATGTTCCGCAGGGCACGCCTTAGCGTGAAGCCGAATGTCAGGCCTGGTGGAGGCGCCAGGGGCTCCGCCGCTCCCAACCCCCCGCGTGGACCCGAGGCTCCCCGGCCTCCCGAGCCTGCCACCGAGCCCGCTCCGAAGCCAGCCGAGCCCACAGATGTGGCTGCGGTGGATTCCGGGGCGGCCGAGCCCCAGGAGGAGGCTCCCGGGAGCAGGTGAGGTCCGGTCGAACGAGCGTGATGCCGAACTGTTGGGTTTTATCACGGAGCATCTCGCCTGCAGCAAGCCTTTGCTTTGAGCCGGATGAAACCACTCGTAGCTGCGGTTTAATTCCCGTGGTCAGAGGATGTGACTGCTGATTCTGTCACCATTCTCCGAGGAGACCATGGTTTACAGGGATGGGATTCCAGGTTTCACAGTTCAAAGTCCAACAATAGGCACGCTGTCACTTGGACATTTAAGTAATTCTCTCGGAGTGCTTTACACGGGAAGCAGTTTGGGGCTTTCATTTCCTGACTTTATTTTTAAGAGGAGAGCACCAGCGTTGCTTGAATTTTTTTCTCTCCTTCCACGCGGTGATGCGATTGAACCCAGCGCCTCACGCGTTAGGCAAGCGCCCTGCCACTGAGCCACACTTGCAGCATTTGTCAGAAGGAAAGAGACTCCGGTTGCTTACTTTGGTTTGAGTGTGCAGTTACTATGTTTGGTTTGAGTACGTACAGCTTTGGGGTTACTATGTTTCGCGAATTACGCTTTAGCGTCAAATGCCACGTTTGAATTTGGGGCTCTCCTACTTTCACAACTTGAAATAGGTTGTCCTCGGGAAAATTTATTCCTCTTGGATGTAGTTAATAATATCTCATTTGGGGCAGTATTGTGAGATCAGATGCGATTATATAAACTGTTTTTTGCACATGACATGGCAGAGTAGTTCCCCCAAATTTACTAGTTTCAGAAAGATGACGAGAGCCAGGTGTAGTGTCATATGCATTTAGTCCTACCTCGTAATCGAGAGGCAGAGGCAGGCGTATCTCTGTGAGTTCGAGGCCAGCCTAGTCTACATAGTGAATTCTAGAACTGTCAGGGCTACGTAGTGAGACTCTGTCTCAAAAACAAAAAAAAAAAAAAAAAAACAAGGAAAGGTGATAGTACAGATTAAAGATGTGACAGGGTAATATGACTGCAGTTTTTATAACACACAGAGGAGGAAGCCAGTAAACTACTAATCTTATCGAGTGACAGGGAGATGGTACAAGTAATGTTTGCATAGCAACATTTCTTCTGTTGATCTGAGTCAGTGCTATGTATTTTTTTGATATTTCAACAATTCATCATGATTTCCAAGTTTCTTACTTGAATTTGTTTGGAAATTTCTACTTAGAATGAAAATACCAATATTGGTCACTTATCAAAAGGGGTTGGAGATTTTTGTTAACTGTGTAGGAATTCATTATGATTGATATATATTTTAAATTTACTCATTTATTATGCTTGCATGTGTGCCACTAGATCTCATTATAGATGGTTGTGAGTCACCATGTGGTTGCTGGGAATTGAACTCAGGACCTCTGGAAGATCAGTCAGTGCTCCTAACCTCTGAGCCATCTCTTCAGCCCTATGATTGATATTTTATATATTGCCCTTAGGCCACAGTCCTGAGACATCTAGATTATAGATTATTTACACATGCACACACACACTTTTGTTTCTTTTGTTTTATTTATTTATTTATTTTTGACAAGATTTCACTTTGTAGCTTCGACTTGCCTGGAACAAAGGGACCCAACTGCCTCCGCCCTGAATGGTGGGATTAAAAGCATGAGCCACCTTGTCCATCAATTTTCTTTCCTCCTTCCTTTTAAGACAGAGTTTCATGTAGCCTAGGTTGGCTTAGAACTCACTGTTCATGAGAAGATGCCCTTAAATTTGTAATCCTCCTGTTTTACCTTCTGAATGCTGAGGTGTCAGAGTGTGCCACTGTGCCTGGTTTATGTGGTGCTGGGGATGGACGCCAGGACTCTGTAGGCTGACCAAGCACTCTACCAGCTTAGCTGCATCCCAAGTCCGCGTTCCTTATTTGATGAGACCATTTATTCTGTTTTGGGTTTCTTTTCTAGTTGTAGAAACCAGCAGAGTGTGCATTTAACATATAAAATGCTGGTGGTCGATGTGTTATATTGTTTTAAGGGCTATAGTTTTTAAATAGAGAGTGCTTGGGGATGAACCCTAGAGCTTTGTGCATGTTAGACAAGCAATCTGCCATTGACTTTTATCTATCTCAGCTTTAAGAAAAGAGTGTAAATTAAAAGTCGTTTTAGAGAGACTATGCTATAGTTTACGATAGCTTCAATTCTTATATAGTACTAATGATAAAATATGATAAAAGTAGACTTGTTGATTTATATTTCCCCTTTAAAAATATGTCTGTCTGTCTGTCTGTCTGTCTGTCTGTCTTATCTATCTATCTATCTATCTATCTATCTATCTATCTATCTATCATCTATCTATCTATTGGTGTTTTGCCTGTATGCATGTATGTCTGTGTGAGGGTATCAGATTCCCTGGAACTGGACTTACAGACAGTTGTGAGCTGCCATGTGGGTGCTGGGAATTGAACAAGGGTCTTCTAGAAGAACAGCCAGTACTCTCAACTGAGGAACCATCTCTCTAGCCCTTATACTCCCTTTTTAACATTAAAATTTTAACTGGTACAAAGTAATAATACTTACTTATGTAGTACATTGTGTTATTTCAATATATATTTAGGACATGGCACAGTATGGTGTATCACCTTAAAAGTTTTATTATTTCTTCATGTTGAGAGCATTCTAGATCTTTTCTGTAGCTATCTTATGATAAAAATTGTTGTCAACCAAAGCTGCAGCATCTCCACAACACAGGGCAACCGCAGGATATTCAAGAGTAGTCCCATGAGTGCCCAGCATCAGTAGTGTAGCAGAAATCAGAGGCCTCGAATCGGACCAATGACTCTTTGCCACAAACATTTGCAAGTAAAGATACATGAATAAAAGGGTTTACTGAATGACTCACTGTGTCACACTGCAGCTTCCATGACAAGATTGATTTTTCCTTCTTCTTTTCTCTCTCTTTTTCTTCTCCTAAATTTTATTTTATTTGGGGGAGTAGGTTATAAGGGCAGAGGTGGGATACGAAGGGATGGGAAATAAATGGGATGGAGGTGCATGACGTGAAAGACACAAAGAATAAATAAAAAGGAAGTTTAAAAACAATGTTGCCAACCATAGATATCCTACCATACTGTAGAGTATTAGTAGAAATAGATGTTTATGCTGTTCAGCTGCTTCCCTACTTTTCTTCTTTCTTTCTCCTGTTTTGCTTTTTGAGACAGGGTTTCTGTGTGTCTTCTGGCTGCCCTGGAACTCTCTGTAGAGCAAGCTGGGCTTGAACTCAGACATCTGCCTGCCCTGCCTCTGCCACACTAGTGATGTAACTAAAGGTATATGCCATTATGCTCGGCTTTTTCTTTCTAAAAATGTTTGTATATGGGTGTTTGCCTTCATGTGTGTCTGTGTATCACTCGCATGCCTGATGCCCATGGAAACTAGAAGAGGATGTCAGATCCCTTGGAACTGGAGATACACACAGTTGTGAGTCACATCTGGGTTCTGGGAATTGAACCCAAATTCTCTGGAAGAGCAGCCAGTGCTCTTAATCTTGAGTCATGACTCCAACCCCATTTCTGATTGACGTATATCATAGTTAATTCTTCCTTCCTTCCTTCCTTTCTTCTTCTTCTTCTTTTTTTTTTTTTTTTTTTTTTTTTTTTTTTGAGCTAGGGTCTCATGTAGCCTTAGCCAGCCTCAAACTCACTGTGGTTCTGAGGATAATATTAAACTTTTCTGATCCTTCTGCCTGCACCTCCTGAATATTGGGATTACAGATACATAGCAAAACAGCAAAAAAGTCAAACCTCTCAGCTATCTAGTTATTAAAAATTGGCTAATTAAGCCTTGTTCTGTGACTTAGTTGTTAGTTTTTTTTTTTTTTTTTTTTTTTTTGTACTCAGCATATGATTATTGTGCTTAGGGACTGAGGATGGAAAAAGATTAACTTGAACACCCTTCCTTAGAATTCACATACCCTAAAAATTAATGTTTTGTTTAGGTTTTGTTTTTTAAAGATTTATTGTGTGTGTGTGTGAGTCTGAGTGGATTCCACGTGTGTTCTTTCTGTCCTTGGAGGACAGAAAGAGTCAGATCTTTGGAGCTAGAGTTCCAGGTGTCTGTGAGCCACCTGATGTGAGTGCTGGGAACTGATTTTGGTCCTGTGGGAGAGTAGAGGTACACTTAACCATCTCACCAGTCCCGCTTTGTTTTGAGACAGCCTTACCTGGTGGGTAGCTCAAGCTGATTGGAATTCACTGTGTAACCCAGACTGGTTTCAGGCTCATGGCAGTCTGTCTACCTACCTCAGTTTCCCTGGTTCTAGGCATAGAAGTATGAGCCACCACATTCAGCTAAGAAAGTTTTAAACAGCAACTCCATTGTAATCAACATAAACCTGAAGTCCTTTGTGGTCATTCCCCCCCCCCCCCCCCCCCCCCCCCCCGGTTTAATGAGACCTTACTGTTTTAAAACTAGCGTAAGATTCATGGGTGTCCACTCTTTCCTTTCAATTTCAATAGTGATGCAAAGACTGGCGATGAAAATAATGAAGAGCCCAGCAGATCGTCTTCTAGCGGTTCACAGAGAAGAACGCGGTTGTCGAGCACGTGTAGTCTTGTTAACCCTGCTGTCAGTGGTCCTCCTCAGTGTCACCCCTTATCTACAGCTAATCACGATGCTCCACAGCCAAACCTTACTCCAGCTAAAGAGAGACAGCCGTGTTCAGATAGATACCGAATATATAAAGCCCGGAAACTGAGAGAAATGTTGAAAGAAGAATTGAGAAAAGAGAAGGTAAGTGAGTAAACTCAAAGTTTGGACGGTGCCTGCTACATTTCTCTATTTCGGTTAGTGTAACAGGCTACCTTTAGAAGGAAAAGAAGCATGTGTTGAAATTGAGAGAATAATACCAGATAATACTCATATGTAAGCATAACATCTTTTGTAATACAAAGTATCTTTGTAAACTTACTTTTTTTTCAACTGATAGACTTTATTATTATTATTACTATTTATTCATTTTCAGTTTTCCTTGGAGGTGGGCAGGGTTTGTCTGTGTGAAGCTTTCTTTGGCTGTCTTGGAACTCACTCTGTACACCAGGCTGGCCTCAAACTCAAAGAGATCTACCTGCCTCTGCCTCCCGAGTGCCCATCCTACCGACCCAGCCATCCAAATTTTGTGTCATTACATTTGTCTGGATAGTCATTTTAAAGTCATTTTATTCATTTATATTTTTCACTATTTTTGGTGACAGCAAAAAATACTTTTTTTATGAACATGTAGATAGATACATAAGCATATTAAAATAATTTCTATAAAAATGTCTAAGTGGTGTGGAATGTTTCTTTGAATTAAAATAAGTATAGTTGAGCAATGTGAATTGGTAGTTTTAAATTGAACTATTGCAAAGAAAAAAACCATGCAGAATACATATAGTAGAGTGTGTGTCCCTTTTAATCGATGACAGTGTACAGAGGAACAGTAGTGAAGCTGGCTTTGGAATTAGAAACTTTGGCTTCGTCTCTTACTAGCAGTGTGATGTTGGGCAGCTTAGTCTTTTTGTAGCTCTGTCTTTCCTTATCTGTAAAATATTACTAATAATGATATTAATACCTCACTGGAGGGCTTTGAAGATTTATTATTATTAGTGCGTTGGAGCTCAGTTTAATGTTTAGAAAATAGTATACCACAAATGTCAACTGTTTTAGCTAATTATAGAATGCCTCATTTTGGTAGTGTTGGGGATTGAACTTAGGACCTCATAACACTGACATTCCTAGCTCCGATAATCAGATTGTATACACTGACCTTTATCTGGTACCAGTTTCTTGGATTTTAAAAGTCTTATTAAGAGGTGACTCATCTTTGAGAAACCCTTATCTGTGTTCTCTTAGGTATGTCTTAACCATCTTCAGAGTGCTTCTCTCTCTTTAACTCTTGCTGTGGAGCCCAGATTAAAATACCTTTAAGATAAGGGATTGGAGAGGTGAATCACTGTTAAAAGTGCTTTCATTATGATCTCGAGTACTGGAATTTGGATCCTAGCACCTGTATAACAAGTTGGGACACCCCACAAATAGCTGTAATCTCAGCTCTGAGAGGGGATAGGATTGGGATAGGATTATTGGGTCTTTCTGGCTTCCACTCTAGCCAGTACACAAGCCCCTGCCTCAAAAGAATGAGTAGAGAGGGATAGAGGGTGACACTCAGTACCCTTTTCTGGCCTCCTTGAGGCAATGCACGGACATACCCATCCACCCATTTATATATACACACAAGTCAAATTACATTATAATAAAACATCTGTAATAAAACCTCTACTAAGGGCATTGTATAATACAATATTCAGGTAAAATGATTTCTTAAAATTAGGCATAATTATAGTATTAAAGTACTTTAAGTCAGTGAATTGTATATTTGAGTTAAGTGTGTCTGAAATTATTCTGTATATAAAATCTCTGTATATAGAAACAATGGAAAAACAAATTTGCTACAAATGAAAGCCAGAGGCCACCAGATCGCTCAAAAATGACTATGAGAGATTTCATTTATTACCTGCCAGATAACAATCCAATGACGTAAGTGAAATTTATTTATGCTCTTATTTCACTTGGGTATGTAGGGATATGTAGGGATGTGTTACTTTTAGAGTACAGTTTCATGTTTTTCAGATTAAAATAAAATTTCTAACAATGAGTATAGATACATTTTTTTTTTTTTTTTTTTTTTTCCTTTTGGTGCTGAGGTCTGAGCTATGCTCTTCTGATGTGCGGTAATCATAGTCATAACCTGTGGCTATTTTCTGGGATGGTAATAATGTCCTTCCTTTATCTCCGTGATTAAAAGGGGCACTTTATTGTTTTAATTATTGGAATAGAGTGCAATTTCTGTATCTTATGTACTATAATGTGATTAAAGGAATGTATAATTTTTATGCCCTATTTCATTAGTAATGGTGAATTTGAGTAACAAGTCCTTCATGAACAAAGCTTTAATTCTTAATTAAAGTTAGCCTGGGGTATAAGGCAGCAGTTTTATAAGTCTGTTGTGTTTTTGGTGGTGTAGGACGTGGAGTTAGCATACTCTGCAGTATAAGCTTCTGTTGTGTTCACCAGGTCTTTCTTGGTGAAAGAAAGGAAGGGCCAGAAACCTAAGTCTGTGTTTGACAATTAGCCGTTGGAGATGGATGAGTCACCTAGCTTGCTTCATTTCCCAGGGAGGAGACTCTCTCTTTGCTAAAGAATTAGAGGCTAAAACATTTCTCATTTAGGGCCCAGCAGATACTGGTACTTGATGAGTTTTTGATCAAAAAATTCTTCCTATTTGTTTGTTTGCTTGTTTGTTTAGATTAGAGTGTATACTCCAGCCTTCACTAAGCTCATTACCTAGGCACAAGTGAAGAAATGATTGCTGAACATTATTAATTGATAAAATATCAATTTATTAAAAAGTTTTCTTTTATTTGTGCTTAACAGTTCTTCAGTGGAACAAGAAAAGAAAACTGAAAAGTCTTTGGCTGCCCCCCTGACAAGAGAGTGAGCATCTTATCTTGTTCTTTCTCAGTCTGTTGTATTAGGTGCTTTTCTGTTACTGCTGGGCACCAAATCTGGGCCATACACAGGTACCTCACCACCAGTTACAGCCAGTCATTGGGTACACTTTTAAAATGAAATCTAATGTTCGTCTGTCTGTCCGTTGTTCCTTCCTTCTTATGTGCTTACACTTGGCGTGCATGTGTGTGTTTGTACATGTGTGTCTTGTATAGGCACATGTATTTGTCTTTCTCAGTTCACTTGCTTAATCGAGGCAAGGTCTCTTGCTGATTTTGACTTGTCTAATGTAGTCAGCTTGCCTCTAAAACCCCTTGTCTATGATTTTTGAGAGTTGGCTCACCTTTTGCATGGGTTTTGAGGATCCAAACTCAATTCTTAGGCTTGTGGGCAAGTATTTTATCCACTGAACAACTCTAACCCCCAGCTTTCAAGTGAAGTTTCTGTTGTACTCTAATTAGATTTGATTGGTTCCTAAAAATAGACTCATTTAAGAGTAGAAGCTTTCAGGACAACTGAGGCTACATAGAGACACCCTGTCTCGAAAAGAAAGAGAGAGAAAGGAAGAAATAGAAGCTCTATCTGGACATGGTAACTCATGTGTCTAATCGCAGCCCTTTAGAAGCTGCGGCAGTAGGATCTCAAGTTCAAGACTAGCCTGGACTACTGATGTGTTACCTTATTCCTGGAGAGATGTGAATAAATGTCTGCTTGCCCCAGGTAAGGGGCTGGTGACAGACCTGTAAGGGTACCATCAAAGTCCAACATGGTGAACCAATGAGTTTTATGGGTGTTAATTATCAGGGACATGAGTGAGAGGTTGCTTATAGGAGCATAAGTTATTTCAAGGACAGCTGCACCCAACCAGCTTGGGTAATGACTCATGAGAGCTGGGATCATGGCACTCGGCACAGCATGGAGGCAGTTGAGCATGTTGGAGAGGGCCTTTTGGACACCACAGCACAGTTGGTCTGCATTTCCTAGGCAGCTTGGCTTATCCAAGAGTATTTCTCAACAGTCTTACTGCTTATGTACATTTGGGGAGTGAAGGTGAGTTTTAGCAACTTCCTGAAGCCTTTGAGCTTAACAAGCTTCTCTGTAGGAACATCCCGTGTGTCAGGCTTCTCACTCACATAGAAGGCTATATTTTGGAGGAAATTGCTACACACACGTATATAGGGAGAACATGTCTCAAAACCACACACACACACACACACACACACACACACACACACACACACACACACCCTTTCAGAATGAAAGGTCTATAATATTTGTGTAATGTATATGTAGTTGACTAATACCGTGATTTACATTTATACATGTGTATATGTGTCTGTGTACATATGAGTGACACAGCTTGTGGAGGTCATAGGACAGCTGAGAGTTCTCTTCTCCCACATTTGGGTTCCATATTGGACACAGGTTGTCTGGCTTGACAACGCGTGCCTTTCTTTACCAGCTGAGCCATCTCATCTCACTGGATTCATGAGTTTTATATTAAAGATGTTCAAATTGGGAATTTTGAGACAGAGTCTCATTAAGTAGCCTTGGTTAGTCTAGAACTTGCTGTGTAGATCACAGTGGTCATGCACCACTATGCCCCGCAAATGGAGTTGGTTGTTGTAGAAAAATAGTAGCCGTGAGTGGTAAAAATTTACAAAGGAACAAAGGGAATATTGACAAAAGTCTTCCCTCCCACCTTTCTCTTTTGTGGTTTAAAGTCTGTGGTCCTCCTTCCTCCCCACAAGCAACAGATGTCACCAACTAAAACAGCCTATGTTTTTGCAGTGACACGAGCTTACCGTGTGTGTATATATGCGTGCCATGGTGAGTGTGGAGGTGAGAAGATAGTTTGCAGGAGTCAGTGTGTCCTGCAGATTGAACTCAGGCTGTCAGGGTTTGTGCAGGCGCCTGAACCTTCCGAGCCTTCTCAGCTCCCCAATTTTTAAACGTATTACTCCACATTTATAATTTGTGTATCTGTCAATAAAATATAAAGCAGACATTATAGTGGAAAGTAAGATTCAGATTCACCTTTTGAAAAACTAGGTTATAATTGGATAGGAACAAGACGTTCTGCTGGGCTTTTGAACCTTAGGCTGACTGGATACCTGAGAGCTGGGTAAGCTAATGCACCTTTGTGATCCCAGCAACTGAGAGGCTGAGTCTGAGGCTAGCCTCGGGCCACATAGTGAGGATTTTGTATGTTTTTATCACAAAACAATGTGTACTGTTTGCAAAATAGAAATGCTTAGCCTAATTTAAACATCATACTGAATTGTTATCAGTCGAAACATCCCATGGTATCATTCCTCTACAATTTTCATGTGTTTCTGTATGAGTTAAGAGGTAGATTCAGTTGCTAGCACCCATTTGGTGACTCATAGCCATCTGTAACCCCAGTTCTTCTGGCCTTCCCACAGCACTAGGTATACACAGCGTGAAATATACATGCAGACAAAACACCCACACACATCAGATAAATAAAATGAAAATAGCTTCCAGAAAAAAATAGACAAAGAAAAATTTTGCTTAGCGTTTAGCTGTAGTCTGTTCTGCAATCCAGAGTGAAGGTTCTCTAACTTTCAAGTGAACATAACACTGCTAGCCTTGTAGGACTGTTCTGTATTGAAGTTGTCTAGAAGGTAGTGGGGAGGGTTTTTGTTAATTCTGTTGTAGCTGTGGTTTATTTGATACTCTGTTAAGATATAAAGACAGCATTTATTTATTCATTTTCTTTTATTATTGGCTTCAAACCCAAGGTATACTATGTACCAATGAGCTGTACATCTGATACCATTTGTTTTAAAAGAGAGTAAAGATTCCTTACTATTATTTTTTTAAGATTTCTTATTAAATGCTACCAGATAGCTGGGTGGTAAGTGGTGCATGCTTTTAATCTCAGCACCCAGAAGGCAGACACAGGTGGATCTCTGAGCTCAAGGCCAGCCTGGTCTACAGAGTGAGTTCTAGAACAGCCAGGGCCACACAGTGAAGCTTTGTCTCAAACACAAACAAATAGTGCCAAATAACATTTGAAAAAAGTGTACGACTCCTCCCTCTGTGTATCTAACCATCCATCCATCCATCCATCTGTCTGTTTGTTTTGAGTCAGGGTCTTAATGTAAAATCCATGTTGATCTAGAAAGTCTGGTCCTTTGCATCATCCTCCTTAGTGCCAAGATTACGTTGTGTACCGCCATGCCTCGCAGGTCATGTTTTTTGTTTTTGTTTTTTTTTCAGTTAAGTTAGAGGGAAAGTTTGAAATAGCTTTTCAAATACTGTGTTTTGAATTCATACTGTTGAGTAAATACTTGTGTTTTGTTGCTAAGTTGATCAACTATGTTTACGTTTAGCAGGCAAGATGATCAGAGCACTCCCGATGCTGGTGATAATGGAGACGTGGAAGAGGAGGCGGATGATGGGCCACTGCTGGTCCCTCGAGTAAAAGTGGCAGAGGATGGCTCTATTATTTTAGATGAAGAAAGGTGAGTTAAGGAGATGGGATGAGAGCGAGAGAGGGAGGTGATGGCAGAGAACATGTTTTCGTTTGTCTAAGGAGAGGTTGCATTTCTTTTTAACCCTCACTTTATATATTTACATCGTGAATTTGTAAACAGAAAAGTGAACTAAATTAACTTGTAATTTTTAGCGTGTTTTGTACAAGATGGTACCACTCTCCTATTTTCTGTCAACCTAACTTTCTTTTACTCCTCTTGCTATAATCTAGGCTAGCTGCTGAATCAGCTGTGTACTGTTATCCACTGAGGTCGGTTTCTAGGATTGACCCAGTCTTGAAGTTGGTATTTAGGTTTCATCACATTATTCAATAATTTCAATTTGTTTGTCGAGTTTTTGAACAGGGTCTCTCTGAGTAGCCCTGGCTGGTCTGGAACTCACTTTGTAGACCAGGTTGGTCTTGAACTTCACAGGGATCCACCTTTTTTCTGCCTCCTGAGTGCTAGGATTAAAGTTGTATGCGAGTATACCTCAACCTAATTTCATGTTTTGGTGTATAGCCCTAATGGTCAATCTCTTGGATTTAAAGTTATAGGTGATTGTAAGCTGTGTGATGTGGGTGCTAACAACTGAATTTGAGTCAGCTGGAAGAGCAGCAAGCACCTTTTTTTTTTTTTTTTTTTTTTTTTTTTTTTTTAAAACACAGACACGTGCATACACATATGCACACGCGCATGCACACACACACACACACACACACACACACACACACACACTTTATTATTCAATTCTTTGAGAGTTTCAGATTTTGTACAGCATGATTTATTCATATTTCCAGATCCACTTCCTTCCTTTGTGGCCTTTTCTTTTTTTTTTTTAACCCTTCAAGACCAGTGTGTTCTACCCAATTATTCTTGAATGTATGGTATTTCATTGATCTGGCTAACTTATAGGAGCTATACTCTTAGAGTATATACCCTCTCTTCCAAGTGATTCTTGAGCCATGGGCAGAGTATGTGTTACATATGTTGCATTTAGGGCTGGATAGTCTCTTATTCTCTGCACTTTGGTCGAGTGGGTCTCTGTTAATCATCATCATCTACTGGGAAAAGAAGAGGGCTGAGAGTTGCACTGATCTTTGGGTATAACAGTAAGTCATCAGGAGCATCAAGCAGTTCTTAACTGCTGACCCATCTCTCTAGCTCTAAAGTGTATATTTTATAAGGGATTAGTTAATAAAGAGAAATGAAAGGTTCTGAAAGGTAGTAAAAATGTATATGACATTTAAATTTGACTATAATAAACAAATACACTGATAATAAGTTTTTATATGTGATGTGATTTTACATGTCATTAATAGTTAAAGTGATAATTAGCCCAGGAGGCATGTAGAAACCAGCAAAAGGAAGCCAGTTGCGATGGCACATGCCTACAGTCTCAGCATGTGGGAAGCAGAGGTAGAGGAATAAGAATTCAAGGCTACCCTTAGCTACATAGCAAGTTCCAGGCAATAGAACCATTTTATGTTTAGGTAGTCCTCAGTTATTTTGAAAGTGCTGTAATGAAAACAGGTTGGCATTTATTTCTGCCCCTTAGGAGTAATGGTTGAAGAATATTTATTTCAAATTTAAATATTATTTTTTCAAATACATATTTTCAGTATTACTGCTATGATACATTTTAGAATACAGCTAGTTAAATTTCATCTACTGTTGTTTTTCATATTTGTTTTTAGTGTGACTCTTTGAAAATGTCTTTCTTTCAGTCTAACTGTAGAAGTTTTGAGAACAAAAGGCCCCTGTGTTGTTGAGGAAAATGATCCTATATTTGAACGAGGCTCAACAACTACTTATTCCAGCTTCAGGAAAAACTATTACTCAAAACCTTGGTCAAATAAAGGTAACTAATTCTCATTAAAAGTTGTATGCTTCTTTTTTGAAATAATGAACCATTTTATGTTTTTGAATGACTTCTAGTAAATTAAATGAAGCTGTCATGTTGTCTTCTATCCATTTAATTTTAATCGTTCCCTTCCTCCTTTCCTACTATATGTTTGACTTTACCCTAGAAATCATTAGAAATTAGCATTTTATCATTTTGCCTGGATTCTTCAGCTTTTTCAAATTCTACAAACAACATTTAAGTGAATAATTGGCAGTGTTCTGTGTAAGCACCATACACTAGCCATTTGTACCAGGAAAGCATTCTGTTTCCAGTACTTCTAATCACCATAATGTTCTCCTTGGAAACAATGTCTAATCATGGTTCTGCAGGCATCTCCCAGCTAGAATGCAAGCATTGAGGAGGCTTAGGCAGGAGGATCATGAGTGTGAAGCCAGTCTGGCCTATATAAAGAATCCTGTCTGTCCAGGCAGTGGTGGTGCATCCCTTTAATCCCAGCACTTGGAAGGCAGAGGCAGGCAGGTCTGTGAGTTCCATGCCAGCCTGGTCTATAGAGTGAGTTTTAGGACAACCAGGGCTACACAGAGCAACCCTGTCTCAACACCTCCCCATCCCACAATAAAGAATCTTACCTAACATAAACAAAAAAGCAGACAACAGCAACCAAACATACACAATACATGCTGCATGGTGGTACATATGATTTTTAATATAAAAATAGAGTTTGTTGAAAACTTTGAAGCATGGCAGGATATACTGGGGAAAAAAGATTTTGTACTTCTGACTATTACCGATTCTATTTTTTAAAGGTAAGATCTGTTAGGCTTGTCACATGTTCCCTTACTCCTTCCTCCCTCTCCTCAACATAGTAGAGGACACGAGGACACCATAGCCCCTTAGTTCCACTGAGTATTTTTCTAAGTGCTTTTTTTTAAAAAACTAGTCACTAAATATTTTATTTCCTATAGATGGCCAAACACAAAAGCCCTATCAATTTATATTTTTACCAGTTACTTTATAAAAAGTATTATTTTCCCATAGCTTTGCCAATAATAATTTTGTAAGTTTTATTAGCTTATGAAAATCTAATATTCCAAAATACTCAAGTTTGTTTTATCATCTGTTTGGTTGCTCTCTCTTTGTCCCAGCAGGTACATGTGATGATCAAGCTTTTAGGGATACTCTGAAGTAGGAGTATGACCTAATTCACTTTCATAGTTGTCCCTGTTGGGTCCAGACCAAGTCAGAGGTATTATGGGGCAGGGCAGTACCAGGAAATCTGGTCCTGTCAGATGGGGTTCACAAACTGGCTCTTATCCCACCAGGCTTGAGGCAGAGTCCAGGCCTACAATCTTGCACCATATGCACCAGGAGCTCTGGAACTCAGCAGTACTTGTTACAATAGCCTCCTGGGTTCTGGGATTATGGCATATACCACCACACTTATATATGGAGAATTTTTTTTTTCTTAAATGTATTAGGGTGTTTAAAATTCTTTGAGTTTGTTTTCAATAAAATTAAATATTGTATGACTTAACTTTTAGCTAATCTTAGGTTATTTTGTCTGAACAGAAAATTAATTTTCATTTAATCTTTTATTTTTACAGAAACAGATATGTTTTTTTTGGCCATCAGCATGGTAGGAACTGACTTTTCTATGATTGGACAACTTTTCCCCCATAGAGCAAGGATAGAAATTAAGGTAAAGTATATATGTAAACAACATTTACTGGTTAGATAGAGTCAAAAAAAATTCCTAAGTTTTTTTTTTTTTTTTTATATATTTTAACTTAATTTGTAGTCATTTGTTCTCTATTATGTTGTGTATAAGACATTTATTCTTATAAGATTTCTCAATTGTAGTATAGTTATATCTCCTGAAATTTTATGGCTTTTAAAATGTATTTGAGGACTACTGATAAGATACTGAAATTAAGAGTTAGTTAATGAAAAGAGAAGGTAGATGTACCAGAATGCTTAGAGTAAGTGTAACTTTATGATTTATACAGTGTCTAGAATGATATGAAAAGTACTTAGTCAATGGTGATGTCACACGCCTTTAATCCACTTGGGAAGCAGAGACAGGTGGATCTCTGAGTTTGAGGCCAGCCTGGTCTATATAGAGAGCTCCAGAACATCCAGGAGTATACAGAGAAGCCCTGTCTGAAAAACAAAAACAAACAAAACAATTCTTATGTCAGTATTGATGCTAAGCTGTGGAGGTCTTATCTATAAGACTTTTCTGTTGTATTACTATTAGCATTTGTCGGAACTGTAGTGATAACCCTATTTGATTTGTTTCCTTTTTTCTCCATTACTCATCTGTTTTCTTTTGAGACAGGGTTTCATTTTGTAACCCAGGCTGGCTTCCAATTTGTGATCCTCCTCACTTAGTCTCCTGATTCATCTTTCTCTAATGGCTTATTAACTTTCAAAAAATCTTTGTCATAAGTCAGATGTGGTGGTGTGTGCTTATAATTCTAGTACCCAAGGGGTGGCAGGAGAATCATGAATTTAAGACCAGCTTTGGCTGCACGAGACCTTGCCCTAAAAGACCACAAATAAACAAACAGAACTCATGAAACAGCTCTGGGGCAATGCCTCAGAGGTAAAGCCCTTGCCTTGTAAGCATGAAAGTCAGAGTTTGATTTCTGAATACCCATGAAGAATGTAAAAGGTAAAATGTGGGGCATGTCTGGAACCCCAAAACTTAAGAGGTAGAGACAGGAAGATTAGGAATTCAGGGTTATCTTTTAGTTGAATAGTGAGCATGAGGCCACAATGGAGTACATTGGTCCTTGTCTTAAAAAAAAAAAAATTACATTTTATGTAATATATATACAGTATATATTAATGAGATAAACTTGGGTTTAAATGTTTGCTTAGTTGTTTCTGTATAGATTTCCCTCTATTACACCTAAAACACTTTGGAATAATAATATTGTAAGACTTTAACTTTAGGAATATTTTAGGTTGGATGAAGTGATTGTTAGCTTAATTGGCTATACATTATCTATTTTTTTGTCGTAGTCAACTTTTTTTTTTTTTTTTTTTTTTTTTTGGCTCCTTTCTCCCCCCCAAGACAGGGTTTCTTTGTGTAGCTTTGTTTTTCTGGCTTTTTAGACAGGGTTTCCTCTGTGTAGCTCGGTTGTCCTGGAACTCACTCTGTAGACCAGGCTGGCCTGTAACTTAAGAGATTCCTGCCTCTGCCTCCAGAGTTTTGGGACTAAAGTCATGCACCGCCATTGCCTGGCTTTAATTTTATCTATTTACCATGTGTATGCTTGTGTGCTATGAATATGTATTTGTATAGGTCCACACATACCCAATGCAAGTAATAGGACCACTCAGTGGGGGTTTTAGTCTATTTACCATGTGTATGCTTGTGTGCTGTGAATATGTATTTGTATAGGTCCACACATACCCAATGCAAGTAATAGGACCACTCAGTGGGGGTTGGGTTTCTCTCCACCTTTGTGTCCATTCTGGATGTTGGACTGAAGCTGTCAAGCTTGGCCCATGATGACTTTCTCTGTACTGTGAAGTCATTGTTATTTCTGCTGCTGATAATAAAGACAGGAGCAAGAAGATTTGTGCGAATCCTTCATCCTCATTACAAAATAAATATACATTATATTTATTTGGAGTGTGTGTTCACACGCTCAGTACCCGAGGGGGCAAGCAGAGGGCATTAATTCTTTGAACTGGAGGTACAGATGGTTGTGAGCCTCCAAGTGGCTGCTAGATATTGAACCCATGTCTTGGAAGAGTAGCCAGTGTCCTTCCCCATTGAGCCGTCTATTCTAGCTATCAATCCTCATTTTTAAGACACCAAAGCTTTAAGTAACTTAGCCTATTGGCAAAAAATACACCATTTAATACAGGATAGTTTGCTTTGTAGAATTTCATAGTAATGCTCACTAATTAGAAATAATTCTTGTTTAATGGCAGAACATTACTATAGATCTTTTTATTGTTAACAGAATAAATTTAAACGTGAAGAAAAAACAAATGGATGGAGAATAGACAAAGCATTCCGTAAGTATTAAAAAATTCCTTCACAAAGAATTATTTGTAGAGGTTAAAAAAGTCTTTGGCTCTAGTGTTTTAGATTCGTCCTTATATTGGCATAAGAATAAGAATGAACGTTTTCCTTTTTTTATTTTTCAAAAAATAAGCTCTTGGTATATGTCCACGCTAGTCTGCAACTTTTGATCCTTTTACCTCAGCCTCCAAGTGCTGGGGTTATAGTTATACATCACTGTGCCTGAGTTGATCTTTTTTTGTTTATTTGTTTGTTTGTTTTTTCTGAATTTATATAGTAATTGATAATGAAAAGTGACTTTTTCAAAGTTATTTTGAATCTATGCATGTATGGATGTGCACAAGGTTTTATATGTGCACAAGGTTTTATATCAGAGGACAACTTAGAGAAGTTTGTCTTTGCCTTGCATCATGTGGCTCTGCACTAATTTTAGGGTGTCAGGCTTGGTAGTATTTTTATAAGCTGACCTGTGTCACTGGCCCCTGAGTGGGTTTTTATTGGAAAGGAACTGTGTTCAAGAGATAGTTCATGGAAAATAGATGGCAATAGTTGATTCCTCTTGTTGTCTGCCAGTCATTAAGTCAACGGCATTGGTTACCTGCTGTGTTCTGGTTGCTCTTAAAGGTGTGTTAATAAGGCAGGTGAGAAAAAACGGTATGGAGAACCCTAAATTTAAATGAGTGGGCATATTGAGAAGCAAATCTCAGGTAGAGATTAAGTTCTTGGAACGACAGAAAAGGAGTTGGTTTCCATGTTTATCTTGATTCTCAGTTGAAGTTCTTTATGAATGGGTCACATTTAAGTTTAGATCTGACTTAAAAGAGCAGCAGGAACCTTTTAGCTTGTAATACTTATTTAAAATTATTATTTCTTTTCTGTTTTTAAGTCTACAGGAGGACTACAAGAGATCTATAAATAAAAACAAACTTAAGTTTAAAATAGTTTTTTAAAAATGTTTTGAAAGGTATATATACTTTTCATGAACAGTTATCAGCATTTCATAATTAATGTATCAGTATTCATTTAACCATGAAATTAGCTGTTGTGCCAAATTTAATTACTTCTAAAAAAAACTAAAAAAATATTCTTTTTGAGATAGGGCTCGCTGTTTAGCTGGAGTTTTCAGTCCATAAAACACATGGACTCTATATTAATTATAAAATTTTTGGCTGATGGCTAGGGCTTCTTATTGGGTAGCTCTGTCTTAATTATTAACCCATACCTATTAATCTAAGTATTCCCACGTGGTCTTATTTTACCAGAGAATGTCCAGACCTGTTACTCCTTTGAGTTCTACAGGGTGTCTCCTTTTGGCGGGCCTTCTCTGCCTACCTTTCCCAGAATTTTCCTTGTCCTGCCTATCTTCCTGCCTCTATTGGCCAAACAGTGTTTTATTCATCAACCAGTAAGAGAAACATATATACAGCAGGATACCTCCATCACCAGGCTAGACTCAAACTCACATAAATCTACCTGTTTCTGCCCCTCAAGTGCTGGAATTAAAGGTGTACATCACTGTGCCTTTCTAATTTTTTAAAAATATATTTTATTTTGTGTATATATGTTGAGTGTCTGCATGTATGTATCTGTGCTATGTGTGTGCTTGGTATCCACAAAGGACAGAAGAGGGTATTGGATTCCTTGGAACTGAAGTTGTTAAGTGATTGTGAGCTGCCATGTGGTTTCTGGGAACTCAACCCGTCCCTCTTCAAGGGCAGCAAGTACTAACATTTCAGCTCCAACTCCCCTCCCCCCACTTTCTTGTAGTCCTGGCTTGCCTGGAACTCAGCTTGTAGGCTAGGCTGGCTTCAAATTAGAGATTCATGTGCAGCTGCCTCTGCCTCCTGAGTTCTGGGATTAAAGGCTTGTGCACCACCATGTCCAGCTCAAAGTAAAATTTCTTAAGTAAAGTTAGCCATAGGACTGATTTTGGGGGAAAATAATTCATATGTGATTTAGAGAATACCCACTGTATATAGCATGTGGACTTATTTTATGGAGTAGACACTGTGGCAGGTGAGTGGGTTTGATGACCAGTGTTAGTGTTGTGTCTTCAGCTGAAAGTATTTCCAGGAATGGCTCCTGAAAGATCTGGAGTACTGTGAATAGAGGGACTTAAACATTTTAAAAATGGAGTATCAGAAAAAGATTCATGAATTTTTTTATTTTTCTTTTTGATTTTTATCCTTTGTAGTAGGAAATTAAAAAATTAAAGAAAAACTCCTTTTGGTTTTTAAAATATTTATATGTACTAATGTGTGTATACATGTATGTTCACCGTGTGTGTGGTGTCTTTGGAGGTCAGAAGAGGGCATTTTATCATTCACAATGGCGTTATGGATGGTTGTGATTCACCATGTGGGTGCTGTGCTGAGAATTGAACCCACATCCTCTGCAGGAGTAATACGTGCTCTAACACTCTGAGCCATCTATCTCTCCAGCTCCCTTTGTGGTTTTGCTTTTATTTGGAAAGGGTCCTACATTTTAACTCCTCTCGAATCAAATCACCTAAAGATTCTTTCTGGATTGCTTGGGTGCTGATTCATTGTTGTGGACAATCAGAACAGATTAGTATTTTAGTATAAACCTCTCTTCCTGAGGCATTCTTGTGAGCTTTCTGTACATTCACCAGAGTCTAGATGTAAAGTTTGTAGATTCATTCCTTTTTTTTTTTTTTTTTACCGGTTGCTCTCTCTGTTATGCGGTTGACAGTGGCAGTATTTCTGATTTCATTGGACTGTTGTGTATTTACTTCCATTTTATAGATGCTTAGAAGAACACACAGTGACGAGGTTGCAGTGAAAAGAGGGCATGTTGTCATCATAGGCATTTGGAGGATGTCTTAGTTATCTTCATTTAAGTTTGGGGGCTGAGAAGTGAACCTAGGTTCTTGTGTCAGCTGATGCATGTGCTCTACCACTGAATTATCTCCTGGTCTATCTTTGCCACTTAAAATAAGTGATAGAATAGTTTACAGTGTAACCTGAATTTTAATAAAGAATATATCCTAGTAACCTGCACCCTAAGTTATGCATGGAATAGTTTCTCAACTCAGAAGACTCTGCTTGCTTTGCGGTGAAGCTTTGCTTTGATAGCCCGAGGACACTGCTGTTTCCATTTGAGTTACCATGGGCATCACACAGTATGCAGTGCTTCGTGATAGATTTCTTTTAGTTTTGAGACTCACCCTTTTGTCCTTCTATTAGGTTGGTGCATAAGTAATTTTGGTGTTTGCACTGTTGAAATTATCATTTGTATTGATTACATTTTTAAATATGGTTATTATGCATCATCTTAATGCATACTTCTCACTTTATGATCTTGTATTACTGACTTATTACCTATTTATACAATGGAAATCACATTAGATAAAAAGCAAATTCAAGGTAGTCTTTCAGATTTTTAAAAGATTTTATTTAAATATGCCTAAATGCATGCCTGTCGGCCCATGGGTGCAGTGCCTACAGCAGAGAGAAGTGGGTGTCAGACTCCCTGGAACTGGAGTTACACATGCTTGTGGACTATCCTGTGGATGCTTGGGATTGGACCCTCAAAGACCATTGCCTTAGTTAGGATTACTATTGCTATGATGAAATGCCATGACCAAAGGTACTTTGGGAGGAAAGGGTGTATTTGGCTTATGCTTCCATATTACTGTTCATCATGGAAGGAAGTCAGAACAGGAATCCAGGGGTAGGAGCTAATGCAGAGGCCATGGAGCTGCTTAATAGCTTGTTCTTCATGGCTTGCTCAGCTTGCTTTCTTATAGAACCCAGGCCCACCAGCCCAGGGCTGGGCTGGGCTCTCCTGTGTCAACCTTGAATTAAGAGCATAGGCTTGCCTACAGCCTGATCTTATGGAGGCATTTTCTTAGTTGAGTCTCCTTATTTTTGAATGACTCTACTTTGTGTCAAGTTGACATAAGACTAGCCACCACAAGCAGTGCTCTTAACTGCTGAGCCAGCTCTCTTGCCTCTTTTGTTTTGTTTTGTGTTTTACTTGAGTTCAAAATGGGTCATGTATGTGGAGAAAATTTGCAACAATAATAGTGCATTTGGTCCAGGAACTGTTAAGGAATATGCTGTCGCAATAATGGTTCAAGAAGGTTTGCAACGAAGAGGAGAGCCTTGAAGGTGAGGAATGTAGCAAACTGAGAAATTGTTGAATATGGTCCTTTTACAACTCAAATGATGCTGTAGAACAAACTCAGTGTAGATCGTTTGGTGGTTATTTTACATTTACAGCAAATTGGAAACATGAAAAAGCTCTATTGAAAAGTCATCATTTTGAACTATTGTCCTGATTCTGCACACAATGTTGTACCATTTCTTTATTAGTCCCTCAAATCCATGAGCTGTGGAGCCAGCATTGGTCAATAGAAAGGGCCTGATTCTCCACAACGCCTAACCTTATATCATACAACCAATGCTTCACAAGTTGAAATCTGAGCAAATTAGGCTACACAGTTGTTGTTTTGAGTCAGGGTCTCACTGTAAACCCTGGGCTGATTTGGAGCTTGTTACATATATGAGGCTGGCCTTGAACTAACTCACAGTGAGTTTCTGTTTTGATTAAGAAAGGTGTGTTTGAACCTGTTTGTAATGACATAAAACTCATGGTCTAAAACAGCAGTTCCTTTTGCACCAACCTAATACTGTAATTTAATTGATTTTTTTGATGCTGGGGCTTAAACCCAGGATCTTGTGTGTGCTATAAGTGCTATGTCACATTTAGCCCTTGTTAAATTGCCTTTTTTGTTTTATAACTTGATGGTGCCATATATTTGTTTATCCATGCTCTGTCTAATAAATAAGTCCATTTGCTTTGCATGTTGTATTACTTTGAAAACTAGAGAGCTCCTCCTTTAAAAAAAAAAGAAATCTAATTTTTTTCCCTTTTTTTAAACAGAGGAAAAACGCCCTTTTGACTTCGATTTTTTTGCTCATTTGCTTCAGAAAGTTCTTGCTGAAGAAGAAAAAAGAAAACAAAAATCTACTAAATGTCAGAGTTCAAAAGAAAAGGCCTCCAAACCCCGGAAAAATGTAAAAGGTATTGATTGTGCAGTTTCATCTAGTGATGAATTTACAGTATTGCCTCTTAGGAAGTGAGAGTTTAGATGTTACTCAGATAGTTATCCCAGTTATCCAGGGCAAGTAGCAGCTCCCTTTTAATTATCTATTTCTCGGTGTGTTACATGTATGTGTGTGTGCGTGCGTATGTGGCCTGATAAGAGATGGCTCAGAGGTTAAGAATGCTTTGTTGCTTTTAAATTAGACTGACATTGGTTCCCAGCACCTGTGTTGGTGTGGCTTACAATCGCCTATAACTGCAGCTTTATGACATTTGATGCCCTCTTCTAGCCTCTCCAGATACCCATGTACTGTGTATACACACTCATATATTTAAAAGGAAAAACAATGTTTCAGTCAGGGATCTAGTTTAGTTCTTGCCAAGGAATGCAGAAGACTGCCTGGATCTGATCCCCAGCACCACAAAACGATACAAAAGATCCTTGGTTCGGGCAGGAGGATCACAAGTTCATGCCTAATTTCAGTTATATAGTATAGTTTGAAGCAACCTGGGATGCATCAGACCTTGTCCCAAAAAGTCAACCAAACAACCCAAAATGATACAAAAGATACAATTCGAGAACTCTTTGTCTTACCTGAAGTTCAAAGCAAATTCTTCAGAATTCCCAGGAATAGCTATCACCAAGCCCTTTCCTATGCACATACTAGTGTGTAATTTTTTTAAAAATAAAAATGTAAGCTCATAGATAATATAAATATTTCTGCCACGGGGAGTTTAGCAATATACTTTGAGTTCATCACATTAATATATACAAGCTTATTTTATTATTGTTGATTGCATGTATGTATCCTTTTTTTGTTGGCGGTGGCAATGTTGGGAGTCAAACCAATGGCTGTGTGTATGCTAAATAGGGTGTGCTTTACCTCTGAGCCATACCCTAGTCTGTACCTGCATGGACTTTTACAGTGTGACATTATAACTGATTTCTTCTTTCCCTCTTTTAGTCTGTCTTCAGGTTTTGCACAAAAGTAGCATGACAGAATATACTTTTGATTATCATCTCCCCTTTCAATAAGATTTCTATAAGTTCATGGATTTATAACAATTTCTCTTGTTTTTAGCAAAAAAGGTAGCTAGCGAAGAAGTGAATGATGATCCAGACGAGTCTGTAAATAGTAACATTTCAGACCCAGAAAGATCTCAGAAAGGTGCTCAGACATTTGCTGAAGAGGAACCACCAACTTCATCAGGGCAGGATTTAGAACAAGCCATGTTAGAGCAAGACCAAAATCAAGAGAGGAGAAGGAGCCAAGATGAAGCTGATAAACAGGAAACAACAAATCCTGTGGGAAATGTCCATGTTGAGTTGAGCCCTCCTGAAGCAGAAACACGCAAGAGTAAGTTTCAAACACATCCTAGCAACCTCTGTTTTACTAAAAGAGACATGTGCAGTAGTGTGAATGACAGATACCATTGTGGATAATAGCCATTCCTAATGCTTGTTAAGTGGTTGTATGCTCAGTACCATGTTCTATCTTGCCATCTTAGTTTTAGTTAAAGAGAAAAAAACATAACTGTAGAAAACAAAAAAAGTGAAGCAAGGAGAATTTTCTCCAGATTGTTTCAGAGATGTATTATTTCTCTTGTAGTCCCATTAATGAATCTGTAATGAATCTCAGCTTTTTATGGTCTGCCTTTATGGATACCTCTGTGAGCCTGTAATAGGTTGTTTAATTTTGAAAGGAGCTAGTAGAACTTGCATTTCTTTTTTTCTTCTTATAGTCTTAGAATGCTTTTTAAACATGCTGTAATTTAAATGTTGCTGGAGAGGAGACTGGGTGTTTCTTAAGAGCTTGCTTTAAGAATACTTAAGGTTGGAGGTGCTGCTCAGCAGCAGCAGAACATGTGCAGGTTCCTGCCTTTACGACCTAGGAGCCCACTCTCCCCAGTGCATGCTCCTCCCAGCTCATGTATTTTTCTTTTTAAAAAAACAAACAAAAACAAAAACAAAAAAAAACAAAACAACCTTCTGAGTCCTGTCAGTGTTGGTCATTTGTACACTGTGTTGGGTAATTCATTGTAGAATAGGTAACCTTACCAGAGGCCACACCCCTTAAAACATGGACTCTCCCTTCCCAGTAGCCATCACCTGCCAGGAGCTCTGCAGCTGAGGGTTAGGGTCTGTTGTGTCCCTCCCCACCCATGCTGGACTTTTGACTGGCTTGATGTTGTCCTTGTAAGTACAGTTAGTTGTTTGGGTTCATAAGTGAGACATCCAGAGGACTGATTTTCTCTCACCAGTTTTCTCAACCTCTGGTTCTTACAAACTTTCTGTCACCTCCTCTGTGATATTCCCCAAGTTTGCGTAGGGGACGCTGGCAGGTTTAGTTGTTCATCTAAAGTAATTAAATTAAATTATTTAAATTAATTAAGACTGAACACTCAACAGTCACTTTTCTGCATTTTGACCATTTCTGAGTCCTTGTATTGACTGTTAACTACAAGAAGAAGCTTCTCTAATAAGGACTGAGAGCTGCACTAATCCTTCGCTGTGAAGATAAATATTTAGAAGGCAGTTGATACTGTGTTTATTTAGCAAAGAAGTAGGTTATCCTCCGGTGGCTTAGAGCATCACTACCCATGGTTTCTGTCCAGGGTCTTCCTGCTCCAGCCTGAGGTTGTGGTAGAATATTATTTGAAGGTGTGTTGTTTTTGTTTATGCCGCATTTGTTTAACTCTGTGAAGCTTTGATTCTAAACATCTGGTGGTCTGATAAAGAGCTGATTGGCCAATATTGAGGCAGAAGAAAGGATAAGTGGGGCTGGCAGGCAGAGAGTATATAAACAGAAGGAGAAATCTGGAAGGGGAGGAACAAAAAGAACAAGGAGATGAGGGTATCAGGGGTCAGCCACCCAGCCAGCTGGAGAAAGAGTGCAGTTAAGGTATACAGCAGTAAGAAAAGGAAAAAGCCCAGAGGCAAAAGGTAGTTGGGACAATTTAAGAAAAGCTGCCAAGAAACAAGCCAAACTAAGGCCAGGTATTCATACCTAATGCTAAGTCTCTGAGTGTGATTTATTTGGGAGTTGGGTGGTGCATCCCCAAAAGGCCAGAGTAGAGAGTAAAAACCTGATAACTACATGAGGCTCCTCCGGTGGCTCTGGCTGTAAAGGGAATCAAGAAGCCGGTGTTCCCAGTGGAGCATTGGCGCCACTGTTGCGCCAGTGGACGTATCCTGTCAGTTCAGTTGCTGTTGCTTGCAGGGTTCATCAGTGGTGAGACTCTTAATGACTTTCCCCTTTAGTAGCCTGTGTATCACCTTCCAGCACTATGAGAGCTAGCTAGCAGTAAGAGAAATCGCTGATAGTTTAATAGATCAGTTCTGGTAGTTGAAGTAAGAGGATTTTTTCCCCTTTTGTGATGGGGTCTGATGTAGCCCACTTTGTACTAGAACTTGCTGTGTGGGCAAGGATAATGTTGAACTCCTGCTTCTCCAGTCTAAGTGCTGGTATTATGCACATTTGCTCTTATATCCTGCTTACAGCTGTCTGGTTTTTGTTGTTGTTTTTGTTTTGAGACAAGGTTTCACTGTGTAGGCCTTGCTGCCTTGGAACTCACTCTGTAGACCAGACTGACCTCAAACTCAAGAGATCTGCCTGCCTCTGTCTCCCAAATGCTGGGATTAAAGGTATGTACCACCATGCCCAGCCTGCACTTGTCTGAGTTATAAGCATTAGACTATTATACTGTAGTTGTTTACCATTACAAGACCTATTACATGTAGAGGCCCCGTGAGATTGCTCAATGGGTAAAGGTGCTTAAGTTTGATCACAGGGATCCTCAAAGAAGAAAACCAACTCCTCTTAGTTACTTTCTGATCTCCACATGGGCACCACACACACACACACACACACACACACACACAGAGAGAGAGAGAGAGAGAGAGAGACAGAGACAGAGAGAGAGAATTAATAAATACATGAACAGTATTTTTAAGAAAATGATTATATATGAAAAGAAAATTGGGTAAAGTGGCTGGTGCCCGTAATCCCAGTATGTAGGTGGTAGAGGTAGGCAGATACAGAAGTTAAAGATTACCCTTTACTACCTAATGAGATTGAGGCTACCCTGTTATGTAAGCCCCTGTCTCAATCAAAAGAAGAAAGACTTTACATGTAAAGGAGAATAGCTTAATTATCTATTGGTTCTAGCTTCTACCATCTAAAATATTGGTGAGGAACTTAAGATGTTGGAACTTAGGTGGTTCCTTCAACATAGGGTTAATAATATTAGTGCCTTTTATTACATGTATTTATTTTGTGTCTGTTTGTGTGCTTGAGATGGCTCAGCAGGGAAAAGACACTTGCCATGCAACCCTGACAACATGGGTTGAATCCCCAAACCCTCAGAGGTGAAAGAGTTGTCTTCTGAACTCTGAATGTATGTGAGGGCTCATGTGAGCACTCATGTACATGCACATACACAAATGATAGTAATAAATGTAATAAAATTTAGGCAGTAAAAGGGCTGGAGAGATGGCTCAGTTATTAAAGGATAAGGCTTAAACAGCAAAACAAAATTTGTTCAAGGAAAAAATTATATCTTGAGAGTTGAGTGGATTAATATTTTGTAGGAAAAAATGTTACATATAAAGTCCTTATGCTTGAAAAGATCGATATCTTTGATAGTTTTTTTTTGGAATAACGTGGTGTTTTATATTCCTAGATACATGTCCTTCTGATGAAAGTGAAGGTGAAAGCAGTAAGGAACAGATACCTTCCTTCCCACAGAACACAGATGACATCGAAGGCTTAGCATCCAATGAAAAGATGGAGATGAGAACTGACTCTGCCCCTTCCACATGGTATTTTCTACCTCTTTACTGGCTTTAACTGGGAGAGGAGTATTGAAGTCTCCAACTGTCATTGTGCTTTTGCACTTCTTTTTCTGTTTGTTTTACTTCATTTATTTATTTTCAAACCCTTTTGTTAGGCTTGTACATTGTTGAATCTTTATTAACTTTAAAAAAACATTCTTTTTATTATTTAATTATGTGTGCATGTATGTGTCTATGTGCATATGTGTACATGAGTGCAGGTGCCCACAGAGGCATTGAATTCCCTTGGACCTGGAATTACAGGTGGCTGTGGCTGCCTGGCATAGTTGATAAGTATTGAACGTGAGTCCTCTCCAGAAGCAGTGTGTATTCTTAACTGCTGAGCTGTTTCCTAGCCTCTTGGTTAATTTTCTTTTTGTAACTTATTGTGTATTATCTTCCTGCTTGGTATGCTAGTGCACACTTAAAATCCCAGCACCGAGGAGGCTGAGGCAGGAAGATCATAAGTTCAAGGTTAGCTTGGGCTATCTAGCAGGTTCCTACTCCCAGAACAAAAAGCACACACACAAACACACCCTCCTGTCATTGCCTCCCAGGTGCTGGGATTACAGTCATGGACTGCACTGATGTTCAAGTTTAATTTCCTGCAAACATATAAAAAGTAGGTGTAGTGTTAGACACTGATAATCCCAGTGTGTAGGAGGCAGAGATGAGATAATTCCCTTGGGCTTGCTCACCAGCCTTCCTAGGCTAATTGTCAAGCCTCAGGTCAATGAGAAACAAGGTGGACAGTTCCTGAGCAAGGTTTCACACAGTACCAACACACACACACACACACACACACACACACACACAATCTTGTAGTGTTATGAAAATTTATTTCTAGGAATTCGTTTCCTTCTGATACATTTTCCCTTCCTTAGTAATGAGCAGAACATCATGCCTCTAGCAAGTGAGTCCTCAGAGTCAAGTGGTGCAGATTTGCCTGTGTCAGAAGTTGTGAGTGCTGCCTCTTGTGAAGTAAATAATGTTGGAAGAATTTGTACAGAAGAAAGGAATGTTGACCTAAAGAATAAGCCATCGTAAGTATTATCTTAGATATTTTATAAAATTATTATAAACATTTTCTTTTTTATTTTTGGGATTAAACCTAGGATATCAAACATACTGGGCACATCTGAGACTGGAAGGCTGAGCTGTAGCTCCAGCTTTTTATAAACTTTGTTTTTAAAGATAGATGTTTAGTATTTTAAAAGACACACACACGTATATATACATGCACACACACATATGCATACACATAGATATTGATGTTCACTGAAAGGGAGTTTATTAGAGTGGCTTATAGGCAGTGGTTCAGCTAGTCCAACAATGGCTGTCTGCCAATGGAAGTTCCTAGCATCCAGTGGTTGTTCAGTTCATGAGGGTGGGTGTCTCAGCTGTTCTTCACTGGGTGCTGGGACCCTGAAGAAGTAGGCTCCAGTGAAGGACTGGACCAGCCAGTGAGAGCAAGCAGGCAAGGAGCAGTGTTTCCTGTTCCATGTCCTTTATATAGGTGTTGTAAAAACGTGTGGCCCAGATTAAAGGCTGCTCCTCTAAAGATCTGGATTAAAGGGCTCTTGCTGTCTCAAAGATCCAGATTAGAGGTGGTCTTCCCACTTCAAATTCTTTAATTAAGAAAAAAAATCCTTCATAGGTATGCCCGGCCCTTGGTTTTAGTTAATCCTTTATTTAGTCAAGTTTACAACCACGAACAGCCATCACAGGCCTACATGGACACTCACATCACTCATGAACATGAGCACACATGCATGTACATCACATGCACATGACGAGAAGAAAGAAACAAAGGCCATTCAGCTCATGAATGCTTATTTTTAGTAAAGCACACCACATTGAAAATCAAAGCTTTGAAATTAATTTTTGGAATAAACTCTGTTTAAACACTAAGAAGTACAAAAGACACAGAGTAAAGTCTTCTCCACTTGTCTTCCTTGTAACGCGTGAGCAGCAGCTTCTTTGGGAGACTTCAAGTATCTTCTGAAACCTAATGTTAGTACACTCATACAGACATTCTGCATGGTCCCCCATACTTTCATGTAGTGCTTCACCATTTGAATGTATCCGAGTTTGTGGTTCTCTACTCATGACCACACGGGTTGTTTTCACAAGCAACACTTTCAGTCTTATGTTTTTACTTCTATGCCAGTTTGAAAGTCTGGTTTTCAGTGAAGGCTTTAAATGGGCTTAAAGGATGTGTGTGTGTGTGTGTTCGTTCGTGTGTGTGTGTGTGTGTGTGTGTGTGTGTGTGTGTGTTCGTTCGTGTGTGTGTTCGTTCGTGTGTGCGGGCCCATGTCAGGGATTGGACTCTAGATGGCAAGTGCCTTAATCCACTGAACTCTCTCTTTAACCCCCAGGTTTTTACTTTATGTTACCTGATTCTTAATTTCTCCCACTTTTTAGGAAATCTTAGATTTATTCAATCTATAGTTTATAAAAAAAAAAAAAAAAGCAGCTTTCTTTTTTTTTTTTTTCTGTCTTCTTTTAAATATTTGTTCGACCTGGAACGTATGACCAGCACAGAGCAAGGGATGAAGTGCACTCTGTTTTGTTAACCAGTTTTCCCACCAGAAGTTAGTTTTGTGTAATGTTTATTTTATTTTTATTGTTTTGCTTTTGGTTTTTTGAGACAGGGTCTTCCTATGCAGTCTTGGCTGTCCTAGAACTTGCTGTGTATTTCAGGCTGGCCTCAAACTTAGAGAGATCCCACTGCCTCTTCCTCCTGAGTGCTGGGTTTAAAGGTGTGTGCCCTCAAACCTAGCATACGGGTTATTTTTAAGAATTCTGTGGTACTCATTTCAACTTTTCTATTTTCAAAGACAATCTTTATTCTAAAATCATATCTGATTTGGAATTTCTATTTTGTTACATTTCCATCCTTATACGTCTTGGTACCACTATACTTCTTAATTACTGATAGTGATAAATTTTTAACATCTAGTAGTAGGTCTTTCAGCTTCCTTCGCTGGGCTGATCTTCAGGGCTTATTTTCCAGCTTTGTCGAGTTTGATTTGAACGTCACTACATGTTGGTTGCAATTCACATAATATCCTTCTTTTCTTTTCTTTCTTCCTTTCTTTCTTTCTTTCTTTTTTTCTTTTTTTTTTTTTTAAAGAGAAACTGAACAAGCAGAAACTGTTAAACCAAAATCAAGAAGTCGACTGCAGAGACCTAAACCTAATCTGTCAAGGGCAGCTGGGAAAAAACCAGTTGTTTCACAAGATAAACAAGGTGAAACGAACAAGAATTCACCTCCAGAAACTTCATCTGAAAAGGTGTGGCCTAAGAAATTGCATGGAAATTAAAGTTATAAAAATATTTTCTAAGTAGTTACAAATAAAATGTTTATCTTGTAATTTCAAACTATTGTTACTGATAGTACAACACAAAAACTTAAAATTAGATTTGTTTTTTTATTAGTCTTTGTTTCAGGTGTTTACTTGAGTGTGGGCTAAACATTTGAAAAGGAATACCAGTGATGATAAATTTGGTGTTTTTGTTTTTTTTTTTTTTTTCTTTTTTTGTGAGGTATTAGGGATTGAACTTAGGCCTTGTTCATGCTAGACACACATTCTACCACTGACCTACATCCCCCAGGTCACTTTTTAAATTGCATAAAATGTTTATTCAAAATGCTTCTTGTATGTTTGATTTCATGTTTATGTTGCATGCATGTGTTTGGGTACATATATGTGCACATATGTGTAGAGGTCAGCTTTTGTGTTGGTTCTCAGTAGCCTTCTACTTTGCTTCTTCCGCTAGGGTTTCTTTTCGATTTGAGGCTTACCAGTTAAGCTAGAATGACTGGCTGATGAGTTCTAGGGTTCTTGTAGGCTCCACCCTCCCAATGCTGGGATTATAGGATTATAAGCACTCCTTCTTTTTAATTATTTCTTTTATGTGTATTGGTGTTTTGTCTGTATGTATGCCTGTGTGAGGATGTCAGATCCTCTTGAACTGGAGTTAGGTAGTTTGAGCAGCCATGTGGGTGCTAGGAATTGAACCCAGGTCCTCTGAATATCAGCCATTGCTCTTAACTGCTTAGCCCTCCCTCCAGCCCCAGAAGCACCCTTCTTACTGAGTTATCTCTCTGGCCCCCGGGATTTTTGTTTTTGTTGTTGTTTGTTTTTCATTAATAAATAAAGTAATTTTGTAAATAGGGCTTTGTAGTTTTCGAGTCGGGTCTCTCACTCTTACTTTGTAGTCCTGGTTGGCCTGTAAATCATTATGTAGACCAGGAACTTGGAAAGATCCACCTGCTTCTTTCTCCTGGTGTTGGAATTAAAGGGGATGTGCCACCATACATGACAGATAGGACTCTCTAATGAAAAAAACTTTCTGTTAGTTTTGCAGATTAGGCTCAGGTCATTATGTTTGGTGGCATTAAGTTTAAGCATTGCTTCATTTTTGGAAAACATGTTAACAGTGTAGGCCATTTATACAATGTTGTGGTGAACAGTCTAGTATTTCCATGTTTTTCAATTACTTTTGTTAAATTAAAAACAAAATACCTAGCATGTGGGGGGTTGGACTGGGTCAGAGGATGGCTTGGCAAGGAGTTGGTTTTCTCTTTCCATTATGTGGGTCTTAGAGATGAAAATTAGGCTGTAAGTATTAGTGGCAAGCATCTTTTCCTTTGAACCCCTCAATTATTTTCTCTGTGTATACCAGGCTAGCCTTAAACCCAGAAAGATCTGCCTGTGTCTGCCTCCCTCGTGATGGGATTAAAGTCTTGTGCTACTATACCTAGCCTCTTCGTTTACTTCCTTAAAATGTCGTCTAAAATGATATTAGTGGTCAAAAAATATGAACATTTTAAAGACTCTTTGTGTTGACAAGGACCTTCTGTGTATAAATTGTGTTTTATAATAGTTTAATCTGTATTTAGAATTTTTAAGAAAATTGCTTAGGTATAAATATAAAACATTTAAGATTACTTTAATTCCCATTCAGTGGAACATTTTATTGTAAGAAGCTTAAATGTAAACAATTATATTTACAGAATCCCATGGAAAAGGAGAGAATGGACGTATCTCAAAGTTTGGGGACAGAGAATGCAGAAAGAGAGGCCCTAGGCACTGAAGCTGTGCCTGCGTAAGTGTGTGGGGAGAAACAGCTGTCAGGGCACTGGTGTTATTAGTGTTCTTATTAATAGAGTCTGAATCTTTAACTGGGGTACTTCAAGTCTTTTTTTGTTGTAGATGGTAGCAAGAACTTTTAACAGTGCTCTGTGTGCTTGCGTTTATAGGTCGAAATGATGGCGTGTGTAGGTCTAGGGCTGTATCTGGTTAGTAATCTGGAGCCTCACGTCAGCCAGGTGTGGTGGCATATGCTTGTGATGCCAGCACAGGAGATGTAGAGAATTTTAGGTTTTTTTCTTTTCTCTCCCCCCCCATTCTCTCTCTCTCTCTCTCTCTCTCTCTCTCTCTCTCTCTCTCTCTTTCTTTCTTTCTTTCTGGAGACAGGGTTTCTCTCTGTAGCCATTCTTGCTCTGTAGACCAGGCTGACCTCAAACTCATAGAATTTTTAAAAGTTTTGTGCTTCCTCCAATTTACTCATATTTTCTAATAAATTTTGTCAAGTAAATGAGTGATTAGGATATGTTTGTGGATGATTATATTTGTAGTAAGTGCTTTCTAAAGGAATATTTTGCTTGGTATGGATATAAGACAGGCAATCTCCAAATATGGTTGTGTGGAGTGGATTATGGGCTGTTCAATAGGATGCTCTTCTTTAAGTGGGCACTCATTCCTGGAGTAGATTATGGGCTGTTCAATAGGATGCTCTTCTTTAAGTGGGCACTCATTCCTGGCATTATACTGTGATGTCCTAAAAGAGAAATAATAGTTTCATATGTTGGGTAGTAAAGGTTTTTCTTTGTATTGATTTTTTTGAGACAGGGTTTCTCTGTATTGCTTTGGAGACTATCCTGGAATTAGTTCTGTAGACTAGGTTGGCCTCAAAGTCACAAGAGATTTGCTTGCCTCTGCCTCCCGAGTGTTGGGATCAAAGGTGTGGGCCACCAACACCCAGCTAGGGTTTTCTATTTTTAAAGTGAGATTTTGATGCTTTTTTTATTTTTTTAAAGACTTACAACTACTAAGCAGCATTAAGGGATACACCAATGGGAAATGAGGCACAGGATAACATTTCTCTTGATTCTCCTGAGGACTTCAACATCACCTATTATTTGGAGTATTTACTTTCTTATGATGCCTATGATAATTAAGTTTGTAACCATCAACAACACTGCTTACTGAAGAACATTTTGCTAAGCTGTTCATCAGTGTCTTTGCTCAGGGTGGTCATCTGTTTCATCTCATGGTTTTTAGCGCTTGGCCGTATGTTACATCATTATTATACACAGGATCTGGCTGGGAGATATACTTTATATATTTATATGAAATGTTTAGAGAAGGGTGGTGATAGCATATGGTTTTCTTACCATCAGCTGTCACCATGAGTTCTGCTTTGCAGTTATGTTTTCTGTGGGATTTTCTTCATCATCAATGATGGGGAAGGCATATTGGCAGAAGCAGATTTGTCTGTTGAGAGCAGGATGAGATAGTATCGGTTCATGAGGTTTTTATTACTAGGCTTCCAGAATTGTCTGTCTGTAAGCGTAGAGTGTAGGTGTTCAGTGAATATCTTTCAAGATGTTATTGAGGATACTCGAATGCTTCCTATTTAACATGATTTACTTATTTATACAGCCAAGCATCTTTGTGATTTTACTGTAATCATACTTTAATTTTTTTGTGATTATAGTTTGAGTGGAAAATCTTGTATATCAGAAGATGGTCAACCAAAAGTCTTAAGACCTACACGACTAATGAGGGGCCGAATGCAAAGACCAAGGCCAAATATACGGAAAGCTGCAGAAAGAAAAGATATTCCTATACTACGGGAAGAAATTGGGGCCCATGTAGAGAAGAACGAAGATGAATCTGGTGCTGATAGAGAAAAAAATGAATCCCGTGTTGTGGTATGTTGATTTTGATAGCATTTATTCAGCAAGTATGTAAACCTTAATGAAAACTTTCACTCTTTTAAAGTAAACGTGTGTGTTGTTGATTACATTTGTGGCCAAAAATCTCATAGTGAGGAGTTATGTTTATTGTTAAGTCATTTTAGATATTTGAGGACATGACTCTTGGTTTCCTCTCACCTTACCTCATATTTGGACTTGGTTTTTTTCCCCTGTGTTTCAGATTGAGCCCAGCTAGGAAAGCACTTTACCCTTGAGCCACATTCTCACCCTCCTTTTGGAATGATAGTCATATATGTGAATTTTAACATTGGCATAATTCCCAAAACAGATAGTGAAGTGTGTGTGTGTGAGAGAGAGAGGGAGAGAGAGAGACAGACAGACAGACAGATGTAGAAGATCAAACCTAAGGCTAAGAAGAAAGCGTTCTTGCTATTGACCTATATACCTGGCTCATGGAGTTTTAGATTATTTATATGGTCCTTAGAAGAAAACCAAATGTTAGCATGACTCAAGATTTGGGTTCCTTCTGCTGTAATTTTATTTTTTATATTTTTTTACACAGTCTCATGTAGCTCCAGCTGACTTTCAACTCACTGTATGACTGAGAATAAATTCGAACTCTGATCCTCCCGCCTCTACCCAAGTGCTAAGATTGTAGGCATGTGCCACCATGGACATTTTTATGCGGTTATGTGGATTGAACCAAGGGCCTTGTGTATGCTAGGCAAGCACTCTTCCTTCCTGAGCTATGTCCCTAGCCCTGTCTATTGTTATATTTCTTAGAGTCTCTAATGAACTTAAAACAATTAGAATTTAGAAATGCTAGCACTGTGGAGGGTTCTGACAAATGAGGTGGAGTCAGACTGAAGTAGATGAGTCTGAAACATTACTTCCTGATGGTACAGAAGAGAATAAAACTTATGACATGGTAATGATGTGACTTATGCGGTTTTCAGGGTAGCTAAAGGAAAAACATTAAAATGTGTTTTTTGACTGTTACTGTACAAATTTTATATTTTTACCATTTTACTTATACTCAAACGAGAAGGGATATTTTGTAGTTGGGTTGTTTGGGAATGTGGTCTTCTGTATTTACTTCCCAAGTGCCAGAACATATTTGATCATACCTGGCAAAGATAGACTTTTCCAGTAAAAAGTTTTGTGTTTCATTTTAAAATCTAAAATATTACAAACTTTTCGTTATTAAGATTCCTCAACAAGTGGAAAATGAGTCACTTAAAAACCTCCAGTGTGAAGATGTCATATCACAGCCTGAAAAAAAGGGTTCTTTTGAAAATGTGCAGTCTGATGAGCCCAAGTTTCTTGATGAATGCCCAAGGTAAGCTTCGTTTTATCAGTTATATAATTTTGAAATTATATTAGAACTAAATAAATTGATCAAATTAATTATATTTCTTTACCCTGTGTTTTAAGACAGAAATGGGGTGTGTGGATGCCAGGGAGGTCAGTGGACGGCTTTCTTCTGGGGGTCATTTCTCCCTCCCACTGTGCCTTTGTTACCTGGGATTGGAACTTGGGTCATCAGGGTTAAAAGGAACTGCTTTACCCCCTGAGCCATGTTACTGACCCCACAGAAACAAACTAAATGAATGTCCTCTCTATCTGTGTATCATTTTTATTATGTTTAACAATATTTAAGGTGCTAGAGAGAAGGCTCAGCTGTTTAGATTGGGCCAGGTTTGGTTCCCAGCAGCATACCACCCAGCTCATTGCTGGATTGCAATTCCAGTTCTGAGGAATTTGATACCCTCCCGCCTTGTTGAGCACCTGAATGCATGTGGTATATGTGAATACACATACACATAAATTAAAGAATAAACCTTAAACAGAAACAAACAAACAAACGGATTGGAGAGATGGCTCTGTGGGTAAAGAGGCACTTGCTGTCACGTCTGACAACCTGCGTTTGATCTCTGGGTCCCATGGGGACAACAAGAGAACCTACTGCCACAGGTTGTCCTCAGACCTCCATGTGCCCCACCTAGTATCTGAGTTAATAGAATAGCCTTTTCACTTAATAGGCATATTAATTAAAATACTGCATTTCACATAAAATGCAAAAATATGAAAACCAGTTGCTTTTCAAGTTATAAAAATTATACCTTTTAATTATATAAAATTAAAGATTATATAACTACCCAGGTGTCATTTTAAGTGTATTGAATTTTTATTGCACATTTTTCTCCTTTTTATTTATTCTTTGTGTCTTCCACATCATGCATCTCAATGCCATTCATTTTCCTATCCCTTTTGTATTCACCCTCTGCCCTTGCAACCTCCCCCCGAAATAAAATTTAAGAGAAAAAAGAAAAAAGAGAGAAGGAAAAAAAAAAATTATCTCATCGTGGAAGCTATAGTGTGGCACAGTCATGCTGTAAACCTTTTATCCATGCATCTTGCAAGTGTTCATTGCAAATAGTCACTGGTCTGGTTCTAGGCCTCTTGTCTCTGCTACACTAAGTCCTTACTGGAACTCCTCTTACTATCCTGATGTTGCCCTGTGTTGTAGAAATCCTGCAGCTGTGGGTCTGCAGGACTCGTTTGTTCATGTGCTCCAGCAGATCACAGATACATAACCCTGTTTTCCTGGCCTGTGTAGTTGCAGGGTTGGTCAGCCAACCAGCTCTCTCCTGCCCTCACCACCAGAGTAAGTTCTCCTGTATTGCCCTATCAAGTTCACCCCTTGCAGTGATAAGCAAGGGATAGAACCAGTTCTCCTGCTTTGATGTCCTCAGGGTCAAATTTCCCTCACCTCCACCTTTAGGGTCAGCTCTGCTGTGGTCAGGTGTGATGTAGGGCCACTCTCTAGCGTTTCAGCTGATGGGGTAGAGCTAGCTCTCCCACTCTTGGTGACCTTAGCGCCAGCTCTCCTACCTGCCTCAGGTGTTAATGGGTGGGAGTGGGGAGATAGGCCCATGCCACCACGTGACATCTGGGAGCCTTGGAAACAATTCTGAGTTTCTGTGCTTTATCTAACTTTGATCTGCGTATAGATGATAGGCAGTTCCCCCTTTCCCTACTCTGAGCACTCTATCCTGTTTGAGATTGTATTAGAGAAGGGATAGCGTCTCAGAATGAAGAGTGCACTGAAGATTCTTAGATCAAGTGGTCTTTCTTTGAAACAGTCCAGGGTATTTAAAATCCTATGCACTTCAACTAAATATATATGTGTGTATTTGGCGGTGATTTGAGACAGTTGGATGTAGCTCAGGTTAGCTTCAAGCTCACATAGCTGAGAATGGCCAACCTTCCATTCCTGCACCCTGTTCCTTCCAGGTATTGGAATTACAAGTGTGTGCACACACACTCGGCTTGTTCCTGTCAGTCTGCTTCCATTATAAATGTATGTCCAGGGGGTCAGGTTATCAGGTGTGGTGGCAAGCACTTTTACTTGCTGAGCTATCTTGGGGCCCAGTATTCTTTGATTATGTCAAATATGTTTACAATATGTCTCAATCTTTTATCCACCCCGACTCCCTCTTCCCAGTTCCTTTGCAGCCTCCTCCCCCAACTGTGTATCTCCCTTCTATTTTTATCTTCATGCCCTTTCCAGTTTTCTGTTAGTTTGCTTTTGATAACCCAGTGAACCTGGTTAGTATTGCCTGCTGGAATATTGATCTGTATTGTTAGCTTAATCTTGTTCAGGTCACCATGGTTCAGTGCATTTCCCAAGGACAAAGGCTGTGTCGTGTTTACATGACATATAAAGGCTGTGTCGTCACATGCCATAGAAAGGCTGTGTCGTGTTCACATGACATAGAAAGGCTGTGTCGCGTTCACATGACATATTTTGCAGCACTCACCCTCATCTTTTGGCTCTCACATTCTTTCTACCCCCTCTTTCCTAACGCTCCTTCCCTAAGTTTAAGGGAGTTCATATAGGTGACCCACTTTGGGCTTAGCACTCAACAGTCATTTATTTTGAACACTTGGACCAGGTATTTACAAATTACCTGCTGCCCACTGCAGAAACTTCTCTGACCAAAGCTGACATCAGCCCTAATAGATGTGTTATAAATATAAACACAAGACAGTTTGGCATGGAATCCATTTAGGAAAACAACAGTAGAAGGTTTCTAACTAGGGCCAGTGTTAGACTTCTGAGCATGTTCTAATACCAAGCATGACTTCGCTCCTGAGGTGTAGGTCTCAAATCCAATCAGAAAGTGATCACTTCTCACACACATGCACGTATGAACACACACACATACCCCCTTATGACACTGTTGCACCAGTGGGCACATCTGGCCTGGCAAGGTCAAGGTTCACTGGGTAAGACCATTGATGACTTGATATAAGTGGTTGATTTGCACGCTAAGTAGAATTCAGCTAAATACTGTTTTCTATCTTTTTATCTTGAGAGCGTATGCTGTCCAACTATACAATTAGATTAGAACTCTTATTTTGAATTGTCTTATAAAAGTTATAAAAGGTAGATTTTGTTCTTAGTTATAAGACATTTTCTAACTTGAGTCATAATTCCATGTAGCTATTGAGGTCGTCAGGTCTTGTATGACTGTGTATGTCTAGGTAAAAGATAGTAGGGATAACGATGTAAATGTAGCAGATGCAACTTGAGCTAACATGATTGTAATATTCTGCTGTTTTTTTCTAGTCATTATTTGCCTAGGATGAAGTAACAATTCCAAAGGGGTCATTGAGGGCCACATTCAAGCACAATCAGCTGGTGCTTTGACCTCATTAATATTCTCTGCATGTGCCTAGACCCAAGTAGATACAAATAATTGTTATAAAATTCTGTTGTAACTTCAACTAATTGGATTGTTTCTCTTATTTTCCCTTTCTATCTAGACAGATATTCTTGGGGCTTGGTTAATCCCCTCCCCTCCCCTCCCCTCCTTGTCTTTTCTCTTTTTGGTGCCGTGAGTAAACTCAGGACCTAATACATGTTCAGTTATGTATTCTACCACTGAACTGAACTACAACCTCAGTCCCTTAATATGCTTTTTTTATTCTTTAAGAGTATAAACAAAAATCAGTGTGTCTCTGTGTAGGTCAGGCTATCCTGGAACATTCTCTGAATAGACCAGGCTGTCCTGAAACACTCTGTGTAAACTCAGATTCATGAGCCTCTACCTCCTGAGTGCTGGTATTAATGGTGTGTGCTATTATTCTGGGTCTTACACATTGTTAAATTTTTATTTTATTTTCCTATTTTTGGGACAGGTTTTCTCTATATAACCCTGCCTGTCCTGGAAATCACTCTGTAGTCACAGAAATCTCCAGCTTCTACCTCCTGGGTTCTGAGATTAAAGACATGTGCCACCTTCTTTGGCAAATCTGTCATTTTTTAGTGTCTCTATAGGGATTTCTTAACTGTCATCTGTTTAACCAGTAGTCTGGATTAAAATTTGTCTCTCTCTCTCTCTTTTTTAAGTATTCAAGAGGGCAATAAAGCAAATAAACTGAAACAAGCTCCAGTTCTAAGAACTCGATTTCAGAAACCAAAACCAAAGCCAAATGTAGGAAGAAGAAGAATAGCCTCTAGAGAAGGGGTACCAGAAGAGATTCCTGTTTCCGGAGAAATAACAGCAGCTTTGGAAGAAACCACAAGGCCAGATACTTCACCATGGGAGAAGATACCAAATGTAACTATTGGTGGTCTTACTGTTACTCCTTCCACTAAGGAATTGGAATCAGATTCAAAAGACACCAGAAGAAATGACATATCTTCTAATATGAAGATGTCAGAAATGACGGATGTCACTATGGAAATGGAGATAGGTTTGGAAACAATTGGAAGAGATATTTCCTCAGGGGAGATGGGAGCAGAAATGATTGACATCCCTATGGAAACAGAGACAGGCTTAAATGAGATTTCTCCTATGGAGAAGGTGCCAGAGCTGATTGATACCACAGAGGAAATTTATACAAATTTGGAAGAAACTGGAAGAAGAGAAATCTTTCCACAGGGAAATGGCCCCAAGGAGGTCACTCCAATTAGTGAAACAGAGACAGGCTTGCCAGAAACTGGAAAAGAGTTGCCCACAGGAGACAAGACAGCAGATATGATTGATGGCACTGAAAAAGGGGAGGCACATTCAGAAGAAACGGAAAGACAAGAGATACCTGCACCAGTGAAAGAGGCAGAGGGGGCCAGGACCATGGGTGAAGTGGAAACACACTTGAAAGAGAGTGGAGGAGAAAGTCCCCACAGAGGACACACAGAGGCCGCTCCCGCGGAGCTGCTGCTCACTGAGATGGATATGTGCAGTGGCGCATGCAGAGAAGAGGCGGGAATGGAGCCGAGTGCTGTGGAAGACAAGGAGCCAGACCTGAAGCCGCCTGGGCACAGACACATTTCCGTGATGGCCCCGGAGGCAGGAGCAGGAGAGATGCCTTCCAGTGAGGGGGAAACCAGCCAAGGTTTGAAGCAAACAGGAGAGAGTTCTGTCTCTTGGGAGAGAGGATCTGGAGAGATCGTCGTTGGGGAGGAAATGGTGGCAGACTTAGAAAAAGCAGAAAGAGTAGATGTTTCTCCAAGAGGCCGTGAACCAGAGGGTCATACCTCAAAGCCACCCACAGCAGATGTGATTCAGAGCAGCAGTGGCAACAGGGGCCCCAGGCCTTCCCTCGATAGAAAAGTATGTATTTCTCTGTCTTACAGTGCTTTAAAAACAAGTTCTCAGCAGGTTACCAAAATAATTTATCATTACCCATAAGTCCAAAAATACTTAAAATCTCTATTAAAAAGATTATTATTATTTTTTTTCTGATTGTGGAAAAGTTACTAATCCTAGTGGCATTTGAAGTTACTCATCTAGATAAGAAATATATAAGGAATTGGACTAAATTGTACCAACCTTAGTATAAACATAGGCTGGAATTAGTCCTTTTGGTCATTAAACACCTGCATATGTTTTTATTCTTTGACACCTTACTGCTTCCACTTTTAAGTCTTTTGGTGAAAGTTTCTTGCTGTTTGTAGTTCATACTCTTAACAACATTTTTGAGGATTTCTTTGTGTGTGTGTGTGTGTAATATCTGTGATTTGGAATAGTCATAATATACCATATGAAGGGAAGGCATTCTTGAATTTTAAGTTTTAGTATTTGTGATTTTTACATTTAATAATTAAAAACAAACTGTGTTTTTAAATCACTGTTTTAGAAATAAGCTTTTGTTTATAATATATGAAATGCTTATATATATGTTTATGATGATGTATCGTGATTCTTTTCTCTAGAATATTAGCAATAAAACATCAGTGATTCCTACATTTGTGGAAGAAAAAGAAAACGCTGACAAGGAAGTATCAAGTCACTTAAGTCATGTGGAGTCTTCTTTACAGAATTCTGGACACCATGAAATAGACCCAGGGATACGACTTCCAGATGTCCTAGGACAGTTTTCAGATACCAACTTAAGGTACAAAGAATGTAGGTCTGTGTGCCTTTAAAGGAAAAGACTGTGAAGTTCTCTTTGCAGGTTATGTGAAAGCAAGTGAGCGTTCAAGCCATAACATAAATTGGATAGTGTTATTAATTTTAAGATAGTTTATGGAAGATTGGGAGTGAGGATTAGAGCCATTCTGATAGCTAGTAGTGAAGGTTATTAACAAATTTCATGTTATAACAAATACTCACAGTCAACATGGGTTTGACTAGTGCTTTCTTCATGCAAAAAAAAAAAAAAAAAGATAATGCTTGTACCTGGATTGTACAACTCAATGTTTCTCAGACTTTAATGAATAGTTCCATTTCCCCCCTTAAAAAATAGAATTAGGCAGATATAGATATGATGGTGCCTGTCCATAATCCCCACACCTGGGAGGTAGGGGCTGGAGGATGAAGAAATATTAAAGGCCAACCTGGCCTAATATAGCAGATTCCAAACCAGCCTAGGCTGCATAGAGAGACCCTGTCTAAAAAGAAAACACCAACAATTAAAGCTTACTGCCAGTCTCTAGGGTGTCTTGTGGTCCTCTCACTTTCATACTTCAGTTCATTCTAACCAAGTGTGATAATCCTTGTTCCAAAAGCAAATCTCTTCCTCAAGAACAGAAGCCACTTGAAGTTAAACCAGCTCCTTTTCTGAGAAGCCGATTCAAAAAACCTAAACCAAACTTGTCAAGAGCAGCTATAAAGAGGACAACCCCAGAAGCAGAGCCTTGCGTACCTGGGAAGAGACCAGAAGCAGACAAAATGGTGACCACCATGTTACAGCAGGACATTGGGCAAGCCGATTCTCCCTCTTCTCAACATGTGAGTGCTGGTTAGGGGGGTTGCTGGTGGCTTTTGTTGTTGTTACTATAGTTTTTGAACTATTGGAAGTTCATACAGTTTTTAATGCGTATAGTATTGTCTTTGCTTTGTGTGCCTCAGTATTCCATATAGTTTATGTTAAAATACTGGATGTTTGGTAGGCAGGTGTGGGCAAATGTGTGTCTTGGCAGGCATCTAGGATATTTTAGGGTCTACTTGACATTCTGGTGACAGCACCATAGCTAAATATCAGGGAAAATGGGAATTAAAGTGCTTTATTTTCTTGTTATTAAGGTAACATGAAAAATGAAATGCTAGATATGAATTGAAGTAGATATTTTAAGAGTGTATGTTGGAAACGCTAAAATGAAATGTTAGCATTTAATTGGTTTTTAGTTTTTGTTTTGTCCTTGTAGTCCTGGTGATTAAATTTAGGACTTCACAGATGTCAGGAAAGCTTTTCTTCATTGAGCTGTATTTTCAGTCTTCTTCACATTTATTTTGAGACATGGTCTCATAAATTTGCCTAGGCTGGCCTTGAACTCACACTATAACCCAGGCAAACATAGAACTTGTGATCTTCCTGTTTTCCAAGTAACTAGGATTACAGATCTGCATACCAGACCTGGTTAAATTGAACGTATTTTAAAGTGCTTTTTTGAATTAAATTCTTATTTTGCACTTTAGAATTTGTATTTGCATATTTGTACTTTCCCTTAACTTTGTGATAGTCAAACTACTTTTCCTATTTTATTTTGTGTTCATGGGTGGTTAGCCTCAATGTATGACTGTGCATCACAAATACACAGTGTCCACAGTGACCACAAGAGAGCCTCAGATCCTCCGGGACCGCAGTTACAGATGGTTATGAGGCAGTAGAAGTTTTACAGCTATGACATCTCACCAGTCTCATAAAGAAACTACTTTATTTAATGTTGTTTTATCATTATGAAAAGTTTAATTTGGAAAATTATGTCTGTATTCCAAAACATGAGAGCCCTATATCTTTTTCTTTTCTCCTCACTGATTAATCTAGCAATTTTGAATATATATATATATATATATATATATATATATATATATACACACACACACACATGCATACACACACATAGATAGATGTGTGAATATTACATGCCACAAATACTATTATCCCTTAGTATCTGATATTTCCTCTTAACATGATATTTTAAACATCTGTTGGGCTCAGTACAAAGAAGAACATTTTTAATGTGGTTGTTATATACTGGAATATATAAGGCTAAGCTTGGATGTGATCAAGTCTACTTTATAGTCCTAGCTATTTAAGAAGCTAAAGCTGGAGAGCTGCATGTCAAAGCTAGCTCAAGAATAGGCAGCAGAGTGAACCCTTGTCTCTTCATTGTAAGGAAAATTCAGAGCCAGATGTGGTGGCATATGTCTTTAATCCCAACACAACACTGGGAGGCAGAAAGAGGTAGATCACTTGAGTTCTAGGCCAGCCAGAGCTATATAGTGAGACCCTATCTCAAAAAAACCAAAAACAAATAAAGGAAGGTAGGAAGAAAGAGAAATTTAGAATTTAGATTCAGTTTTAGATTCACTTTAGTGGTAGAATATTTGCCTTGCATGCATGAGGACCTGATTTCAGTCCCCAACAGTGTCCTCCCCCCAAAAAAAAGAAATTAAAATTTAATTTCTTATTAAACACAGCCTTATTTCTAGTATTTATTCATCCTTTATATGTGGAGGATTGCCCTGAAAGTCTCTTCCTGTTTATGCACATTTATTTACTTGGTTATATGGTTTTGTAAAATGAGTTTCTAGAAGTAGAAATGCTGGGAAATAGACACTGCCTCATCATCTACAAAGGATGAGTTGGTTTATTCTTATAATAATAGCTTGTGAATTCTTTTTTCTTTTTAAATTTCTTGAAGGTACCTTCCCTAATGACATCAAGAGAAAATGATAACTCGGGTCCCCAGGAGGAGGCTGTGATACTGCCGTGCATACAGACTGAAACGGATTCTTTACCGCCTAATTTATGTGAACCTAGAGAGGATTCTCAGTTAACACAGAACCAGGAGGCTGTGATACTGCCGTGCATACAGACTGAAACGGATTCTTTACTGCCTAAATTATGTGAACCTAGAGAGGATTCTCAGTTAACACAAAACCAGGAGAATGGCTTAGTTGTTCCTATTGGGTAAGCAGTGACATTTCCTTAAAAATCTGAAATTAGAGAGGCTTTTCTTTGAAACATTTCTCTATCTAAAAAACCTGCTATAGAGAATAATTGGTTTAATTCTTAGGGCAGACCATCTAAAATTGAAAATTAGATGCGATTGAACATTTTAATGCTTTATTTATTCATTGTCAACTGTTTAAGATTTATGGAAGGCAGGTAGTACACTAAAATAGATATATGTATATGTGGTACAGTTCCTTGCCTTATAAAAAGTTGGCAATATATGTACTTAAGATAAAATTTGCCATTTTTAATTGTACAAACCTAGTGACATAAACCATAAAGCATTATTTGTTTTGCATCACTATTTTGCTGCAGCAAAGTCATCTATCCCCAGAACACTTTCCTTTTCATTAACCTTTTAATGAAACTTTGTATTCATTACACAGCCTTGGCTGTTCTGGAACTTGTTCTGTAGACCATGCTGACCTTGAACTCACACAGATCCACCTGCCTCTGCCTTCCAAGTGCTGGGTTTAAAGGTGTGCTCGACCACTGCCTGCCTATGGTCAGACGTTTATACATTAGGTTATTTTAGGCACATCATGTTTAACATTTGAGAATTAAAGTGAGGGTCCTCCTGCTTCTCTGCTCCCCGCCCCCTTATCATCTTTATTGTGCCGGGGATCAGCCTGGGGCTTTTTGCCCTAGCCATGTCCCTCTTCTATTTGGTCTCATCTCCAAACCTGAAATAGCGGTTTTCTTTCTCCTGGGGCTCCCCAAACTTGTATAACATGTTTCTATGGTGAGAAGATATTTTCCTTGAGTGATTTGAAAAAATATTTTCATGAGTGTTTATTGGAGGAAATTCAAGTTACATGCTCTTCTAGTTGTGAACTGAAATCAGGCTCTCACTCTTCTTCCCCCTTTTGTCTAGGACTCCGAAGATGAACGTGGTCACACAAGAAGCAAAGCAGAGTGTCCAGATTACTCTGCCAGTGAGAGGTCGACTTCAAAGACCAAGACCAAACGTACAGAAGGCCAGACAGAGACAAGTAGTAGACAGAGGTGAAGCTGAAGACATGGCTAAGAGTGACGGGTCAGAGCTGTCCAGAGCTGAAGCTAAGACGTCCCTGGGGCTGGTGAGAGAGTTGGTCCTTCGTGTACACTGAAACAACAGATGATAGATAGCTCAGCCTTGGCTTGGCCTTTCACAACCTTTTGCTGTTTAGTATGTTCTGAAGAGTCTTGTAACTTTTCCTTAGTGCTACAGTAACGAATTTCTCTAGTAAGAATCAACAGTTACATCATTTATGCTGTACTGTTTTGATTGACAAGTTAACCTTTTAAAAAAACCTTTCTTAATTATCCTTTTAGATAGTGTCTCATTATTTAGCTGAGACTAGCTTTTATCCTCACCCTCCTGAGTGCTATAATTACAGAAATACACCATTATTCAATTCTGTTGAGCCAATGCCTTCCTTTTTCTTTTGTATTCAGTGTGTGGCTGAGGCTGGCCTTGAGTTTCTGATTCACCTGCCTTTGCCTCCCAAATGCTGCGATTGTAGGAGTATACTACTATGTCCAGCTTTATCTAGTTTCTTTCTTAACATTTAGTTAATTCCTGTGTGTGTGTGTGTGTGTGTGTGTGTGTGTATGTGGGGTACGTGTATGTGTGAACATGTGTATGTACACAGCACATTTGCAAGGTCAGAGGTCAGCTTGTGGGAGACCATTCTCTTTTTACTATGTGAATTCTGAGGATTGGAGTCAGGTTGTTAATGCCTGGTGCATTCATTCTCCTGAGACATTTTGCTGGCCCTCAATCAATTTCTTAACAAGTCTTCTGGTATTAGAAAAAAGCAATCTAAGTAGTATAATGTCTCAAAATGTTAACCTCAAGTAGTCTTTGCTTTTGTATTGTTTTTTTCTGGATATTAAGATAAAACTTAGATTAAAAGTCATTGTGATCCCCATTTGGACAAAATATATTTCTAAAAAACAGCAATTACCCTTTTGGTGCTGGGGATGAAACCCAGAGCTTTGGCAAGCTGAACATGCAGTGTGTAGTTGAACTATAGCCCCAGACCTAATCAGTGCCAGTTAATTTAAATTCTTTTATAAAAGATGGCTCGTAGAGTTGGTGTGTGCAGGTATGATAAATGTACATATTTATTTGGGTATGTGAACATGTGTATATAGGCATTGGTCAAATAGTAATACAGGGTACTTTCCTTTATGTTTTTCAGACAGGTTCCCTGAACCTGGAGCTTATTGATTTAGCTAAGCTAGTGAGTGCCAGGGATTCTGCTGTCTACCTTTCCCCCAGTGCTGGGGTTACACATGTGCTTGGCAACTTCTCTCATGTAGGCCCTTGGGATCCAAGCTTGGGTCCTTATATTTGTTGATCAGGCAGTCTTATCTACTGAGTCCTCATCCCAGCCCCTTCTTAGAGCCTTTAAAGCATGGGACTGTAATAAATCATTTCACTTCTTGTTTGGTCACCCTAACATGAACACTGGATGCCCAGTTCAGGCTGTGATGTGGCTTGGGTGTGTAACTCAGTGATCCTTCAGGTTCAGTTCCCAGTGTCCCAAGGATCAGAAACAGAATGCTCCTGTTATTGATTAAAATATTTTAAAATAGTTTGCTGTTAAAAGTAAATCACATGGCAGTAGGGACTGAGGAGACATACCTTTAATCCCAGCTTTTAGGAGTAAGAGGCAGGCAGATCTCTGAGTTTGAGGCCAGCCTGGTACCTGGTATATAGAATATAGTTCTACGACAGCCAGGGTTGTTACACAGAGAAACCCTGTCCTGAAAAAACGAACAAACAAACAAACAAACAAACAAACAAACCAAACATACATACATACATACATACATACATACATACATACATACAAGCACACTAACCCAGTTTTGCCTTTGCAGGTGAACTCTCACATTGAGAGTGAAGTTAAAGTTGTATCCTGTGGAATTTCGGAGTACAGAGTGAATGAAAGCCACAGCCATGTGGTTCCTGAAGAAAACTTAAATATTAACAAAACCAGTATTTTAGATGAACAGATAAGGTGAGTTTGGTTTTCATGAGAAAAGTTTAAACCTTGCCACAGACAGTTTCTGATTGTTATGTTATTGGTTTTATGTAACGGCTTTGTGAAGTGTGTGTGTGTGTGTGTGTGTGTGTGTGTGTGTGTGTTTGTGTTTTGTAGTGCTATTAATTGAACCTAGTGCCTTTTACATGCCAAGCAAGTGTTCTACTCTTGAGCTATATTCCAAATCTTTTTTATTTTATCTGAGATGAATTTTACTAAGTTGCCCAGTCTGGCTTTGAAGTTGCCTGTAGAGCAGGCAAGCCATGAATTTATGATTCTTCTGTTTGAGCCTTAGTAGCTTGGATGAAGCTTGTGCCTGGAGGCCTATATAAATGAGGTTTAAAATCACCTCATTCTGGGCTGGGTGTGGTGGCACATGCCATTAATCTCCACAGTTAGGAGGCAGACACAGACGGCCCTCTGAGTTCAAGGCTATCCAGGACTATGTAGAGAGACCTTGTCTCAAAAAATAAAAACAAAACAAAAAAAAAAAAAACAAAAACAAAAAAAAAAACTTATTTCTTATTTTTATGCCCATAATTTTGTTGCCTCCTTTGAACTTAGGCTTAAATATGTTTAAATTTTACTATATTGCTTTGTGGCAAGAGACACATGTGCTACTGTGGGTGTATGGTCAGACAGCAGCTTTTAGGAGTTGGCTCTCTCCCTTTGCCATGTACATTCTGACCAGTGGCCTTAGCTTGTCAAGGCTTAGCGGCAAGTGCCTTTACCCACTGAGCCATCTTGCCATTTCCTAAACTTAAATATGTTTTCAGAGTCACATGTAATGATATTTTTCCTTGTAGGTTGAACCTAATGAGTCTATTACCAAAGTACACTCTCTGTGGTCTACGTTAGCATAATTAGTTTTTCCACATACCTTTTCTGATCCTGAAATATGTTAGCCAGCATCATAATCATGCTAGAACTTAACTACTTTCCCTAACAGAATGCTTAGTAGGATTGGTACCTCTTTTCTGTGTACTTTGGGGAATGGTTTCTAATGCATAAGAAGTGTGTGTGTGTGTGTGTGTGTGTGTGTGTGTGTGTGTGTGTGTGTACTCTGGGGAATGGTTTCTAATGCATAAGAAGTGTAAGTGTGTGTGTGTGTGTGTGTGTGTGTGTGTGTGTGAGAGAGAGAGAGAGAGAGAGAGAGAGAGAGAGAGAGAGAGAGAGAGAGAGAGAGAGTTTGCTTTGTATCTCTGTGTTGGGGATTGAACTCAGTGTCTTGCCGTGCTCACAACTTGTTGGGCACTTCGCTACATTCCTATGCCTGTACCAGTGTTTTTAGCATTCTAATTTAGGTCCTATCCCTTACTGAAATACTTGCACAAGTCTTTAGGTAGCTATTCTAGCTACATTGGTAGTTTTGACTTTATTTGAATGTTTAGACTTTGTTTTTGTCTGAAATGGGTTATGTTAAGAACCTTAAGATACTGCCTGTCAATAAGATGCTTTCAAACCCTTTCAGGGATGTGGTAAGATAGACTTGGTGCCAAGCAAGGTCATTGTGTATTTGTTCATGGGTTGTAGCCCAGTTGAAGCTTTTGTTTAAAGTGCTAGTATAAAATCAGCTTCCGTGGCAAGTTTGGAGTGCCTTGTTTTTTCTTTGAAAATTAAAGTTATATGAAATCAGACTAGGACTAATGAATGAAAGTAAAGAAAGAGTAATACTATAAACTGTTCCCAGGCTATACAGAAAATGGAAGTTATAAAGCTTCTATGTTATCTGTTTCATATATAAAATGCAATGTTTATATAATTGTTTGAACTTAGAGTGAGTTAAATCCAGAATTGTTTAATGTTGTTACGTTGATGGAGATCTCTGGTCAAGATCACTTGTGTTTCATTCTAGTCATGAAGGTAACTCTCATGTGCCTAGTCCAGCACAGTTGCTAAGAAGGAGACTCCAAAGGGCTAAACCAAATATAGGAGGAGCACACCATAAAAAAGAGCATCCATGTGTAGAAAAAGACACAACAGAGCAGAGCACAGCCCCAGAACCAGGAGACCGTGTGCTGCCCAAGGGAGACGTGGACATCCAGCTTTCTCTAAAAGTAAGAGTGGGAAAGGCAGTGTTGTCAGGGTCGTGATGGAGGACAATGGTGGAAGTCCCTGCTTTTGTGCTGAGCATGTTTCTGTGAAAAGCTAGTGATGTTACAAGCTTATGCAGATTTGAAAATTGATCACCTGTGGCTTTTTAAGTTTAGAGGACTAGGCAAAACTGCTAAACTTTACTAATAAAGATTGTTTTCATGGTACTATTGTGGTTTGTTTGTTTGTTTGCTTTGTTTTTTCTTTAAGGAGAAGACGGAGATTCTGACCTCTCTGGAGGTTTCAGAAAGAAAAGATTGTATAGATCCTGAGGAGTCGGGTTCTGACAGAAATGATGCTCAGCTGAAAGCTGCACCAGCAGGAGCTGCTAGGGAGGCGGCTGTTGAGGACCATCCCACATCATCCTTGGGGCTTGAAGAGCAAGGTCTCAGTAAACAAATTAGGTAATGGTTTATTTTAGAGACTCAGGCTAGGAAATAAAAACACTTATTCCTCAAAAAACTTCTACCTTAATTTTCTTCTTTATCTATAAGCCTATTGTTTATTCCTATTTGTAACAATGTACTTTTTTTTTTTCTTACCAAAAGATAGTGTACATTACCTTAGTAACTAGAATGCTAATTCTAGTTTGGCTATAAATTATAACAAAGGGTACTTTCGTGATTTTCAAGAAAGTGTGAAGGAACCTAAGTTCTTGAAAAACAACATTATTTTCCTAATCTGTTTACCCACTCAGTAAGATAAACCAGTCTACTATTTGATCTCATATTCATTATTGATTGGTTCCATGTATTTTGTCTTTCAGTTATTTCCAATTTGTGTTTATCTCAATCACCATATCAAGGTATAAGGCCAGTATTAAAACCTACTGTGCAGCATTTATAGATATATAACTAAGAATTCACTCTGAATAAGATACTAAGTAATAGTTAATTCCTTTCTTATTTTCATGGCATGTGTTTTTAAAAGAATGGGTGGGGCTAGGGATATAGCTTATGAGCACATTGTGTAGGACTTCTGAGGCCTGTATTCAGTTTTAGCATCATAGAAGGTGATGTACCTATCATCATCACCAGTGCTGGAAGTTAGGGATTCACATGTTGGCCTAGTGCCCTGCCTCTGAGCTATTTATTTTAAAGGCTGGAACCTTGATTTTGCTCTTAACAATTTGACTTTCATTGAGATTATCTTGGTGCATACATGACTATAACTGTTATTTTGATTAAACATCCAGCCGTCCGCAACTATTGAAAGAATCATATTATTCTAAAAGTGCTCCACATCGAAGAACAACTCTGTCTTCTGCCTCTGAGTGTGAGATAGACCACAGTGGGAAAAGAGCACATAGGAAGATGAAACCAAATGTGACCAAAGGGCGTGGATCGAAACGAATTCGAGGTAAGACTGCTAAGAAGGAACCTAGAGCTTCCAAGTCCATGTTGGTGACTCTTCGGGCTTCTCAGAAAGAGGATGAAGATGATGCTGAGGATTTTGATTCTGACTATGAGGAAGAACCCTGTCATCTTGCCCCAGAAGAATTAAACAAAGCACCAGTCTTTGTACCTGTTGGTCTCAGATCCCCTGAACCAGTGTCTGCTCAGATCGAGGAAACAATGGAAGAGGTAGTTTGTGTTTTGTTTTGTTACGTTTTTTTTTTTTTTTTTCAGTTTTGGGCATTTTCACCTCTTTTAATGGATGCTTATTTCTTTTCTTAGTGATTGTTAAGGTCTGCAGAGTCCTTTCTCTAAATATCCACTGTCAAAAGTACTTTATTTGGAACTTAGTGGATAGCTTAAGGAAATGAGCAGAAGTGGCTTGTGTGGCCATCGCTCAGTTGTCATAGTCCATGCTCTTACAAGGGACTCAGCTATGATAGAAACTTATGTATCTCTGAGCTACTTGTATGTGTAAGCTGCTCAATCTACCTTTTGATTAATTTGAAAAAACTTTTAGCAGATATTTTTCTATGAACTCTCTAATAGGCTTTCTATGTTATGGTTGGTAGAGAAAATAGAATCATCTCTCTCTTTCCTCTTTTTGTGTGTGTGTGTGTGTGTGTGTTTTGTCTCATGTATTTCACATTGTATGTACATTGGCCTTCAAATTTGCTATGTAGTCTAGAATGACCTCCTGTGTCCACCTCCCCAGTGCTGGGATTACTACAGCCATGTACTGCTGCAGCTGGTTTAAGAAATGTTGACGATAGAACCTACAGTTTCATGTATATGAGACAAGCAAGCACTTTACAACAGAGCCATACCCTCAGACCCCCCCCATCTCTTCCTCCCCTCCCCACCCCTCCCCCTCCCCTCCCTTCTCCCTCCCCCTCCCCCTCCCTTCTCCCTCCCCCTCCCCTCTCCTCTCCCTCCCCTCTCCTCTCCCTCCCCTCTCCTCTCCCTCCCCTCCTCTCCCCTCTCCTCTCCCTCCCCTCCCCTCCTCTCTGCCCCTCCCCTCCTCTCCCCTCCTCTCTGCCCTTCCCCTCCTCTCCTGTCCCCTCTTTCTCATTTTTATCACTCTCCATTCAAAAGAACTAATCTTGCAAAACTGGAACTCTTGTTTCTGTTTAGCCTAGGGTGACCTTGAATTTCTAATCTTCCCTCTACCTCCCAAGTGCTGGAATTACAGGTATGTGGTGCTGGAGATGGAGCCCAGGGCTTTTACTTATTTGGCATGATCTCTACCAACTGAGCCACATCCTCAGTCCCTGCTTCTCTGCTCTTAGTTCTTTTTGAGATAAAATCACAAATGGATTTGCTAGAATTTTGTAATTAAGTTTTTTAAGCCAAAAAAAAAAAAAAAAAAAAAAAAGTTTGCTGCAGTAGCTGTATCATTTCCTTTGTCACCAGTGTTCAGGGTTCCAATCTCTCCCTATCTGCACCACCGTCCGTTCCCCTCTCCACTCAGTCACACTCCCTCCTGCCTTCCTTTCTCCTTTCTCCTTCCGGCCCTCATTATAAGTAGTCAGTCTACAGCTGCTATGTGCCCCCCTCCTAGTTTTGTTTTTTGTTTTTTTGTGGGGGTACGCATCTTTAATCCCAGAGGCAGGCGATCTCTTGAGTTTGAGGCCAGCTGGGTCTATAGAGTGAGTTCCAGGACAGCCAAGGCCACACAGAGAAACCCTGTCTCCAAAAACAAACGAACAACAAACAGCAGCAGCAGCTGTTCTAATTTGTGTGGCCTCCCATTCCAACTCTGTAGCCTTAAAGTATCCTGTTCTCATTCCTATCCTGTTCTCATTCCTTTCTTAGCTGGTTTATTGACAGACGATCTGAATCTGTTCCCTCCCTCCCTCCCTCCCTCCCTCCCTCCCTCCCTTCCTTCCTTCCTTTTAATTTGAAACAAACTTGTTTTACATGTCAATCCCAGTTCTCAAACCCCCTCTTCCTTCCCTGTCTCCCCCACCAACCCCATATCCCATCCCCTTTCTGCTCCCCAGGGAGGGTGAGGCCTTCCATAGGGGAGCTTCAAAGTCGGTCATATCATTTGGAGCAGGGCCTAGCCTCTCCCCCCATGTGTCTAGGCTGAGAGAGTATCCCTCTCTGTGGATAAATAATGATACTCTACCAGAGGCCCCATAGACTGCCCAGTCCTAACTAACACCCACATTCACGGTGTCCGGGTCTGTCCATGAGCTCCCCCTTGTTCAGGTCAGCTGTTTCTGTGGGTTTCTTCAGCCTGGTCTTGATTCCTTTGCTCATCACTCCTCTCTTTCTGCAACTGGATTCCAGGAGTTTGGCTAAGATAGTAGTGATGATAGAGGAATTAAAGGAATATTGTGCTACTTCTGCTAATTAATGGGATTCTTGAATGTGTAAAGATACTTTTGTTAATGGAAAACCTACCTTTAATTTACTTAGGATTAATAAAAGCTTGTTAAATGTCTAAACTAAATGAGTTAGTAGAATTCTTGAAATTAACTGAATAATATTAAAAGTAAGTATACTGCATGTAAGTTTTATATATACTAAGAAAATACCAAAGAAAAGTTTTTTTTTTTTTTTTTTTTTTTTTTTTTTTGTGGAAGGATAATCTGGTTAATACTGTATGGACTATGATCTATATATTTCTCCGCCGCCACCACCACTTTGGTTGAGGGCAAATTAACTTCCAATAATCAGGCTTTGGGTTGTGTCTCTTGATTCATAGAGTATCTTCTTCAATGGCACTTTTCCCCTGTTTTAGCAATCAAATTTAGGGCTTTGTAGACATGGACTCTGGATTGTACTGAGCCTGTCATGCTAACAATTTTGATAGTCGAATGGGAAAAATTTAAATTATATTTCCTTTAGGCTGGAGAGATGGCTCAGCAGTTAAGGATTCTTGCTGACCAATCATGAGGACCATAGTGTGGATCTTATCTTCCATGTGCAGAAAACACCTGTAACTCTAGCTCAGAGGGATCCAGCACTGTTTCCTGGACTCTTCAGGCTCACAGATGTGATCATCTGTACTGACCCCTACCTTACACATATTTAAATAAAATAAATCTTTTTAAAAATTCTATTCCTTTCACCGACTGTCAAGTGAAGAGTGGGTGTCATGGAGCTGTGGGGTGGGAAGAGAGGGTTGTTTGTTGCAGTAGGACTGATAAAGGTGATAATGTTTTTAAGCATGTTAAGCCATCTCTACTGTACAGTTAGTTTTGTGTATATTTAGCATGTTTTTTCATAAATGAGTCTGTTGAGGGTAGGTACCAAGTATACCTAATTTAACTTTGTATCTCTATGCTTATGTGCCTGGATTTTTTACAAGCATTATGTAAATGTTGGCAAATGGGTGAAATTGGAACAGAGTGAAAGGAATGGGAAGTAAATGCCAGCTACTCAAAAGATTAGCTGTAGAGGTTTTGATTAATTTTTATAATAGACTCAGACCCCTCAGAAAAGTAGTGTTTTATTTTTGCTGTTAGTCACTAAGAATTATTGTAATCTAGTTTTTAAGTTGTGTAATTGTGGCATATTTCTTAATTTTAATGTTTAATTTTGATTATTTGTGTGGGAAATGAGATGTTTTAATGTTTGTAATTTGTCAAATTGAAAATAACAACACTTCTTATGACAGCTTGAGATAACCATGGATGTTGCAGACATAGGATGTGTAACTGTTGTTGAACATCAGCTTTCAAACATGGATGCAACAACTCAGGATGTGCAACCAGAAAAAGATTTGCATTCATCATTTGTAAGCATCTATATTCATGTTTTTCCTTTCGTTTGTTTACCTCCTAAAGAGTACAGGATTATATCCATAACTTTATTTTTTCTTCTCATGTAGGGAACTGTTTGTATGAATAGTTGAAACTTGTGAATTATCATGGATTTTCATTTGATTGTGAAACTTAGTTTTGTGTTTTGTTTAGTAAAGCTCTGAATATTATCCTAGACTTTAACCTCAAAATTCTGAGGCATAAGTTTATGTTAAATAAATTTTACAGCAACTACACAAAACTACACTATTATAAATCCTATAGTAGAGATGGATTTTAAAAACCAACAGAAATTATGTTTGTTTTTATTTTGTCTGTGAGTGTGTTGCCTTCATGTGTGTATGTGCACCACATTTGTGTAGCCACTTTGAGTAGGGTTTTCTAGTGAATATGAGGAAGAAACCTCCCTTTCCTTTCTTCCTGCTTTTCTGGAATTTTCCTTGGTAGACTCCTGGGAGCTTGTCCTTTAGCACCTCCTCTCCACAGGCAACCAGTTGGCTTGGAATACGTTTTGAAGTCTAAAATTAGCTGTCTTTGTTACTGAGAAAACTATTACTTTCCTATGTCAGTGTGAAGAGTGAAAACTGTCCTAGTTTTATTTCTAGTCATCACAATTATGCAGATTAAGCAGAAATCATCTTCCTGACCATCCACAGCTTATGGGTATGCTCAGTAGATGGAATATTTTCATGAGATAAACACACACAAGCAGTGGGAAAACACCCATAGCTGTTCTTAGGGAAGAAATGCATTGGCACGTGAGAGAAACTACAGGTACAGACAACTGGTTTTCAGAGTCAGTGGTCCTGTAAGCCTTGCTTGACAGGATTATCTCCATCAGAGAAGTACTTGGCTGGTGCGTCGACACACCTGAATTATCAATTGACATATGCCAGAGACCATAAATGTTTGGCAATCTTACTGGTCAGCAGGTCAGCAGAGCTCCTCATGCTGCCTCTGGACAGCTGTCCTGTGCATCATTTATTAAAATTGGTTATATTTTAAGCCAGTCATATAGAAACTTTGTGTGCTCTCCCAGACTTTAGTTTTTATTGGGTAAAAACTGGTAGCAGATCTGACTAGAGTGGGTTATGACTGAGGATGTAAGAATAGTTAGATGTATGTAGTAATGATGAGAGGCAGAGAAAATAAGGAGTGAGATGTAAAAGGACTTGGCCTTTAAGTAATTATTCTGAAGCTTTATGATCAAATGCAAATTAAGAAATGTTATTTTTATAACTAAAAACATAGAAAGACTTGTAAAATGTGATGCTTAAAACAAAAAGAAACCGGAACATTTGTTTGGGGGAAACACTTAAGATGTTACTTGTCTTTTCCTCTCTTTAGGAAATGGTCGTAAGTGAACAGACTCAAGAAGAACCAGGTAACTGTTAAAAGAATTGATTAAAACTACTTGGTTAACTGTAGCATGGTGATTAGCAGTGGGAATAGGTAAATAGGACAGTTTGCTAAAGTGTAGAACAATGACATTGACCTGTCACCTTGATAGGGAACTGGGATTTTCAGAGCCTAACTTTGGAAGGTGACCCTAGAGTCAATGATAGGTAAAGAAATAGTAGTGTCTCTGCTGGAGCTGCAGGGCTATAAACGTGAAGGAAATGCTTTCACGAATTAGCAGCCAACATTGATCTATCTCTGAATGTGCAGTATATGCCCTGAACAGTGTGGCACTAATACTAGCATGCCAGTGGTACGAAGGCTATTGAAACTTTACTAGAAGAGGAGGATCTGAATAAAAGTCTTTCTTAAGTAAAGAGACTTCTAGATTGACTTTTCTGTTTTAATGTTGGCATATTTCCTCAAGGTCCCAGTGATGGAAGCACAGAAGCTGCCATAACTTTACTTACAATGGGAGACATAGTATTGCAGTCAGAGATCATCACTGACCAGGGTGATGGTAAGAATCGGATATAGTCTCTTTAGGTGTAGTGGGAAAAATTTTGAGATGATGCCATTGGTATTAAGAATAATTTGTTGGGGGTAGGGCTGGAGAGATGGCTCCTTGGTTAAGAACACTGTCCTTCCAGGAGACCCTGTTCAATTCCTGACTCACAGCTGTCTGTAACTCCATTTCCAGAGGATCTGACACCCTCACACAGACATACATGTAGGATAGACACCAATGCACATAAAAATAAAAATAAATTTTTGAAAATAAAAGAATATTTTGGGGCTGGAGAGTTTGGCTAAACTGTTAAAAGGTTAGGGTCATAGCTGAAAATACAAGAATGAGTTAGGCTGGGCTTTTAGTGGCCTTTAATCCCCAGCCATTGGAATGCAGAGGCAGGCAGATCTCTGTGAGTTTGCAACCAGCTTGGTCTACATAGTGAGTTCCAAACCAGCCAAAACTTGAGGGAGGAGAGGAGAGAGATTTATATTCATGGAATATTTATCTAGTAAATATCTAACCTGTATACCTATAACATGTAACCATCATGAATATCATTGTATAATTGAGGTCACTAACCACTGATTACTTTTTAGATATTTCTTTAGCAAAGGGGTTTTTACTTGAGATGATGATCATAACTTATAAATCTGTGAAGAGGCAAATAGTAGTTACTGAGATTATTTATTCTAAACTATTCTAGTAGTGGAAGGAGCCAAAGGAAATGCAAATATAAATCTTTAATACTTTAAACCAACTTAGAAACTATATAGTTATTTTAATTTTTATTTTTGTGGTATAGGGTATGGAACCCAGGACCTTGTATATGCTAGGCAAGAACTTTGTTACTAAGCTAAATCTCATGTCCCAGAAGCTGTGGTCTTATTCATTATCATCTTTACCTATAGCTAATTGTATTACTGGTAATTATTTTGACTGGTAATGGATGATGTGCCGTTCATTTTAGTTGTTAGACTTGTAAGTTCATAACTATGCATTTTTCAGGGGAGCCTGAAATTTGTGTTCCAGGTAGACCTTCTTTCTCAGTGACAGACTATTGTAGTGCCTGTCACAGACTCCTAGTACATAAAGTTCAAGTTTCAAAAACTAGTAAATGAAAATGTTCTGTCTTGAAGTCTATGTAGAGTATATAGTTACTGAAATTAACAAAAGACTAGATTTTGCCTAAGAGTACTCCAAAATTTTAGTAATAAAATTAATTAAGTCAAGTTTTTCTTTTACTCAAATGTGATATAATAAATTTGGATCCTAAAAGAACAAACTTTAATATCAAAGTTAGATAGTTATTGAATGTTGAGAAATTAATTTTGGTTGTAGAAATGGCTTAGAGAGTAAGAGAAATTAATTTTATTCAGGTAGCTATTAATATTCTGTCATTTTTAATTTCCTGTTTTTTTCTGCAGTAGGAGTATGTGTATTTCCTGATGTTCATTCAAAGGATAAAAGTCATGTTCCTTTTAGCCCAGATATTGTAAATCACAAAATTGTTCCTGAATATCAGGAAGTTTCTTCACCTGTCATTAGTGCATCGCCAGCATCATTTGAGGAAAACAAGACTGTACTGAAGGAGCCGAGCCCTAGAGAAGAGGCTGATGTGATGGGAGAAGTAATGGAGAGCCGTGTGCCACCCAGGTTATTTTAATACTTAGTCAGCAAATGCAGTCACAGTATCGTTCATTTACTCATTAGCTTCTAGTAACACTTGTATATAAGTTGAACATAAACTGATACCAATAATGGTTTATTGGTTTGCATATAAAATCATAGTAATAGTGTTTTCTGTGTCTTTGAAACTTAAGTGAAATATGTTTATATGTATTCTGTTTTACAAACATGGTCTCCATTTCCTTCTCAAGTCTCTTAATAAACTTTAGCATTCAGAAATTAACATTTACCAGGTGTGGTACATACCTATAATTTTAGCCTTCTGGAGACTGAAGCAAGAGATAGCTTGAGTTTTGGGGGAGCCTCTTTCTTTTCATGTTGATACTCTGCCCAAACATACAGACAAGCAAACAATAACATATGATATAGCTCTTGCATTATGGGGTATGAGCTGTATTAGCACTAGACATGACCCTGCAAAGGGACTCTTACACAACTGATAACTTTCTCTCATCCCTTTTCTTCTAGGAATACAGCGTCTACAGTGACCAAACATTTGAGAATGGAGAATCCTTTTATTTTAACTGAACCAAATTCTGAGCAGATCTTAGGGATCTGTGGGCTTGATGGCCATCAGGAAGTTGCCAGTGTTTGTGTGACCAAAGGGACAGAAGGTGAAATTCAAAGAGGTGAGTTTAATTCTTCTTTTAGAAAATTACATTGACAAAAAATACTTTAGTAAAGGCTCTTGCCACATAAGCCTATAGACTTGTGTTTGATTTCTGGAACCTGTGTAAAGGTAAGGAGAGAACTCATTCCACAAAGTTGTTCTCTGACCTTCACATGCTCACTGTGTGATGTGTGACTCCTCTAATAATAAACAGTTTAAAATTTTATTTTACATGTTTATGTGCGTGAAGGGAGGGAAACTAAGAGAGGGAGAACACACCTATAATCCCAGCACTCTGGACATCAAGGTTATCTAAACAAAAATTATTTTGCTGCTTACATATTTTTTAAGCTTTCTTTATTAATTTTTTTCCATTCCAATCCCAGTTCCTTCCTCTCCTCTCACTCCTCCCCTTCACTGCCCATCTACTCCTCAGATAGGGTAAGGCCTCCCCTAGGAAGTCTACTAATTCTGTCCCATCATCTCCTTGAGGCAGGACCAAGGCACCTCTCCACCCCACACCCCCACGTCTAGGCTGGGCAAGGTGTCTCCCGTATAGAATGGGCTCCACTGAGTCAGTTTGTGCATTAGAGTTAGACCTTGGACTCCCTGCCATGGCCTCGTATATTGTCCCAACAGCACCCTTGTCACCGATATTAAGAGAGTCTAGTTCAGTATTATGCAGGTTCCCCATTTATAAGAACTGAGTCAGTGATCTCTCACTAGTTCTGGTCAGCTGATTCTCTAGGTTTCCCCACCATGGTCTTGACTCTTTTTGTTCATATTATCTCTCTTCCCTCTGTGTTATTTATTTTTGGGACATGATTCATATACAGAACAATTTACCTATTTAAAGTTTACAGTGCAATGATATTCTGTCACCAGACAGTATAACTGCCAGCATCAATAGCTACTCTCCAATCCTAAGCAACCACTAATTTACATTTATCTTTGTATATTTCCATTTTCTAGACATGTCTTGTGAATAGAAACATACAATATATAGTTCAGTCTGGTGCTTTTCATTAGCATAATGTTTTCAGAAATCATTTGTATGGTAACATATAAATACCTTTAAAGTTTGGCTGGTGTGGGTGTGTGTGTGTGTGTGTGTGTGTGTGTGAGCTGAGAGGCAGCCTGTGGAGTTGATTCTCTCCTCCCACATTTGCAGGTTTCCACTCTTCTTGGTAAGAGCTTTTCCTCTTTTTATTGCCAAATAATGCTTGATTGTGTAAATATTCTACATTTTGTTTATTATCTGTCGATGAGCATGTGGGATATATCTGCGTTTTTGATATAATGAATAATGCTCCTGAGAATATTCAGGTGGATATATGTTTGCATTTCTCTTGGGTTTATATTTACAAAGTAGAATTTCTGAGTCATTCAGTAATTCTATTTTGAACCTTTCTCCTCTCATGATGGTAGTTAAATTTAGATTTTTACACATGCTAAGCATATACCCTATTACTGAGCTATATATATATATATATATATATATATATGTCTTCAGCCTATGTGTTTACTCTTTGCTGTACCTACCAATTTGTTTTTAAGAAGGTATCAATTATTTACTGTGATTTTTATATTTCAAGTGGCAATTAAATTTTAAAAAGTAGTTGCACCATTTTATATTTTTAATCATCAAACTATGAGAGTTTATCTGTCTATCTTACACACACACACACACCCACACACACACTATTAGAGGATTTTACTATACATTCCAAGCTGTTCAGGAACTCACTGTGTAGCTCAGGCTAGCCTTGAACATGGAATCTTCCTCGTTCAGTCTCTCTACTGCAAAGAATTTTAGTTTCTGTCTCCTTCCAGACCCACGATTTTTAAGTGCTGCTGGAGATTGAACTCAGGGACTCAATCATTTTAAAGAAACACTAAAGGCCCATAACATTCATAGCTCTCCTACACAATTACTTATCTTTTATACTTTTAGCCATCTTGATGTGGAGCAGGATTTCATCATAAATTTAGATAATGATGCATATCTTTTTAAAATTATTTTAATTTTACATATTGTGCGTTCATGTGTGCCACTGCATACATGTGGAAGACAGAGGGCAGGTTTTGGTTTCCTCCTCCTGCCATGGATTCCAAGGATTGAACTCAGGTCATCAGGCTTGCACACCAACTGTTTTTTGTTGCTGTTTTAAATTTTACTTTATGTGTATGAGTGTTTTGTCTGTGTCTGTATGTATGTATATATGTGTCCCGCATGTGTGCCTAGTTCCTGCAGAAGCCAGAAGAGCATGTCAGAACCCCTGGAACTGTAATAACTAATGGTTGTGAGGGAACTGGTAACCAAACTTGAATAGTTGGTAAGAGCAATAAATGTTCTCGAGCTCCCTCAGGTTTTCAGTGGCCTCATTGTGTGTGATGTACATGTTAACTTCTAGTTTCATTTCCTTTTCTGTGTTCTCTTCTTGCCAAAGTCCTGATTCCTTAGGGAAAATAGTGGAAGTTAGTCTTTTTAGATTGTTGAATTCATGCTTTAAAATTCTGCATAGCCAGTCGGTGGTGGCTCACATCCTTAATCCTCTGCCTCAGGAGGCAGAGGCAGGCAGATCTTTGTGAGTTTGAGGCCAGCCTGGTCCACAAAGCTACACAAAGAAACCCTATATTGAATAGCCAAAAAAACCAAACCAAACCAAAAACAAACAAACAAACAAACAAACAAAAACCAAAAAAAAAAAACCTGGAAAATTAGCATCGTTCTTCCCTAGTTTGAGTTGCTTTCGGCCAGCAATGTCTGTCATAGTGTATGTATGCAAGTAGTTAGTTAATTGAGCTGGCTTGAGCAGTATCCAGAAGTGCATAATATATGGTCTGTTTGCCCCATCCCACCCCTCTGCCTAGGTTCCATTACTCCTTTTATTTAGCAGTATTTTCCTTCCCCTTTGTGATGTCATTTAACTTTTTAAATTTCATTTGTTTTGTGTGTTTGGGCATGCATACCTATACACATGTTGTGGTGTTTAAACGATAACTTGCCTGGAGTAATCTAATTCCATAATGGAGAACCTTCCCAGAGGTCGAACTAGGTTTGGCAGGCTTGATAGCAAGTGCTCTTATCCACTGAGCTGTCTCACCTGTCACATAATTATATCTCTCCAAGACATGTGGTATGCTGCAATAAGACAGACCCTTTTGTACCCAGTTGTAATCCCTTTTTGGGTATGGGTTTGTAATCACTTTTAAAATCATGTGTTTTTATTGAATGTGTATGTATGAGTGTGTATGCATATATGTATATGCGTGTGCGCCTGTCCAAATTTCGTGTGTGTATGTGTGTGCGCGCACACGCACCATAGAGGATGTGCGATATCAGATGACAATTTGTGGGAGTCAGTTCTCCTTCATGTGTGGAACCTGAGGATTGAACTCAAGTGTTGATGGTGGGTACTGTTAGCTACTGAAGCATCTTGACAGCCCTTAGTTTTAGTACTTCTGATTATGATACTATAGGGCTATTACCTTAAAAGCAGCCTCAGTTGACTCGGCAGCCAGCAATGAAATATGTGCAGTACAGGTTTCATTAGTCATGTTTACTTTTCAGAAATCTTGGCAAACCCCATTCTTCTGCCATGTGAATAAGCTGATTTTTGAGGTATGAGAAACTTGGAAGCGTCACGAATCTATCTTTCAAGAGAGGTTATGTTTCTAATATAGATTTGCCTGTACTATTTTGAATTACATCTTAAATGTATTTTTCTTGTTTTTTGTTTGTTTTTAAAGAAACTGAGGAAAATGTTTCTAAAGCAGAAGAATTAGAAGATAAAAGCCTTGAGCCAGGAGAGACTAAGGAGCTGCACCAATTGTCGTGCGTGCATGGTGCTGAAGGGACCATTGTTTCTCAGGAAACAATCCTAAGAGCAAGGTAAAAGAGCAGGGATGCTGACATTCATTTTATATCGTACCTTAGCTTCTATCACAGCTCATAGCTGTATGAGTTTTATTGAAAAATAATTCTGTTGTAGTTAATGTGTTTAAATTTGAAAATACCACATTAAGCGATGATACCTAGGTCTAAAAATAATTCCATGTTTGGTTGACTGACACATTATTAAAATAATGTGCTGAAATATTTCAGAAGTGAAGGTCAGGAGGCGAATTTGCAAGAGGTTCAGATGCCGGGTGCTGCAGTTGCTTCTTCTGAGATCGGGCCCCACACACTTGATTCAGGTCAGGGTCTGGGTGAGAGCCCTGCTGAAGAGCCCCTCAGAGAAAACTCTAAAGACAGCAGCATGCTCATGCTTCAGGTGCCAGAGGTAAAGGAATACTGAGTATGATAATGGGTAGTGTGGGTTACTTTTTCTCCATTTAGAAAAACAGTTTACATATAGTAGACTTTCTTATTTTCAATTCAGCAGACCTTTTATAAATACATAAAGGTTTGTCCTACAGCAGAGTGGCAGTGGGTGCTGCATTCAGACTCACTGTTACCATTCTGTGTAGTTTTGGGGCTGGGTTACTCCTTTTGTGTGGCATGATGCCACTTTGACCTGTTAGTGGAAATACTTTCTGATCACTTGGCTAGGATGGTGTCTGTGAGATTTCTTGGTTATAAGGACATTTTTTTCTTCTTAGTGCTAGAAATTTGTCTAGTGAGATCCAGCTCTTGTTACTCAATAGCTTTGGTATCTACGAACCTACTTGAATCAGTTGTTCACATTGTTTCAAAATGAAAGCCTGCAGGTTTTAAACATTATAGAATTATAATCTGTATATGGTAGTTTGTGGAAAACAGGAGGGGAACACAGTGGAGGCAAGGAGAGTATACTTCATCTCCATTGAGATTTTATCTACCCAGTGTCTGCTGCAATGGGAACATGAATTAAATTCATGTACTCACATGTAACAATTTAATCAGGGTGTTTTAAGCTTATGTAAGTCAGATATTCATTGACACAACTAAAAGCCTTTAAAACACTTAAAATTGTACATTTAAGATACGCCTTTAGGTTGGAGACAGTCTCTTTACCATATGTTAAATTGTTAGACTTTCTCAAACCTCAGTTTCTTTTCAATTTTTTTAAATGGCAGATTGTACCATCTAATATTCCCGAAGTCCAACAAGAAAATATGATCAGTCCTCAAGACGTAACAGGTATGAAAAGCTGCTTTCTGCAATTGTCATAGATGTGTAGTATAATTTTTATGTTTTAACTTTTTTTTAGACAGAGTCTTTCAGTGTAGTCCTGGAGCTTGCTAAGTAGAACAGGCTAGCCTTGAACTCACAGAGGTAGTCCTGCTTCTCCATGCCTTCCCCCTTCCAGGGCTGGTTTTTAAGGTGTGTTCCACTACACCTGGCCTTTTTGTAACTATGGAAAAACACAAAATAGACTTAAGAATAAGCCAATGAGAATAACAGTCATAAATACAGGTATGGAGTTTACCAATGTTATTCAAAATTATAAATGCTTCACATAAAATATCCTGTCTATGCTATTGGGGGTTGGAGGATGTATTTTAAATTTTTATTTAGTCTTGGCACTGTAAGTCATGAGACTCTTTAAGAGATGAAATAATGATTTTCTGCTACTTCTTGGTTTAGCTTTTCATTCATAACTTTTAACTTTGACAGTGAATCTATTTACTAATCTACAGCAAGATGGAGAAGATGAACAAGCATTCATTTTAACTTTGGTGGAAATCCCAACTGATGCAACAGAAGGATTTACTGATGCCTCCATGCAGTTAATGCCAAGCTCTCTACTGCCAGCACCTATATTGGTGAAATCTGGGAACACAGTAGAAAGAGGGGACCTGAGGTAAAAAAAAAAAAAAAAAAAGTTAAATTGTTTTATCAAGAGGAAAGGTACTTCATGAATCAAGTATTAAACAAGTTAACCATACACTGCCATTTGTTTTTATAAAATCACAACTGTTAAACAGCACAAATTAATGCTGTTCTGCATTGTATTCAGCACAGTTGTGTTTACTCTGTCATCAGGTTTTGCAAGGTAACACTGGCTTCATACAGTAAATTTGGAAGAGTTTTGCTGAATAGATTGATTTTCTTTAAGTGTGTTAAAAATTTATTAGTGAATTCCTCTGGTTCTGAGATCTTTATTGAGTGACTTTTTATTACTACTTCAGTGTCAATTCTGTGTTGGTTATTACTCTTAAATAGTTTCCCCCTCCTCTTGCTTCAGTTTTGGGAGGTCAGATGCACCAGACATTTATGTCTTTCTTCTAGAGCTTCCAGTTTATTGGCATATGCTTTTCATAATGATTCATTTAATTTCAGTGGTATTGTAATATCCCCTGTCGCCATTTTGGGGGCAATTGTTCTCTGTTTTGATAAGTTTAGCTAACTGGCAAAGACGTACCTGCTTATTTCATTCATCTATCTTTCACTTGCCATCTACACGTTTGGATTCAGTTACTGCCTTCCTAAAGCATAGATTGCACACTATATGTTGATGTTTTGTTTTTGTTTGTTTGTTTGGTGTGGGGCCTATGTGCCTTTGTGCATGGAAGCTGCAATACAACATTGGATGGCATCCACATTAGTTTTGAGACAGTCTGCTACTGGCCTGGACCTCACCAGATAGGCCGGTCTGGTTGGTTAACAGCCTCCCCACCCATCAGCCATTCTCCCCCTCTCTAACCCTGGGAATACATGCATGCCTTCATGTCCAGCTGGGTTTATTTTTTTGTTTTTTGTTTTTTTATGTCTGTTCTAGACATGGACCTCATGCTTTTGAGGCAACTACTTTACCAGCTATGCTTTCACCCAAGCTTTATTTTCCTGTTTAGTGTTAGTTTAATTGTCATAGCTACAAACTTTCTACTTAGCACAGCTCTTCTGTATGGGAGCTGGAGTGCCACATGGCTGTGCACTAACGTGTGGGTACTGTAAACTAGACCTGAGTCCTCAAGAACAAGTAATCTCTCATCATCTTCTTTTTCTTTTAATTTTTGGTTTTTGAGATGGGAATTTTCTGTGTAACAACCCTGGCTATCCTGGAACTCACGTAGACCAGGCTGGACTCAGACTCAGAGACCTGCCTGCCTCTGCCTCCCAGTGCTGGGATCAAAGGCTGCGCCACCACTGCCTGCCTCTTCCTCCTCCCCTTGCCTTTTATTTGTTTAGTTGGTGTTTTGTTTGTTTGTTTGTTTTAATAGAGTCTGTTTAGCCCTACCTGTCTTGGAACTCTTTATATAGATCAGGCTGACCTCAAACTCAATGGAGATCTACCTGCCTCTGCCTCCTGTGTGCTAAGGTAAAGGAGTGCACCATTATCCCAGGCCAAGAAATAAGGACTCCTTACTGCTGAGCCTCTTACTCTGTATTTTTCTTCAGACAGATGTCTCACTGATTTAGTTAGACTGACTAACCAATGTCTTATTGTCCCTTCCCCACCAAAAAATGAAAGCTCTGAGGTCACAGGCACATGCTATTGCACCTGGCTGTTTATGTGGGATCTGAAGATCTGAACTCAGAGCCTCGTTCTTACAGCAGCGCTAGACTGATGGAGCCATCTCCCAAATCCCCGGATTCTAGGAACTTTTATTTTCCCTTCTAATTTCCTTAATCAAATTTTTGTTTGGGTATATTATTAAATCTCTGTGCCTAAACCCATTTGGTTTTAGTGCAACTTAATATATTTGTGGGTATTTTGTCTGTCTGGTTGGTCTATGTTGTTGAGAGTTGGGTGTGGAAAGACAATATTACTATTTTGGGGTCTATCTTTTCCTTTTCCACATCAGTGTTATTTTTTATTTTTTATAAAATTGAGTACTATGACATTCACTGACGTTGTTGGCTATTGTGGAGATCTTATTTAGTAATTACGTGGTGACTTAAAGGAGACACTTTGTTTTTATATTTAAGATGCCATTTAAACATACATACTTGGGACAGGTATGGTGGCATACACCTTTAATCCCAGCACTAAAGAAATATGGGCCAGCTCTTTAGAGTTCTAGAACTTCCAGAGCTACTTGAATACTATGCCACAAACAAATGAGCAACAACCAAAAAGTGTATATGCCATACAATTCTATTTTTGTTTGTTTGTTTGTTTTTTTTTTTTTTTTTTTTTTTTTTTTTTTTTTTGTATTTGGAGATATGATCTTTCCGTGAAACTTGTTTGAGAATTAAAGATTTACAAGCAAAGAAAACACTATATATTTTCCTTAGATTTAATTCAGTTTTATTGAATTGAAGTTGTGAGCCTTTAAGTATGAAAGTACCCCAAACTGCTATTTTTGTTGCTGTGACCATTATTTACTAGTTTTTGTTTCTGTACTCATTAGACCTCTCATTGGAATAGTTACTTCACTAAGTAGCTTCTAATTCACTGGTTTGCATGTATTGTTTTTATGCAGTGGGAGTTTACAAGCAACTTCAGTTGTTCAAGATGCCCTATGCTTATCTTCTGGAAGTAGTGATTCTGAAAAGCTTCCTGCTAAGGTGGACCCTATGTCTAGGAAGAGATTTCATTGTAGTCCCGATGAAAACATTCTTGTACCTCCTGCCAAGAAGTCTTCAGTTACTCCAGGAATTGATTGTCAAGAATGTGCCTCTGAGGTGAGATTAGATTACTAAGCAAGTGCCTTGGCCATATGCCAAGGATCTGTTTATTCTTCCCATCTGCCCCTAAACTTTTATACTTATGTATGTACACACACGTGCACACACACACACACTCACAGACATGTTTCTGATATTTCTCATCATTAGTAATTCAGGTAAAGGTAGTTTGGGATGACCATTTTTAACCAGTTCAAAAAAATAATTGATGAACATTAATCAGGAAACCTACAATGGCTGAAAATAAGGCCAATAGTTTCATGTCAATCTGAATCTTCACTCTGTCTACCCCCACCTAGTTACTGTGGGCTGTGGATTAACACCTTCAGGGCTCTGAATGAATTTTCTGATGTGTGAAAAAAATAATAGTAATACCTTCCCCATCGCGTGTTAACCTTCCCTTTGTTCTCAGGAGTGTGACCATACCTTCTGAGGCCCTGTAAGTTCCTGTCTCTCCAATGTCATTCTGTGCTAGTGTCCCCTCACTGTCTAGCCACAGTGGCCCTCTCTCAGTCCCTCGAGTGCTCTAAATCCATCGTGTACTGAGGCATTTCATTTGTTTTCCCATCTGCGTGGACCATTTCCTTATGAAACATCACACTCTTAGTCCAGTTATCACTACCTCAGGAAATCTAGTCTAGTCAGACCTCATCGATACAGTCTGTTCACGCTGCTAGTTTCCGAGGACTCTTTTGTTTTTTGTTATGTTTCTGATATGCGTTGTAATCTGTAACTTCACTGTGAAAAATCAACTTAAAATTATGTTCTCAAAGGAAAAGTTGAAGGCCAATAGTTTTTGGTAGTAGACAAAATATCACTGTTAATTATCTGATAGGAAAAAGTTGGCATTCCATATTATTTTTTAAAAATTTTATTTATTTATTTATTAGTGTTACTATTTTATTTCACGTGTATTAGTATATGTATGTCTGTGTGAGAATGTTGGATCTTCTGGAACTGGAGTTACAGATAGATGTAGGTGCTCTGGGAATTGAACCGGGTCCTCTGGAAGAGCAGCCAGTGCTCCTAACCACTAAGCTGTCTCACCAGTCCTGGTATTCCCTATTCTTAATTTTGTGTGTTTATTGGTAAAATTAAGCATCTTTCCATGTGCTTAAGACTACTTATTTCTGGTATTTTTGTGAAATGACTTCTATATTCTTGTTTTTTTAAAATGTATTATTGTTTTCTTTCTTGCTTTCCCCCCCCCCCCAACCCCACAAAAACAAAACAAAACAAAGCCAGGGTCTCTCTGTATAGTCCTGTCTGTCTTGAAACTTGCTCTAGACCAGACTGGCTCAGGGACCTGTCTTCCTCTACCTCCCGTGTGCTGGGATTAAAAACCTGTGCTACCTCATCTGGCATGACATTTCCATTAATGGATCTGAAAGGCTTCTTTTTTCGTTTTATTTTCTTATATGTAAATGTTAATGATATGGAAGTATTTAGGGTTTCTTTTCTTTTTTTCTTTTTCGAGACAGGGTTTTCTCTGTGGCTTTGAAGGCTGCCCTGGATGATATAGCTCTTGTAGACCAGGCTGGTCTCGAACTCATAGAGATTCGCCTGCTTCTGCCTCCTGAGTGCTGAGATTAAAGGCATGCGCCACCATCGCCCAGTTTAACTACCTTTTTAATGCAGATTTTTAAAAAATTAACTTTTTCTTTTTGGTTGTGAGCGTAGCCTTTAACGACTGAGCCATCTTTCCAGCCCTACTTTGCTGTTTTATACATTTTCACACACTGGGCTTTGAATTACAAGGTAGAAAGCAAAGCTAGAACAGAGAGATTCTTTTGTTTATTGCTTATTTTTGCATTGCTAGGTTTGTTTCTAGGGTTTGTTTCTTACATGCTAGACAGGTGCTCTACCACGGCTGTACCCAAGGTCTATTGACAGACTTTTTTTGTTGTTTTGTTTTTCTAAGGAACAGTCTAGCTGTGAAAATCAGATTGTCATGGAACTTGGGCAGGGATTGTTTTGCCTGTCTTGTTGGTGTTGAGAGTATAATCATGTGTTAGCTCCCTGGCTATTGTATGGTTTTATCAGAAGTGAGACAAAGCTCTCTCATCCCCCCCCCCCCCCGTGTGTGTGTGTGTGTGTGTGTGTGTGTGTGTGTGTGTGTGTGTGTAAAGGGTTCTTTTTGCTGTGATTGTTGTTTGATACAGACTCTCACTGTATACTCCAGGCTGGACTCAATCCTCTGCTTCAGTGTCTAGAGTTGTAGTTCTCAACCTTCCAAATACCATGATCTTTTAATATGTTTCCTCATGTTGTGACCCCTAACCACAAAATTATTTCTTTGCTACTTCATAATTGTAATTTTGCTACTGTTATGAATCATAATTTAATATCTGGTATGTGACTCTTGTGAAAGGACCATCTGACCCCCTGAAGTGGTCTCTACCTGTAGTTTTAGAATATTTAAATTATAGGTATGTGTCACTGTTTGTGACCTGTTGATTAAATTTACTTTGCTATAGGGGGAAAATGTTTTAATTTACACTGTGAGAGAACAGTGGCTTGGGCAGGAACAATAACTTTAATATTGCTCACCAAAACTTTATTTTTTTAAGGAATTCTTTTTAGTCTTAGTTATTTTATTTTGTATGTATGAGTGTTTTGCCTTCATATATATAAATGTACCATGTGTGTTAGGAACTGAATCCAGTTCCCCTGCAAGAACAACAAATGCTCTTAACCACTGAGCATCTCTCCCTATCCCCCTTGCTGTAACTTTCTGGTAACAGTTTTTAAAATTAGAGAGTGAGTGGCTTCAGTGGTTTGCTAGTGTTGTCTGGAAGACTTGGTGTTGTGCCAGTCTGTTTCAGCAAGAGGCACAGCTCAGCAGCAGAGCGCTTGCTTTGCTTTCAGTGGGCCCTGGGTTACTAGCAGGACGCCCAGAGTATCTGGTGACTGGGGAAAATGTAGTTTACATGTATTTGTTTGTTTTGTTGTCTTTTGTTACTTTGAGACAGGGTCTCACCATGTAGGCTTGTAGACAGAGCTAGTGTAGAACTCAGAGAACCCTCTGCCTCTGCCTCCTGATCACGGGTTAAAGGTGTGTGCCACCACCTTTAATGTATTACAGTAGCAAACCTAGATTGCCTATTATTCCATTCAAAAGGGATAACTGTGGGGGCAAGGTAAAAACTCAGTAGACAGAGTTAAAGCGTGATGAGCTGTGTTCAGTTTCTAGAACTCAATGAAGATGCCAGGCATGGTAGCTGCTTGAAATCCTAGTGCTAGGCAGACAACCAGAGGAGCCATCAAGTTAAGTAGGTGAGGCTTATTGGTAAGCACCTGGCCAATAAGTGACTTGTCTCCAAAAAGGTGATTAATATTCCCGAGGATGACACCAGAGGCTGTCTTCTGACATCCATCCACACTCACAGATTATTCCCTCCCCACTTATTTAAAGCTAAAATACAAATGAAAAAATGTATGTTGCTATCAGTATATTAAGAATATATGTATGGGGCTGAAGAGTAGGCTCATCAGTGAAAAGCACCTGGGTTTGATTCCCAGCACTCACATGACGGTTCATAACTGTCTGTAACTCCTGTCTCAGTGGCTCTGGTCCCCTCTTCTGGCCTCCAAGGGCATCAGACAGCCATATTGTGCAGGGACATTACTTGCAGACAAGATATACATAAGAATAATAAAAATAGAAAAGAAAGGACAATGTCTACAGGCCTTGTTTGTCAGTTTGGTTTATTAGCTTTGTTTTTATTTTAACAATAAAATATTGTGCATGCAAAGTTTTTTCCCTGTCTTTCCTTTATTTTGAGACAAAAGATCTGGTAATGTACCCCAGGCTGGACTCAAACTGAAGATTATTTTACCTGTGCCTTCCAGGGCAGGATCATAGATAAGTGCTACCACAGCCAGCTTTGTGCTCCACTGTTTTCAACCCAAGGTAGCATACTGTGTACTTTGTTTGAGTCTAAGAGTTTGAAATCAATCTGGGAAACATCATAAAACCCTTAGTCCTCTTTTTTTTTTTTTTTTAATTAAACTTTTCCCCTAAAGAATGAATATTTATGTAAATAAATATAAATTTTCTCCTCTTGACTTTGTGAAGTTCTAAAGTAGACTTTTATCATGTTGAACCGTCTTTACAGTTTTGAAATGGATGACTAATTGGCCGTGATGTATTAGTTTGTTGATTGGCTCTTTTTAAAGGTGCTTGAGTTGATGGGTCAGAAATGTACCTCACTGGTAGAGAGAGTGCATAGCTTGTGTGAGACCCTGACTTGGATACTCAGCATTATAAACATGAAAAATGGTTTCATTGATATCTTTTGAGATTTGGCAGTTGGTATCAATATTATGCCTGAGACAGAAGTCCAACAGTTTTTACTTTTTCCCTGTGCTCTGGAGCAGTTTAAATATTAGCAATGCATCTTTTTCACAAATGTTTAATTGGTGGTATAATTCTGCCTGACTCTAGAGCTTTTACTAGTGCATGATTGAAGGGGTAGAATTTTAATTTTACTTAATAAATGGAGTTCTAAAACTTTTTGTATGTTTTCTTGAAACAGGTATGTCCAAAGGAATTAAATGTGTTTGAGAAAACAGGTGAGTGAGATCAGTTTAAGTATGACTATATTTTACTTAGCACCCTGATTATTTCTGATGCATTTTGAGCTTGAAACAGAGCCTTACTCGTCTTTATCTCAAATCAGTGGCCTCTCTTTGTAATTTACTCTTTAATATACCACTAGCAGTAATTCTTTAAGAACCACCATGGCTAAAACATCTAATAACCCTAATGTAACTACATTTGAAGAGACGTAATATCGTTTAAAAATCCCTCATCTGTGCTTATACTTTGAAGCATTTTTCTTATGTTTCACTCCAGGAAATTCAGACTTACAGTAAGGTCTTTGATACATTTTAAAGTTAGCTAACTAGCTTTAGTCTTCCTAGCACTATTTGTTGAAGAGACTAGGCTGTCTTTTCTCCAATGTTTTTGTTCCTTTATTGAAAATCAGGTGGCTGTAGTTGTATATTTATTTCTACTTATTTATTGCACTGAATTACATCTCTGTTTCTATTACTACTGTTCTGTTATATTTATATTAATATCTTTGGGAGAAGGATGGTCTGGTCTATTGTGAATGCTTTCCACTGTGATGTTTTTTGTTTTTTTTTTCTCCTTTCTTTCTTTCTTTCTTTCTTTCTTTCTTTCTTTCTTTCTTTCTTTCTTCTTTCTTTTTTTTTTTTTTTTTCTGAGACAGGGCTTCTTTCTCTGTGTGGCTTTGGAGCCTCTCCTGGCACTCAGGCCAGGCTGACCTCGAACTCATGGAGATTCGCCTGCCTCTGCCTCCCAAGCACTGGGATTAAAGGCATGCGTCACTCCTGCCTGGCTTCCACTGTGGTTTTAATTTGATTCATTTTTTGATTTCCAACATTTTTCTTTGTGTTCCTCATTCTGCCTGTCCCTGCTGTTCCCTATCTCTATTCCCCACTCCTCAAACATCTCAGTTTACATGCTCACGTTCACATCTGTGTTGCTGACTTGATTTCTATACTTCATTTATTTATTTGTTTGTGTCTTTGAAATCAGTGATCATTTTTTACTAGTAGACTTGAGTTCTTCGTCATGCATTTTCCCAGTTCAGGAGGGAGGAGTCATGCTGACTTGCCTTTTAACGTTTCCTGTGTTTTTGCCATTTTACACATTGGTGGAACAGATTCTGGGTCCTGTCTGTTTTGTTTTTTTCATTTCATTATCTATTCCTGGCTGTCCTTGAACTTGTGGCAATCTTTTCTGCTTTTGCCTCCCAACTGCTGGGATTCTGGCATGTATCACCACACCGGAGACACAATATGTAGCACTGGCCGGGAGCTCAGTGCGTACACCAGGCTGTCTGTCCTAATTGCTGGCCTTGGTTCCTTGTTTTTTACCTTAGCCTTCCTGTTACTGCATGCTTTTCAGCTCTCCTATGGTATCTTTTGTGCTTGCTGATATGCTTGCTGTTTTTCTCCTGGGGATAGAGTTTATACTTGTTTCCCCTACTGGTTAATCCTGATGTCACATGGAGGCTGTTTTTGATCTACTACGATGGCAAACTCCATTTCCTCGAGTCATTTTTCTTTGACTTTTTCTTCCTTTTCTTCTTTTGTAAATATAGGGTCTTACCAAACTCCATTTCCTCGAGTCATTTTTCTTTGACTTTTTCTTCCTTCTTTTGTAAATATAGGGTCTTACTCTATAGGACTGGCTGTCCTAGAACTCTGTAGCTTAGGCTGGCCTCAAACTCATGCAGCAGCTTTTTAGTGTTAGCTTTTTGAGTGCTGGGATTATATGCTTAAGCAACCATGCTGTACTTTAACTGGTAATCCTAATATTCTACTCCACTGATTATAGTATAGAATGTTTTTGCTGAGCTAGGTTTGTTTATAGAGCACCATAGGTTTTCCCTTCAGATACTCCAGTGTAATTGACTGCTTTTAAATATTTCAATATGCACACTCTCTTTCTTCTCTGTTTTTCTCTGTGAAGAGGAGTCTTGCATGGGACAATGTATTTTACCTATCTCAGAGAGTACACATACAACCCCCAAACCACAAAAGGAACACAATGAACCAACTTTTCAGAATGCAGGAACGAGATCTCCTAATGAAATAAAAGATCCATGTGTGGAAAAGACTATGACTCAGTTACCTCAGGATGAGATGGTGTCTGATAAAGAAGAGAAAACTGATCCTGTTTCCAGTTCCGAACAAAAGGATAGCATGATGTCATCATCTTCAAAACCCCCTCTGATCAGGTATTGTTAAAAACTCTTTAGGACTATCCCCCTGTCCCCGGATGGGTAGAAACCATATATAACATGCTTAAGCAGAGCATAAAACCCAGTGCCTAGTTGCTTTATAAATGTAGCCTCCATCAGTTATGGGAAGGGACGATGTTCAGCAGGTGTGCATTCTGTATGACCAGAGCTTAGTGTTACTGAAACTGTCTCAGACAACAACCTTAGAACATATCACACTTCTTTTCTAGTGTGTTCACAATCATTGTTTTGGTGATTACATACTGTGTTGTATGAAGCATAAATGTGTAGATGAGATGATACAGCATAGAGTTGGTGTCCGGTGGCTCTGGAAGTTGTTTTATTCAATTTCCAGATAATCTGTCACTTCGTTTCCTTATGGCTTTTAATATGGGTTTCTCTTTAGGTCCTTATCGACTGCTGCCACATTGTTTTCCCATATACACTAGACAGAAGTCTTTAGGGTAATTAGTAATTACTGGCTTGTCAGCTGAATCATAAACTCTAACTTGGTAACCTGAGGATAGCTGGCACTAAGAGGAAAAGGCATGTATGTCTTTAAAAGGCTTGACCTTTTACCCCAGCACTCAGGAGGCAGAGGCAGGTGAATCTCTGAGTTTGAGGCCAACCTGGTCTACATAATAAGTTCTAGAACAGCCAGAGCTATATATAGTGAGACCCTGCTTTCAAACAAACAAACATTGTCTGGGCAGTGGTTGCTCACCCCTTCAATTCCAGCACTTGAGAGGTGGCAGAGGCACACAGATGTCTGAGTTGAGTGAGGCCAGCCTGGTCTAGAGCTACATAAAGAAACCTTGTTTAAACAAACAAACAAAAAGGGTTTATTTCACTATTATTATTTCTTTAAATGCAGAAAGTAAAACTCATTAATATCTTTTCTGACCTTTAGGGTTTACTGATATTTGAAAAGGGTAAGAAAGTATCACCAGGTTTAAAAGAGGTTGAGAAGCAGAAGTGAGGGCAGGCTGATAGCCTTCAGAAGGAGTTCCTAAAGGCCGTGCCTAGGCTCCAGTGGCCCCGTGGTGTCTGTTGCAGCCGCCCTATTCCACTTGCAGCACAGAAGCGGCTGTGCCATGGACACTGTGGCACACAGTGTGTTTCACTGTGGATGTCATTAGACTCAGGCAGCACCTGTTTCAAAGTCAGAGCTCCATTTTAATAACACCCCCAGGTGATTTGTGTGTGATTTTAAACTTGTCCCCATAGTGTCATCAGTACCTAGAAAAGTGTGCCACTCTAGCATTAATAGAAATAGTTATACTAAGAATGTGTCTTTTGCCAGGCGTTGGTGGTGCTCGCCTTTAATCCCAGCACTGGGGAGGCAGAGGCTGGCAGATCTCTGTGAGTTTGAGGTCTCTGATTGAGTACCAGGATAGGTTCCAAAGCCTCAGAGAGAGAGAGAGAGAGAGAGAGAGAGAGAAAAGAATGTGTTCTTTTTTTTTTTTTTTTGGTTTGTGTTTTGAGACAGGGTTTCTCTGTGTAGTTCTGGCTATCCTAGAACTCGCTCTATAGACCATGCTGGCCTCAAACTCATCTGCTTCTGCCTCTCCCGTGCTGGCATTAAAGGTGTGTGCCACCACCACCTTACACAGGAATGTGCCTTGCTGAGTATGGTAATACATGCCTGTAGCATTACAGTACTTAAGAGGCTGAGGCTGGAAGATCTTAGCTACATATAAAAAGACCTTCTGTAAATCAACAACAAAAACCAGGGTAGATGGGTGAGAGATTACATATGTACGTACATCTACAACAGATTTGTTGAGTATCTTTGCATTTTCATTTCTAGACCTGGCAGAAGACCTTTGGGATTTTTGTCTTTAATATGTCCAAAAAACAGTTTGGACTCTGATGAAGTGACTCAAACTCATAGCAAGAAGCGCCTAAAACCTCATATTCCTATATCACGACGAAATTTGAAAAAGTCTAATCTAGTTAATGCAAACCAGAAAAAAAATGAATCTTCTGATCCCCTCCCATCTCCAAGTGTTGTTACTGATACTCAGTCTGATAATACTGGAAGTTCAGCAACTCAGGTATGTGAGAACTGTTGTGTTATATTGTGAGATGTAGATCATCTCAACTAATGAAACTGTAGCAATTTATTTTTAGTTGTATATCAAAAATTATTTTAGTACAGCTTCCAGCTCCTTTAGTATGAGGTATTGAACTAGCTGTAAATGGGATACTTAATTGCCATTCTTTCAATCCAAAGACTCTGCTGACCTATAGAAGCAAAATGACGTACTGTTTATAGTTTTATTTGTCTTAGGAAAAAGTGTTCTGGCATGCAAAAATTCAAATCATCAAAGTTGTAGAATTCGTTTGATGTTGTGTCTGTGCATTCTGAAACTGTCTGACGGCAAGGACTGTGATGAAGAAACCTGTGACCTCTGCATACTGACTTGTCACTGCTAAAATAGTGTTGTTACTAATTCTCCTACAGTGTTGGGATTTAACTTGGGGCTTCATGCATTCTAGGAAAATGCTTTCCAGTGAGCTACTTCATCAGCATTAGCATCATTGCCAGGATGTCTTACATAAAGATTGTCTGTTAGCAGTGTGATAGTCCAGGTAATCATAGTCTTGCCATCGTTAGATATTAATATCTCAAAATAACAAAAATTTTAACAAAAAAGTTTTGTTAAATATGATGGAGGGGGTGATGTTACTACATTTTTTGAATTTTTATTTCCTTGATTACGAGTGCCTTGAATTTTAAAAAAAAATATATTTACTAGAATTTTCTCAGTTGTATTATCAGTTTGTTGGTTTGTTTATTGCTGTCTTAGAGCCTTTGACTTGGAATTTTTCTCCAGCTGGATGAATGTGGTAGTCCACATTTGGACTACAAGGGAGTCCAAAGTAGGAAGGTTATAGGTTCAAGGCCAGCTTGGGATATGTAGTCACAGCAAAATATAGAAGACTTTTTAAAAAGGTTGTTTTTTTAAAATTTTTAATAATCAGTTTTGAAGATTTTATGATTTTATTTTGTGTTGGTTATTGGCTTTGGTATATAATGTGAGGCAAAATTCAAGGTTGCTGAATTTTTGTTTTCTTAAAAATAAAAATATTTATTTTGAATATTTTCTTTGTTTCAAAATCTACATATTAAAAAATAATTTGTTATTGAAGCGTTCCCTTCCTACAGATTTATATTACTCTTTTGCTGTCATATCCAGATCCCCCTCCTTTTTATATAAATAACGTACTATTTTCTATGTGACCTTTGTCTACATTAACAAACAATTACAGACTCTCAGAATATCTTAATAGACCTTTGTGAAATGATAAAGAGCTTTCTCTCCCACTGATGTTCCCTTTCTCAAAGTTTCCTTTCTTTCAAAATTTTCATTTTGAGATACTTGTAATTTTGCATTCAGTTGTAAGGCATAATACAAAAAAGTTCCATTATAAAGTGGTGCTCCAGCTTTGGCATTGGTTCATTCAGGATGCAGAATAGCTACCAAGGTCCTTCGAGTTGTCCGTAGATGTAGACTGGCCCGCCTCCCACCTCCACCCCCTTCTTAGTCTGTTCATTTAGTCTGTCATTTCAGAAATGTTACCTAAATTGAATTACACATTTAAGACTAGGTCCTCCCCTATCCCAGGATAGCGTCCTGAATATCCATTCAGATAGTTTTACATATTAATAATTATGATTTTTCTGGTAGTTTGTATAGACGGAAGTTTCCATCCCACCCAGTCCTATAGCCTGTTAGTCCCAAATTAATACACAGAGGCTTATTTTAATTATAAACTGTTGGGTTGGTGGCTTCTTATTGGCTACTCTTTCTTAATTATTAACCCATTTTTATTAATCTGTATACCTCCATGTGGTCTTGGCTTACTGGTGATGCCTGGGTCTCTTGCTTCCTCAGCAGCTACATGGCTTCTTCCTGACTCCACCTACTACCTTTCTCTATCCCTGTTTGGATTTCCTGCCTGGCTAAATCCTGTCCATTGGCCAAAACAGCTTTATTCCTCAACCAATAAGAGAAACATACTCATAGCATACAGAAGGACCTTACCCATCATCTCTTTTCTGTCTAAGGTTTTAACTTTAACATAGTAAAATTATATTTAATAAAACAGTTATCAAATAAGAAGTATAGTTAACAATACTTAGTCCACTAACATTTGACAAAATTTAAAGAAAGTATGTTATCCTATCTTTGTGGGCCTAAAGTTTTATATGTAACTTGTCTTTTATCATAATTAAGGAAAGCCATAACCATAACTATGTGTCTTCAATTCCATCAAAGACCCCAAAGGATAATATATAAACTCTAGAATTGGCAGAGAAATCTCACTGCCTGGACAGTCTCCCAAAATTCTTAGTCCCAGAATGTCTGCCAGACATTTTGATGAAGCAGGAGCCTTGACGTACCATCCTATCCCTTGGCAAGTTCCACAGTCACTTTCCTTTGTAACCTGCTTGTCCAGTTTGGACAGTGTGTTGTCAGGCAGCCAAGCATGAGCAGTTTCTTGTCCAAATGGCCATGTTGCAGGCAAACTCGAACGATTTTCTTCAATGCCCATCTTTCTCTTTGACCTAATTGGAGTTGCCAGGAGCAGTTGTGTCTAATTGTCATGAAAAGACCCTAATAAACCATTTAAGGTCTGAAGGTCTTTGGAAGGTTTTGAACAATACCTATCCATTTGAAATATATCTGCGTGTATCTTGAAAACCTAACTAACCTAAGTTTTGAGTGTTATAGATGACTATCTATTATCTGTATTTAATCATACATTACATTTTAAATGAGCTTTGCTGTATAAACACAATACCTAAACAAGAGTAGAAATATAACAAAATTGATCTTAAATTTGTACCAATAAACCCAAATCCATCAAATCCATGCCCTTTCTGTATTCATTTCTGTATCAAATGGCCTTTTTTTTTTTTTTTTTTTTTTTTTTTTTTTTTTGGGAAAGAGATTGACTGTGAACATTAACCATTTAAACCAACCCTATTTAAATGAAAACAAACTTTTATAAACAATATTTGGGTATCTGGGCATGGTTCTTTCCAAACTGCTTCCTGCTGTTTGGAGGCACTGTCAGTTTTGTGGGGATCCTGAAAAAACCCAGAACCATGGCCAAATTCTGACTGGAGTGGTCTTCAAGGCTGCATTGTCCCAGCTGTCTTAGATGTTGGATCACCTGGGCCACTGCTTGAGGACATCTTGGTTGATCAAACCATGTTAGTCTGGAAGGAATCCACAGCTTTTCATCTTCTGTATCTTTCTAACTTTTTCTGACCACTTGAATCTTTAATCTGCTAAATGGCATGGCTAGGATTTAAAGCGGCAGCTGGCTCTCCCCATTCCTTGGCTTCCTGAGAGTTCAACTTCATTGGTGGAGGTGCTGGTGGAAGCCATGCTTATTGCCACAACTCTGCTGAGTCTCTAGGTCCATCACCACCAAGAAGCATGCTGCTGGCTGCTGCTCATAAACACCATTTAAGTGTTGGGTAGCAGAGCCTCTTATAAGAGCCTTGCAATTTTTTTGTTACTAGCTCTGAGTCAGGAAGCCTCTCTTAAAGGAGCCACTACCAAGAAGCCTTGCTTGGTTCTGTTCTTTTGTGTTCAGAATCCCTTTTTAAGCTTTTGTCAGGTTTTACTGGGAAATTCTTGCCAAACATTTGGGTACCACCAATAAGAGAAACCACCAATAAGAGAAACATTCACAGCATACAGAAGGACATGCCCCATCAAGTTTGTTTTACTTTTATTAATTATTTTGAGATGGCATTTTATTATATAGCTTGGGGTGTGTTGTCAAATTCACTGTCTAGCCCAGTGTCTCTGGCTCTAGAAGCTTGTGACTTTGGTGCAAAAATAGTATTCTGTGATATGGATGTATCCCATTGTGTTTCTGTTTTTTTTATTTGAACTGGTATTTTTAAGGCTGTCCTGGAACTCAGTGTGTAAACCAGGCTATCCTTAAGCTCAGAATTCTTTTGCCTGCTGGGATTAAAGACTCGACTTTTGTTGTTGTTGTTGTTTTTAAATTTACTTCCCTGTAGAAGGAAATCTCAGTTGTTCTAAGTTTTTTTACTATTGTGAGCAGAGATGATGTGAACACTTGTGTATGTCTATATATAGGCATGTTATATTTTTATAAAATAGAAGTATCCTCATTGTTGAATGAGTATCCTCCATTCTCAAAAATGAATCTTAATCCTCCTGACTCAGTCTTCTACATGTGGAAATCCCAGGCTTATGCCACCGCTCACTGGCCTGTCTGTGATGACTAGATGGCATTTCATTATTGGGCTGTACTGCTTGGTAATACTAATTTTATATTAGGCATTTGGGTTGTTCCTAGTTATGCTTCATTTCAAACAGCACAGTAATAGCTGTCTTATAAATAGATCATTTTACCTGTTCATCTGTAGACTTAATAGATATTAGTAGAGCAGTATAGAATCCTGGGCTTTACAGAGAGTTCTACAAGTATTTGTTCTATTAATAAATACTGTTAGAAATGCTTGGTCAGAAGGAGTGATGAATGGTTGTTCTTTTGATCCATACTACCTGCTCTGTCTCTAAGGGACCACAGCAGTTTCTATGTTATCGCCCCTACCCCAGCGCACATACTGGTTTTTTTTTTTTTTGGATTGAGTCAGGATCCTGTTTTGTAGCCCCAGATGGCCTATAGCTGGGATCCAAGGGTTTAAGATTGTAGAATGTACCAGCATGCCAGTTCATTCTCTATAGGCATGCATGGCTATGTGAGGGTGTCAGACCTTGGAGTTATAGACAGTGGTGAGCAGCCATGTGGATGCTGGGAATCAAACTCTGGTCCTCTGAAAGAGTAGTCAGTGCTTTTAACCACTGAGCCATCTATCTCTCCAGCCCTTATTAGCAATACTTTTGTTGTGTGAGATTTAACTTCTATGTGAGTCATTCATATTGTTTTCTGGGCATTTCACTTTTTAGAAAAACTTGACTATATATATATATGCTTATAACATATGTAATATATATTTTCTATACAGTGATGTGTAGAGGTGTTAAGAATATTAAAGGAAGGATACATTTTGTGCTATTAGCTGTGGTGTTTTCTATATGCCATATATGTTTATATTTTGTTTACTTTTGCTTTTACCATACACAAATTTTTTTAGTTTTATGTAAGTAAATTTGTCAGAACCTTTTTGCCTTTTGATTTTTAAATCACTTTAGAAGAAAGCACTCTCCTCAATTTAGGAGGTGAAAATGTCTTGTTATGGCTTCTTACAGTAGGTTTTGTTTTAATATTTTTACATTTGAGCTGTTACTTAAATTAGAACTTTTTTGTGTATAGGTCTAACTTTCCAACACATGGGTACATAGTCAGTAATCAGTATTTGTTGAATACCTCAACTTTTCTCATTTTAATAAAACTTTATTATTTTTTGGAGACAGGATCTCAATATGTAGCCTTAACTGTCCTAAAACTCTTTGTATAGACCAAGCTGGCCTCGAACTCATAGAGATCTACCTGCCTCTGCCTCCAAAATGCTGAGATTAGAGATGTGCATTATATCTTTAAAATATATTTTAATTCTCACCTCTTCCCCAACTCCTCCCCAGAGCCCCCAACATATCCCTCTCCCAGTTTCAGTCTGTGTTTTATTTTGCTTCATAGCTCCCTGAGTCCAGTCAGTCCTGCCCATGTATGCATGGTGTGGTCCATCTAAAACCCTGACTCTTTGAGACTAGAGAGAGCTGAGGGCCTAGTTCAATCCCCAGCACCCATGAGATGACCAACTGCTGTTTAAGTCTAGTTCTTAACTATGACACACGTGAATTCCTGCAGGCACACACACAATGCACAGGCTACTGAAAAACATTAGAACTTGCTGGGCGGTAGCACACATTTTAATCCCAGCATTCAGGAGGCAGAGGCAGGCAGATCTCTGAGTTTGAGGCCAGCCTGGTCTACAGAGTGAGTTCCAGGACAGCCAGGGCTACACAGAGAAACCCTGTCTCAAAAAACCAAATAAATCAATTAGCCAATCAATCTTGATGCACATAATCTCTCTCTCTCTCTCTCTCTCTCTCTCTCTCTCTCTCTCTCTCTCCCTCCCTCCCTCCCTCCCTCTCTCTCTCACTCACTCATACTTGCATGGTCTTAATGGTATTTTTTTTTAATGGATTTATAAATATGCTAATCTTAGACATGAGCTTCTCTTCTTTAGCAATTAAATTGTTTTAGGTATAGATTTAATAGTAATTTTTGTATTGTATTTTTAAAATTTTTTTTTTGAGAATCTCAGGATGAGGTAATCACAGTACAATATACTTAATAATGGGTATTAAAAATTTAGCCTTTTTTTATTTTTTCCTCACATGTATGTATTTTCACCTGTATGTGGGTACAGGTTGATCTCAGGCCATTGTGCCTACCTAACATTTATGTGGGTTCTGAGTATCCACACTGTCATCCTTGTTCTTAGGCAGCAAATGCTCTAACCACTGAGTGTCTTTCCCTTCCCTCCTTGATTATGCTACAACTGTTACTTTATTGTTAAATATTAAAGGTTCACTTTTCCCCCTTCCTTTGCTAGGGATTGAGCCCAGGGCCTCATGACAGCTAGACAAGCCCTGTACTCCTGCTCTCCAGCACCAGCCCTCACTTGCAGTGTATAAACATTGTAACATGCTAGTTTTATGCTCTTCCTAGGTTTCTTCTGATCAGCCACCGATAAAAGAAAAATGTAAAAATGGGCCAAAACGGGCATCTGAAGAGGAGGCGACCACAGTCTCAGAGTTTGTCTTGGATGACATCTTCATTGAAGTGGATGAAACAGAATAAAGCGCTCTTCTGGGCCTTCCTCCCCTTCCTTTCTGTTTTTGTAGTAAGTGTGAGACCTCCAGGTCGAGGATGCTAGTAAGCAGTGTTCAGAAGAGCACCACTGCCTGTTTTTATCTACGTCAGTGTGACTATTTAATGAGCTTAATCTGCAACTTTTATAATCAGTGGGAAACATTTCATTCTGAAATAACAAGCAATTAAGATTGTTCTCTCTGACAGACATTTTTAACTTGTTTACATTTGATTCACCTTGTGCTGAGCACATCTGGACTTGTGGACTATGTGTATCCACATCTGTATAAATCATAGTGCTGACATACTTGGAGCCTGATTGTATCTAACATTAGTGACCTTCTTTTGTAAAGGTGCTTTTGTTTGTTTGGGTCTTTTTGTTTGTTTTTGTTTTGAGGGTGATAAAGGTCTGTTCAATTGCCTGTAAGTATATGAAAGCAAATTGTGAAACTCCACTTTGGTATGGTAAAGTTAAAACTTTTCTATTATCAGACATTTGACTGAAAAATGTGTATTTTTCTAACTCATGGTGATGTAGCATTAGTTCTGACTGGAAGGTCTAGTATTTAAACTTGCTATTTATAAAGATGGAACATCAGAGATTATTTATTTTTAAATTTTTTATTTAAAAGTATATCCCGATTTAATTATTTTCACTTATCAGATTTGGGCAAAGAAAGCATTAACAAATAATTTGTTTCCTTTTCCTCTTTACTTTTAAAGCTATTTTAAAATGTCATAACTAAAAATGTTTAGGTAGTGAGTATATTTTGAATACTTTTCTCATACTTTAGTATTTTGAATTTGTACTGTGAATTTTTTTGCTTTTCTTATTTCTTCTCTTATCTCAGGATTTTCATTGGAAGAAAAAAAATTTGACATAAGACATTGTCATGTAAAACAATCTTCTACACACACACACACACACTCCTACTCCTTTAAAAAAAAAAAAAATGATAGGTATTTTTTTCTCCCTACTAAATTTTGCTCACAGGATGTGGAGGCCTTTAACCACAGAACATGATTCTGATGCTAAAGTAGAAAATATGTCAGGATAACTTTGCAAAGCCGTGATTGTCATCATTATGGACTTAGGTGTTTTTAGCTTTGAGACTTAGTCATTTATGTAAGTGTCTTTTTTCTCCTAACAGATTTTTCTTGTTTCAAATTAAACTCCTCAAAGAGCTCATATAGCTAAGTACATTAGCTCAGTAGTTAGAAATTTTTTCCAGAGATATGTTTTTGGAACTGTAGACCGAGGGCCCTAGTGTAGGCTGCCAGTCCTTGTGGTTTGTGTGAGGGGCAGGGCTGCCCTGGGCTTTTACTTAGGCTCTGCACGTTAGGCTATGGTTTCTCCTTTTCCCGTTAAGGCAGGGTTTCGTTCATGTCCCAGACTGGCCTGGAACTGTGTAGATGAGGGTACTCTCCAGCAGCACTGGTCCTCCTCTTCACTGCTGGGAGGGAGGGCACCACCGTGCACATTTTCATGACTAGAGCCCACAGCCTCCTGAATGATAGGCAAGTGCTCTACCAACTGAGCTGTCCCAGTGCCTAAGAGTAAAACACTGTTGAGTGTGTTATGAAATGATCAATACGTCAACTGGAAAAATCTTCTCACATCTAGGGAAGTTTCATCTTTGTATATTGATAAAATGGTGACCACTTTTCAAGTTTCTAAATAAAAGAGGCTAGGACTCGATGAGTCTAGAGTGTTACTAACTCATTGACACTTACTGTGAGCATATTTCTCATTTTGTGGCTTAGAGTAAAATTTATGGTTTAACATCTTTGTTATAAAGGAAGATCTGTAAATTAGATAGAAATTCTCAAAAATATGCATCTATTTCATGTCACAAATGTCGCAAAATCATGGGGTAATTCTCATTGTTATTTCAGTGTTGTTTTTGTAAATTTAAAAATTCATATTCTGTAAATGTTTTTTCTTACTGTTACTTGGGTTAGATCACTGCAACTAAACTATTATTTATCCCTGTGTAATATTTATTTTTTTAACATCTGTCTCTTATTTGAAATAAACGGATTTTATGAAAGATGTAACTTATTGTATAAAGAATACAAGGGTGTTTGTTGCATAGAGAATCAAGTCAAGTCAACAAATTGTCTTGCTGTTGCAGCCTCAGAGCAGGTGTTGGGAACAGAAACATAATCAGTGTTCTTAGCGTTAAGGGGGAAAGCTCTGCCAGGGTGTAAAGATGTTGCCAGGAATTTGTTGTATAAATCTTGAAGGAGATGTGATTAAAGGTCGGTACCTTTCCCTGACTTTTCCTTCCTGATCACTTACATCTTAACAGATGGCCACTTGTGGTTTAAAACTCTGTGTTGATAAATGATTAAAGCATAGATAAAAAATTAACATCTACTGTTTACCATCATATTATTCTAAATGCAAGTGACCATGTATACTGCCTTGCTTGAAGGAGTTTTTTGATAAAAGAAGCAATATCTGTCATTTGTAAGTTTTCTTGTTCTAAAGAAAGCAGTTCTATGTTCTGTAGATAAAAAGTATGTAAATAAAAGTTATTTTATATCACTTTTGTTTTGTCCTTTTCAAACAGCAAGATTTTTATGTTCAGTTAATTAGTTTCTGTTTCCAATTATCATCTATACTTCTTTATAAAAATGTAGTATTGCCAGGTATGGTGGCTCAAGCCTGTAAATCCCAGAACCCACAAGCACGGGCAGAAGGAGTGTGAATTTGCCTGGGCCACATAGTGAACTCCTGTCTCAAAAAGAAAGAAGAGAAAGGAAGAAACGAACAAAATTGTACATACTATAGTAGGAAGAATTCTTGATGTTTCTTATGAAGGTTTTTATTTCTTAATTTACAAAAATAAATGATAGGTTTTCCTGTGTATTTGAGGTTTTGTTTACTCTTTTATTTGTTACATATAATGACTCAAGATTTGCTCCTTGCTCCCTAACACACATAGTTTGTTTTCTCTGTAAGGAGAGAAATTGAAGATTTAGTTCCAGAGATAATAAAAACCAGGAGTTTTGAAGTGTTTATTGACAAGTATCAGTTGCGTTTTTTGCTGAGAGAATTATCTGTGGAAACTTAGTTTGGCCATTTCTTCAGATACATAAAAGTTGTCATGGATTTTGTTCCACCCTCAGAGAGAGAGAGAGACTTGTCTGTTCACTTTTAGAGACATAGGGAAATAGAAAATTTTATTTTTCTTATGCCATAGGCCTTAACTAGATCATCTGATATCTCCTTATGAAAACTTACATAGGTGCGTGTGTGGTGCTATCTGAGTGAGGGTTGAGTTCAGTCTGGATGTTAGTAAGATCCTAATCTATGCTGATTTTCCCTCCCAACTTGACACAAGCCATAGCTGTTTTGGAAGAGAGAACATCAACTGAGAAAATACCTCCCCCAAACTAGCCTGTATGTGTGTGTGTGGGGGGGGTATTTTCTTGATTAATGATTGTGTGTGGTACCACTCCTGGGCAGGTGGCTCTGAGTTATCTAAAAGCAAGCTGAGCAAGCCAGTAAGCAGTGTTTCTGCAATGTATGCTGAGTTCCGGCTGCCTTCCTTAGTAATAGACCGTGAACAGGATGGGCAAGCAGACTATAGTTGCATCTGAAAACAAATCCAGGGTGGGAGATTGCTCAGTGCCTAAGAGCACTGCTCTTGCAGAGTTTGGTTCCCAGCGCTCCTGTTGGCAAACTCACAGCCACCTTTGTGACTAGCTTTAGGGGTGCCTTTTTCTTTCTTTCCCTTCCTTCCTGTTTCCCTCCCTCCCTCCCTCCCTCCCTCCCTCCCTCCCTAGGACTTTTTTTCTGGCCTCTGGGCAACTGCACTCACATTTTCACACTCATTTACAGTCACTGATCCATACACATAAGTTAAAAATAAATCCTACATCCCTTATAGTTAATCCCAAATGTTCAGACCTTCCTACAAACATGTAACATTAAGCACACTCAGCAGTTTGCATTTATGTATTTATTCACATACACACATTTAAAGAATAAGACATGAATTTGATAGGGGTCGGAACCCATGGGAGGAGTAGGAGGAGCAAATGATACATAATTCAGTAGAAAATTAAAAAAAAAATTTTCTTGGACAGTTTTCTGTAGTTCAGGCTGGTTTCAATTCACATGTCCTGGGATTTTGTTGAACTTCTGACCCTAGCAGTTTACCTCTTGAGTGCTAGAATGACCAGAATCTTTTTGTTTGGCCCCAGTGCCAGGAGCAGATGCTTCATTCAGGTGAACTGCTCTGGTTTGGTTTTGTTTTATGTGACATGTATGCTGTGTGAATGTTTAGGTGGTTTTCTTCTGCATTGCAAGAACTTACTGGGGGTCAACTTACAGCAAGGTAGAATTCTTAGGTCATATTTTATGTGGCCAACTCACTTTGACTTGGTTTATATTCCCTGATTTCCTTAGATTTTTAAAACCTTTAAAACCTTGTCTGTCAGTGCTGGGGTTATAAAGCACTCAGTGGGTAAGAACACTTGCTGCACCAGTATGAGGGCTTAAGTGTGGGTCCAGCACACACATAAAAGCTGGGGTTACTGCATGCCTGTGTTAATCCCAGGGCTGTGCAGTCGCGGAAGGATCACAAGCTTTCTAGCTTCGAGCCTCTTGCTCCAATCCAGCTAAAGACTTGGTCTCAGAGGAATAGGGCAGGGAGTGACAGGGCACTTGACATTCTCTGGCTTGCGTGTGCGCACCTGCATGCTCATACACATATATCACACAGGAAGTAGACCTTGGCTGCCCTCTAACAGATCTGCCTGCCTCTGCCTCGATGTTGTGGGTCGTCATGCCCACAAGTGGCTGATTTCAGACAGCCTTTTACAGCAGCAACACAGACAGAGACACTGCCTCAAAGGATACTAAGTTGCACAGTTGTGACATAAACCATCACATACTGCATTCCTTCAGATTTGCGGCAAAGGATGCAACAGTGCTGGCGTTTCTGCTATTTGCTGCGGGGTAATAAAACGTGGAGCTGTGAGAGCTATTCCCATCTCGGTTGTGCTGTCCCTACCCGATCTGGCTCTTACTCAGTACTCATTTGTGCTGTTCTCATCAAGCGCGTTTAAGTGTGGGACCAAATTCACTCCCAGACCATAGCCGACCCTCTGTCTAGCTTGTCCATCCTCCTTGATGTCCCTGACATTTTACTTTGCTTCTCTAAGTAAGGATGCTGTAATAGCGTGTAAGTGTTCAATAAGTGTGTGAGTGGAAAACCAACCAAACAAAACTCAAGGCTAGTAGTGTTTTTAGCCCTTAAGCGTGTGTTGAGGGTCTCTTCCTGAAGACCCCAATACTGGTGTCTACAGTCTATCACATTCTAAAAGTGATCAGACGTGCTCTGCAGTGGAGGGGCTGGGGCATCTGCAGGTTGCAGGCCTGTGACCGAAGCACGTTACTGATGGTGTCAGTGCAGCTGCTGTTCGGATTGCAGTGGCTCTCTGTACTCAGCCCGGTGCTCCTGGGCTCGCGATGGAACGGGGCCTCGCGGAGCTGCTCTCCTGTTCCTCATTGGAGGGGTCAAGAGGCGTGGCACGCGGCAGCGACCAATGGGAGGTGGCCTTCTGTGGCACGTGCGCGGGGCTGGCCCGGGAGCTGGTGGACCAGGACTGGTGCTGCAAGGGCTCGGGCGCAGCACAACTTCCCTGAGTAGCACACCAGCTGAGAGAGAAAGGACTCCTATTCGGGCAGTCCTCGCTCTCCTAGCTATCTCCTTGCTCGCCGCCACCATGTGGGGCGCACTGAGGTCAGCCCTGCGACCCTGCGCTCCGGCAGCTGTCTCTCGGTCGCGCGCCTATCATGGGGACTCCGTGGCCCGACTAGGCACCCAGCCTGACTCGGGCTCCTCCACCTATCAGGTAGGTTGAGCGAATGATCATCCAGGTGGCCCTGCTCTCCCTGCTGGTCCAGAGCTGTCTGCTCTTCTCTCTGTCGCTCAAGGCATCATTCTGGGACGCAAAAGGGTCCTGTGAAGTTTGGAGAAGAAAATCGTCCCGGTGAGAGTTTAGAACTGATACTGGCCTTCTGTGTCACTAAAATCAGTGGTTCTTAAAACCTCATTCAGCATTGTTTCTTGGGCGGATTGTGGATGCCTGAGCCCGGTTTGTCAATTTTGGAATCTCGAAAGTGGGGTCCTCACGTTTGCATGGCTAATGTATTTCATAGGGATCTGTGACAGCCATCTCTAGGAAATACCTTAGCACAGTAACGCTGGGCTGTGTTCACATGCTTTCATTAAACAGTTATAGTAACAATAAACACACATCCTACCATATCTTTTAGTAGCTTTTCTTGGACTTGGGAGGCTTCCTCGGGCCAAAGAAGCAACTCATAACTTGTGAAATATCAAAGCTGGAAAATGTCAATCTGTTTCTTGGCTTCTAATCCTATATAGATAACATCTACATTGTTCATAAGACCAGCAGGTTTTGTCTGGGAAGAAGTTAACTCAGAAACACTAAGTTGTTTGTGCAGCATTTTATGTATTTGGTATGGATGTGTAGGAACGGAACTCATTTTGGGTAAGGGGATGTGGACAAGAAGTGAGGTAGCCGTGGGGCTGTGTGGTAGCTGGTTTTTAACCTCGAAAAACTGAAAGCACATGAAGTTGAAGTTATGGGTGAAAGAGAGTTAGGTTAGGAAAGACCTGGCAGGCTCAAGGCGAAAGAAGGAGGCTAGACTGAAAATCAAACCAGTGCGTCTACCCTTGCCCTTTAAAATGAACAAATATTAGCTGGGTGTGTTGACCCAAGCCTTAATCCCACCATGTGGGAGGCAAAAACATGTGGGGCTTTGTGAGTTTGAGTCCAGCTTGGTCTACAAAGCCAGTTCCAAGACAGCCAGAGTTACAAAGGGAGACCCCCCCCACCTTAAAAAACAACTACCACCACCACAGCAACAGAATAAAGTTAGTATATTCTAACTGTGCAATGTGTATACATTACTCTCTCTTGTCTCCTCTCCACTATTCTGCTGGCCCCTTCCTCTTTATAAATAGTCTTTTTAGATAGATTTAATCTAGATTCTGCACATGAAATGTGGCATTTGTTTCCCTCGCTCTAGCTGTTTTACCTAACGTGATGATCTCTAGTTCTAATACCCTACCTTCCTTCCTTCTTCCCACCCCCTCCTTCCCCCTTTGGACAGTGCTGGAATTGTGCTGGAATTAAAGGCATGCGCCACCACTGCCCAGCTCCCACCATTTTCTTGAACACAGCTATTGTGCAGTTTTTAGGACTCTCATTTGTTTCTGACAGTTTCCTATATAAATACAGTGTATACTTTTGTTTGCTTTCTGAGACAAGGTTTCTCTCTGTAGTCCTGGGTGTCCTGGAACTGACTTTGTAGATGAAGCTGGAACTCTGCCGTCACCAGCCTCTGCCTCTGGGATTAAAGGCGTGTGCTCCCCTGTCCTGCTGGTGTATCTTAATGTTATCCATGCCCAGCTTCCCCCCATTCTCCCTAGACACTTCCCAATATTCCCTACCCCCCATATCCATGTTCTTTTAATCATCCCACCTCCTAAAAACTCACTGAGACCTATTAGTGCTACTTGCTAGAATGTTGACTGATTTCATTGGCTGGACCTCGTGTGGGTCCTTGTTCTGGTAGCCACATTGCGTTGAGGTCATGAGCCCAATAGCTATGTTAGAAGGCAGCAGCTCCGTCCCGTCCTCTGGCTCCTACAGTCTTCCCACGCCCTCTTAAGTGACAGTTCCCTAAGCCTTGTGTGTAAGAGTGTGATGTAGATGTCTCATTAAGGCTGAGCACCTGGCAGTCACTTTTTCTCAGCTCTTGGACAGTCTCTGTGTTGACTGCTGCCCACTCTGTTAAAGAGGCTTCTCTGACCAAGTTTGAGAACAGTACTAATGCATGTGTATAAACATACATATTTAGAAGACAGTTTGACAATGTCCATTCAGTAGTAGGTTCCTTCCCTAGAGCCCATGACTTCCCGAGCCAAGGACTTTTGACTAGGTTTACACTATCCCACATCACATGGATTCCATTTTGTGGACTAGACATCAAACTCCAACTGGAATGTGGTTGGTTATCCCCTAACAGGCATGCCACTATTGCTCCAGTGGGCATATCTTGCTTAGCAAATTAATTTGGAATGTGCAGGGCCCAGCACTGAGCAAGACCATTGATTTCTTTTCTTCCCATTTCTGGTACCATGACAACTATCCGGTGGATCAATTCCACTTATTTTTCTGTGTCATGCAATCTAAGTATTGAAAATAGGTACATTAAACTTAGGCTATTAAAGCGTAAGCGAGGCATGGCGCTGCACACATAATTCTAGCAGTCTGGCGCCTGAGGTGGGAGCGCCTCTTAAGAGTAGGAATTTGAGGTCAACCAAGGCAACACAAGACCCTGTTTCAAAAATAAGGCCAGGCCTAGAGAGATAGTTCCATGGTTAACGACTCCTGCACTGAGCCTGTTGGTCTGAGTTGTTGGTATCGAGGACCCAGCTGGTGGAAGGAGAGGACTAACCCTAAAAATGTCCTCTGACCCCCATGGGTGTGCTGTGTTAAACATGAGGTCCCTCGCTTAAGCCACATTTAGATCTCATTTTGCAAGCCATCCTTAAACTATTTAAGTAGAGAAGTGGAGTGATTCTGTGGACATGGAGAGAAGAGGCCAGATTTAAGTAGTGGTGGGAAGAACTGAGTTTTCAGACAGCGAAGGCTCAGAGTGATGTAGGAGTTAGGAATTGATATTGGTGTGGAAGGCGAGGAAGGAAGTCATGGAGGATGCTGGAGTTTCTCACTCCAGGAAGGGTAAATGAGAGGCCTGTGATACAGGCCATGATTGAGCGTGGTGGATGAGAGAGGTGGTGTATGCTGATGGGTTTGTTTGAGCCGTCTGTGTTAGGGTGGACTTTATGACAACTATCAGTCACTCAAAACAGCAAATTCTAAGTCCTTCCTCCTGTCATTTGCTGATGACTCTGGGTCAGCTGTTAGGACTTGGTAAAGGGCAAAATTACAGCAGTTTAATTTAAATATATTAATTGATCCCCTCCTTGTGATTCCTGAGTCAGAACATTTTAGGTCTCTTTTTGGCTACTTTTGCATAGACTGTTTTTCCTTCTTTTCCACTTCTAACTAATCATGTTCTTAGATATGAAATGAGTCATAGACAGTGTAAATTGAGTTACTTCAACATTTTATTTTTCATTTTATATGCACAAGTGTTTGCCTGCATGTGTTTATAAGCTGTGTGTGTGCTTGGTTTCTGCAGAAACCACGAGAGGGCGTGAGATCCCCTGGAACTGGAGTTGTAGATGGTGTGAGCATCTGTGTCAGTGGCTGTCAACCTTAGTGATGCTGTTACCCTTTAATACAGATAGTTCCTCATGTTGTGCTGACCCCAACCATACAATTATTTTTATAGCTACTTTTTTAAAAACTAATTTTGAACCTGATGTCAGGAAGACAGTGGATGGGTAGGAGCCCCAGGCTTTCATTCTGTCACTGTCATATACATACTCCAAAGGAGAGAGGAAAAAAATAAGAAAAAAAAGTAAGCCTTAGAACCATGGCATGGGGCACATATCTGACATGCATCGGATATGTGACCTTGTGAAGGGGTTATTTGATGCCCTCCAAAAGGGTTGAGACCCACAGGTTGAGAACTATGCTCTCTGTGGTTTCTGAGATCTGAACCAACATCCTCTGCAAGATAGGGACTGCTCAGCCATCTCCCTGGCTGCCTCCTTTTTTTTTTTTTTTTTTTTAATATGGCCAAGATTGGCCTCAAACTTTCACTTCTCCTGCTGAAGAATGTTTATTCTCCTCCCGAATTATTATCACGTGCCATCACATCCACCTCTGATGTTTTACATTTTATTTATTTTGCTTTGTAACTCATTCTTGAGAGAGGTGGGATCTTTCTCCCCAGATTGATTGTAAACTCCCAGGCTCACGAGCTCCGCCAGCCTTAGCGTCCTGAGCAGGAACTGCAGGGAAGGGCTACCACGCCTGGTCTTGCGATGCACACTGAATTGCTCCATATTTGATTCGTCTGTATACAGCAGCTCTAATGTTTTCTTTCTTCCTTCCTTCCTTTTAAAAATGTGTTTTCTTTTTACTTGTGTGTGTGCATGTGTGAGAGAGAGTGGGTTCCCAAAGAGTCTAGAAGAGTGTGCTTCCTGCCTGTAGAATTCTCTGGCAGATTTATTAATAACCCTTCCGTCTTCTCCCTCCAACTCTTCTTATGCCCACCCACTCCCTTTCAAATTCATGACTTTTTAAACTGTTGTTACACACACACACACACATACAGCCTTATGAGTCCATTTAGTGTTGCTTGTATGTGATGGGTTCATCTTTACACTAATTGTCCCCCCCCCCCTTCGTATCTATTAATTGCCTATGGCTCTGTGTCTAGGGGACAGACCCCTGTGAGATTTCCCCCACCCATGTTGCTTTGCCAGCTGGTGTTGTCATTTTGTAGGTCTTGTTTAGCGGACCCTGTTGCTGAGATTTTGTGGGTGCAGCCTCAGGGTCGAGTATAGAAGATAGTATCTTTGCAGCAGACAGCCCCGTCCTCTGGCTTCTGTAGTCTTTCTGCCCATCCTGCCAGCCTTCCCTTTCGTAGCTTTTATCTCCACAGTCGTTCTCATATTGTCCATATGCTCTAATTGTCTCTAAATCTGTCTTTTTGTTTTCCATTGGCTCTTGAGGCATTTTACAAGTAGTTTTAAAGTATTTGTCTGATAAATCTGATGGTTGTATTTCCTCAGGGGCATTTTCTGCGCATTATTTCCTGTTCCTTAAGTGTCTTCATTTCCCTAAGAATTGTCCCAGCCAGTTGGGGTCTTGCTGTCCTTCTCCTGCTCCCCCTCCTCCCC